ATGGATCAGAAGCTCTCCGCGAAACCGGCAGAAGCCCCCCAAAATGGGTCGTTTGCGTTTGTTCCGCGATTTACACTCTCAAATCAGAAACGATTGAAAGCGGGTTCTTGATCATACCCAGCCTTCAGATTATCGAAGCGAGAGGAAAATGACTAGAACAACAACACGAATATCTTATAGAAAATACTTGAAGCTATATTGGTCTTTTCAACTGCTAGTCTTGGCAATACTTGTCTCAAATTCCAGAACTGATGCGAACATCCTTTCGACGTATCAGGAGTACGAGAATCTCAGAGCTACTGCAACAAATGTTACCCGTATTAAGAGTATAGATGTGGCAGTAACAGAAAATGGATCTATTCCGTTCTGTCACCTCGCTATGATCATGCCGTTCTCTCGGCTATCTGAAGAACGAGAACGAGAGGCTGTAGATTTAGGTGTCTTTCAGGGACAAGCAGCTGTCATGTTAGCAATTGAACATTTGAATACCGGAAATGGGACTATGGTGAAAGAGGTGGAGGGTTTGGATCAACGATGTGCTATCAAATTTACTGCTGAGATATTTGATACTGCCTATTCACAGACCAGTGCAGTGGATACTGTTATCAACCTTATTTCAAGAGAACCAGGAACCGAACGTCTTCCGAGTGCATTTCTGGGTGCACGTTGGTCTTCTGTCTCCATTCCCAGCTCAACAGTGACTGGATTGAAAGGATATCCTCAAATATCACCGATTTCTACAAGCGCAAGCTTAGATGACAAGGGACAATTTCCGCTCTTTGGTAGAACGATTCCATCAGATGCATCCACTGCTGTACCCGCAATCTTGTATCTCCGTAATCAGCTGGGTGTAAAGCATTTGGCGATTGCCCATGTAAATGATGCCTATGGGGATGCATATGCATTGGGAATTCAACTGGCTGCTGAACAGTATGCACCGGATATGAAGGTGCAGAGTTTCAGCTTTGATTTTGACATCACCGAGGAAATTGCAGAGCGAACCATTAGGCAACTGAAAGAGACCAACTACAGATACATTTTTGGAATCATCTTTAGTGATGTACAATATGTACCCATGATGACGGAAGCGTACAAACAGGGCATTGCTGGGACTGGGGAACACTCTTGGATGTTTTCGGATTCTGTCTCGCCTACTTTTTTCGACAGCCAAAAATTCGATGTTGACTCTCCAGTGTACAAAGCATCCATGGGAGCATCTCGGATCTCGGCTGTTGCTGGAGTCGAAGGGAATGAAAATTTTGATACATTCTTCCGCAGCGTCAATGACTTAAATAATGCTGAAGACATTGCTTTGATTCAATCGAAACATCCTACCTACGACGATCCGCAATACCGACCCCTTCAAATCGAAGACAATCGAGACAGCTTCTTTGATGGTTTTAAATCATCGACCCTTGTTCCCTTCTTGTACGATGCGGCCATCGGACTTGGCTTGGCGGCATGTGGCGCGGCTGGGGACGATACCTATTTTGATGGCACGACACATTATGAAACCTTCAAGAACACTACCTTTTCAGGTGCTACTGGGAAGAATGCTTTTTACCAAGAAACTGGGTCACGACAAGCAAACTCGGCTTCTTTTATCATGATGAATGTTATTGAAAAGGAGCGAACAGGCAACTTGGCCACACTGTCGCCAGATGTGACAGATGTCTTTGAAAATGGCGATTGGAACTCTCTGAAAGCATTTGTCTTCAACGATGGGTCTACCGTACCACATTCCGACTTGCCACCATTGGTCATTGATAAGAACTACATTGGTTGGGCCGTGAGAGGTATTGGGCTCTTTATGAGTTTTCTTATCCTTGCGTTTTCGGTTGGACTTTACTTTTGGACTACTACCCATCGAAAGACCAAGGTCGTAAAAGCGAGTCAGCCAATGTTCCTTCACATGATTTGTGGCGGTTGCTTTCTGATGGCGACATCTATGATTTTCCTTAGTATTGATGATGAAATTGCGTCGCAAGGTACATGCACTGCGACCTGTATCACTACGCCTTGGTTCTTCTGCGTTGGTTGGATCTTGTCCTTTTCTGCACTCTTTGCCAAGACACTTCGGGTGAACAAGATTTTCCATAATCCAGTTGCCTTTTCACGGATCAAGGTCACAATGTGGGACGTGATCAAGCCAGTGGTGGCACTGCTCAGCACTGCGGTTCTGATCCTCTTGCTGTGGACAGTATTGCATCCACCAGTATTCTCCCGTGGAGTCAGTGCTTTGGACGTGTATGGCAGAGCCCAAGAAACAAAGGGAACCTGCGACTATACAGATTCGCTGCCATATGCGATTACATTGTTGGTTGTTTTGGTGGGAACCTTGGTCTATGCTGTGCAACAAGCCTATGTTGCGCGAAACATTTCTACGGAATTTGCAGAAACGGAATACATCTTCTTGGTGTTGGTTGCAATTTTCGTTACAGCCCTACTGGGAATTCCGGTTCTCTTGCTTGTGGCGAGAAACCCAGGTGCTCGATTCTTTGCCGTGGCATGCATCGTGTTCCTTGTGAATTTGGCCATTCTTTGCTTGATTTTCATTCCGAAAATAAATCAACAGAGAAAAGAAGCTGAAAGGAAGAAGAACGTGGGGAACGGAAATATGAGGCAGACTTCTTTTTCCATTGGGTCACAACGAGTGAGCGTCAGTGGAGTAATGTTAGACACTTCCGAAATCGAGTCCTCCGGCTTTCAAGAGTCGCGGGAAAGTGATGGGGAGAGTGATGGAATGAAGATTATCGACAACCCTAGAAAGGTGGAGAACTTGGAGCAACGGATCGAATCTCTCAGAATAGAAATTGATGTGTTGCGGAGAAGGAAACAAAATACAAGGCTGCCGTCAGTGTTCGAAGCTTCCGAAGAGAAATCAACCGAATTTGATGACGAGGACGAGGAGGAAAAATCAATCGAAGCCGACAAGAACGAGGAAGAAAACTCAACTGACGTTCACAAGGAAGATCAATCCTTGGATCAATTCGACGAAGAGTTCGGAGGAGATCAAAAGTCTGCTTCAGGTACTAGTAGTGTGCGCAACTCATCTTCCAGTTCTGGAAGTCACCATCTACGAGTGGATATGACTGGGGAAGTAGTAGAAGACTTGGATGTTTAAAATTAGAATGTATTATATACCGGTATGATATATTATATCTATTACAACAACTGTACCGGTATTCATGGAGGTACAGGATATTACTTACCTATCGGCAGATACGTTGGAACCTACAGCTGTACCTACCGGTAGCGTCGTTGCTTTTTTTCTGACCACGAAAAATAATAACACGTGTGCAATTTTGGTCGCGACATCTGCAGCATTGCTCACTTTCTTCGTATCGGCGGCATCATCGGGATAAGGTTGCCGCAGAATTCACGTTGATTCTGATTGAACGCTCTCAAAAGCTAATCACAGAAACGTGTGTATTTTAATAAGCGGCAAAGGTACTGCACTATCTTTGTCCAAAAGGAGACAAAAGGATGACAACAAATCAATCGAGCTATGGAACCATTCCAAAGAATGAAAATGGCGAAACGGAATCGTTGATCGAAGACCAGAACAAATCCAACAAACTAGCTTTGCATTGCAATCGGCGTGTTCTGGTGTTTGTCATTATGGCAGCAATCGTTCTTGCGTACCCAATCCACAAAATGGCAAACAAGTCGATCATCGGCACAAACAAACTCGGATGGATACCCACGGATGACCTAGGAGTGCATATCGTCAGCCGAAAACCGGATGCTTTGCCAAGTTCGATTTGGGGAAGGAAACGACAAGAGGGTCCATTGCCGACGAACAGCTGGTACTTGGTAGGTTACTCAGCAGTGCTCCTCGCTCATGTTTTGGCTATATTGCATGCTGCTTTCGACTCGCCGTTTCTAACGTTGCTTATTCCTAATATTTACCTTACTACTCCTGATACAGAATCTAGTGTCCCATCGCGCCGAATTCCAACCCGACGAATCCACCAAAGTGTACACGGTTCCTTACATTATTGACATGGCGCCTGCAGGTGACGTGACAGGTATCAATGTGCACTGGCCCATTACTCAAACTAGTACAAACAATGTACAGATGGTGCACGATGCCAAGAATGGCGTGAAATTAGGTGCACTGGGCCTCAATGCTTCCTACCAAGTCGACCAGGAGGAAAACTTGAGTGCTCTTGGGGTAACCCTCCGTTGGGACGGCGGTGACGACGACGATGATGAAAAAGACGCATACATGAAGACTCATCTCGTCAGAGGAATGCCTTATGCTACCATGATATACTCGGGAGGCATTCTTCCCTCTCTATTTTCCTTCAACGGCCCTGCTTCTAATCCTGTCATTGACGGCGACAATTCGACGAAACTCGTTTGCGGGCAGTACGAGAATCAGACCATTTCGAATGCGACATCGGCCACTGTGCAAGAAAAGATTCAACTGCATTTCATCAATTCAGACTTTACATGGACGGTATTTTTCAGCCAACCCGTCGAGGTGGAGTGCGGAATCACATCCGGGGATGAAAAACTGGCCCAGTTTCAACTCAACGTCAAGAGCTATTCCAAGGAGGATGAACCGCTGATGGTCCGCATGGCCCTAATGGATTTTTGCACAACCGGACAGGCGAATATCAAACAGCACTGTGCGGAGAGGAAATCACTTCTTGGTGGTTATGCCACATTGATCGAGGAAAGTTGCGCAGTATTCCCCACAAGCCCAGCAGTTCACATTGAGTATCCATCGTCCGAGTCGGAAAACAAGACATCTCATTTGAAATTCGATTGGAAACCTGATTCAGTTGATGACGACTCGGACGAGGATGACCTGATCATGTTCGCCATGCCAAATCACCAAGAAAAAATGGTGGAAGGTGAAATCACAAACCACTGTGTGAATACATTCCACGGCAAGACCTGTCTGGTGAAAGGTTCCAAATGGTCCATGGCGGAAGATTTGAGTCAGACGCAATCCTTTGTAGCCCGTCGACCACCCATCGCTAGTGCTATGGAGGCACTCGCCGTGGCCGTCTCCAAAGATTTGGAACACGAGTTGTCGGATAACCTGCATCGTGGAGCAGCCGACACTTACTTTTCTGGCAAAATGCTTTCTACGGTCGCTCGAACCATTGTCATTGCATCGGAACTGAGAGATCTTGCGGGAGGAAATGATGCTCTACTAGAGTTAAAGTACGACGTGGATGATGAATATTTGGCAAGCTCAATGGCTGCTGCTTCAAATCTAAAAAATTTGCCATCACAAAGGAAGATCGATAACGCCTTGAAGGACCTAAAGAAATGCGTCCAAGTTTGGTTGGACGAACCCGAAGCTCCTTATGTATACGATGAAAGCTGGGGTGGCCTCGTGAACTGTGGCTGTAACTATACGTCAACGGGCCCACATGGACATTGCTCGAATACCTATCCAGATTGTCCTGCATTGGAAGATGTCAATGTTGACTTTGGAAATGGCTACTACAATGATCACCACTTGTACGTAGTGTTATTCAGTGCTTGATTGTGTCTTGGTCCCATTGAAGTGCTGACATTTTTGCTTTCGTTTTGTTTGTTACTATGATATGATAGCCATTATGGATATCATGTCTACGCCGCAGCTGTCGTTGCAAAGTATGATCCAGAATGGGCTCTGATGTACTTTGACAAGGTTCTACTGTACATTCGTGACTATGCCAATCCTTGGACGAACGATGAATTCTTTACACCCTTCCGTCAAAAGGATTGGTGGATGGGATCGTCTTGGGCCAGTGGCATTGTTTCTGCAGAGAATTCGCCTCATGGTCGAAATCAAGAATCATCCTCGGAAGCCATTGCCGCCTACGAGAGTATGGCTCTATTTGGACATGTCATGACTGACATTATGAAAGTGAAGGACCCAGGTCGTTTGAAAAAGGCACAATTGGTGCGTGATGCCGGTGAGCTGTTAACAAAAACCGAGATTGATGCCACCAATCGATACTGGCATGTATGGTCCAGCAAGACACACAAGAATACGTACCCAAAAGGGTACTCACAACCCGTGGTGGGTATGCTCTATGAGACCATGGCCAGTTTCCAAACTTGGTTCTCCCCCCTCCCTCTGGTATCGTATGGTATCCAACTAATTCCCTTTACGCCAGTTGGAGAGTTTCGAGACGATCCCGAGTGGGCATCCATTCTGTACCCAATCTACGTAGAAAGCTGTACTGAAGCAGGTGACTTTTGTACGGAGAATGGATGGGATATTGTACAAGCAGGGCTTTGTGCTACTGCTGGAAACATGGATGAAGCTCTAGAGAAGGTCCTGTCACTTTCGGAAGAATCGTTTGTTTCGGATGGTGGCAACGGTAACTCTCGTGGTAATACGATCTGGTACATTGCAACTCGGCCTTATGCTGCTGAACAAGATAATAGGAGGTAATATGATTAAAATAGCTAATATAATGTAAAGCATACATTCCATAGTGATAACCTGTCACAACCTGCACAGGTGCGGAGACGCTAGCAGATTACAATTTGAAGGGAACAGTACTCATTTTCTCGCACTAACGACAATCAGCAAACTCTTTCCTTTGGCCACATCGGATAGACACGATTTCTAACCATGTGTGCACACGCATCTAGTCTATACACGATCAAAACAAGCAGGATACTTTCAACGATCAGAAATGGATGGAGATTGCGATTGTGCGGGGGGAATTTCATTTGTTTTCTATTTGATTGTTTAAGCTCCAAGCTCAGTCATCTTCTTGGAAATAATTTCACTCTTTTGCTTTCGTGCAACCATGGCCTTGAATCGTCCAAAGTCACTGAGGCTTGCTCGCTTCTTCTTGGCGGAAAGCTTCTTGGCCCAGCTTGAGGCCTCCCATTTGTTCATTGTGTCAGCCTCTTCCCATGCCTTCTTCAAAGTCTTGGTGCGTGCATTGCGTTGGATCTTAACGGTGAAGTCTGTAAGGGCGATTCTGGTGAAAGGGATGACTTGTCGAGAAACACCGGTGATTTCTTCTGGTCCGTCAATCAAACACTTGTTTTGGTCAACAATATCAATGATGGTGGCGAGCTTTCCAGTCTCTGGGCCATAGTTGACAAGGACAACACGTCCAACTTCGACATATCTACTGAAAGGCATTTTGGTATTTGTGTGTGTTTGCTGTGAAAGGAGAAACGAAAGGAAACAATTCAAAAATGATGATGAGTATTTTGTCCTCTCTAATCAAGAAAAAAATTAAACCACCGCAGCAAAATTCCTCCCCTAAACTGCAACATCAGGCAACTACAGCTCCGAATGAAACCCTCTTCAGCCTATTCCCAAGATAAAAGCACGCCATTGTTGAAGCACATACCTGAAGAAGATGCTAGACTGTATTTGGCTTCCTGCTTTTCGGGCAATCGTCTTGGTCCGGAATATCTCAGGAAGCAAAACTGCGCGATTTCTAGTAGAAGCGAAAGGCGGTAACTTTGGGGTATTGTTTAGTTCCATTTTTGGTTCCACCTGTCTGTCTTGCCGTTGTCAGAATGTGACGTCACAGGTGTGGAAAAAGAAACACAAAAAAGAAACCAAAGAAGGATTGTTTTGTTGAACCCACACATCATATCCAACAGAATTTTCACATCATCATGAAGACAGTCTGGAACCTCTTTGTACTTTCACAACTTTTGATTAACGGCAGTGAAGCCTTTCAAGATGCAAAATCCTTGGGTCGAAGAAAATTTGCTCTGTTTGGAGCCAGCAACAACAACGTCGTTCTAACCCCAAGTGAGGACAAGGAAGCCTTTGATTCGCTCAAGATTGGAGCCTGCAGAGTGCACCGATACAAACGAGATGGCATTGATTCGGGAATTGATTCGGAGACAGAATACGTCATGTGGTATCATGGTCGATCAGAAGAGCAAGACAAGGACAAGACTTTGCCACCACTTTCCACAGGACGCATCGGACGTGCTACCAGTAAGAATGGGTTGTCCTGGGAGAAAGATACCAAGGGTAGTTTGGATGCAGACATGCCTGGCGTTTCTCTTGGATTGAATACAGATTCGTGGTGGGGGTTTGATACAGCTCATGTCGGACTAGGAAATGTGCTGCTGCCCATGAGCACTCCTGCCATTATCAGCGAAGGAGGAGTGTATCTCATGTATTACATGGGAGGAAGTTTTGATGAGACTCCAATCGGCGATTACACGGAAAAGGAAATGCCAGCTGATGCTACGATTCGAGGAATGAAGATGAAGATTGGGGTTGCCATCAGTCAGGATGGGACTGTTTGGGGTCGCGTGGAGGGCGACGATCCATCTGGAGCCTGCATGGTGCCTTTTGATAAGGATGATGTCCACTCTCAAGAAATGATTGATATGAAAGATGAAAAGGGTAACCCAGTGGGATTGACTGAAGAACTCTATTGCGCATGGCCCGATGTCGTGCCCAACATTGACGAGAGCAACCCTGACAACTCTGGATTCATCATGTACTACAGCACCATGACCAAGAATGACAAGGAGAAGTGCATCGGTTCCGCAGTTTCTGCTGATGGATTCCGCTGGTTCAAGCGCGAATTGGTTCTGAGACCAACCGAAGATACTATGGACGAAGGTGGCTGCGCCAGAGCTTCAGTATACCGCAACGCCAAGTATGATGAAGACTCGAGTGCATGGTCGGACGACAAGGGATACACGATGCTATACGAAGGAGTTTCCAAGGAAGATAACAAACACCGCATTATGATGGCAGAAAGTATGGATGGAAAGACATGGGCTAAGAAGGGAGTTGTTATGGATGTCGGAGACGACGAAGATGCCTTTGACTGCATGGGAGTTGGATCACCTCACATCCTTCGGTACGTCGAACTTTGCTGCGATTGTTTTTCAAAGTGATTGTAAAGCGAATGCACCGCCTAACACCTTTCTTTGTTTGCTTAGACTGGATGATGGATCACAGCGAATGTACTACACTGGTCAAGCAGCAGACGGAAGCACAGCTGTTGGGATCGCCAAGTGCGAGCTGGGATCAACCGAATGGGTTCCAGAACAAGCATCCATCGTCTTTGCTACAGCTTAGACCATTCTAGACTACCAAGAGTGGTTGGATGATACAAGTTTCAATTAGAATATTATTTCTATTTTTTTTAAAATATGTAAAATGTGAAATTTCATGGTCAAAGTCAAGTCGATCACGATTTCGACTAGAGTTGCGTGAGCATACATCTACAGCAACATCATATGTTCTCTCAAACTACCTCAGTCGCCTAATTTTTGCGTTCATCATTGCTGGGAACACCATCATTACTGGGCACGATTTCGTTTCCAAAGTCGACTGCGGCATCTCCACCGCCACCGCCGCCTCCGATGTCAACAACACCGCCGCCACCACCAACGTCGCCATCGCGATCAGGTGCCGGGTCGTCTTCGTCGTCCGGACCGCGGTCATTGCTACCCGAAGCCTTGTAGGGTTCATAATCGAGATCGACGTCCGTTCCCTTGTTGCTTCCCGATGCTGCACGGTTCGTGCCAATCGATGGTCGGTCAGATGGAGAGGATGATGGAACCTCTGTTGCTGGGACTTGATCGAAGCTGCTCTCATCAATCGGGTCATCGCCTGGATCCCCATAGTCGACACAGGGTAAAAGGTGGCGTGACGCTGGTTTCTTGCTTCCCTTTCCACTTGCTTTTCCACTTGCTTTTCCACTTGCTTTTCCACACTCCTTGTATGCTCTTGAGCCAATTCGGCCAGGTCTGCTGTAAGAAAGCCCCTCTTGTAGGATGCGCCCACCATGGCCTCCTCGTTGTTGCTTGTATGCTACATGGCGAAAATGGTTAAAGTGGAGGTCGCTTCTAGACTTTCCTTTGCTAGCGTCCGCAAGGACGATCATGGCCACGCATAGAAATGGTATCTTCATTGTTGTTGGTTGTTTGCTCAATAATATTTCTGCTTCTTTCGAAAACTGTCCTATTGTCACTTGCCAAGAATCCGGCTATTTCGTAGACAGATGAGAAGTCATGGGAGTAATTTTCTAGAACGAACAAGGCACGATTTGACTTTTTTCATTCTTCCATGGCTTCTCGAGCTTGAGTATTGGACAACGCTTGATCCCTCGATACAAAAGAATGATGTTTTGGTTATTAAATTTGAAAAATCTAAGATGCGGGATCGAATTCAATCACGCGTGATTCCAAGCACCCAATCTTGATCTATTTTCTGTAGGGCGGCTTCTGGTCGTGCTGTATCGTGCGAGACCACCATAGATAGCAAACACTCCACTCTGTACTGCACGTCCGATAGTTACCCGCACATCTATGATGTCGAGGATGAGAAGCCATTACAAAACCAAAACAACACCAAACCGTTAGATACATGTGGTGAACCAAAAGGACGATACAATATCTAAAAGACGAATTATTAATACTCCTATTTGTACAATATTCCTTTTTCCATTCTTCTCGTTGCGTTAGCAAGTCACTACTGTCGAACCTGCTGCCACGAGTGAGCGGGTGTTTGTATGGGCAAGTTTACTAGGAGTTTCCTATCAAAATTTTCGCCGAAGCATCCACAAGAGTTGTGCATCCTATCGGTCGCATCAGGAACCAACCGGCTTAGCCCACCGATTTACCCTTTTCATGAGATTAATGGATGAATGCATTCGACGAATCCATTCATGAAAACCTTAAAAGGAGTGATCTCAGTAGTTCACATGGACAATTTTCAATCCGTTGAACGAAGCATCGTCATTCGAAACATCTTGAAAAGACGTTCCTTCCGCCCTTCCCTTCATGGTCCACCGGACGAACCACCGCCAGAACCTGGATTGTGTCCTGGACCACCCGAGGACCTTCCGACCTGGAAGAAATACATAATGCCAGCTGTGGCACCACTGGCAAGGAAGGAAGAGTATATCGCTGGGTTGGATGGCATGGATGATCTTGGCATGTGCATTCGGTCCGAACCGACACCACCGCCCAGCCACATGCTAAAGTAGCCGATACCCACAGTTGCTGCTGTTACGGACATGCCTGTCCGCAGCGGTGTACCAGTAAAAAAGCCAACTGCCATGTTGCCCACAGCATTTCTAACACCATTGGTAATCGAGTCTATGCCACCGAAAATGGCCTCTCGCAGGATTTCCACATCAAGGGCATTTTCAATTGCCTCCTCTTCGGTTGAACCAGGTAAGATGGCAGCGGCAAGGTCTTGAGGTTGCAAAGGAATGTTGGCCGAACGTTCTTGAGACGAGGCGCTGGAGGAGCCTGCAGCTGGCTCTTCATTCCACGAAAAGACTCGTCCAATTGGTTGTGGTGTACCCCAGAACCGTGAAAAATCGGAACCAGTCGTTCTTTGTGTGGTTTGGGTACCATCTTCTTGTTGTCGTTGTTCTTCTTCAACCTCCTCAATCTGAGGAATTTCATCGTCGCCCAAATTACTGGCAACTTCGGCAGTGGCCAATTCCAATCGGCGTGGGACAGGGCGGGCTTCTTGTTCTACTTGTGGCACTTGCTCTGCGTATCGTTCCTCTCCCAACAAGAGTCGCATAAAGCCTGGTCCCACGAAATGCCCCAAACCTGGTCTCCTCAAGACATGCTGATGGCGAGGTACTAATCGGTTGACATAGGCATTGAGTTGTTCTTCATTCAAACCAGGGATAAGATAGAGCAAAAAGAAACCGTTTTCTTCCCAGAAATTAGGGCTGTGCACAATCTGATCGTGAAAGCTTCTGTTGACAAGCGTGTTGACAATTCCTTCGGGCAAATAGCCAGCCACTCCTCTCCTTCGGAGATCGATTGCTTCTAACCTTAGACGCTGAAAGACGCTAAAGGAAAATCCCAAAAAGAGAGACACTACAATAAAGAAAGCGACAATGACTTGTATCGGAACAAAGGCCACTGTGACGGCGGTAATGGAAGTCCCGGAAGCAATTCCCCATTGCATCATTTGTCGTTGCAACACTTGTCGTTGCTGCTCTATAGAAACGACTTCATTCACCTCTACATGTTCTTCTTCTCCATTCTGGTCATCATCTCCAGACTGTACTGAGGAAGCACAAGTTGCGTCTCCTCCAGGAGAATTCCAAGGCCCCATGTCCTTACCACCCAAACCGCCAATGGGTTTGCGAGGATCATTCGGATCCTCATCCATCTTTTGGTTCGTGTGTTATCTATCTTCAACTTTTTAAATTTCAAAAAGAAGGCACAGGCAAGGGTATTATTGCGCTATGGATAGTCGTTGGATGGCGTGTGGAGAAAGGTTCGACAAGCGCAATGTCAATCACTTCCTTTTTTTAAAAACCAGCAGAGAAGAGGAATGATGACTTTGCGTGCCCTTGTAAAAAAGCGCAACGGGTGGGTTGGTTTTGAACCTACTCGTACGAGTATAGTCAGTCTTGCCGTTGGATCGGATGAATCCAGACTGGTTCTGGAATTCTTGAGAAACATGACGATGAATCTTCATCATTTTCTTCTCCATTTGTACCATTCATTCATTATCCCGGTAGCTAGTAGTATTAATAGCACATTACAAGGACTCTACATTATTTCTAGGCTTTTCATGGATGGCGTATAATATAATAATAGATGGGTATCATAATAGTCCTACATGGGACTAGGACTAAATTCGAAATACATGTAAATAAGATAATGATTACAGTATTGTACTATTTATTAGTACTTTGTAATCATCACGGTAGTATCCGGCAGGCTACTAGCAACAAGAAGGAAAAAAAATCAGTAAATATTTCCTGAATTGTATTGCTGCTGCTGCTGCTGCTTAAGCAACCATCTTGGGTGTACCCTTGTCGTCCAAGCGGAAGTACATTCCCTCGGCTTCCGCGACAGCGTTCATTTTCATAATCATGTTGGCACGGGCTTCCTTTTGCTCGGATCCATCGTCAGCCTTCTTGGCAGCAGCACTCTTGTCGCTAAAGAACTTGACAAAAGCTCCTTGCACGGGGTCACCTCCAGCCATGGCCTTTCCAGTGGTCAACTTGGACATGGCATTGTCCAAGGCAGCCTTCTTCAAGGCCTTGTCGTCCAAAAACTTGGCAGTGACGGCATCAGTGGCTTCGACCATCAAGGCGGTCTTGGCCTTATCGTATGCATTGGCTTCTTCTGCGGCGATAACGGTCAACATCTTCTCGACTTGTGCCTTGAGGACATGCTTGGGCTTGATCGCTCCGGCAGCATTGAGCTTCTCGTAGGATTGTCCGGTCAATTCCAAGATATCTTGGTAATCCTGAACAATATTTTCGGTAAGCTTCATGTAAGCCAAGTTTTCTTCCATCTTGGCAATGATCTCATCTTCCGCTTCGTGTTGAAGTGCAAGCATGGCATCACCTTCGTCCTTGAACATCTTGGCAATGGCATCTCCTCCTTGGGTGTAAGCGACAACGCAGAACATAACGAAGGTAGAGGCGAGCTATAGGAGGTAGCAACAATAGGAGAAATATGTTGTGAGAAAACAATGGTAAAGAGTAAATGAACATCCAAATGTATCAAGATAGATCACGGTAGCAGTCGGATTTATCCAACCCACTTCCCAATCTCCAACCCAAACGAAAAACAGACATTTTTGTATAGCACTACTCACCAAAGTCTCTTCGTTGACCAAGAACCAGTTGAATTCCAAGATTGGAACTCCAAAGGCAACACCGGCAGGAATGGCGTACAAGTGAGACAATCCAGTTCCCATGAATCCACCCTTATCGGCTACTTCCGAAGAAGTTTCTTCCTTTGCTTCCTCCTCGCGACGAGCCGAGTAGTGAAAGCTAGCATTGCTCAATTTGGGTGCGTGGGCACTGTGCAATACAATAGATTAAAAAAGAGTATAGAAAGAAGTTCACCCAAAAGTGCAAAAGGGACAAAATTGTGTGAGATTCGAGTTTTTCGTCATCAAAACCCAACAATAGCAAGATCCACAGTCATCCCCCCGTCTATCCAAGGACATAAATCCAAATGTAACCCCAGGCTAATTTTCTTTCCAATGGATCTCATGGCAGTTTCCATCTTCCACTTTTTCCTCTCCATAGTCATAATGTGCTTGTTGCATTAATCGTCGGGGTCGAACCTGCCGACAATTGATACGTAGAAATCGTACCGAGATCTACGTCACGGAAGTGCGAAATCGCCAATGGATCCATCGATGGGGAGAAGGAAAGATGCCATGGAGCCAATTGAAATTTTGTAGCTATGACTGTCGACACCATCATTCCGTCAAAATTGCTACATACCCTGACCGAGCGAAGGCTCTCTTGCCTAGCGTTGAAGAAGCTGCTCTCAACATCTCTTTCTTGGGAGTTGAATGTTGCCGACCAAGAGGATGACGACGGACGAGAAGGTCCAACAAGCTTTGGGCAATGGACAGACGTTGTACGCGAATTTACGTATCGTTCTGACGTCAACAGGGAATCAAAAGTCGAATCGTCCGACTAACCTTTGGAACGGCTCCCGGCATCGTTGTGGATCCGCGGCACGACCTACAACAGTGCAAATATCTTGTTTGTCATTTTGCATCCTTTTAAGAGAGACATCAAACTAACACCAGGGAAGGTTTTGTCCAATTATCACATCGGAAATTGCTAGATTGCTGGGTCTTGAGCTACGCATAGCAAGCCTTTCATCTGTTTGAATAATTGGCTGGAAACTAAAAATCAATCTTCTTCCGGCAGATTCAACGCTGAAAGCAAGATTCAATCTTCCATTTTTGGGTAGCATTTGCAATTGTCCATGGACGGCTCGGGCCAATATGGAAACGCCATGGGCGGAACTCCCGGTGATACACCACTAACTATGCAGCAAAGCAACATGCCTGGAACTCCTAACGCCGGAGGATATTCATCGAATGCTCTGCAAGGAAATATGGGAGGACAATCCATTTATTCTATCAATGGCGGAGGAACAGGACCACCTCCATCTTCTCCGTATCCCACCAGTGGTAGCATTACACAGTTTGCATCACCGCAACTGCCAGCATCGTCTTCGGCCTACGACTTTAGTCCACCACCAAATCCTGCAGCGGTTGCTGCAAATGCGAATATGTCGTTTACCGAACGGGCCGCCTTGTTGCAGAAACAACAGCAACCGCAACCCCAGCCGCAATCAGTATTTGCTCAAACAACTCCCACTACTCCTGGTGGCTTGTTTCCACAATCTCAGCAGGCTAACTTGTACGGTCGTCAAGCGCCGCAACCACCACAAAATAGTGGAATGTCCTTTGCGCAACGATCCTCAACGATGCAACAACAGGAAAAGCAAAACATGTCACCGTATGCTCCGGGCGTAGTTGCTCAGCAGCAGCAACAGCGCCCACAATATGGACCACCCGGTGGAATGCAGCAGGGAAATATGGTGTCACCTCAAAACCAGCAACAAATGGCAGCGAATCAGTACCGACCAACACCACCACAAGCCAACAACAATGGCATGTCGTTTGCGCAGCGGTCCGCCATGATGCAGCAACCACCGTCAAACCAATATGGTGGGGGTATGCAAGGTCAACAACAAACGCAGCAACCACAGCAGCAACAAGGCATGTACGGAGGAGGAATGCAGCAACCGAACTATGGCGGAGGAATGCAAGGTCAACAACAACAACAATCCATGTCTCCCAATCAATATGGTGCTGGTAGCATGCAACAGGAACCCCCTCAACAGCAACAATTCCAACAACATACACAGGTCCAAATGCCACCATCATCCAACCAATATAATCCTGGAATGCAACAGCAGCAACCACCTCAACAACAACCGCAATATGGTATTCCCGGACAGCAGCAACAGATTGCTGGTGGCTCTTATGCCCAACGTTCGGTCTCGGCTCAGCCAGGTATGGGACAACCCCAAATGCAACAAAGTGCAATGGGCGCTTCGATGAGTGGCAGCATGATGCAACAGCCTCAGCAACCTCAAATGATGGGTGCTCAACAACAGCCACAAATGGGAGGTCCTGCCTATGCGGTCAATAGCTTTCAAGGGCAACCACAATATGGACAAGTACTACTACAACAGCCACCAGCGGTACCCCACAATCCATGGGAGGACCCACCCGAAGTTCAGGCCCAGCAACAACGCTTGCTAAGCGATGCCACTCGCAAGGTCCAGGAACATGCTTACTACATGAAGCAAGCCATGGAACGCAATGACCTTCCAGCTGTTTTGGACCGAGCTGGAATGATGGTGGGTGAACTGGGCGAACATGCCCATGCTCATCATCACCATCGGTCGCATCCACCAGCGCCAGGAGCTACTGGATCGACTACAGCACTATCTCCCAAGAATTATTACGAATTGCATCTAAGGGCTCTGGAAGAAATGCCCACCCTGGAAGATTATCTACTGAATTTGGTCCAACCAACTGGTGTGGCCATGGCAGCTTCGCCTGGGCTTAAGCCGCCGCCAGGAGCTCCTCCGATGGCACCTCCACCGCCACCACCGTCGCCTTCTTCTTTCACCATGAAGGAATTGTATGACTCTGTCCAATTCTGTCCCAATGTATTGAGTCGATTGTATTTGCAAATTTGTGCCGGCAGTGCCTTGATTCGATCCAGAGAAGTGGGTGCCAAGTGGGTCATGAAGGATCTGATCGAGGCGGTCAAGTGCGTACAAAATCCAGTCCGCGGATTGTTCTTGCGACATTACTTGTTGCAGGTGTTCAAGGACAAGTTGCCGGACGAACCCATTCCCTTGAGCCAAATTGGTCAACCGATGTCTCCCTTGGTCCAGCAACAAGAAGAACCTGCCGAAGCACAAGCCCAAGACCCCAATCAAGCTGCTTTTGGTGCTCCTACTATGGCAGTCAATGTCGAAAATTTGGAAAAGGGCACTGTCAAGGATTCGTACCGATTCATTCTGGCCAACTTTATTGAAATGAACAAATTGTGGGTCCGAATCCAACGCTTGCCTGGAGATGGTCGTTCCAAGGACGTGAGACGTCGTCGTGAACGTGAGCGCAACGATTTGCGTGTCTTGGTGGGAACCAACATGGTCCGGTTGTCGGCTTTGGATTCGGTCACTTCGTCCATTTATGGGCAAGTGATTTTGCCTACGGTCTTGGATCACATTGTCATTTCGGCTGATCCACTGGCACAGGCCTATTTGATTGATTGCATCACTCAAGTCTTTCCCGATGAATATCATATTGAAACAATGCCCATCTTGCTGGGTGTCTGTCCCAAGTTACGTGACAAGGTCAATGTTCGCACCATCCTTCAAGCTTTGATGGATCGATTGGCCAATTATTTGGCCGACGAGGAGTTATTGGACGAGAAGGACTCGAATCAAGTCAAACAGTCCTTGGCCAAGGATTCGTACCGAATGTTTGATGATTGTGTACAAAGGGTTTACAATGCACGTGGCCCCAAACTGCAAGCGAAGGAAGTCATTCGATTGCAAACTTGTCTGTTGTCATATTCCAAGAAATGCTACGAGGGCAATCAAGATCAAGTGGTGCTTTGTATGAATCACTGTGTGGTGGCCTTGCAACAAGCCAGTGCCAATCAGGCCTTGTTGCAAGACTATCAAGGCAATCAGCACATGCCGCAACAGGCACCACCAAGAGTTCCAATGGATCCGGTGGCGACCAAGGAATTGGAAAAGTTTTTGAGTGTTCCATTGGACGATATGGGGTTGGGAGTCTTGAATCTTGAGCACTACACCGATTTGATTGCCTTTTTGCCGTGGGCCAATCGCCGTCAAGTCGCGCTGACGCTGCTCGAAGCAATTAACAAGAAGGGGACTCCACCAGAGAGCATGAAGGAATTGGAAGCCTTGTTCACCGTCATTGCACCAGTTCTGAGAAATGAGGGAGATCCGATTCCATCTTCTGGAGTTGCTGACGATGAAAGTGTGGACCGTACTGCCAACCTCATGGCTGACCTTGGAGTTAGTTCCAACAGTAGTGCTTCATATGGCCAGCAAGGTTACCCAAATGCCCAAGGCATGGCCTATGCTCCAGACTCGCCAGAGGACGCTGCTACCGTTTCCAAGTTGATTCTTTTGTTGGACCATCCCGATACAGATGTTGTCTACCAATATCTGTCAGTAGCGCGTAACCATTTGAGCTCGGGACGTGCCAATGCGTCACCCTACAAAGCTTTGGTATGTGCTAGCTTGAAGCTTGCCAACCGCATTTTCGACGAGCAAAATCCTGCTCTTGTCACGAAAGAAGAAGAAAGGAAGGTCGAGGAAGAAGTAAAGGAAGAGGAATCGATGAGTGAGCCTGCTGCCAATGAGGGAGCAAAGGAAGACGAATCGAGCGGAGAGCCTGCTGCCAAGGAGGAAGCAAAGGAAGACGAATCAAGCAGCGAGTCTGCTGCCAATGAGGCAACAAAGGAAGACGAATCAAGCAGTGAGCCTGGTGCCAATGAGGCAACAAAGGACGACGAATCGAGCAGTGAGCCTGATTCCAAGGAAGAAGAAAACAAGGGCAAGAAAGAGGCGAAGGAAGATTTCAAGGAAGAAGAAAGTACTGAGGAGGACAAGAAGAACGACGATTCTGCCGAAGACAAGAAAGATGAAGCCGAAGCGGAAAAGCCAGAATCTGCAAAAGAGGAACCAGCGCCGGCAAAAGAAAAAGTCATCAGGTATGTATCTACACACGGACGAGTATCAAGCTCCCTCATTCTTCTGACACAATTTCTTCATTTTCATCTTCAGTTGCCGCAAAGCATTGCTCTTCACACAACAGACCATTGCTATCATCGCTCAGCGAAAGCTTGAGACTGGTATGAAATTGTATCTCGACGCTGCTTTAGTAGCCGACCAGTTGGGACGAATCGGTGACAAGGCGGAGTACTCACCTATTGTTCACGAATTCTTCTCACAAGCATTTGCCTTGTACGAAGGCAATCCAGTGGACTACCGGATTCAGTGTCGATGCATCATTGCCATGATTGGCAAGCTCGTCGAAGTCAGATGTCTAGGAAAGAACGAATATGAGAGCCTAATCATGAAGGTGGCTCAATTCGGTGCAAAGGTACAGAACAAGCCTCAACAGTGCGAAATGGTGGCCATGTGCGCATACCTATTCTATGTTGCCGAAGAAGACGGAAGTGTCATTTACGAAAATCCACAACGTGCACTAGAATGTTTGCAACGAGGACTGAAGCTAGCAGACTCCTGTACGACAGCTGATGCGTCGAATCTCGGTCTTTTTGTAGACCTGTTGGAGCACTACCTATATTTCTTTGTCAAGAAATGCCCGACCATTAATGGCAACTACATTTCGGGACTTGCTGCTCTCATTAAAGAGCACACCAACAATTTGGGTCATATGGGAGGTCCTGTTGCGGCAGCACGAGAGCACTTCACACTGCTCATTCGTCACATCAAGTTGATGAAGGACAGTACTGAATCTGCCGAGCAATTTGCTGCAATCGACGTGAGCAGCATAAATACCTAGAATTCGTGTAACTCTAGAGTATAGTGAAGTTCGTCACTTTAGTGTTCTCGTTTGAAAATTCTCATGTCGAAGTGCATTTGTTGTATAGCACACGTTATTGTTACGATTCACTCCCAAACGTGACGGGTTTGAAAACGAGAACAATGAAAGGAGTGGTCCAGTGGGCCGGTATCTTTTGTATTTTTGTTCTTGGTTCGGAACGAAAACTCGAAATAGCGCACTATTGACACGTTTCCTAGCTCCAAGTTTCAGAAGTGGTACACGTTTCAATTCTACGTATTTGTGTACCAAGCCCTACGGCGATGTCATGAAAATTCTCGTTTTGACACCAGAACGTTCGATTCCAGCAGCATTTTGCCTACGTATCAATTCAACTTGTTCTGCTCAAAAAACAAAACGAAACGAGGTTGAGACTTGTATCAACACCACGTTTCCTATTGTATTGAAACATTCCCCCCACCACAAGCCCAAAGGCACACGATCTAATATTAAAACAGAAGCTACCAAGATGTGTTTGTACACCGTCAACCTACTCGAATAAATTCGAGGCCAGAGTTGAGTAAGTAAACAAAAGATGAACATTGACGATGGTACGCAACCTCTTGAGCAACATGAAAAGAATGACATCAAGAGAAAGATCGAGCACGAGCTCTCCTATTTACCCATCGACTGGGATTCAGTGAATTCCCAACTGAAAAGCCTTGAGCCTTCGACAGCCCAGTGGGCATCCAAGGAAGATGATCCAATGGGTCGACTACTTCTTGGTCAAGTCTTGTCCAATCAAGCTCCCCTGAATGTGGTCGAAACTGTACTCACAGTCTTTCCTGACTGCTTGATCTACAACCCTCCAGCGTTCTTTATGGCTTGTCGACACTACAAAACCAATCAAAATGTCCTCGTCACTATGGTAAAGCATTCGCTATCACGCCCTGACTCGAGCGACTCCGAATGTCCATTCCCATGGATCCTATCCGATCTAGTAACGGTCTCTGCCGCCCAAGCAATACTGGAAATCTATCCCCAAGGCGTATTAGAACCATCGCCGATGTTGCCAGGAAAGACGACTCTTTTGGACTACCTTGTACGTTCTTCCGAACTACAAAAGCATCAAGTCAACAGCAATCTGTGGACCAAGTTCAAGCTGATCCTAGTGTCAGCCGAATGTTGCCAAAAGGGGAACTGTGCTGCTTGCAAAAACAATGGAGTCCTTACTCCAGCGCATGTCTTACTGAAGCGAATCATGTCGTACCCAGGTATGTATCATCTATTATGGAAGAACGATAAATTTCGATTCCATGGTATCTAAGCTTCACTTGTCGTTGTCCTTCTCAATCACAGACTTTTTCGACAATGTGTCTGTGGCTCGCAATATCATATGGCTGTTAAATCAGCTAGCATTCGCAGATGCTTGGATATTCCAAAAGGCCGACCACAAGGGTATCTACCCCCTTCATGTTTTGTTACGCCAATTGTGCACACCTCAACATCATACGGGAAGGGTGATTGCCCGGGAACTAGTCAAGACAGTATTGCAAGTCCATCCACAATCTGCTAGATGTGCTTTGGAGCAAAGATTGCCCATTCACTGGGCAGTGGATCACAATTGGCCTTGCCACGATTTGCTGCTGGCAGTCTATCCAGAAGCACTGGATGCACAAGACTCGACATCGGAACTTTATCCGTTTCAAATTGCAGCGGCTTCCAAACGAACAACAAGTACATCCTATCAGCAAACTACAAATGTCTCTTCTGTATCCGCATTGGACATTACCTTTGAATTGCTTCGTGCCAATCCCACTCATGTGCAGCCAATGCCTTCCAAATATGCTGGAATCCGAGCCGAAGCCTGATGATTGCTGGACCACTTTTTTTCCCTTCCCAATGCTATACTGTCATACATATGCTTACATTATTGTATTGTTTGTACAGGAGGTACTTATATATACTTCTATACTTTAACCGCAACTATTACAGGAAACCAGTGTTGCTGCTATTACTGCTGCTGTATTTTTAGAGACTCGACAACGGTATCTGCATGGCTCCTGCCGCGCCACCATCCACATTGAGAATGACACCTGTACACCATGATCCTGCTCTAGAAGAAAAGTAAATGCAGGCACCCGCCATGTCATCTGCATTGCCCATTCTTCCCAAAGGTGTGGCGTTGGCAATGTCTTCTGGTTTGCCACCTGTGGTGGTATTTGATGAGCATAAACATGGTTAGCTCAAGAAAATCATTTCATACAGTCATGCATTGATTAATTCAATTGCTTACCCCATGTACCAAGTCCAGCCGACATTCTTGATGGAACAAATCCTGGTGCCACACAGTTTACTATGATAATAATAGTGTCAGCGAGCGATGAGTGAAAATTAGAAATAGTTAGTGATACATTCAATCCATCACCTCGTTTCAAATACTTCCAAACAACAAAATCATCAACAATCTACAGTACCTACCAGTAATATGTTTTGGCGCCAAATCTGCTGCAAATTTCTTGGTCAAGTTATGAACTGCCGCCTTGGAGGCATCATAGGCATGCGTCGGTGCCTCTTGTGGCATCAAGCCCACCACACTGCCAATGTTAATGATCCTGGATGGATCTTCTGAAGTGGCCCCATTTTCCAAAAGGGGCAAACAAGCTCTTGTCAAATAAAAGACACCCTTGACGTTCAAATCAAAGACTTTGTCAAATCCCCAATTGGCTTTTCCCGATTTCCGTTCCAATGGTTCTCCCCAACTAGTCCCGGCATTATTAATGAGAACATCCAGTCGATTATCAAACATTTGGGCGACTTGTTCGGCCAAGGCTTCGCATCCTTCTCTGGAGCTGACATTGGACGCCACATAACGACTTCCCGGGATTGCTGCAGAGGTTTCCCGACTGGCTTCTTCGCTGCGGGACGTGAGTAGCACATTGGCGCCCGCCTCTTGAAAGCCCTTGGCAATCATGGCACCAATTCCACGAGATCCACCTGTAATCAAAACATTCTTGCCAGCAACGGAAAATAGAGTGGGAGAGGCCATGACTAATGAATGAATAATATGTGAGTTTGAAGTTGAGCAGGTATGGGATTAGCTACTGTACCGGTATGTTTCTTTGAAGATGGATTTCAGATTTCGATTGAGGTAGATTTCAGATGGACTAAATTAGCTCTAAAATGATGGCCATCATCATTCATTCGTGAAAGAAATTAACTGTCAACCATCACAGGACGATGAAGGTGTTCGTTTCCCCATTGGTCTGTCACTTGACACTTTTTCCAACGTCACCCTTGTTTGGCGTGTCACCATCACCAAGAACACCATCAACACCATTTCCAATCGTCACAACACCGTCTAGAAGAAGCAACACTCGGCTCTTCATGGGTGACATTTTTTCCAGCAATGGTGATGATGCAACTCCGCGGCCCACGTCGCCAACCGACCAAAATAATTCAAACTCAAATTCTGCTTCTGCTGATTCCTCAAATACGAATATGAATTCAGTCCCATTATCCCAATTGTTGCCTCCTTTGAAAGCCAACAGTCGTCGAATCTACTTGATTCGTCATGGGGAAACCGATTGGAATAAGGAAGGAAAGATCCAAGGAGGAGGCTATGACATTCCCTTGAATGCCAATGGCCAATCGCAGGCCAAAGCCGTTGCAAAAGCTTTGCAAGAGATTCCTTTGACGGTGATTCTGTCTTCCACACTGAGTCGTGCCAAAGAAACGGCCGACATTCTATGGCAAGAGCATCCCAACTGTCAAAGGGAACTCGATGGTGGACTGAAGGAAATGGGGTTTGGCGAGTTTGAAGGCTTGGCCATTCACAGTCCGGAGCTGCCAGAAGAAACTAAGGCTAGATTCAAGACGATTGGTCGCCAAGTCAATGGAAATCCAGAGATGCGGTTTCCGGGAGGAGGAGAATCTTCCAACATGGTCCAAGAAAGAGCTTGCAAGGCCATTGACACAGTGTTGCAAAAGTACCCATCCGCAACGGATCATCCACACATTGCCGTGGTGTCACATGGCCGCACCAATAAAGTACTGATTGCTTCGATTGTCTATGGAGATGTCCAAAAGTTTCCAACCATTAAACAAAAGAACACCGCCATTAATGTGTTGGATGTGGACGAGGACGGGAATTGGGATATTCGTGTATTGGATTACATTGATCATGTCAAGGACAATGTCATAATACGGTAGATAGATGATAGTACACTGACAGCATGAATGGATGAATGGATGTCGAGAAAAGGATGTTGCGGAAGAAGAAATCAGCAAGTCAGGTATCACATCATGGCAACAATACTGCCGATGTATGTACTTGGGACTGAGAACTTTGAAGAATCAATCTTTCCGTCGCATGCATGAATGGACTTTCTCCAAGAATCTACTACTACATCGCATGGCTGCTGCTGCTGCTTTCCTAGACTATTCTTCTTCCATTCAAGCGTTTTGACCTTGATCGCATTCGCAAAAGTTCCATCCAAGTCTTGCTACGAAAACGTTGAAGACCTTTCCATGGTATGGACCTTATCCATAAAACGAAGTGTCTTGAAACGTGGTCAAGCCCAGCGGGTGGATATTGTGATCATGCTAACTTTCCGTGCTGACGACTCACCCAGTCCATTGAACTTGAATCATCATCTTGTGACAAAATGAAATCTGCTAGCTACACGACATCGCATGGCTGCAAAGCTGCTTTCCTATGCTAATATTTCTATCCAGGCGTTTTGACCTTGATCACCTTGTCGAAAGAATTCCATCCCAAGTCTTGCTATGGTTTACTCTCGCTCTGCTTCGATACTACCCTGTACCGTACAGTACCTGTCCTTTCTGATCATGACATGATTGTTCTTTCCTACTACACTCACTGGTGTTATTCATTCCTGCAAAAGCGTTTGATACTTTCCAATGGGTTCGATGCATTACTTCACAATCAATACATTACTACCTTCGTGGTGGCAACCAACACATCACCGGCGGTGACATTTTTGTCCGAACTTCGGAGTCTTCTCATTGTCACGGTTGTACCAATCAGATCACCGCAAAGCTGAGTTGACATCTGTCACCCACCGGTCAAAAACGCAGTTCCGACTTCTGCCAGACGGTTTTTCGGCTCACCACCGTTGACTACGGTCCGATCAAGGCTACAAAAGTCGCAGATCAAGAATTCACGGACTGAAAATCATCCGATGCATGACGCGACGACTTTTTCGCCACCAACCTTTTGGACCTTTTCACCTTTTGACTTGTTGGACCCGCAAAAGTTCCTGGAATTTAGGCTATTTCTGCGCTGGACGAATGGAAAGAACAAATGATCCTGACGTGGTGCTTGTAACACATGTGTTTTGTTACCAACCTAAGCCTATCACAATGATTGCCTTTTTCTTCCATCGTTGGGAAAGACTGGAAACGCAAATCTGGTATGTTGATACTCGTCCACAAATCATTCTTGCAGCGCTTGACACGTTTTTGGACCTCTGATCCGAAACAATATTGAGAAAGCCCAGAAGTTTGCTATCATTTATCATTCTTTCACTGTCCTAAAGATCTCATCTCAGTCTTGATTGATTGACATTCCATATCCTTTCATATCTCATTCTTTCACACCCACATCACTTCAACTTGCACACTTCCACTTTCAAATCACACACAGAATCATTACAATGAAGCTATTTACTCTTCTCCAAAAGGCAACCGTCTCCCAAAGACTGAATGGCATGACCAAACTGTCCAAGGCCTCTTATTCCACTTCATTGTATCCATCTTCTACAGCCAAATTCTCCTCGGCTGCGATGGACTACTCCTATACGGATAGTGATTCTGAAGATGAGGACTTTCCACGAATTTCGGCTCTTCTTCCTCCATTGGCTGCCAACAGTCGCCGTGTCTATTTGCTACGACATGGTGAGACTGACTGGAACAAGCAAGGAAAGATCCAAGGTGGTGGCTTTGACATTCCCCTCAATGAAAATGGCCGCAATCAAGCACGCGCTGCGGCTCGCGCCATGGAAGACATTCCAGTCTCACTGATTGCTTCCTCTCCTCTCAGCCGGGCGTCCGAAACGGCCGATATGCTCACCCATGGCCGAAATGGCTACTACGAACGAGTTCTTGTGCCCGGGCTTAGGGAGATGAGCTTCGGAGAATTTGAAGGGTTTCCTCGCCGCAGACCAGGTGTCTGTCCCGATCTCAAGGCAAGATACGAACGGATAGACAGTGCCTGCAATGCGGATCCCACTTTGGCCTTTCCGGGAGGCGAATCAGCCGCCATTGTAGCAGCTCGCGCCAAGGCTGCCTTTTTCGAAATGTTGGATCAATTCTCGCATCATCAACATATTGCCTTGGTCTGCCATTCTCGATTGAACCGGATTCTCATCTCGGAGGCATTTTTGAATGATGTTGCACAATTTCCTAATGTGGAACAAGGAAATTCGTGTATTAATGCGATTGATATTCATGATAATGGATCCACGGATATCAAAATGTTGAATTTCATTGAGCATGTCAAGGGGACGTTGGCTCCTGACTCGAATGTATAAAAGTGGAACGAGTGTTTTTCTTAACGTGTACAAACAGCACCCACGCAGGCACACATGCACACACAAACACCATGAATCATTCATAATCAGAGCAACAACAGTACTACTTGCGTGTAAATATGTGAGACTCTTGATGATGATGATATGATGATAACTCAAAAACACAAAATGATGTAATTTAGATGACAATATTATTGCCTATTTATCCTTGTGATAGATTTTATACTTGTATGATTGAAGACTATGGAATACTGAACAATCGGAGTTTAGTAGTAGTATCTTCTTGTCTATCAACGAGCCTCACTGCCATGAATGAATGAACGGCATCAGGAGCTGGGAGGATACACATGGCGATGCATGTGATATCCATCCAGCTCCGTCATTTACGGACGCTTGTTGTGGTTGGACTTTCAGATATTATTGGGAACCTCATGTTGATGCATGCACAGCCACGTAGTACTATTCTCAGCAGCTGCTGCTTCTTATAGTTCCCCAGCATCTGTGACACCTCCTCCCTTGCGAACAGTTTCCAAAGCAGCCAATAGCTCATCCTCGTCAAAAGGAGTTCCAGTTTGCTCGGGAACCATGAATTGGGGGCTTCCGTCCTTTCCAAATATAATCAATCCGCCACTCTTGAGGCCTTCTCCTTTCAGGTTGCCTTCAATCTTCTTTTCCTTCAGGCGGCTCATGTGGCGGCGCAATGCCGAAATGGCTTTGAAGGGATTGTACAAGACGTGCTCGGTAATGGATCTATTTCCAAGGGCTTCGTAAAACTTTAGTGACTCATCCCTGTAGAGGGGAAATGGAAAGAATTCCTTGTGGAACTCTTCCAAACCAGCGTCATCCTGTATTATCCATTGGCGGAACAATTATAAAAAAGTTTAGCAGTTGAGAAAACGATATGATTGCATATAGATCCAACAACAACCATGCAACTATACAATTGCTACTACGATACGTACCACACCAGTTTCCTTGACGATTCCAAACAAGTCAAACCCATCAAAAGGCTTGCCTTCTTTTGCCGCGAGATTGGTCAATTGCTGACCCTCCTCGCGGCAGTACACTCACCCGGGGCGACGGACCACAAAGGCAATGGAGCCGTGTGGGCCTGTATGTTTTTGGATAACCTCGTTGGCCTTTTGTTCGGCCAACAGTTGAATTCCAACATTGAAATCGACAGGAGTCAGAGGAACCTCATTCCAATGAAAGCCTTTCATCACACTGGTCAATTTCATGCTTTCGGGAACGACAGTGGCACCAACGGCACAAGCAGCCGAGGCGCAAACAGCGCCAGTAGCCGCGGCCTTGGACTTTTTGCTAAGTATTCCCATTACCGACGTAATGGTGGCTGGTAGATGATTGATTCTTCAACAAGGAAAAAAACGCCTACTGTATGATCTTGAAAAGAATACGACCTACTGTATATGAGGTGTGAAATCAATCATGTCGAAACCACGCGACCTCAATTTTCCATTTTTGGCGCTCACGTCGATCGAACGAAGAATGCAAATGATCAATCAACCAATCGAATGAATCCTGACTCATCGTAGTCCGTACCTCGTCCGCGACGTTACCGGAGGGAAATTCTGGATACAGTTTGGAAGAATTCTGATTTTCCGTCGGAACCATGGAACTTTTGCAACAGAAGAAAATGGTCAGAAGAATATGGTCATTGTTCCATACCGGTATATGTTCTAAAAAACATCCTTTTCGGATGGCAACCATTGATGAGCGCGAGCAGGGACACAAGTCGAATAGTAGGATTGCACGAAGTCACATTTTTTCACTAGAGTAGCCTACTACGACTAGTTTACAGCTTTGTTAGTCAGACTTAAGTTTCTTCTTTTGAGGTTGGGTAAGAGCAATCAAAGCAGGGCTGAACAAGATAATAATGGGTTCTACCGTCCAGCAGAAGTCACCAGCAAAGTTCCCCGTCCAATCCGCATCTTCGTTGCCATAGAACAACTTGGAAAACTGAATAAGAAATGGCTGGTGTTCTTCCACATCGAAATAAAAGGTGACAGGGGCCATCAAGTCTAAGTAGGAGAGTGGGGAAGAGAAATATAGAATATAAGGAGGAGGATTCCATTGTTGAACATTTGTCACGTTGACAAACGATACTTACATCCATAGAAAGCAACAAAGTTCAATACGAAATAGATGAATTCACGGTATCCCTCCATTCTGTATGTGTGAATAGATTTTTCCAACTTTTCTTCAGCTTTAGCAAATGCTGCTCTGCTTTGTTTGGCTTCCTTTTCTTCTTTCTTCATATCTTTGTCGGATGGGAACCAAGTATCCAATTGCTTCTGGACGGCTTCGATTTCCTTGGCAAGATTCTTTTCTTCTTCCAACTTGTCCTCGCTTGAGAACATGGAGATTCCACCATCCCAGAAGGGAACCCAGGTCGTCATGGACTCGAAGGTGACAACTCCTACAGAAGAACGCGCCAACTTTTCTTGCTGAATAGTATCGATCAGTGTCTTCGCTTTCTTGGATTTGTTTAAAGTCTCCAGTCCGTCCACAATCATAAAGTACAAAAGGGGAAGCAAACAGATTTCCATGATTTCCAACGCATGGATCAAGGCCGGCAAACCACCGAACCAATCAACTTCAGTAACATGCCAACTATTGATAACGAGCCACCAGAAACAGATTCCAATAGGTGCAACCAAAGCCCCAATGAATGCACCTCGCAACGCCATTCTTCCTTCCTTCATGAGCGATTCGTTGACGATGCGATCGGCATGTGTGAAATTCTTGGAAGGGTTGGACATTCGCATCTCCACTAGTCGGACAATCCGTCTCAACTTCCCAACCGAAGAATTCAACAACTCCATTCCTTGTCTCGTGTTTGAAATGCAAGCATATAGCTGTGTTGTCGAAATTACAACTTCCAGGGGAGTGGTCTTGTTCAATGGATCCATCAGGTATCCCAAAGCCTCATTTGTGTAGGTTGCATCGTGAATGAAAGAGGACTCGAATAAGTGAAGATCTTTCACGCAGCAAAGGGCGTTACGGACGAATTGCACAATAGCATCCATGGTGTATTAGCTTTTATGTCGTTGGATGTCGATAGTTGCAGCTTCTTTCGTCGTTGAACTTTCACGGTTGAAATAAATCACTCCTGTACGTCGTCCGGCTCATTATTCTGGTTCCGGTACTGTAGTTGGATCATGAGGAGTTTGATGGTACCGGTATCATTGAGGTTTCATGAATGGTTTTACTGATAATGTTTTGAGTATGATACATGTACAATTATTATTTTCTTTTAAAGGTCATTCTTCATTTCTGCATCGAAATTTTTGCGAGCTTCTATCTGTTGCGTCAGATACTGCAAGGCATGGAAGGAACGAGATTGAATCCGTGTCAAGTCCTCCATTTGTTGTTCCAACGAGTCCAGTTGTGCTCGAATCTCTAATCCTTGCGAGTTGCTATCCAAGTCCGAATCCTCATCGTAGTTTCCTTCCAGTTTTGCTTTCTCGTCCGAACCCAATGCAGAAATGGCGTCACAAATAACGGCAATAATCAAGTTCACAACAACAAATCCAGAAATAATGACATATGCAATGATGGGAATCCATGCCCAATAATGAACGGCCATCACTTCTCGGCATATCCCACCCCACCCATCTAAAGTCATCATCTGAAAGAGAGTTAACAACGTCGCGAACATGTTCCCAAAATAATCAAATTCTGTATGGCCGTCTACATGTAGATCCTTGAACAACTGCGTGCACATGACCGCAAAGATGTAAAGAATCAGACACAACATCAGACCAATCGCTGCCATTCTTGGCATTACACTGAATAGAGCTGAAACGAAAGGAAAAAAAGAGAGGGTGTTAGTTGTTGCTTGCGCTCCAATCTATCACTCCACTGGGTACCCAACAGCAATAGCTTACCCAAAAGAAGATTCTTCATAATCTTGATTCGCGTAACCAGCCGCAGGGCACGGAAGATCCGAAATGCCCGAATGATTTGAACCGAAGCGAAGGACCAACTTGTTATGATGATAATCAGATCGAAGAGTAACCAGCCATCAAGCGGCAATCTCCAACCGAGGTAGATAAACTGAAGGCAAAGTTCCACCGTGAAAATAATCAAAAAGATTTCATCCACCATTTCAAAAATTCTGTCCACTTCTGGATTCTTCTTGACAATATCATACGTCGCAATTCCCATCATGATCGCATTGACCACAATTAGGACGACGATCAGGACTTGTACACGACTATTGTTCACAAGCATCCCCACATTGAACCGTATCGTATTCACTGAATCCAATATTTCCCTTGACCAAGAACGGTTTGTCGCGTCAAAGTCATTCATGGACCAATCAATCGGCTGATCGCTATCCGAGTCTTTATCATTGGTTTCACCGCTGTCTCCTTCGGTCTGCACGGTCACAATCATTCCAGATCGCGATTTTGTTTTCAGCAGCGTGTCCTCCAGTTCCGAAGGCTTCACTTCAACAGAACTGTTGGGCTCGTCTTCTTTATCCGCGTCTCCGTTCATTGTAGTGTAGGAAATGTAATTGTATATTATAGAAAAAAGATAAAGACTGTATGTATATAGCAAGTGAAAGAGGAGGATACAACGGCTGTTGAAATGAAGGAAGTTGAGTTCATCTTTGGGGCATTTCGATTTTTAGCTGCCACTACCGAGCGTGCGTGGGACGTACGTGCATGGCAGTTGGCGAATGTTGAGCTCGACCCGCACGACCACCGCTGTATCGGCAATCGCAGGTACTGAACAACTATTGTACTACCTGATCTTACAGTATTGCCTCTACTGTAATTTGATTATATCCACAATACCCAAGGCCAAGGCAAAACGACTAAAAGCTGCATAAAAAGAATTGAATAGTTTACATGTTGTTACTAGTTAGATATCCTCATTAGTTAGATATCCTCGCCAGACTCTGCTATAGTTCAAAGTCATGACGATGATGAGAAGCATTCAATGAAGCAATAGTGCTATTTTCCCCTATGCTTTCGTCACCTAGTTGGCTATTTGACCGCCTATCTGAAGCTCGCTTTTGGAGCTGCTTTTTCCTCTTTTTTATATGCGACGAGGCATCCATACCGAGATCTCCTTCTTCTGCTGGGGGTATCAAACTATCCGCATCGAACAGAGGATTGCCAATAATGGTAGAAGTTCTCATTTCTTCTCGCTTCTTCTTGCCTTCAAAATACTTTTCTTCCATCTGCATTTCATATTTCTGTCGTTCTTCGACTACTGACCGAAGTCTGGACTCCCTTTGTTCCGCATTTAATCTTTCGGTTTGAAGGAAAACCATTTCTTCGGCCATCTTCTCAATCATGACTTGCACTTGTTCCTGTGTCTTCAGCATATCATATATGTGACTTTGAAGCAGATCTATCCGCTCTTGAGCCTCGATGATTTTAACTTCCGTGTCGTCTTCTTCATATCCATCCATTTGTCTAACTGTCTTTTCGGTAACGGCGACAGCATCACAAACCACAGCCACGATCAAGTTGAACACAATGAAACCGGTAATGGCAATGAATGAAAGAAAGGGAGCAAAAGCCCAACGGTGATATTCCATAACAAGACGGCAGATTTCTCCCCACTCCAACGTCATCATTTCCATACATGTGAAAAGCGACCTGTCCAAGGTTCCAAAGTAATCCTTTCCAGGCCCAAGGTCCAGGTCTGAAAAGAGCTCGGTGAATAGCACAGAGAAAATGTAGAATACCAGCAACAACAGCGCTGCAATGGCATACATTCTCGGGAGAACAGCACCAATAGCGAGAACAAGATCCCGCAGTGGCTTCACCCTTGTAATCAGCCGGAATGCTCTGAAGATACGGAAGGCACGCACAATTTGAAGTGACTCAAAAGACCATGACAAGATCACAATCGCCAAATCGAAGATTAGCCAACCGTCAGAAAAGAGTGAAACACCAAGGTAGAAGAGCTGCAAGACTGCTTCAATGGTAAAAATAATCAAAAAGGCTCTGTCAATTTCATGAAAGGCCCTATCGACATTTTCATTGTCCTCCACAAAGTCAAAGGTTGCAACTCCCATCATCAGAGCGTTAATCATAATGGCCACAATAATAAATATCTGAACCTTTTCATTGTTCACAATGCCGCCAACCTTCATCCTGGCCTGCCAAAGAAAAGAGTCCTCTTCCTCGTCCACTGATGAATCATCATCATCATCATCACCAGCACTAAACATGTCTGATGTCACCACCCCTTCCTTCATATTGTGTTTTGTCTTCAGTTTGGGATCATTAGCTGTTGACTGCGGCATGTTGTTGGCTGATTTCGTTTCCGCAATGTCATTTTCCCCATTTTTCAGCAGCTTGTCGTTCTCTTCAGAAGCCATTTTTTCCAGTCGTATTGAGAGACTTTATTGTACGGGGTGTCTCGGAGACTTGCTGAGCTGCGCTTTGGTGCCTTTCTAATCCGGATAAGAAAGCGAAGAAGCAAGGAAACCAATCCAATTCAAGGATGCAAAAATCTAAAGATTCAGGCTTTTGCTGGTACAGTTTTACGTTGCTTCTACGCCTGTAACGGTCGGAAGCCAGAAATCGAGGGAGATTCGAGATTTTCTTGCCCAACTTCTCTCTCAAGACAGCCCGCTTTTTTTAATCAGCGATATGGGTAGGTTTGATTCCGGCTGATGTACTTTCAAGGTCGTAATGTAGATGACCGCCTTCCGGTTGACCTTTGCAAACTTCCTCCTCGTGCTCGGACTTCCGCCCTTCTTCCCAAGCACAATTGATGTTTCTAGTTCTGTCCTTCAGCCGTCAAACCCGAGACATGCCTGAATCTTTTGGCGGGCGGGCGTACATTTTGGTCGTCGGTATGCACTCAACAGTTTCGGGGCCCACATTTTTGGCTTGAACCCACGCCATTTTTGGTGCAAGAACCACCATTCCCAGTCTCTTCCAGATTTCTCACAATGTTGGTACATTTTGCAAAACCACAAATCAATCACATCAACCTCTATATCGTCCCGTCGATAAAGCACCATATATCATGCCACCACCACCCGAGGCCTTTGGCCATGCCCCCCTTCCAGTGGAGGAAAACAAGAAGAGAATGACAAATACCATGGGACCACCCGGTGGAGCTGAAGAAGATTGTTCGGATGACGAACGATGCTCTGCATACCCAATGACTCAAACCACCAATGGACACACTACCGGTGATTTGGTTCGCAAGTACGGTGGAGTGAGTGGTGTCGAAGTTGATCTACAAACATACGAGAACATGGAGCGTGACAGCATCCGTAGACATGCACACAAGATGCTAGACATGGCAAACGAGAACGGTTCAACTTCCTCTTCCTCGGACTTCTCTTCTGATGAGGGGGCTCCTTATGATGATATGATGGAGAAGGATGTCAACTTTGCACATGAGTACGATGATATCGTTCCCAGCAGCCGTCGGTCCAGACGTGTCCCAGCTGCCCTAGCTGGAATCAACTACAGATCGACCACTCAAGAACGAAGCTATGGCTTATCTTCTACTACCTTGCCCGCTTTGCCTCCCAGTGAACGAGCTCGTCGTTTTCGCGACATGGAGAACGGCTTCGAAGACGAGCATCTGGATTCTATTCCAATTTCCATGATGCACAATGTCCGCTACCAAGACGATGTCTACAATAATGCGGATGGAGAGATGTCCTACTCTGATTCCATGGAGTCCAAGGCATATAATGTCTACGCTGCCTCTAAGGGTTCGCGCTTCAACAGGGACTACTACGTCAACAACCAAAAGGCAACTTTGGACCAGTGGGATCGCGAACATGATAATGAAAACAAGGGAGGTGCCCTGGTCTGGATCAATACCTACCGTTCCAAGAGAGGAGCAAAGTCCAACAAGAACCATGTGTTTGGACCAGGATTCGTCTTCCGCAAGAATCACGTCTATGGAAGACAACAACATGACTATGCAAATCAGGCACAAAAGCAGCGCGAACAACTCCGCATTGCATGGCAAGATCCTACAGACACCAACGTCTACGAACCATCATCCAACAATGGAGGAGCGCAAACATGGAAGGAAGTCACCCAAGACCGTCAAAAGCGTCGCTGGTGTGCATTGTTCATGTGCTTCTTCTGCTTCCTTATCATCTTCATCCCCATTCTTACCGAGGTCATCCTTGCCGAGCCAGACATGTGCCCGGGATGCGACATTGGTGATCCAGTAAGCATTTATGCCATGTCGGACACACCCAACAACATGGAAGACGCCAAGGAAGTCTTCCGTTCCATCACTCTTCTTGACCAAGATGCTGATTTTTTGGTTCACTTGGGAAATGTCCAAGCCAGATGCGACGAGCGGCGATACGACATGACAGCTGACTTGTTCAAACGATCATCGCTCCCAACCTTTGCAGTCCCCGGGAGTGAAGACTGGTTGGACTGCTTCGACCCTGCTGAATCCTTAAACCTTTGGCGCGAGCGCTTTGTTGACTTTGAACAAAACTTTGACTTTGACGGCCGAGTGTACCGCAACGAAGACTATCCTGAAAACTTTGCAGTTGTTCGATCGGGTGTCTTGTTTGTTGGATTGCACATGGTTAGTGGACCATCCGTTGATCCCGATGAATGGGAGGAACGAAGAGTTTCCATGTTGAAATTCTATTTCGGCATGGCCAATATGAACAGGGCCAACTTCCGCGCAGTTGTCTTGATGGGGAATTCTTCCGAGAAGCCAGAGCTCCAGCCATTTTTCAAGGATTTCTTCAAGAGTTTGGAGCCAATTGGCAAGCCAGTCCTATATTTGCACGCCAACGACGAGGAAGGAACCGATGGTGTGATCTACCAACCATTCCCAGAACATCCTACTCTATTCAGCGTTCAAGTGACTTTGGGCAATGCTGCGACAAGAGTCGACATTGGCAAAGGAAATACACCCTTTTCAATTGCAGCACTCGAATCCTAAAGCGAACGATGGCTTGCAAAGAGAATACTATTGATAAATAGATGTCTTTCGAATAAAATTATACAGAATTTTTAAATACGACTAGTTTCAATCTGTAATGACCATAATGTACAAAAAGTTGTCTGGATGACATAGCGTTCTCCACAGATCCAGTAATGGAGTGGTAAGAGAAGGAACAATGCCGGCTACCCGCCAAGAAGTTATTTGCAGTTTTGCTTGAACAACATCGCCTGGTGCTGTAGCTTCAAAATAGCTCGGTGCAAATGACACTAGAAATTGCCCGAGAGTCATGGACGGATCATCCCACTTCTTTTGTATTGGTGGTTTTGAAGGACCAATCATTAGCCGTATGGGAATCATGACTGGGTTTTTAGTCGACTGAATGTCTTCTTTGATCGGCTTGTAGATCGAATACTTGGAGTTGACTATCGCACCCCACATGCGTTGGTGATTTTGCTTGTTCATATTCAGCGCAACTTTTGCGTGGCCATGTTCCAAAACTAGCGCCTGTTTCAAAGCATTTTTGAATGTTCGTTGTACTGTGGTGATCACTCCGGATTGTGCATCCAATTCCAACAGTTGACTGGACGGGTATGCGGTGAAATGTAGCCTTATTTTCCACGGCATGCCATTTTTCTGTGTAGTACTTTGATGGCTATCCCATAAAATACCTACGAAATATTGCCATCGCAATGGTAACCCTGTCGTTTCATCCTCGAACCAACAGACTGGGTACGGGGCCTCCATCGGTTGTTGTTCCTGTATCTTAGCATCCTCCTTTTCTACTGATTTGCCATCTCCTGCTTTATCATCATCATCATCATCATCATCATCATCGGAATTAAGATCTGATTCTTCCACAACTCGTCTCGTAAAGGATATGGTAGGAGGCGCAAATTTGTGCAAATGTAGAACCGCTTCTTGCAGTCCAATGTGGAGGAAGGTATGCCTAGAAAGAAGCACATGAATTGGTGGTGGAATTGTTGGTGACGATAACGAGTTTGGTGCGAGACTCAATAGGATAGGTATCGAACCACTCCAATTGGAAGACCGCAAGCGATCAATTGCGAGCGAAGGAGCGTCGTTCATGGTCAACGTTTGCGTAAGAATAAGAATGACAATGGGATAGGATACCATATATGGACACTGGATTGTTCGGATGTTTTTTTTTAATCAACTGAGTCCGAAAATATGACACATTCGATTAAAATACCCTGATGATGATCTTTGGCTCCTTCATCACAATCACACTGTTGGTTCGGATTGTTGCAGCCAACACGTAGATGTGGCAAAGGTTGATTGGTGCAATCATGCTTTTTTAATTTGAATCACCCAATCATGATATCGTGGCATTGGATCCTCGCTAGCTGAAAGCGAATCCTCCTGGTATACACAAATGGAACCAGAGTGCACACAGATTTCAAATTCAAGTGATTTCAAGGCATCTTCTAATAAATTGAAATCAGACGAACTTTTGCAGCCATGAAGTTTGCTACACTCCTTCTCATTGCAGCTCTCAGTACTGTATTTCTGTCCAGAGCGTTCTGTTATGAATCGCCATTGCCACACCGAAGCCTACCTCATGTGATTCAAGGTAAAACACACTTCACAGCGTTGCCGTTTCACTTCTTTTTCATTCCAATCATCCACTGAATATTATTTCAATTTGTTGTAGGCGGAATGGGAATCCGCATCAGCAATTGGGAACTTGCCAGAGAAGTCTCCAAAGCTGGCGAGCTCGGCGTGGTCTCGGGAACCGCAATGGATACCGTCTTTGTTCGCGAATTGCAAAATGGAGATCCCGAAGGATCCATGCGCCAGGCGTTGGCGTCCTTTCCAGATCAAGGGATGACCCAGAGAATCATGGATAAGTACTACATGGAAGGAGGAAAGGGCGCCAGAAAACCGTACAAGAGCCTTCCAATGTGGACCGACAAACCATCGCAACACTTACTGGAAACATGCATTCTGGCCAACTATTGTGAGGTCTGGCTCGCCAAGCACAACGATGACAGCACCCCCACGGGTGGATTGGTGGGACTTAATCTACTCACCAAGGTTCAGCTTCCTACCATTGCGTCACTCTACGGTGCTATGCTTGCCGAAGTCGACTATATCATCATGGGGGCTGGAATTCCAATGAAAATTCCTGGAATCCTCGATAGCTTGTCCAAATGTAAGGACTGCGAGCTCCCCATCGACACAGTAGACAAGACCGACGGCTTTTCCATGAAGTTCTGTCCCAAGGCCTTTTGGGAAGCCTCTGGACGACCTGACTTGTGCCATGAAATCAAGCGCCCCAACTTTGTCCCCATTGTCTCCTCGGTTGTATTGGCCCAATCCATGCTCAAGCGTGCTACTGGAGAAGGCCCAACCAATGGTATCGATGGGTTTGTGGTGGAACTCAGCACGGCGGGTGGCCATAATGCACCCCCACGCGGATTCCGATACGACGCCAAGGCCAAGACTCATACCGCCGACTTGAATGAACGGGGAGAACCGGTCTATGGAGCAAAGGACACTGTGAATCTTCAAAAGTTTGCCAAGGCTACCAAGGGACTTCCATTTTGGCTGGCAGGGTCCTATGCGGACCCCGAGAAACTCTGTGAGGTTCTAAAAGTGGGCGGAGCTGGAGTCCAAGTCGGAACTACTTTTGCACTGGCCAAAGAGTCTGGAATGGAGAGCAACACGAAAAAGGGTATTCTCAAGACTATTGCCGAAAAGGAGATGGATGTCTTTACGGACCCCATGTGCTCTCCTACTGGATTCCCTTTCAAGGTGTTGGAACTAGAAGGAAGTCTTTCCGATGGTCAAGTTTATGACGACCGTCCCCGTACCTGCAACCTTGGGTACCTCCGCGACATGTACAAACGAGACGATGGCAAGCTGGGCTTTCGATGTGCCTCCGAACCGGTGGACGCTTATTTGAAAAAAGGCGGTGAAGTGGAAGCCACTCGGGGCCGCAAATGCTTGTGCAATGCCCTCTGTGCCAATGTGGGTATGCCCCAGGTCAACAATAAAGAAGGATACACGGAAGAAATGCTGATAACTCTTGGTGACAATGTCAACGAGTGCCGTCGGTTTTTGAAACAAGATGAAAATGGAGATTGGGGTTATGGTGCCAAGGATGTGGTAGATTATCTATTGTCCGAGTTCAATGCCCGTGACATGCTCAAGAAAGAAGGGAATGCCAACGCCTTTTCAGAAGCAGTAGAAAGAGATTTTCAGATTACAACCAACTGAGAATCATTTTTGCTTCTTATATATATATATATATACCGTATATCTATGGACAGTAAACTAGTAAGAAAAGGATACACAATATATTGTCGAATGTTTCCCAAATACAATAGATATCCGCAAGTGATTTTCAAAAGATACTACTCTACTAGTTTTTCTATATATGTGTTTTCTTGCTACCGGTACCTGGTAGTGCTGTGTCGATGAGGAGAAGAGAAGCTGCAAAGAAGCATCATTTCCAACTGCGGGCAATCCCTACACTCGGACCCCTCCCTTAATTTCATTCGTCATGCATCAGCTTTGTAACCAGCAGGTCCATTCGTATTTCCCATGATGATTATGACGACTCGTCAGTGGCAGTTGCCTTCTTCTGGAGAATTTCTTTTTCTGCAAATTGTGGGAAGAACGAATCATAATCGGAAACAGAAAAGTGAGAACGCGATTTGAAATAAAGAAGCATGACGCAATGTTATTCATTCATTCATTCATCGAAGCACACATCGCTACGACACCATTCATCCCACATAACAAACTTCTTAATAAAGAATCATTCGTTCTCATTCACATACCCAATGTAAAATCATAAGGAGTGGCCGGAATGGCAATTCTGGCAGCGTCAAAGACTTCCTTGGGCAAGGAAACAGGAGCCGCGGCACTTCCATTGGCGGCGGCTACTGATCCCGTCAGCTTGACTCGACAACCCACCAAGTTAGGATAATGCAGTTCGTTGTAACCTCTCATGTTGTCTTTTCGTCGGTTTCGTCGTCTTATTATTTTCAGTAGTAGTGAAATGAAATGAAACGTCACGTAATGGAAAGTGTTTTGTTGTTTTGTATTGTATACCGTATTTGTTGTGTCTTGAGTCTTGTTGTGACTTGAGGGGAAGTATTATATATTTCTCTTTTTAAAAGGGGAAATCACCCCGATATCATTTCAGTACTTTCCGTACGTAGGAATGGATCGACAAATCGCTTGGCGATAGTGACTTTTGTGATTGAATATTATTGTGGAAGAAGAGAAAGAGAGATCAGCAGCAGACAGCCAAAAGGTATACTACTGTAGAGGATAGTCAGTCGGATTGACTGGAGATGTCATTTCATCCTTCCTTGCAGAGTGCTTTGGCGGCACAAAGCATCAACAACATCATCAACAACAGAATCAACATCAACAACAACAACATCAACAACGCCAATCACAACGCCAATATCAACACTCTTCGATATGCTGCTTTGATGACAAGACCACAGTCATCATCATCGGCACCTGTCCGTGTTAGTCCGCCACCGCTACAATCTTCATCGGCATTGAATACAATCAAACAAACCTGGCCATTTCCCAAGAAACAACAACTTTCTCAGGTGTTTATCAAACTCAAGCGCAACTCGATTCAGGATTCCTGGGGCATTGTCTTTACCCGGTTTGATAATCGACTCGTTTTGGGCGACATTCAACCAAAAACACAACAACACTACACGGATTGGTCTGTTGTCATTTCGGGATCCGATTTGGTGGATGCACGAGAAGCCTTTTGCCTCTTTCAGAACAATCCAGAAGCTCGCGAGACCTATCGGATTCGTGTCAAGGCGTATGGACATGCCATGAGTCTTCCATCCTGGCATGTCGGTGAACAGTTATTGCCTGGTGATTTGATAGTTTCCGTCGATGGAATGGATCCAATGGTGGCCTTTCCCACCATGGACCAAGTGACTGGCTACTTGCGGCAAGCCTTGGAATTGTCCATGGTAGTCCTGCGACATCCACAAGCGACGGCCGCGTCCTTTGCGTGTTACAATTCGCACTTGGCCAATCAATCGGCGCTGGGATTGGCGGCGGCGGCCGATCACATTTGGAAATCCCTCTTGTTGGTGGCGCCAAGAACAACATCATATTATCATCCGCCAACCGTGGTACCCCTGGTACGACGGGTCACACCCGACGACCAAACACTGCACCAAATGGGCAGTGGTGGGTCCCAGCAGGCAGAGCAGCAATCATTGAAATCACCAATCGTATCCGCATCATCCTTGTACAACGATGGATCCAAACCATTGCCAAATCCATTGAAAACAACGACACCACCGGTGTATCATGGTTGGAGAAATCCATGGTTTCAAGACGAACATGGTGTCCCCATTCCATTCGAAGACAATTGGGAATACAGTCCCGAAGACGGGACACGGGCCCACTTGTTTTTGCCAACCACAGGAGACTTTCAATCTTGGTTGCGAAATCGAAAAGATTCCTGGCGGACCAAATACAAAGTCTACAAGGTGGCCAATAAACGATGGGACAATGGGGAAGAAGACTGCGATGACGATGATCCCTTTGATAGGAATACGAGTAGTGTGGCATTGGACTTTTGGACGCCCCAAGGATTTGCTTCTTTTGAGGCCTGGCTACTAAAACGAAAGGAAGGTTGGAGGACCAACTACAAGGTCTATCGCAATAAGAAGCGAAAGATTCACAAGGAATGCGAAGAAGTTGTCCATTTGTCTGATGACTTTGATCGTTGGCTACAAGTTCGGAAAAATCAATGGAAGGTCCATCGAAGAAAGCGACAGCGTCTGAGACAAATTCGTCAAAAAGCCAAAGCATCTCCCTTGGAAAAGGCTGCTGCTGCTTCTGCTTCTGCTACTCCCATTGTCACTCCTGAAAAAGTGGACTTGCCCGGCGAGGATGGTGATGATGAAATCAAGGTTGCTGCAAAGCGTCCTCGACGACTCTTTACTGCCCCACCAGCGGACATTGACATGGCTTGTATCGATGACATTTTGGCGGAGGAAGAAGCCCGCAAGAAGAAACTGGCGGAACGACCGCCTATTGATCTTTCCTTTCTGTTTGATTGTAACAAGTCTCCGGACGACGTGGTCATTCATATTTTGGGATTCTTGGATCGCAAGGAACACGGCAAGCTATTGTGTATCAACAGGGAGTATTCGGATCAGCTAAAGGCACGAGACGAACTTTGGCGGCGACTTTGTCCGTCTCATTGGATACTGCGTAAGTACAGTACCTGGTAGCATGTTTATTGCCCGAACATGAGATGACAATTCGGAAACTGACCTTTGTTCTTTTTTTCTTTCTATAGCTCGACGACCAAGAAAAGCTTGGCACGAAATTTACATCAATCGACTTCGCAGAGAGCAGTTTGATCACCAAAAGCGGTGGGATGATCTTCTCTTGAAATGCTATGGCACCATCACCAAAGGGGATCAATTGAACAAAATTGAAAAATTGGTGGCTAAAGGAGAAGACGACTTTGGATTTCACGTCAACTACGTCAGCCCCGTTGTGTGCGAGCGAAACTGTTTGCTGAATTTGGCAGTCATTCATAAACGGCTCAAGATTGTGCGCTGGCTATTGGACCAAAAGGGTGCTCACATTGAAAGCTTTGATCGTGGCCAATTCACACCACTTTTGAATGCGGCATGGTCGGGCGACAAGCCAATGGTGCGGCTCTTGCTTCAGAGGGGTGCAAACCGCAGCAACATTGGTTTCTTCCATTATTCCAAACCTGTTTCTAGCCCTGATTTCGAAGGTCTCACAGCAGAAGGATGGGCAAGAACGAAGGGATTTGAGGACATTGCCAAGCTAATACATTTGGGACTCTAATAGATTATAAAATCGCTAAAGCTAAATACTTTAATCGAAAGTGCTATTGCATGGTATGCTTGTTGATTTAGGGAATAGCCATTTATATAGTATACAATCGTTTGTCTATCCTCAATTCTAATTGTCACGATCCAATATCTGGCAAAACGAATAGCCGTCTCTGGACACAAACCCTCCAGTCAAACCAATTATCCACATACGAGACCATATACATCACAATAACTGTGGCAGAACTTTTGGAAGAGAAGTTCACCCGCTCTTCCGTCGAGTCGATGCCGCAGCAGGCTGACATTGTGCAAAAGAAAGATAAATCTAAGCTTCTATTGCAGCGTGCCTCTTCAGAGTTCCGCCATTTGGTCAGAGAAATCTGCTACTCCCGACGGAGACGAAGCCGATTTCGTCGTCGGCCTGTGTGGCGTGATTGGGTTTGCAAGCTTGTCCCAATCATCATTCCTCTTACTGGAGGTCGCAATCAAATCAAAGTCTGAAAAGTCTGACATTGGAATAGCGGCATCCAATTCCTTCTTTGCAGAGGCTTGTCGCTTCGCATTTTTCCAGGACTCACGCTTTGCCTGGTTGGTGATGGTGGGGTCCTCTGGAACTACTGGTCGAGCCACCTTTTTGGCTGGTTCTTTCGGAATAATCAGTTTCTCGGAGGGAGAAACGTTCTTCTTTTCGTCATCCATAAGAATCGATTCCTTTGGAGCTTCATTCTTCTTGGACTTTTTCTTGAAGATTCGGCCAAGGAGACTCTTTTTCTTTTTCTTGTCCTTGGGCTGCTTCGTTGTTGCTGCTGCTTTCGACTTGGTAGAAGAGCTCTTTGTTGCTGGCTTGATGGGTGCCTCAGTCACTGGAGCTGGGGCTTTGACCTCTTCCTTGGGTGCCTCTTCTGGTTCCTCTTTCTTTGGAGCTTCCTCTGCTTTCGGGGTTTTCTCCTCTTCTACTTCAGGATTCTCCTCTTTTTCTGCTTCGGCGTCCGAATCATGTCCAGTTTCTGACTTGGCAGCTTCATCAAATGGCATCTCAGATTCCATTCGTTCGAAACTCTCTGGTCCTGCCGGAACCTCTTCTCCTTGCTCTGATGGTTCGTCATCATTTGTTTTTGGGCCTTCTGCTGGAACCTCTTCTCCTTGTTCTGACGGCTCGTTATCATTTGCAGGGACTTCGTGTCCTTCCATGGCTGCCTCTTCAAAGATTGTTTCACCTTCCACGAGAGTGGACTCGGCAGCCTTTGGAGCGGAGGCCTTTTCTGTCGTTTGGACGACATCACCTTCCAGAAATACCTTTGTCCTGACGGTCTGTGAAATGCTTGCAAACATGGGACCCATGTTTTCAGTGAGAGTCCCAAAAGCTTTCTTTGCTCCTCCAAGCGCACTTTGATCAGTTGTGGCGTCTGCCCCAGAATCAGCAGCTTTTGGCTGTTGATCAAAAGGGATTTCGTCCAATTGACTTGGGGAGTAAATGATTCCCTTGGATTGTTCTGGGTCAATATCTTTCTCCTCGGCAATTTCCGACATTACATTCGAGTCTCCCTTTTCTCCTTTCAGTGCTACAGCACCTTGCATTGGCACAGCACCACAGAAGAAGGATCTGGCGCCCTGTGGTTGATCAGCAGACCCGTCGCTCGAAGTCTCTTCGTCGAGAGACGTCAGTTGGATGTCTGGATCACCTGGATCACCTGGATCTTCGCCATGATCTTCAACGCGTAAAATGCTATTTGGGCCAAAGGCTGATTGATCTCCATCGGGTACCTTCTCCTCCTCCACTGACTCCGCCTCTGCACTCTCAAGGGGCGTTTCCACTGCCTCGTCTTCGGGGATGTACGCTGGGTTACTCGAACAACCAAAACGAGTCAAAACATGTTTATCCAACTGTTGCATCATCGAGGGCTTCGTTTCCTTGCTGATAGTAGGAATCGTGTTCTCTGTAGCCTCGGAAACCATGGTGCCGTCTTCTTCGTCAAATTCTTTTTCAACAGGATTCAAGAGATCGACGAACCGATCAATAGCTTTCGTAACATAACCATCCTCCTTCTTGTTCGTCCCATTGCTAGCGGAAAAGTAGGTGTCATCATCCTTGCCTATTTCCTCTTCCAACTCCCTGAGTTTCCTCTCTCTAATCTTGGCGCGTCTTCTTTCGCGCCTTTCTTGCTCTTTGCTATCAACCGTGGAATCATCGTTGTCCGCGACGTCGCCAGCATCAGCTAAATAAGGTTCTTCTTCTGGCATTGTTTGTTCTTCGGTTTGGACGGTCTCGTCTTCCACTTTTGATACCACTGTTTGTCCCGCAACGTCAGTACTCATGATGAAGGCAATGGTTGCTTTGTAATGCGCGTTGAATGCTTGTGGTCTATTGATTTGCTAGATCGATTGTTTCGCACAATGTTTCCAAATGCTGAGATGCGGAATCAACTTTGGAGTCGTTGCAGCGCACCTCCATAGTATTTCTATTTTAGAGCTTGCCGCCGACATAATTACTTAGGACCTGGACGCGACAGGCGTGCTAAAACAGGGTTTACACGAGACAACGGCCCAATTGCAAAAAATGGCTCGTGTTCCAGTAGTCGGACCGTGACGGACTGCTCACCTCACACGTGTACCCTTCTCTTACTGCCACGGAGAAGCAATTCATGGAGTAGCAGTACCATTTTAAACAACGAAAAATAAGCTTTGTTTTAAATATGCATTACAATAGATCCCCTACATCAGCTGGCATTTCATCAATCTGGGTGCTGTAAAACTGTTCGATATCCCGTAGCAAACGAACATCTTCTTTGCGCACAAAGTTGATAGCCACACCCTTTCTTCCAAATCTACCAGATCGACCAATTCTATGAATGTAAAGTTCCCGATTACTCGGTAGATCGTAGCAGATTACCAAACTGACTTGTTGGACATCAATTCCACGGCCCCATAGATCGGTGGCAATCAAAACACGCGAGGTGCCGGAACGAAAGTCGTCCATAACTTTGTCACGGGTATCTTGGTCCATGTCACCGTGAATAGCGCTGACAGTGAACTGATTCTCCTTCATTTTCTCGGCCAGCCAATCGACCTTTTGACGAGTATTGCAGAAGATGACTGCTTGCGTGATGGTCAAGGTGTCATACAAATCGCAAAGCGTATCGAATTTCCACTCTTCTTTCTCGACGGAAATGAAAAACTGACGGATTCCCTCTGTTCAAAGATAGTGTAAACAATATAATGTATAGTGAGCAAACGCACACTCTTGCTAGGTTTCAGCAACAATCACAAACGTACCGAGCGTCAATTCATCTCGCTTCACAAGAATCTGGATTGGGTCTGACATGAACTTTTGAGTCATTTCCAATACCGATGCTGGAAGTGTGGCACTCATCAATACGACTTGGCACCCCACCGGAAGGAATCTATAAATATCATAAATCTGTTCCTTGAATCCTCGATTCAACATTTCATCTGCCTCATCCAACACCATAACCTTTAGTTGCGTCATTCTCAAAGCGTTTCGTCTAATCAAATCATATACACGCCCAGGAGTTCCAGAAATCACTTGCACACCGCCTCTTTCTAGCTCTTTCAAGTCTTGTCCTAGCGACTTTCCACCAATGCAAGCATGGCAATTGACCTAAACGCAGCAATCATGATTGTTAACATGTCAGAACATTTTTCTTTCTTTCCAACCACAAATAAAAGCACTATCACCAAATTGTCTCTTACATTCATAAAATCTCCCAAGGATTGTATCACACGTTGACTTTGTTCTGCCAATTCTCGTGTCGGACTCAAAACTAGAGCTTGGACTTCCCGCGAGGTTTCGTCGAGCAATTGCAGCGTGGAAATGGAAAAGACAGCTGTCTTTCCTGTTCCGGATTGTGATTGTGCAATCACGTCTCGTCCACGGACAATCGGTCGAATCGCTCGTTGCTGAATGGCGGAAGGTTTCTCAAATCCGTAAGCGTAGATGCCCTTGAGCAAATCGGGCTTCAGTTTCATGTCATCAAAGGTAGAACAGGGTTCCAAATCATCACTTCGTCTTCTATGTTTGCGACGATCATCACTGCGATCACGGTCGCGACTGCGATGTTTTTGCTTATTACTTCCATCGTAGGGGCCGCTCCTTCGATCGGATCGGCTATCTCCGTCTCTGTACTTCGGCATTATGAACACCAATCAACACAAAGAAATTGCGATAATGATGATGAGAATAAGGTTGGTTTTGGTGGAATCTGATACTGGCGTTGGACAGACGATACTATTTAGTCACACCAGTCAAATAGCAAATGACGACAATATCACGAACGTGTAATAAGCGACGGAAGGACGTGGAGCTACAGTAACAGAGGACACCCTACCGGTACAAGTACTACCATCAATTATAGTATCATAATGATCGTCGAAGAAGTGCTTCAAGAGTATGACACCTCTTCATTGCAGGCTCCAGGATTGGTTAAAGCGGCTGACCATAAGTAAATGTAACGCGCGGACATCAACAGTATACACGACTTCAGAGCTCAGCAACTAGGTCCATCTTGCCTCAAGGCCAAGAATCGTATAAGGGAGAGCAAATTCAATTCGTCCTTTTTGAATTAGACGACCACCCAGTTGGCTCACAGCCCAAGAGGGTTCTTGGACCTGTGGTCGACGGTCGCTGGCCAAAATGTACCCGATTGACACAGAAATCATAGAGCATACTCAAGATGAAGGCTTCTCGTCGATGCTGGTGGAAGCCTTGTTGTTTCCAATTTTAGCTTGAATCGTAAGGACGTCGATTTACTCGTCGACGCCTCGGATAGCAGATCGTATATGCAAATGCAAACGAAACCTTTAAGTGTGTACAGTTTTGCTGATAATCTTCGTTCATCTTGCAGTCGAATCATATCAATAGACCAGCTTCACCAGTTGCGTTTGTTGAGGAATACGATGTGCGCTTTCTGATGTTCAGCTTCCATCTCTCATATCTAGAATTTTTTACTCGCCTCTGAGAACAGTGTGCATCATTCAGGATGTTCGCTTCAAGCTGTCATTCGATAGTATCCACCTTGCAGCCGATGTACTAAACATAGTGTTCATGAAGATGAGTACCACGTCCGCTAGGTGGCAATTCAGGACCTACACTATAATGCCCCATCGAGTGTTACAGTGACAATCTATTCCAACGCAAAGCAAAGATTGTGACTGGGAATACCGTTTTTTTCAATGCAATCTTGTATGCGACCTCCTGAAGGGCAAATCTGAGGCGCAAGAGGGTGTCTCGGAGTTGGAGAACTGTGCGTGTTTCCTTGAAGGAGCAAAGTCTCATGGAGTCGAGAAAGTGCATAGCCATACGATCGAAAGACATCCTTTCGTCCATGAGACCTAGGCTGCAAACCTTCTTGAGCACTTTTGATTTGTGGACCTTTTTCGTTTCGAAGCAAGTCTCGAAAGAATCATCCAAAGCATAACACATGAGATTTCGCAGCAAAGATACGAGCTCCTCTAATGTGAAAATACCGAATACTGTCGCTAAATGTTCGTCACCAGCAACGTTCTTTGCAAAATGCACTACAAGTGCTTCCAAAATAAACTCGCCTCCCATTCGATCTACAATCTTGGAATTTATGCACTTCCTCTTCCTCGAATCTTTCATGCTGCTGAACTCTCTTCCTTCATCTATAAAGAGAGGCAGCAATCGAGTTTCATATTTGTTGTCCGCACCTCTGGTGATCAACACGGATGAAATTTGCTCATTCATTCTGTTACTCATCGTTTTGCGATGCCGTTTTGTATTTTCGGCTCCTCGTCGTGGTTCAAAACCTTCGGGTTGTTTTGGCTCATCCGTCGAATTCACATCATTAAAAAAATTACGTACGGGAAACCTACTGGCAGCTTTGGTATGCTATGCTGGAAAAATTCTCGCTTTGTTCGCTGTGCAGTTTTTGAGTGTTTCCAGTTTCAGGTCATAAATGTGGTCTCTTCTTCGCGTGAGAAAACTTCGGAAACTGACGTTTTGCTCTCTGCATGTATTTGCGGAATTGATTCTTCTATGATGGCGCGAGTCTCAGGAATACTCAGTCCCGAAGGTGACATCAATGAAGAAATCAGTCCAAGCCAAGAGGACTGCAACGAAGCGATAAGGATACATACTTGTAGTACCAGGTACCTTCTACTCTCCTCGACGATTTAATCGGAGTAGTCAATTTCACAGACTACTCTGATCTAATCTAATCTAATCTGACTTATCACACCTACCAGTATCATGAAACGAGTAACTTGATTCCTATTGCTTTTTGCTAAACATGCAGTTGGATTGATTAAGTGCCCAACAGCTCATTGATCATTAGATAATCAATGAGTCAATTTATCCGGCCGTTCGAGAAATGGCAGGACGTTCGATATCACCCCTTCCACACCACAGCTGACTCTGCAGAAATGGCGATCAACATATTCATTTGCTGTGTTCTTCAGGTTCATGGTAACGTCGATAAGTTTCACTTTCCATACAGCGCACTCCAAAATGGAAAGAACCTCTTGGTGTTCCTTGGTAGAAATATGGCGCAAAAATGTCCGAAAGCGAGCTCTTGTTTGCTCGGCCTTGTCGAGGTGGAGAAAGACCGTCAGCATACCGGATAGCTCATCTCTCCATCGCTTGAGTGTCAAACCCTCGATTCGATCATTCACGAGCAACTTGGCTAGATACGAAAGAGATTCCCGAGACTCGTTCGAGGGGTTCCGAAAGAGGTAATCCAAGGGGGTAAAGTCAAGGTTGTCCTGCTTTAGTAGAACCTCTTTGTTGAGCGAGAGCTTATCGATGAAACATTCAAATAGCGCTTTGTCAGGTCGGCTAGAAAGAGCCAAGATGTGGAAAGGTGTCATACCAAGACGATCGTGTTGCATCATCATTGGTGATACTTCCTGTCCACTCAGATTAGAGATCTCATGGAGAATACTTGATAGAGGAAAGTAGACTTGGTGGTAGCACCATTCATGCATCGGCAACGACTCAAATCTTGGGGTTGGATCATCCATGAGTTTGCCGCATGAAAAATTTGGACGCTCTCCAAAGCAATCGATGTTCAAGTGCAGATTTTGGGGAGTTGACAAGTGAATCAATGATGCGCATCCTTCAAATCCGTAAAAATGAACCTCTAATCTGCACATTGTGTTCCCACAGACTTCAATCGACATGAGCTCCGAGCAATCTTCAAAGGCATGGGTTTGAATTTCGGCCAGCGACGTCGGTAGTTTCAGAATCACCATGGAACGGCAGCCCTCAAAAGCACTGGTTTCAATGGAGTACAGTCCCTCCGGCAATCCAAGAAAGACCAAACTGGAACAGCCAGCAAATGCGCGCTCTCTAATGGTCTGAACGGAAGACGGCAGTTGGACATTCACCAACGCCTGACATCCAAAAAGTGTATCAGCAGAGATTTCAAACAGCATTTCGGGCCATCCGATTGTCTCCAACCGTTTGCAGCGGTAAAAGGCCCTTTTTTGAACTTGGACCACTTTTGGCGGGATCTGAATATGCTTCAAGGCCGTACAACAGGAAAATGCGGATTGCTCCAGGCGCAATATGCTCGAAGGTAGCTCGATGGTGGTCAATCGCCGACATTGCAGAAACGCACCATTTGGAATAAACTTTATGAGGGGAGACTTCAGATGAACATTTCTCAAATTGAGACAACCCTTGAAGGTCATGGCACCTAAGCTTTTCAAACGACCGTTCGACTTGTCGATAACTTCCACCAAGCCTTGCATATCAGCAAAGATATGACGCTCCAAATGCTGTACACTGGGATCGATATGAATGTGCGCCTCACCACTGGTGATCAAAGAATGTAACAGTCTTTGTTCCGGAGTGCTTTTGCGTTTCCACAGGCTGGGAGTATTCTGGCGAAAGACGACGACATTTTTGGGTTTCATTTCATCCGACCCAATAGAGAACATATTGTCCCTATTGCGATTCATGGGCTCATTTACCAAGGATAGAGGAGCCAAATGAAGTGCTTCTTACTTGCTGCTGTCTTGTCATACATTATTGTATTCAATGCGATGCAAAATTCTTCAATGCGATGCGATGCGATGCGATATGCGTTGGTGGTCTTATCTGTCGACTGATTCGACTAAACCTGAAACTTCAATTTTTTTATTCATCGCGTTCCCTGTATACTTTCGAGTTCTATCATCTCCTGAGGTGATCAAACCAAGCTCCCAAGTAACTACAGTAAGAACCTTTCAGATGTCTACAACAAAGAAATTCCGTTTACATTCTAGTGGCGACGTCTTTGTCGGTACAATTTCAACCACCAAAGAACAAGTTCCGAAAGACGTTAGGATTGTCCGCGTTGACAGTCAGTTCGCGTCCTTCTCGACGACATCTTCGCGTCGTGCCGCTCCTTGAAAGAAGTCATCTTTGACGCAGGGGTCCATACTATTGGAAGAGGAGCCTTTTATTGTTGCAGTTCGTTGACTAAAGTCAAATTTTCCTCTACATTGCAAAAGATTCTAGGCTATGCATTCTGCAGGTTGACTTCAATTGACTTGCCTGTGGGTCTTAAAGTCATTGGTGAATGCGCTTTTGAGAACACAAATCTACGCCATCTGAAAGTTCCTGCTACAGTGGAAACCATTGAACTTGAAGCTTTTAGAAGCTGTCTTCAGTTGAAATCCTTAATTCTACCACCACAACTGGAAGTTATCGAGTCTGGAGTTTTCTTCATGTGCCCGAAATTGAACGAGATTGAGATTCCAAGAACAGTAAAGAGAATCGGGAGTTGCGCATAGCTGGGGAGACCTTGTCGCCAAGCTGCAGCACCGCTTCGATGACCATCCTCTTCACAAAGTCTGCTACTTCCACAGCTACCACCCTGTAGAAGATACAATGCAACAAATCAGTGATATTCTGCTGAGTGACCACCCAATAAGCGAGTTCTCAAACGGATGCTTTAGGAATGATCCCATTGCACATCTTGGCACTGGCTCAAAAGCCGGTCATTGAACTGCTTGGACAGCTGCTGCTGCTACTGCTTTCTGGATTCGATGTGGCTCGCACGACCAAGGATTTCTTTGGATCGACCGTGTTGGAGTATCTTTCCAAAAATCCGTTGGAGGAAGGAAGACATGCGACTCGATGGTTGGCAAATCTCCTAGTGGGACAACAACTACCATTTCTACGGCTGGATCGTTGGAAACATGAACTGTTGGCGGAAGAGGAACGAGTCGTACGCGCTTCGGATCTAGGAATCTCAAGCAACGAAGTCCAGTCTTTCTTGGACAAGCTCGTTCAGTTGGAATTCCTCGAGATGTTGCTGGAACTAAAGCTGTGGAAAATCAAATTGGACGAGAATCCTATGGAAGAGAATCGTGAAAAGGTGAAGGAAAATGCTTTTCGCCACAGTTGTCGAGTTAGTTGTGGGATTTCCATTGTTGTTGAGCATGTGATTCCATTTCTCGGCAACAACCACCAAGTGACTGTTCATTGACCCATTGACATTTTTTGGGAGGTTCTACCTAGTCCTATAGCTGTCTAGTAGAAATCTAATTAATTAAAAAAAATACGCTTACATATCATACAAATTGAAGGTTGATCATTTTCTTCTCCACAGTCCATCCATGACAAATTGGCCAATGATCGTCGTCGGAATCGCATCATGTGTCATCTGCTGTCGTGTCGGCCTAGTTCTTGTTGTTTCAGCATCCTGGCAACCAGTCCAGTAGTATTGTTCGTGGGCGATTTTTGCTGTGGCCTGGAACGTTTCATCATTCGGGCATTACATATTCCAACATCTCAATAACATGCAATCATCACGCTTGTTTATTTGCCGCATCTTTTTGTTTCTCGCTTTTCAATTTCAAGAATCGGCCAATCCGCCGTTCCACACTTCCCACAATCACGGCGCCCAACAATGCCGGAATGGCCAATCCATAGAGTGGCAAGACTCCTTGATCGTTCAACAAGTTATTGGTGACAAATTCCATGACATTGATTGGCAAGTCTTGAGTGACCGCACTGCTAAATGGCTGAGTGGTTCCAAAACAAAGGCATCGCCACAATACACCATTCATGGTCCCCACGGATAGCCCAACCGCAATTTGTTCCCACGTGTGCAACTTGGAAACGATGCGGTACCACAGCGAAATGGAAGCATACGCCACCAACAACAACAAAGTCGAGTAGGGATAATGGTAATCCATGAGTAAAAATCCTGTAAAGGTCCCAATAAAGCCCAAACTCATGGCGTGTGAGGAGGGCATGCCATTGTCACTGGGCGGTGGTGGTTCCAATATACTATTGCCACTACTACTACTACTACCAGCACCAGCAGCAGACGATTCCAAAACATACTCCATCATGGGCCGTTCTTGTCGAATCGCTTTTTTCAAAACCTTGCTCAAAATGCCATTGGAAATGGCGCCGACAAAGAAACTCACCATCAAGGCGTCGCGTTGCCACGCCAAGATTACAAAAAAGGTTCCAGCGACCACGGTTGAGGTGGTCTTGCCAATGAATTTCAAAACTGGACTCATGGTTGTTGTTGTTGTTGTTGCTTCGGGTTGTGTTGGTGTGATTTCCTCCTCGGTCGATGACGAGGATGATGATGATTCATACAATCTTGTAGTGATGGTCGACTTATTGGTATTACTGGAATAAACTGTCGTTATTTGCGGCGTCAATACTCTCGTCCTGGATTGTATCCTTGTTGTTATTGTTGTTGTTGTTGTTGTTGGATAGGAAGAGAAAGCTTCGACCACTGCTGATTGAGTGGTTGTAACGAAAGAACTGGACAGGAGAAATGATAGTACCACCAATGAAAAGGTCGAAAGAAGACTGCTGTTGTGGATGATGTGCATTATTCTACCACCAGATGAGTGAGTCTTAGAGCAAGGAAGGAAGAAAGAAAAGAGACGTCGATCGTATTTTCAACAGTCGGTCAATTCTATTACTGGTCCTTTAACGCAAGCTCACAGTAGCTTGACTTTGTGAATGTTATTCTGCCTTGTCTGATGATGTTATTGTTGTAAAAAATCCTCAACGTCATCGCTGGAGTTCCCTGATTTGTCGCCCCCATTCACTTTTGGGATGAGTTGTCCCCCGCGCCATACTGAAAATTCGATAGTTGGTCCAATCAGTCAAATCGTAGGTTTCCAACACCATTTACCACATATTCACCATTATCATTATCATTATCATCATCATATTCATCTTTATCGTCAGTCATCATCATCATCATCATCATCACCAGAATGGAAAACCCTGATCGCCATCTCTGATCAGCAAACGAAACCAACTCACTAAGAAAATAGAAAGAAGCCTCTCTGGACAGAGTCAGTCGTCACAGAGTGTCACTGTCGAAACGAACAACAATATATACATCGCCACGAAGAACCATCAGCATCATGAGCACCAATAACAATCATTCCAAAGACATCACCAACACCACCACGAGCAATAAAACATCATCCAAAGCGCCTGCTAGTCGGTCCTTGGTGCAGAATGTTCTACGAGGCCCGCGGAAAATCTATTTGATCCAACCTTCCAAAAAGGTGGCGACAAGTCGAAAGCGACCTTTGGAATCGGCTGCTGCTTCTGACGATGAGGATGATGATGATGAGGAGGAGGAGGAACGCACCTCGTCGTCGAATATCTGGAAGAACTACAAGGAACATCGACCTCCTGACACCATTGCAAATTATCATCAAGATCCAGCAGACGACAGGGAAAATGGTGACCATGATATCTCAAACGACCAAACCGTAGCTCCAATACAGCAACAGAAACAGCAAGCAACTACCATTAGTCCCACAGGCAGTACAAACAACAACAACAACAACAACAAGGAGAACGTTGTCAACAATTTGGAGCAAGGGGATGACCAGAGTGACAAGTCTCGACAACGAAAACGAAAACGGCTCGACAGTACGAATGATGGATCGAATGCCGTCACAACCACTGATGATGCATTGTCACCAACACATATTGCAGCCATGCAATCTCGATCGAAACTACGACGACGACGACGAAGACAAATCAATTACTATCGAAAGTGCCATCGAGATGACGACATATCCGCGCCACAAGTAGGGTATGGCAGAAAGATACCATCATCCATTCCAACATTCCAACTCGACTCTTTCCCACAACGGCGGTATCAACTCTTGGCTGGTTGCCGAATCATGGCAGTGGCATGGTTGGCCAAGCTGGGACAAGAATATCAGCATTGCCAAGTTCTGCAGTCGCCCATGTATCGAATGTTGCAGATGCAAATGCAACATGCTCTCCAACAACAACAGCAACAACAACAACAGCAACAAGAAAGTCATCAGCAACAAGTTCAGCAACAAGTTCAACAACAAGGTCAGCAACTGCAACTGCAACTGCAACATCAACATCAACAGCAACAGCAACATCAACAGGAAAGTCAAAGCCAATCACCAGTACAAAGCAAAAACGAACAGAACAAAAGAAGAGCAGAGGAGAAATTGCAGCCGAGCCAATCGACACAAAGTCAACAATTACAAGAACAACAGCAGCAGAAAGTTCCACCAGATGCACAATTGTTGCAACGGGAATGTTCCATGTGGCAAACCCAAAACGAACAACTCCAAAAGGACTATCATAAGGAACGAAAATCCAAACTTACTTTGGAACAAGAGAATCAAAAACTCTTGCAGACCGTCAAAGCATTGAAGGGCAAATACAAAAAGCTCAAAATCAAACAAAAGAAGGACTATCAAACACTCTCTGGTGGTAGTGCTGGTATTATTGTTGGGGGCAATACTAGCAATACTATTAATGGCAAGGAAACAACAACAACGATGACGACGAGTCCAATGGCATTGTCCAATTCGCCAGTGACACCACCCACATCCACAAAGAATGACAAGAGGTCGTCTCCTTCCAATCACGACGCTTCCCAAGGAAGTGGTTTGGTGCCACGTCGACTCGTCAATGATTATTCGTCGTCACCACCTACCAAGGAACAACAACAACTACCACAACGCCAACATCATCAACAACAAATCAAGGAGCACAAGGTCCGAGAGGATGAGGTTCCAAAGGAGGCACACCAACACTCCACCAATAATCAAGATGCTCTTGCAAGAAACTCTTCCAACCATCATGATCCAATGTTGCCACCATTGGCTGCAACAAAAGTATTGCAACAGCAGGATGACCAGCAGCCGAAACAAAAGGCAATTGATCAAAATGCTACCACCGCTCCAGCTTCTACAACGTCGGCCACTCGAAACTCTACTACGTTCCAAACTGTCAAGGGCGAAATTCTTCCACCTCGCGCATCCACTGCAGCGAAAGCATTGGATGATGACGACGAAGACTCGTCAGAACAAACCAAGGACGATGATTCTCTTTTGGATTATTTCATGGCGGACCGCCGAGTCCTACCAACATCATCATCATCATCACCGCAAGCATCCACGGATGGCGCCTCTTCCAAAGCTACTACTACCGAATGTCACGAGACTACTCAGCAGCAGCAGCAGCAGCAGCAGCAGCAGCAGCAGCAGCAGCAGCAGCAGCAACCATTGCATCACAACGCGGCAAAAGATAATGTGGATTCTAGGGAACCAGCCACACAGACCGAGACTCAAGCGACATCCGCAAGCTTTCCTGCTAGCATTCCACCTTCCGCAAACTTGCTATTGGATACAGCTCCGGAGATTCATTCACCACAACAGCTGCTGCCACCGGAATCGAACTTGTTGGAAGAAGGAACAGCCACAGAGATGTATGCTCCGCCAATGCCAATGCCACCACCACCACCACAAGCGACTGTCGAGTCGTCAACTGAGAATGCGGACCAACAACAAGCGGAAAGCCCAAGTGACAGCAGAATCATGCCAAATCAAAGATCCGAGACTATGCCACCTCCTGCAACGTCCAATGCATCTCCGACTGTCTTTTCCAACAAACCATTGATCTTTGACTCGCCGCCGGATGTCAACGAGGCATCCCAAACGACCTTTCACGATGGCATGACCAATCCACCTCGTCCACGAGGGACTCTTGTGACCCATCCTTCCCGCATCCGACTGAGTCTTCCTATGGCATCCAAGCGAGATACTTCACAAGTGTCTGTCGCCAGAGGTGCAAACGACGATCCCAAACGTCAGAATCCGCGAAGAGTCACACTGAGCCCACATACCAAAGTGATGGAGCTCTCTCCATTGGACTTGACTCAAAAGTCCAATAATCGGTCGTCCACAACAGCACAGAAGAGTCTTGTAGTCCCAGAAAAAGGTCAAGCTTCGAGTGACACCACGAATCTACCAACCAGCAGACGAAGCCATAGTGGGCACTATACTGGCTATGCCCGTAACTTGTATCGACAAAAGGCACGAGACGAGCCAAAGCCAGACGATGTTCCCTCTGATGACGCAGGAGAAAGTCGGATCTTTCCTGGTAGCCAAGAGAGATCTCTAGTTCCCACTTCAAAAACACCCGAACCAACGACGACGAAACCAACCGCCTCGTCTGCCAGCACCCAACGGAAGAGTGCACCCAAGCAATTGGTGGGGCAGACATGGATCCAAAACCGGCATTATAACGATTTCATGGAAGACTCCCCCCCTTTGGCCAGACACGCATCTGCCGCACCACAGCCATATGTTCGGAAAGTCATGGGAGCCCCGGGCAAAAGAATGGGACCCAACGGCACCCGATATGAAGAAGTCGTCCGCAACAAAGCGGAGCGGGAGACAATGATCTCTAGTGACTGTCCAGACTGTGCCGGTTTCTTGAACCAGCTGGAACGTGATGGGTACAAACGTGACGAGATGAGGTGCATGTGCCGGCACAAGACACGGTATACTCCTCCCGAAACACCGCAAGACTTTTGGGAGCTAAGTTTCATTGATGAAATCGAGAAACGGCAAGCACGTATTGACAAGAGCGACCAAGAACAAGGTACAACGCAGGATATCTAGGCCAACTTTGCGAGTTTTCAGTAGTAACAAAATAGACAAACAAAATCTTTCGTGACATCTTGGATCTGGTTGGACTAGCAGTATCCATGCTGACTGAAAACATGAATGGACTCCTACTTTAAAATTGTGCACCGAATAGGCAGGGAGCAAAAATCATCGGCGGATTCCTGTCAGGCATTTGGTCTCGTGCTCTGGAGATTGCGAGCGGTTACTCAACCTTGATGGCATACTTTTGATACTTTTCGGGAAAGGTCTTTGCCAAGGCCTCAGTCACCTTGGCCCATTCCTTGGGATCATTGGTATCTTCACGGCCGGAGTATTGGACCCCAGATGCATAGTAGCCTCCACTCTCAACCGTATCTGCCACTGCCAGATAAGTGGGACAGGCCGCAGCCTGAGTTGCAGTCTTTGTCAGAAAGCGAAAGACATATCTTGCCATAATCCGAATCATCAAAGGTTGGTTGTCCCACATGGCCGATCCTGGACTCGCACCGGGATCGGCGCAGACAGAAGTGACGCCTCGTTTGGCAAGCATGGCGGAGTAGGCCGTGACAAGCCATTTACTTTCCGCATAGTCTTTGTTGTACCCTCCAAAGGTTTCCTTGGTGGAAGGAATCTTGGTAAAATCCATTGGTTTGGGAGCATCGCCGTGAGACATGCTAGTAAGATGAACCAAACGACCATTCTTCTTGGTAACCAATGGTAGAACGAGCTCGGTGAGAAGGACCAGGGACAAAAAGTTCGACTGAAATGAAAGTTCGACGTCGTACTTCGAGGCTTTAAATTCAGATGTTGGGCAATACCCGGCATTGTTGACAAATACGTCAATACCATCGCCGTGAGCTTTTTGCAAGGCCGCGACAAAGGCTTGAATGCTATCGTAACTGCCCAGATCCAGTTCCATCAACTCAATGGATCCTTTTAATTCCGAAGCACTATCAGATCGGCTAAGAACATCCGTTTTGGCCTTTTCCAATTTGGCCATTGTGCGGCCCGTCATAATCACAGTGGCACCGGCGGAAACAAGGGCGAATGCCATTTCTTTTCCCAAACTACCAGTGGCACCAGTGATCACCATGACCTTTCCACTGAGATCTTTCCCTTCGACCCGCTTGATTGAGGTGGTGCGATAGTCATTCCAGTTGTCAAAGGGGACAAAAGCTGCCATTTTCGGTTATCACGATTGGTTGCAATATGAATTATTATAACACTGTACAAATTCTGTTTGCAACAACTGGAGAATCATCATTGACCCTTGTGAGCTTCCAGGATCATTGGCGACGTCCATCGATCCAGAATCCTTTTTCAGGCTCGGGTGAGCCTCAAAAGAAAGATGCCGTCTGAGTGTCGCCAGTGATCAAACGAAACGGACAGAAATCAACGGACACCAACGGACAACTGTATGGACTTCAAATTTGATACGTTTGAGTCCATTGAGTCGAATATTCGATTCCCGTTTCCAGCCAAATCCGGTCCCTAATTCTAGTTACCAAGCTTACGATGCCAAACCTACATCTCTTATTCACGTATGGAGGACTGGCATAATCTCGTTTGGTACAAATTCGTAGTATGCAATCATCCTAGGTCAATCACGCTAGCAATCGAGTCATGAAGTGGAGGCGGCGCCTGGTAATCCGTAGGATTAATATTGCGTCCATGATGATAGTATCATTCGTCATGACAGTGTCAAACTCGATCGACTGGTCCCAACTGATGCAAACGGTTACGAAAATCAAGGACGCAAAAAAAAACTCAGGATAGGGAGCTGACGAAACAAAATGTGTCGGAACTTGACAATAGTGAGCATGCATCATTTGATTGAGCTTTAGTGGGATTGTCCACTGGTTCTGAACCATGTCAGGACTCTATTACATTTTGGGACAGGAAGAGTTCTGCTTTCCAGCTGATTGATTCATTGCAACTTGTGACAGATCTTTCGGTGAATCCAATAGTATAGCGAAGCCTATACACTCGTGCTAGTTTTACTGTAGCCTGGAACCTTGGCAGGTGATTTCAACAGTCGGGATCACTTATCAATACCTTCCCTCTGTCGAGTCATAGCATAATGATTGAATTTAGTCGTCAGCTTTGATCTTTGTCACATAGGCTTCCATTCGTTGCATCAACTCTTCTACATTTTCCTTTTCTTTGGCACTGACCCACAGCAAGCGAGTATGTCCCATTGCCTCTTTTAGTTTCTCACCGAGATCGGCTTTCTTTTGTTCGTATTCATCATTCCCAAGCAATCGCCATGCATCAATTTTGTTGACAACAACTACCTGTGGCATTTCGGCTAGTAATCCCGTGCCATATCGACGAATCTCTTCATTGACCATTTTGTAATCGCCTACGGGATCTTCGCCAGTTCCGTCGACAAGGTGTAGAATGACACGACAGCGTTCCACATGACGAAGAAAGGCATGCCCCAAACCAACACCGTCCGCTGCTCCCTCAATGAGACCGGGAACATCACAAATAACAACTCCGGCACTTCCTGCTGCTTTGTTCTCCCCGCTCCCAGATGCCTGTTGTTGTCCTTTTCTGTTCTTGTCGCCTGGAATCCAAACACCAAGATTAGGAACCACTGTAGTAAAAGCATAATCAGCAATCTTCGGATCGGACCGAGTAACGGCCGCAAGAAAGGTTGATTTTCCTGCATTGGGAACGCCACAAACGGCCACATCGGCAATGAGCTTGAGTGTGAGCCGTGTCCTGTGTCTCTCGCCTCCTTGGGGTCCTCTCCGAGTTCCTCCTTGCTTTTTCCCCTTCAGTGCACCCGTTCCCTCGCCACCTTTACCACCTCGAGCTACAATGAGTGTCGGTTCTTCCAAGGTGAGCGTGCCAACTTCAGATAACCTATAACGATCTTCATCATCGTCAGTTTCCTCTGCTGATGATTCATCGTAATCCAATTCGTCAACCGATCGATCTTGTTCGATGCTAACAACTGTGCCAGGTGGCACGCGAACGATACAATCCTCACCACCACGTCCATTGTCATACATGCGACCTCCATCTACTCCACCCTCCGCTCGGAAACTCTGCAACCGTTCTCCTTTCTTGCGACTAAAACTTGCCAGCGTGTTCAAGCTTGGATCAACATGAAAGACGACATTTCCGCCAACACCGCCGTTTCCCCCGTCGGGAATACCATCTTGTCCCTTTTTCGCCTTCTTAAAAGTTGATGCTCCTTGACCACCTGAGCCAGCCCGAACGTATATGGAAGCTTCATCAAAGAAAGAATATTCGTTTTCACTCGTCTGTAAAGGAGGGGAGGATAGCGACAATTCGTCCGAATCGTTTACCACCGCTTTGACTGGGTTTCCGAGCTCGGATACCCTGATCATAGGCGCTGAGAAAGAGTGACATTTTTCAGGAATGATACAACATGATAGCAACACCCACCGGATGACTTTGGCTTTGTTCATGGTTGATGATGGTGTGTGTTTTCTGGATTTTGGTTCAAAATTTTGATGGCCGGGCAGACTTCTTCGACTGCTTCGAAGGACGAGCGGCGCGTTCGTTTTGATTCATGAGAAAATGATAATGACTATAGAGTGAGTGCATTTCGATCTTCAATGTCGTGAAATCGAATGCCTGTCTCAACTTTCCCCGGAAGGCGGATCACTTACTCGCTCACAACAGCTTCAGTTACTTTAGTAGTATCATCGTGACGAGTTGAAATAAAAAAGCGTATCATGGAGCCATGTATCGTAGATGCTAGCCCAACCCATTCGATCAGGGAACCGCTGCTTGACAAATCCAATAAGGATGAAGATGTAAACAATCCCGAGATTTCTCATCCGATTAAGGACGCAACAGAAGCGGAGGCGACGATTATAGAGCAACTAATGGGTTCGCAGCGCAACTGCTATGCGATTGGGCAGTGGATCTGGCTTTCTTTGGCATGGTCCTACATCAGCTTACTTCCCTACTACCCATCCGCCCAATTCAACGACGCTTTGAATCTACAACGGGTCCTACTTTACCTCTTGGCAATGGTTGGACATGGTTTCTTTCTTGTAATGCTGGCTCGATTCCCAGGACATCAAGCATCGCGCCTCTCCCAAGTAAATGAAGAAACGTTGCCAGCAATCCTTTCTGGGCTTCGTGTGTTCTGTTTTGGTGACAAAAACGTCCCTGTCTGTTTTCTACTGATCAGTGCGGTAGTATTTCTACTCTTGGAAATCTGTGGTGGCTCCGTGTGCCCTGCCCTCTACAGAATCTTGGTTCAGGAGACTCCAATCTTGCATGACATGGAAACAGAGCACTACAAATGTCATCTACAGAGCAAACCCAAACAAACGACGTGCTTGGAAGATGGTTCGGCATCGCAGGAGACTAGTGGTGCTTTGGGTTTTGAAAGCGACAACAATGAAATTAAGGATTTGAATATCACGAAAGAAGCACAACAACGAATTCAATGGCAACGTTCTTGGTTTGCGGTTGGGCAATGGATCTGGCTCCTTTCAGTATGGTTCGTCATTGCACAGTATCTGCTATCCGAAACAGTTCTAGCTACTGAAGATGTGGCTGGAGTGTCTGGTGCAATAGCCATGTTTGGGCACGGAATCAGTCTTGCAGTGCACACCTGTCGTGGTGGAAATAGTGCATCTCTTGGTTGTATCAATCGAGAGAACTTGCCAATGATTTTGTCCGCTTGTTTCATTGTCTCGTGGGAAGATTACGCCAAAGCCGACGATTTTTTGCGTATCATTGCGAAATGTTGTTTACTCCTCCAGGCTTTGGGGGCTGCTAGGCGTTTTACACTTACCATGATATTCAAGACGTTTGCTTCAATGGAAAAAGATCACTTTGAAAGTCTCAAGGAAAAGGAGGCGGACGAAGCTGTCCAGCTCCAAATGCAAATGGAACGCATGTCATATATGGATTCCCTTCCTAGTCGTCGTCATCTTGTCAAAGGGAGAAGCAAACGAGTGATATTGTGTTTCTACCTCCTTGTCGTCCTTGCTGCTGCAGCACAGTATTGTGTGAATCTAATAGATTTCAGGTAGGATCGATATGAATATGTAGTTCGGATTTATATATAGAGAATATAGTTGATGTGTTGTGATGTCTTCCAACACGAAAAAAAAAATATTGTCAGATCCTTTGGACCGGATGCCATTCTATCTTTTGCCCCGATGGAAATCTGGATTTACCCTCGAATCCTACCGGTAGTTGCAGCACAGTATTATGATATCGGAGTGGAATTGACATGGATTTTACAGTACATCTCCTTTTGGTTCTTCTTGTTGCAAAGCAAGTTGCCATTCAGCAGAGCAGTGATATTATAATGTTTTTTCCTTGGATCCACTGAATCAAAGTTGTATGATCAGCAGATGTACATGTAATATTCAAAATTGTAGAACTGCCGTATTTGTAGGTACATTATATTGTTGTTGGAACAACTTCGCGCCATTGTAGCAATCAAGGATGCAGCATGCAATGAGAATGACGTTGTTTCGCTTGGTTTGGTTCGGTTCGGTTTTTCATCGCGTATAGTACCAGGTACTGTAGATAGATCGGGCTTAATTTGTTGTGTGGTAGACAATATTCCAAACAAAACAAACGTCATGTGGGAGACACCAAGCGTATGGTTGTCATGGACGATGATGGAATAGAAGTCGTTGATGTTGCAACAATATTGAATTTTGCTGACTTCTTGCATACATGCTTGAGTGCAGGACCACGAGGTTTCTTCTTGGTACCATCGATGGGTCCTTTAGAGGTAGCTTTCGTGATTGATTGGTTGATTCATTCCTTCATTCATTGATTGGTTGATTTATTCCGCCGAGACAATGTAAAGTTCACAAATCAGCTTCAGTTCGACAGACGAATTTTTGAATTTGGTTGGACATGATGAATGATGGGTGCTACTGTAGTAGACATGTCTTTCAACAAAGGAAGAGCCACTTTGAACTTTGAACTTTACAATCCTGTTTTCCACTGTACGATCCCATGTCGACGCATCGATGCTATGATCAACAGAACTCATCTCGTGGATCTTTTTCAAATCAAAACACGCCAGCCAGCCCTTCTTGTAGGGATCTACCGTACGTGTACGTGTACAGTACCGGTATAATACTGGTGCAGGAAGTAAGCAATGTACACGTACCAGATTTTCTTTGCGGAGGAGAAAAAGCACAGTAATCAAGAACATGACCATGACAACGACAATACGACAAAAACCAAAACTTCTTTCCATGCGTTAGCTGCCTCTCCATTGGTACTGTAGTTGACTTTGGCGAATCTGCCGATGGATGAGGTTTGGGAGGAAAACTACCAGCAGTATTACTGTACAAGTTTTATAATATTATATTCGTTGCAAAAACAAGCAAATCACCAAGCGTCATCCCGCAATTTTGTTTGGCTCTCCATACAAATATATTGGTTGACAATGATAAACTAGCAGGGCATCACCGTCGAAATCAGGCATGGAAATCGGTTCCATTGCGAAAACTACAAGAATGAGTTATTTCAATTCTACTGCAGTGCGGATCCATAATGCAGCCAGATGCACTTTCATGTTGCGAAACCTTGTGATGTCATTGTCAAAACTATGTCAACAAGTTGAACATTTATGATTACCGGAAGGAGAGAGATAGAGAGAGAATGTGGTGGTCTCAGAGTCTGAATCGTCTGGATAAGATGACAATGGATATTAATATACTTCACTCCAGTGTTTTTGGCTGATTGAGTCGACCAAGAAGCCGATACGAATCCCACCATGCGGCAAGAGATGCTTTGGAAATATGAATCTGGCGTCTTTGATCGACCAATCAAGAAGGAAAAAATTCTGCTTTCGAAACATGTAAAACTCCTGCCCAAAAATGTCCAGTGGGGGATGAAGCAGCACGAATGTTTGAAGCAAGGCCTTCCGAGATGTCAATTCATGGTCATTGCAAACATACATAGTATCCCTTGCACGTCTGCAGAGAATCAAGCTCTTGCATCCATTTGTTTCGACGAAAGGAGGGGATTGATTCCGACCAAATGAACAGGGATATACAAAAGTGCTCGGTTACCGCAGCCGTATATTGAATGGCATTGGAGATTCCAATGGTATCAAAATAAAAAGCTGTAATGACATTTCTTGCCAACAATAGGTAAAACGAACTTGACCAGGACTCTTTATTTTATATATATGAAACATTCTTTCTCGACAAGGTGAAATAGTCTGTATCTTGTAGGATTTTTCTATCATTTTTGAATCTCATGCCACAACTATTACATCCATCTATATCAATAATAATGCTTTTTTTATAAAATTAGACTCTTCATGAGTATCCCAACAATGGAAGCTCACTCTTTTTCTGCCAAACCTCATTCACAAATTTGTGCCCTTCTCCAAAGACCTTGACTCGAATCGCAAGAGCCTTGTCATAATACTCCACTGCTTCCTCAAGCTGTGATGGCCGAGTCTCCAATAATACGTCAGCCATGGTGATGTAGATCTTGGCAAGATTTGGGTGGTCCTCTCGTGCATTCTCCAACATGGTCTCGACCGCCTTCTTCAAAAGATCCATAGCGGAGTCTTGGTCACCTCTCTGCGCCGAGTCTTTGGCCATGGAATTGTAGAGCATGGCAACTCTCCAATGATTTTTTCCAAGGGTATTGTGCAAAATAGCAAGAGCTTGTTGGAATTGTTCCCTTGCTTCGTCATGTTTCCCTTGATGCTGAAGAACGTCTCCAATCGTTTGATATGTTAGACCAATGTTGGTGTGGCTGGGTCCAAGTGCCTTCAAATCAATTGCAAGTGTCTTTTGATATTGTTCCATTGCGTCCTCGTATTTGCCTTGATATTCCAGAACGTTTCCAATGCAGTAGTACGTTACTGCCGTATTGGAATGGTCCGGTCCAAGTGCCTTCAATTTGATCTCAAGCGCCCTTTGGTATTGCTCCATTGCTTCCTCGTACTTGCCTTGATCTCTCAAGAATTTTCCAATACAGTGATATGTTGCTGCCGTATTGGAATGGTCCGGTCCAAGTGCCTTCAATTGGATCTCAAGCGCCCTTTGGTATTGCTCCATTGCGTCCTCGTACTTGCCTTGATCATTTAAGACGTTTCCAATCTCGTGATATGTTCTTGCCGTCTTGGAATGGTCTGGTCCAAGTGCCTTCAATTGGATCTCAAGCGCCCTTTGGTATTGCTCCATTGCCTCCTCGTACTTGCCTTGATAATACAAGACGTTTCCAATCTCTTCATATGTTGATGCCGTCGAGGAATGGTCCGGTCCAAGTGCCTTCAATTCGATCTCAAGCACCCTTTGGTATTGCTCCATTGCATCATCGTACTTGCCTTGATCAAACAAGACCATTCCAATCTCTTGATATGTTGATGCCGTCGAGGAATGGTCCGGTCCAAGTGCCTTCAATTTGATCTCAAGCGCCCTTTGGTATTGCTCCATTGCGTCCTCGTACTTGCCTTGCTTGTGTAAGAGGTTTCCAATGCTGTGATATGTTATTGCCGTCGAGAAATGGTCCGGTCCAAGTGCCTTCAATTTGATCTCAAGCGCCCTTTGGTATTGCTCCATTGCGTCCTTGTACTTGCCTTGACTGCTCAAGACAAACCCTATATTATGAAATGTAGATGCCATTTCCGGATGATCATCACATCGAAAGATTTTCTTTTCAATATTCAACCTATGTTCGAAAACTTCCATGGCTTCTTCAAGTTTTCCTTCGTCAACAAGGTGCATCGCAATTTGGTTGTATTTCAAAGCCACATCTGGGTCCATTAAACCCTCTTCCAAACCATTTTCGTGCAATTGTTGATCAAGTTCCTCCCATAGACGTCTTTTTTCTTGATCAAATTTCTGTTGTGCAATTTTGTTACAAGTCTTGGCCACGTCTGGGTCCATCCAACCCTTTGCTTTTAATTGTTGATCTAGTTCATCGTTGAGACGTTTTTGTTCTTGATCAAATTTCTCTTTTACTGTCTTTGACGGTCGCAAATATGGCATTCCACCTTCAATTCCAATGGAAAAGTCGTCAATTGTAGCAACTTGATGTCGTGAAGCTGGGTCTCCGTTGTGGGAGGGTCGATAATCTGGCCCTGCGGGGCTTGCTTCAGAAATGATGTCATCGTGATTCTGCTCTTTTGTTGAAAGCCCACCAATGGTACTTGGTGGTCCGTCAGCGATTGGATCAAGTTTGCTTGGAGCACCGCCCCTCATACACGCGAAGGGATCTTGGTTATCAGGTAGATGGGACGTATGAACGCCATCAGACGTGATTGTAGTGACATCACAAGCTTGATTGCGAGGATCCAGTTCGAGATCGAAACCTGACATATCCGAAGAACAAAGAAATGAAGTATCATAAGTTGAAACCGAGATCCAGTTGAGACTTTGCAACTTTAATTTTTGACGTACCCGCTTCAATCATTGTGTTCTTTTCTTTCAGCTTGTCTAGCGCGTCTCCTTTTTCTTTCTCTTTTCTTTGAAAGAATAATGAAATCAGAATTTATGACCCATGACCCATGATGACGATGATGCGATGATGATGAGATGTGCCGCCGTGGAAATATATTTCTTCCCATAAACGCGAGCACGTCGTGTTTCATTGCATGCTCGCAAGGATGATTTTTCTCCCACCAACAGTCGTCACCAGGCTAAAAAAGTATACTTCGTAGCTTTGAACGTCATTTTCTTCCTACTTTCTACCGGTTCACGTGTACGTGATGCCGTTCCTGCTGCAGTACCAGGGTACACGGATTTGATAGAAATATATTTCTGCACCAAAATGAAACACCAGGAGGTAACAGACATTGGCACAATGGTCATGGTGGCAAAACGCAATGTTTTGTAGTAGCCGGCAACAAAGTGCTCTGGGACGAAGGCTATTGTTCGGCAAAAGGTATACTGTACTGTCGAAGCTATTGTTCGATGAGAGCTCGCGCAGACTCTTTTGTTTATCTATCATGAACTCGGCCGAGCAAGAAGCTGGAGGAGCAGGAGTACAGTAGCAGCGCGACCCAGTCGCAACACTTTCGAATTGGACAATCAAACCCAAGAGACTATCAAGGTGGTAAAGGACTCCCTGTTGCAACAACAGGAGAAACCTTCGAAATTTCCCAGACACAATGGAGGACGAGAAAACGAAATTCATTTACGGTGATCATTCACTTGCGTGGTCTTTCCTACACGACATGCAAGAAATAAAAATTGAGAAGATCCTAAGAATGGAACGCAAGGAGGGAGCCAAGAATGACAGAGACGGACAATTCGAGAACTGCAAAATCAAGAAGGCAGCCACTTCGAGTGCGGCGGACGTCAAGAATGTCAGTTTGACTATGTAACTCGACAAGGAAGTTGGGGCCATAACCCCAATATAAGTTTCGCTACGATTGCAGTATATTGCAAGGGCAATAATCTAGCAGCGGGAGTCATAGCGTCTTGACAAATAAGTTTATAGTCAAAATTCCTCAATCTACCACTGCCTCCAATTCCTTCACGGTGCAACTTGAAAGCTCGTTCTACTTGATCCATATCTGAAGACATCTTTTCCGCATAGTCTCTGCCGACTAATCGACTCTGGCTTCAAACTCTTTCCGCTTGCCTGCAATGGATCGGTAGTTTGTCTCCATGCCCATGATAAGCATTGTCACCTTCAACCACTGCCAATTGCAACAGGCCAGTCCAAGTTTCGGTGGCGCAAAGGCTACTTCAATCCGATATTCTCCCCATTCCATATATGCACCTTGGCCGTCGAAACTATCAGGACCGTTATTTTGCCCGCAGCATAAAGCCGTTCCAAAAGCATTACTCTGGACATGTCGTCATTCGTCAGTCTGATGTTTCTTCCGTCTTTGTTTGAATCGCAAAGTATTCATGCCTTCCACCCATTCGTTTCGTCTTTGGTTGGAGCATCTTCTCCCAGACGTCCTTGGCAATTTCTTCGTCCTTGTCTTGCAAGTGATCTTGTTCTAGGGACTTTCGGAGTGGAGCTTTGGTCAAACCACCTCGGACCAGATCATAAATCTGAGCCGCTGCTTGAATATTCTCATCATCGTTACCACTGTCACTATTATCATTATCATTGTCCTCATCATCGTCATATTGAGTGACTTGATCAATCATGTGCAGCATATTGGCAAGATCTTGTCCCAAGGATTCTTGATCCTTTGGACCCATGGCCTTGAAATCAATGAGCGCCAATTTGGACAGTCGATCAAGTTCTTCCTCCGGAAGCGGTGGACGTTTCGCAGTCAAATCCAGATCCCGTATCGACCAGGTCGGTTTGGGAATTTGGAAATCGTTCGAGTCGTTGTCAATACTGCTGCTGTTGCCATTGCTACTATGATTGCGGGCAATTGGATTCGTTTGAGAGTTGTTATTCTGGCGACAAATGCTTTCTGGTTCGAGTTGGCGATGACTGCTATTCCATGCTGATGCTAGGAGTGAGTGGCAGCGAACATTTCGTATTCTTTTGGTGATAATTGATGAACCGATCATGTTGCAAACTAACATCGCAATCATTGCGATGAGGACGATGACGCAGATTGAACATACTACGAACGAAATGATTTTGGCGCTTTTCGTACACGTACCGGTACCGTATGGCGGAAAGACAATATGCCCCCTTTTTACCCCCCTTTACCATTACGTCCCCTCATCAATGCTGGTATACGTATCTTTTTCTTCTCACGTTACACGATCCACTCTTCTGACCCAGCATCATCATACTGTGCTGTAACTGTAACGGCACAACCCAACTAATGAGTGAAGCCACATTAAGCGAATTCATCACACCATCAGTCGCAATCGCAGTGTTGGGCATTATTGTATCGTCATCATTCTTCTTCAAACCTACTTCAGCCATGACAATTATTAAGCATTCGCAACGAACCGTCTTTGGATCCAAGGTTACCATCGAGATTGATGATGACTGCTTTCCTACGGACAAAGAAATCGAAACCATGGACGTGAACCTTCCAGGATGCCAGCACGATTACTTTGAATCGAAATCCCATGGCGGTGCCAAGTTGCATTACCGATACTGGCTACCACCAAAGGGAAATGTCAAGGGAGTTGCCGTGTTCTTTCATGGCATCAATTCGCATTCGGGACGTGGATTTGTCGTCGATGGACGCAAACTTTCGTTTTCACTCATGACCGAGCAATTTCTGAACCAAGGGATCGCCCTTTACTTGATGGACCAGTACGGTCATGGGTTTTCAGAAGGATCTCGCTTCTTGATCAAGAAATGGGAAATGAACAAGCAAGATTGCATTGATTTTGCCAACTTTATCGCTGAAAAGTATAGTGCTGATTCGAAGAAGAAGGCTCCTCCCCTCTTTATCGCGGGAGAATCCTTTGGAGGATGCATGGCCATTCACACATCCAAGTACTGTCAAGATACTGCCGATACTTCCCCCGCTGGAAAGTTGTTTGATTCCATGCTCTTGACGGCACCAGCCATTCATGCGGATCTTCCAGGTTTTCCAGTCTATCAAATTCTGCGTTATATTATTGCACCTCTCATGCCCACGAAACGGCCGTTCTTTATGCCACATCCCATTCCGGTGAGTAAACCACGTATAGTGCAACAGGTCGCATTGGACTTTTTGTCATCGTGACAATGAGGATGAAGAATGGAAAAAGGAATGAATCATAATCATCATCTCATCCCTTTTCCAATGTTGTGTGTAAAACGTAGCCCGAACGTATCTGGAGAGACCAGCGAGCCATGGAATTCTTTACCTCTCCTCAAAACGAAAAATGGGGGTTGGAAGAAGCTGGCAAAAAGCTTCGGCTAGGAACTGCATTGGGATGCGTCGTGGCCATGGAGAATGCCTGCAATCACGTCATTCCCGAATTCTCAGTTCCCTTTTGCATCATTCATGGGACTCAGGATGACGGGGTTCCCATTGCCGGATCGGAATTCATGATGGAAACATGTCAAACACTAGAAGAGGACAAGGAACTCCACGCTATGGACGGAGCGAGGCACGAAGTCTTTTGTGATCCATTGGCGGAAGAAGCCATTGGGCATTGGATGAAGTTTCTAAAGAAACGATTGGACAAACAAAGCTAAAAGAACAAGTTCGAAATCACGGGATGAAGAAACCAATCTGGCGCAAGGTACTACAACGGGATTTTGTCGAACAAATCAGAAAGAAGGCTTCATAGTACTAGAACGGCCCAGTGCATATTGCATATTTATCCACATTAAATTCCTCTTATCTTGCATTTTCACCTACATAAGCTTCCCAACGATGGAAGCTCGTTATTTTTCGTTAAAACCTCAATCACAAATGGATGTGTGTGCTTCACCAAAGACTAATCTGGCACTGTTGCTTTCAGCCTTGATTGAGAACCATTATATTCCTTTGTTAAAAGTCCAACAACAGAATAACTTGGAGCATCGCCCCTCATATTCGAGAAGGGATCTTGGTCAGGTCTAGATGTGCCTTCACTTTCATCACAATCCACCTGATGATTATGATTCAGTTTCAGTTTGTTGTTGTCAGAACAAGGTCCTCCAGTGGACAAGCATTCTTCGCTCTCAGGTCGTGTGACTTTACTTTCATCACAAGCTTGATTATGATGATTCAAATCGACAAAAGTTTCAGTCATTGTGTTATTTTCGTTCAGTTGATACGTCCCTTTTGAAAGAAGAATGAAATCGTAATTTATATGAGCAGAGTATCAGGGCAGGCACGCTTTTTTATGAATATATTTCCTCCAAAACGCGCTCGTCGTGCGCGCTATTACTTCCTTGAAACCCGCTTCAAGAATACCTACCGGTACACGTGTACCGTACCACAGTATTTCAAAATACACGTGTACACAAAAATAACGGATTGGATACCGGTAGAAATATATTTCAAAACATAAAATTATGTCATGATGACGACGATCATAAAACGGAATGCTTACAGTTGTGTCCAAAAGACACGACAACTGAATCGACTTCTTGCAGCTACTCATACTTCTACAGTCAACATCAAACCATATTGAAGACCGCCACAAAGCCCCAACCTACAGCAGCGAGACCTAGTTGCAGTCCTTTAGAATTGGGCGGTCAAGACCAAGAGACTATTAAGGCGGGAAAGGAGGCCCTGTTGCAACAACAAAGACCTTCGAAATCTCCCAGACACAATGCTCCAGAGAAAGCAAAAGAGGCAAAACCAGGAGGAATGGAGGACGACAAAAAGAAATCCAGTTATGGAGGTCATTCAGTTCTTTCCTTCCAGATCGAGCATGACATGCAAAACATAAAAATTGTGGAGAAACTAAGAATGGGAAGCAAGAAGGACAGAGTATACAGTGGTTCAATGATGGACGATAAGCCTCATGGCATGATTTATGATAACGGCCGGGTACTCATCGGAAATTGGTGTGTATCGATGGTCATTTGCTCCCTTCAAGCATCAGGTCGTCAATACTCACCTACTGTCCCTCTTCTTTCACAGGGCACATGGAGTCTTCCAAGGCCAAGGATGTGCAATCTATGAGAACGGGGATAAGTGTTTTGGGTCCTTTTTGAAGGGCATGGCGGATGGCTACGTAACTTACATGACAAAGTTCTCCAAGTACGTTGGTGATTTCCAAGAGAATACCCGGCATGGGAACGGAGTCTATAATGACATTCAAATGGGCTTATACAATGGTGACTTTGTCGCTGGTAGGTTCGAAGGCCTTGGTGTGCATACAGCAATGAATGGGAACATCACAAAAGGACGTTTCGAGAACTGGAAAATCAAAAATAAAGCAGCCACTAGCAATGAGGCTGACGTCAAGAAAGCCTGCTCGAAGATGTAAAGCGACGAGGAAGCTGGGTCCAGCGCCCTTCATATGCAGACAGAAGTCTCGCTTTGCAAATTCCAAACGATATCCATAGTACATTCCTCTTATATTTTATGCATCTTCTACCTCCTCAACTTCCGCGTCTATTACCGTATCATCAGCGGAAATTGCTTTGGCAGGGGCATTTTCTGGATTGAAAACAGCTTTGAAGGTTGCAGTGAATTGAAGGTCGTCTCCCACCTTGTACGCCTTGGCCATGTCGGGGACATTTTCCAAAACTTCCACTTCTCCTTTGCTATAGCATTAGAAAATAGAGCCAAGCAATCAATGCATAAATCGTATAAGAGTGTCGTCATGCAACAAGTGAATGAATCAAGAAAATGGCGTCAGATACAAATGATTTGTCATCAATTATCCCTCGCTGCATCACCATGGCGCCATATATATATATATTGCGTACCTTCCGGGGAGGGACTTTAGACCATACGCTTCTACAGCAGACTTGACAGTTTCAATGATACCCTCTTGCACAGCAAATCCCTTGATTTGTGGCATGGCATAAGGAGGAACTTGACCCTATTATCATGTTATCGTTTGACAAGACAAAGAAAGATGGAAAGAAGAATGAATCATTGCAAATAGGTGAGATTCATGCTTGTAAGTTTCTCATCGAACCTCAGAGTTCATTCTCTCATGGTCCGTACCTTTCGGAATCCAGGAAAGTCGGCCTTTTTGGCGGCATCCTTCAAGATTTGTGTATTCATTTGCTTGATCAAAGCACCCTCGGCAGTAGCAGTGAGCCAGAATTTGTAGACGGTACCATCCTCATCCTGGACGCTATCAGCTTCTCCCATGTTCTTCATACGGCTTCCAGGCATGGTCTTGACTGCAGTCACTTCCTCTCCACCTTCGGGCTCGGGAATCAACTCGATCGAAGCGGCGAGGGCAGAAGGTCGAACAGTCACCATTGGCGATTGGCTCACAAATGCGTTGGCAACATGATGGGAAAGAAGTGAAAGGGTCAAAGCGATATAGTAGACTTTCATTTTGGAACTGTTGAGGCCAATTGTCTCCTGAGTGTTGAATGGATGACAGAAGTTTTTTGTGATGTGTTGGTTGGATGATTGTGTTCCAATCCCGAGTCAGTCGAATGACGTTTTGATGGTCGCAGTCTGTCATGCGCGCCTCCAAGATACAGAATGATCCAAATCTTATTAGCGTAAAAAATAACTTCGAATCCAAAACACCGCAACGAAGAAAAGATGAGAACATGCGGGTATTCTCACTTGTTTGTGAGCCTCCTGTGGCTTATATCCAGCTGTTTACCGGCTTCTAAAGCCTCACTGTATCCGCCAGACCAACAACGCTTGGAAGCAATCCGAGCTGAAGCAACGGAAGAAGCAACACTATTGGATGAAGAATTGGATTGCGGCATGCGGCGTTTGATGCTCAAGGCTGCCAAGAAGGCTGTTCCTTGGAGGAAAGATATGTTTGACGTTTATCAAGCTCTTGAATTGGAAACTAGATGTCATGATCGAGCAGAGCTGGAACCCGAAGAATCATCGGTATCCTACGTCCGACGCCAACTATTGCAAGACGAGTCTCCACAACCTCAACTGAGGTCTTTTCCATTGGATCCTTCTCAATTCACGGTACATGTGTGCTCAGCGGTTGGTAATGATTCACATGAAGGGAGTCAGAAACGTCCGTTTGCATCCTTTGAGCGTGCCCTTGAAGCAACAAGAACCTTTGTAAAAGACTTTCAAAAGAAGATGGGAAGTAGCAATGACAATTTTGCCAATGTTCACCACACAGGCCCAGTCCCCAATCGGACCATTATTTTGCACGACGGTATTCATTATCTAGGCACTACGGTTCATCTCTCGCCCATGGATTCCAATCTTACTATTCGAAATGCCCCTGGTGAAGAAGCTTGGTTCTCTGGCGGCAAGCTGATCAAATCCGCCGACGTGGATTGGACACGAACCGAGTCCAATGAGAACATATGGATGGCAAGTCTTGCCAATTCTAAGATTGAGGCGGTGACAGGTTTGTTTACCGTAAAGGATCACCAACGAATGACGCTGGCACGATTCCCAAATGCCAATGTGGAAGAGTGGGACAGTCCCAACCGCTATGTTTCGCGCAATGATGTAGCCGAATGGACATTCCCACCGTTTGGAAAAGTGCCCGAATTCTACTCGATTGACTTGACTCAGCCTGACAACCCAACTGGTCATGTGAAGAATGATAGTATTATGGATCAATACAATTCCTATGGTACCGGTCAAGGTGGAGCATGTGCAACCGTTTGGGGAGACGAACCATCCTATTGGTGTAGCAATCTAGCAGGTGGTGGATGGGCAGAAGTGGATAAGGCGGCCGCCTTGGCAGGTCGCATGAATATTCCGCGGGGCATGGTACTCAACAATGCTGCCTCGGAGATATTCCAACGCTCCAAGAATTGGAAAGATCCAAAAGGAGCAATTGTCCATGCTGCGCACTCACAGGGATGGAGTTGGCACATGTTCAATATTTCTACTGTGATGCACAATGAAACTTCCGTGACCATCGACTTTGATAAAGGAGGATCTCAGGGTGGTCGGAATTGGGAATGCAAGGACGGGAAGGGGCACTTGACTGATTGTGACGGGGATGACAAGATGTTGGAAGGCGGCAGCTGGTATGTGGAAGGAATATTGGAAGAACTGGATGCACCTGGAGAGTTCTACTTTGATGAAGACACAAAGCATCTCTACTTGTATCCCATGAAAAATTGCACCGACAAGTCAAAGAGCTGCATTCCGGACATGGTGGCTACCAACCTGCAGACCATGATCAAGATCGAAGGTACGATGGATGTTCCAGTTCAAAATATTCGCATACAAGGGATCGGATTCCGAGATGCCGCCAAGACGTACATGGAACAGTGGTCCGCGCCAAGTGGAGGCGATTGGGCTTTGCATCGGGGAGGGGCGATCCACCTAGAAGGTACAGAGGACGTGGCGATTGTGGATTCAAAGTTTCACAGACTGGATGGCAATGCCATTATGCTCGGTGGCTACTGTCACGATACTCAAATCATGAGATCAGAATTCTCTTGGCTAGGAAATGGTGCGATTGCCACCTGGGGTGATACCGATGGTTACGATGCCACTGTGCCATCTCAGCCTAGAGGTACCGTGGTCTCACATAATGTCATGTCGAATCTTGGTCTATACCAGAAACAGAGTTCTGGTTTTGGGCAAAACAAAGCTTGTCTGAATACAGTCACTGATAACGTCATGTTCAATCTTCCAAGAGCTGCGATCAACTTCAACGATGGCCTCGGAGGAGGCAACATGGTTCGAGGAAATATCATCTTCAATTCGTGTAGGGAGAGTGGAGATCATGGACCAATCAACAGGTAAGAAATCGATAGTGGACGCGCTACTGCTATTGTGTCATCTATAGTCAAAACTCTAACTACTTTTGTCTTTAGCTGGGATCGAATGCCATTTCTGACAAACACTACCGGAACAGGACCGTCATTCACGCCACTTCCAACACATACAACGAAGAACTTTATCCTAGCAAACTATGGGGCTTCTGAAGGCTTCGACAACGATGACGGAAGTTCATGGTATTACACTTACGATAATGTGTTTTATGCAGCCGATGGATTCAAAATGGACTATGGTAAGTCTACTGTCGTCTTCGCCTTCCGCGACAGCAAGTCTTACTGATCCTTATCGCTTCACAGGAGGCCATGATTCTCGATTCTATGGAAATCTTGTGTACGCTACCAACAAGCATTGCTTTGGAACCGGTTCGTTTCATAAAGATCATGCGGATACATTTTTCAACAACACTTGTATATTGGCCACTACTCGCAATCCAGCAGATACCAAGGTTGGAACACTCTATCAGTGCTCGACTGATGGAATGAACCCAACACAGAATCGATACCTGACACAATCGGGCAATGCAACGTGGTCTTGCTTGCCACACTCAGAATTGTTCACGTTGGCTGAAATGCAGGATATGGGGTTTGAGGCCAATTCATCAGTTGGAACCATTCCTGATGCAGGGAGTATCATCTCAATGGCAAAGGAAATTCTAGGAATGCAAACTCTATGAGGTGAAATCAAGATAATGTTAGCACTTCCATGAGCGGAAGCTTCTAAAAACTTAAAACCGCTCAGACCGGCGGATTCGACGCAAGAAATGATGATTCATCTACAAACTCTTTCGCACTAAGATAATTGCAGAAAGCTGGCTCTCGCTAGAATGGAACTTGGAATAACCCTTGACTATTGAAGGAGTCTCGTCTCGCCTGCTCTTGTGGACTTGATACTCGTTGCTCGTATTGCGCGTTGCTATTTAGGACCGAATAGAATAATGTACAGATAACTATTTGTTCACTCGCTCAATAGCCAGTTCTGTCCTCTAGGATTGTTTTCAATAATCGCGTCTCGCGCAGGCCCGGTGCAATTCTTTTCGTGAATAAAGCATGCGGCATAAGATTCAAAGTTTACTACTCCACAGATGTCACAAACCCATCGTTTCTTCTTTACGCCCAGCTGTCGGTGCCGGTGAGTGGGATGAGCCTTTGCCATGGTAGGAGCATGTTTGGACTCATTAGTCAACGACGAAATCCTTGACCATGGAGACACTTCGGCATTCCTGTTTGGTAATCTTGTTTCAGAATTGTACTTGTTGTGAGTTGCAAATGTCTGTTGATCATTTTGACGCATATGTGAGTCTCCTGTAGTCATTCCGGATAGTTTCGTCCAGTTGGCGATGAATTCGTTGGCCAGTTTTTCCTTCTCCTGGTAGACCCTCATGAGTCGTTCCTTATCAGACAGTGTACGACATTTGAAAGCTGGAGTTGACGTCTCCGTAAAGGGATTTTGTTCAACTTGAAGCATACGCTCTCCGTCAAACGAGTCTTGTCGCGATTCCACTTTGTAGCCCCTCTGAAACAATTTCTTGTATTCATCATTGGACTCCATTCGGCTTGCAAGTTTCGGAGAGTGATACGTTGTACGAAAACCAGCTTTACAATGCCTCCCGTATCGGAAACTTTCGTTCCACTTCTCAGAGATTGGTCGACAATCAGCTTTTGGTATGCGCAATGTCGAGTCGTTGTTTCCTTGCCGCTCGGATTCTCGAGACTTATATTCTTTCCGCGGAACCTCTCGTTTCTTTTCTTCCTGCAGTGGTGTGACTACGTTGCTTCTCTTCACAACTTGTGGAACACAGATATTTATATTCGGGATAGAATGCCGACCCTTGGCTTCTACTTGCACCCTCGTTGATCTCTGCGCCCGTGTCACTGGTTTCCTTTTGGATTTGAATCCCTTTTCTGTCTTCTCGAAAGCCCAAGAACGTCTTCTGGAATCATCTTTCCATTCATTTCGTATCCGTGAAGACTGATACCCTTCCCATGAGAAACGCTCGCGTGGTGTCTGTAGTGTTTTCCGTGATTGAAAGTCTCTTCTGAAGGTTGTGTTGTCTCTCCATTCCTCACTAGCACGAGCCGCTTCTTGTTTTTCGCCCTTTGCTGAAATGCTCTTCTGGCTCCCAGAAAATAGTATTTTTAGAAAGTCGGTTCGCCGTGTCTTCGCCTTTTCATCCCTTATTGTTGCCGAAGTTTGAACAAGTTCCCTTTCTTGTGTATGATGCGAGATGCTCTTTCTACGACTTTCGCAAGACTGTTGGTTTCCGTCCTCGATTTGAATGGCGTCTTGCGCCCTTTCCCCCCTTGTTGACAACCCTCGGTCTTGACAATGATCTCGTTCCTGTGAAATGGATTTGCGACTCTCTCTGTAGCTTTCACAAGACTGGCGGTCTTCTTGTTTGCCTTCAAATAGTCGCTCTTCATTCTGAGATGAATTTCTCGGTGGGCTCGATGGTACTGGTGAAGCCAAGGGAGATGAATTTCTCGGTGGACTCGGTGGCACTGGTGAAGCCAAGGGAGATGGTCGCTCTTCTTTCTTTATTGAATTTCTCGATGGAACTGGTGAAAATAAGGAAGATAGTCGCTCTTCTTTCTGAAATGAATTTCTCGGTGGGCTCGGCGGCACTGATGTAAGCAAGGGAGATGGTCGCTCTTCTTTCTGAATGTAAGTTCTCGATGAAACTGGTGAAAATAAGGAAGATAGTCGCTCTTCTTTCTGAAATGAATTTCTCAGTGGGCTCGGCGGCACTGGTGTAAGCAAGGGAGATGGTCGCTCTTCTTTCTGAATGTAAGTTCTCGTTGGGCTCGGTGGCACTGGTAGTAGTACCAAGGAAGACTGGCTGACTCTCTGTGATTGTCTATCAGCGTCAGTCTCCCTTTCGTCCAGCTGTGTCCCTGAAGCTTGTTTGCTTGAAGCAGGTTTCTGTATATTCTCAATAGACTTCCTGCTTTGAATGGATGGGACACAACGCCATTTGGTTTCCTCGGCTTCTACTGCATCGGCACCAATGCTCTTCTCTGGAGAAGAGGTCTCCTCTGTTTCTACTGCATCAGCTGTACTGCTCTTCTTTGGAGAAGAGACGGTTATCTTTGTTGGTGTCATTGGTTTTGACGGCGATTTGTCGAGAAGGGTACCACCAGATTCCAACATCCCCTTGGACTGAATAAAGCTACCGCTTACTTCTTGTTGCTTGCCATAAACTGGAATGCTTCCACCTTTTGCCTTTGCTAACAATGCAGCAATTTCCATATGGTCAGAGCAACTGTCATCTTCTTGGTTTGATGACTTTAGACTCATTGTAGAGCTGTGCTCTTCCGACGATTCAGACCTGCTGTCGTCGTCACTACTCTGATGAAAAGTTCTTTGACCATGCCCATGTCGCCCCTTCAATCTCCCAGATGCATTCAATCCTAGCGAAAAACGTGATGAATTTAGAGACATGTTGTCTTTCCCTTGGTCTGCTGCATTAATATAGCGAGATGTGGGTGGTATTCGTTGCTGCGATGGCGCATATTTGGAATTTGACGGTACTCGAACTGATCCGGCCTGTGGTGGCAATTCCAGTGATTCCTCGCTGATACTGCTGATACTGTGGATAGATTGTAATTCCTCGATGGACAATTCTGAGGACTCAATGGAAAGTAGTCTCCTTATCTCCACATCTGGCTCATGGTCCACCATGGTGGATGTTGCTGTGTTCAATTGAATAATTGCCACCACATGGAAAAATTTAGCGATAATGTGTCCGTTGAATAAGTCGACTGAGTCGAATTTCAGACCTGGGATTTTGAAAGTGAAACAAAATTGATGCCACATGTTTCACAACAATTCATTCACATGATGATTACCATCACTTTGAAATGGCAAAGAAATGAAATTTATACCAAGATCTGCCTCCATCCGGTGGCAAGATGTCTCACAAATCGAAAGCCCAGCGATTTTTATAAGCTTACATTTCCAACCAAGCAAAAACAATGTGCTTCCGACAAATCCAATCCATCATCTTCGCCATGACTGTGGTGTCTATTGCCACTAGAGTCGAATCAACCCATTTTAAAATCGATGACTATATCGAGATCAGACAGAAACTGTCCAAGAAGACCTCTGTCGAGATTACCCTGGCACCAAAACATGCCAAGAGGGGTCCATCTTCTTCTTCGGTCAAGAAAGGAACAGGTGCAAGTACTACTGTGGCATCAAAGTCTACCAAGAGAGCCTCTGCGGCCAAGGGGGGTGCAAGTATCGTGACACCAAGGTCTGCAAAGAAGCCGATCATCATTGACACCACCAACCAAGACGTCTTTGCCGAGTTTGATTTCTCAATGTCCCTGTCTTTTTCTGATTTCTTGGGAGTAACTGACAACAACGAAAGCAAGATACCCAAGAAAGGGGTCACCTCCAAGAAGCTTCGCACCGGAAAATCTGGATCAAGACGCAAGCAACCTAGTTCAAGACCAACGCACATTCCAAGTCCAAGCCCATCCACTCTAGAACCATCGAAATCTCCGACCTTTACTCCAACAATGGAACCTACTACTCTTGAACCCACTCTTGTTCCCTCGCCGTTGCCAACCAATGAACCAAGCAATAGTCCCTCGACTGAGCTTCCAACCATTGTGCCCACACTGGATGATTCTTCTAGTATTTTTCCGTTTAGCGATGTGCCTACCACTTCTTTCACTGACGAACCCACCGGTCGTTTCACCGATGAGCCAACCATTCTACCGACCCCATCTGCTACCTTTCTTGTACCTCTTCCCGCCGGAGACGATGACGACGCATTCATTGAGCAAAACAATACCGATGGCAATGGAGATGACATTTTCGACGATGACCTCAGTGGTGGTGGCAACAATAATGTCACGGACGATGATATTTCTGTCCCAGACACAAGTGTTGGTGGCGACAATGATACAAATGTGACACCATTTATTGCTGGTGTCGTCGGTCTCTTTGTCCTCATTCTTGGAAGCCTCGCCGTTTTCCGCAAAAAGAAGCGCTCGGGTGAATCCCGTCCTTCTGAAAATACAGTCTAAGCTGTGCGGTCGCCGTTGTCTGTATACCCAGTTGGCCGATTGGCATATATTATAATTATTATTTGTAACCTCTTTCACACTAGAACTATTTTCTGTCATTATTTTCATTCATTAATACTATGTACTACATTTTGATCATGATGATGATTGATTGCATGGCAATTGCAATTGCAATTGCAATACCTATAACTGCACCCTCATCTCCGCCGACAGGTCCGACAAAGTGCCATTGGACCCGTGACCAACAATCGAGTGGTTACCGCAAAGTACAGAATCACAAGACAAGCAATGGGTACCACCCAGGCAGGTCCATAGATATTGGAAATACTCCAAACGATCGCCACAAAGCTGGTAAAGAATGCCGTGACAAACAAGGCGCACATACTGACAAAGAATGTGTAGTTGCCTTGGATGGAAAGCAACCTCCCAGCAATGCACCTTCCAAAAACACTGCAGTGATGATCGTAGTCTTTCACACACCGTTGACATGTATTACAGTGATAATGTTTTCCATCTTTGGATCTTCGCCACACCAGACAGCGAACACAGTAGGTGTCTCCCGATCGATCCAACGCTGCCAAATAGTTATTTCCAGGAGGAACGAATAGTCGAACTCCGTCTCCTTTATGCTCCAAATAATCTCGGAGTGCCGGTGTCATTTGTTCGGGAATCGGAAAGCATGTTTGCTGGGACCGCGGAACGGCACCGGGGTCCACCATCAGCATCGCCATAAGACCAAGAATGGCCAGCCCCGCCTGACTGTATATCAGTATGAACAATACCCACCATATAGTACTGTGATATTCAAAACCATCAAATGCTTCCAAGGCAAGACCATGAGTCGTTCCAACAAAGAAGAAGATCGACAGCAGCACCACTATGATTCCTCCATTGCGTTCTCTTTGCTTATTGTGACGGGGTATCGGAAGGGGTGGAAGCATCGAAAGGGTAACGTTGGTCAAGCTTTTGTGTCTGGTTTTATGGCCTACTTCAGCCTGCTCTTCAACAGCTTGCTCTTCAACCTGCTCTTCATATTCAGAGTCGTCCACTTGCTCTGAATCTGAGATCTCCCCTCCATTCTCTATCAGGTCTATGATGAAATTTTTGTCCATGCTTTTTATTGTTTGTGTTGCGCAGAACCAGGTAATAGTGTCACGGTCTGTCTCTTTATATTTTGTTTATCGTCGTCGCGTGGTGTCTTCGTGTGCCATAATGTGACTGTAACCCACAGAACAACTGTTGATCGCGTTATTTTGAATCGTTGCGTTATCCAGTAGTGATTGCGCGATTGAATCTGCGCGGTAAATGAAATCCACCAACACATCACAATAAAAATCATCACAAACAATAATATAGCACAACAACACCCAAAATGAAATTCATTGCATTGGTTTCTGGGGGCAAAGATTCCATCTATTCTATATTGCAGTGTATACGAAATGGTCACGAACTGGTAGCAGCCGTTCATCTTGGTGCTCCAGAATCAACGGATGAGGAATCTTACATGTACCAAACAGCGGCTTCAGAAGTCGTCAAGACCCAAGTCGAGGAGTGTCTGCAAGTCCCCCTGGTCTTGTATCAAAGAACAGGCAAAAGTCTCAACACTTCGCTCGTGTACGATGATTCGAACAAACAAGATGAAGTGGAAGATTTGTACAATGCTCTACTCGAAGCCAAATCCAAGTTTGACTTTGCAGCAGTCTCGTCGGGAGCTGTCTTTTCGACCTACCAACGGGTCCGGATTGAAAACGTGTGTAGGAGACTTCAGTTGACGTCTCTGTCATATCTATGGCGGTTTCTTCCTCAAAAGGAAATGTTGCAGAAAATGATTGTCGACGATGATGGAAGAATTGAAGCGGTTCTAGTTCGAACGGCAAGTCCACCTGGACTGTTACCTCGAAAGCACTTGAATAAAACCTTGAGCTTTCTTTGGCACACGGGTGTTTTGGAACGGTTACATCAACGATACCAATTTCATCTCTTGGGAGAAGGTGGGGAATATGAATCGTTAGTAGTAGATTCGGGTCTGTTCAAAAAGAAGCTCGTCTTGGATGAAGTCACAATCGAGGAAACTGACGACGAAGTCGGCGTCCTTCGAATTCTAAAGTGTCACGCTGAAGAGAAGGGAGAAGACGATATTCCAATTTTGAACATTAATGAGATATCACAGGGTAGTCCTAGCAACAATGATGCCAAAGATTCTTCTGGTACTGGACAGAGTGATTCGCATGATGGTCCATCCAAACCGCAGGATTTGAAGATTGATTTCTTGCCCCAGATTTGCGAAAGTACAGGAGGCCTCATTCATGTGTCGGAAATCATGGCACCTTGTGCTGCAACTCAAAATGATGATGATCAATCTCAAACAACAACGACGACCGAAGCTGAGCTAGCGGTTCAAGAGGCGATTCAGATCTTTTCGATATTGAAGAAATCGTTGCAATCTTGTGGGGCAACGGTGCAGGATGTCATGTTTGTTCATTTGTATCTACGCAAAATGTCTCACTTTGCGACAATCAACGCACATTACGAAGCTTGCTTTGGGTCTGTCCTGCCACCATCTCGAAGTTGTGTGGCGGTTGGGAACTTGCCTGGCGGAAGGAGGGTACTGTTGGACTGCATGATACAAAAGGGAAGTGGAGACTACATGAGGTCCTCTGGTTCTTCGCCATTGGCAGTCGCAGCCCGTGCGACTTTGACATCCAAATTGAGGCATGTACTACACGTGCAGTCTATTAGCAACTGGGCGCCGGTTTGTATCGGTCCCTATAGTCAATGCAATACGCATCGGTCGTCGCTTCATTTTCTCGCGGGACAGATTGGGTTGATTCCCTCCAAGATGCAGTTACACTCTACTTGGGATCAGCAATTGACACAATGTTGGACGAACGTGGCCTCCGTTTTAGATGCTCTGGACGGTGTCTCTTTGAAGCAACTCTTTTCTAGCCTCATATATGTCGTGCCAGAGATCTTCTTTTCTGCAAGTGGCATGGATCAAATTGAAAGGATAACCAGCAAATCGCTTGCCGAGAATGGTACCGTGGTGGCAGGAAAGATCGATGCAGCAGCAGAAGACGATCCATATGGCGGGTACGAAGACGAAGATACCATGAAGGAGATGGAGGGCGACAAAGATGATGCTGATGAATCTGACGCAAAGTTTCCCATGCTTGTGGTTGCGATACCCGAGATGCCAATGAATGCGTCCATAGAAGTGGAGGTTGCTGCCGTCACCATCGAAGTTGCTTCATGTTTGGATGTCTCCGGCTGCCAATGCACCGACACGTATGGGAACAGAGCGAGGGCGAGTACACCAAAACAAAGATGGGATACTGGGCACGGGGGTCCGGAGTCGATTGAAAGCAAAACTGAAGACATACGAATCGATGCTTATTCACGGGTCATTGGTCATGGCTGTGCGGCTTCTACGTTTGTTGCTGCCTCGTCAAAAGCAACAGTAAGCCGAGTCGAGCTGCAGCCGGTTGACCTCATTGCGGACATGTTTGCTACGGTCACGAAGTGTTTGTCCAAGGCTAGGTCGGGACTTCGACCCCGGAGCGCTATTCATGTACGTCTTTACCATCTCAGTGCACAAGACGATGGCATTCATTGGAGGACAGCCTTGCATTCGGCCATGGCCTCATGGGAGGGCATGGGGGCAAACCTTCCAGCTGCATCAGTTGTTCCTGTACAGGGAATTTCTACGATCAATATGGAAGGCTTGTCGAAGGAATTTTCTACCTTCCTGGGCATGCAAGTGTTTGCGATCGATCCTGTACATTTGCAAAATGAACAATTAATGTACACCGTCAACCGTGACGAACTACTTTAGGATGTTTCAGCTTGATTTGGGGACTTAGTTCAATCTTGGCTGGGCGTTACGAATACACAAGCTGATCATTTGCGTTTGATTTTAGTACACAGTTATGCTATTTGTACTAGTCTGAAGTTATACGCACAGTGAACGAACCTTGGTCAGGTAGACAATCCTTCAACCTTCGATGAACAAAAGTAATCAGTATGAGGGCAATGTGCACTCTCTGGGGCAGTTAGGGTTGCCGATTGAGGGAACCCACGCAAGTATCAGTTGTGGCTGAATCAGCATTGTGGTTTCCTTTACAGCTTGCAGGATAGGTGAAAATATTCTGATTTGCTCGAATCAAAAAATTGGTGGACTTTGGATGTCACGAAAGTCGTCTTCGGAATAGTCGTCGGCATATTCATTAGTTAAATGTCTCCCACTCGCAATATCATAGTCCATATCTTCCAATAGAGGCTCTTCACTAGGCTCCGCCTCGCTCTTCCTTGCAGGTCTCCATTTCTTTTTCTCCGTGCCATAAATTGGTGGACTTTGGATGTCACGAAAGTCGTCCTCGGAATAGTCGTCGGCATATTTATTGGACAAGTGTCTCCCACTCGCGATATCACGCTCCATATTTTCCATCAGAGGTTCAGGTTCGACGCGATTCGCAGGTTTCCATTTCTTTTTCGGCGTACCGTAAATTGGTGGACTTTTGATATCACGAAAGTCTTCCAACTGGTTGGATGAAGAATACAGGTTCGAGATATGGTGGGTTTTCTTCTCCGACTCAGCTTCGGTTTCGGTAGGCTCGGGCTTGGGGCCGCTCTTGTTTGCACTGGTCCATTTTTTCTTTGTATCTCTTGTGGATTGGGTATCAAACCAACTGGCAGGCTGTCTTGATGGACGGACATTTTCCTGTGATGAAGGGTCGTCCTGGTTTCCTTTCTTTCCTTGCTTGCCGTACGAAGCCGTGACTTTGGATTTGGCATCAAACCAGCTGCTGCTATCACTAGAGTATTGCTGTTGCACTTGGTAGCCAAGATTTTCGACAGAAGCTACGTACGATGATTGGGTCTTATCTTCAATGATTTGCCCCAATGAATTGAATCTCAGAGTAGGAATCTGCTCACGATATCGGGGAACTTTTTCATCAAATTTGGCAGTGAGATCATCAACACCAGACTTTCCAACCATCGGCTCTCTGCTCTTAGGAGAAGCTGGGGCTTCTTCAACTGCTTGGACTGGCTTTGTTTCTGCCTGCATAGTACGTAAGGTCTCATCTTGAGCTTCCATGTTAGGCTCTGCTTCTTCCTCTACCCCGTCGTCAACATCTGCTAGCTTGACCACCTCTCCCTGCTGAACAGACTTTGGCTTGTGAGGCTTGATTGATTCCTGTCTGGATTCGCCATCTTTCTTTACAACAGCCTTCGGCTTGGCATCTTTGGGATCTTCTTTCGCGATCTCCTGAACCTCTTCATCGGCTATTGCGGTAAGCATTTTTACTACCTCTTCCAAACTGGTAATGGTGTTGTCTTGAACTTCCTCCAAGGTCTTTCCAGGGTAATCGGGCCCTTTCACCCAATCCTGATAGGCCATCACGGCAGGGTGGCTCGAGCGGTCCAACATTAGTGCTTGGAAGCCATAAGCCTTGGCACCACAATAATCACAGGCATACGAGTCCCCAATATGCAATATTTCGTCCTTTTGCAAGTCGGGGATCCAAAATTTGGCCGATTGATATGACTTGTCAAAGATGGCTGCTCCTGGCTTCTCGATCCCTACGTCTTGTGAACAGGTGAAGAATTGAAAGTTGTCATGGAAGCTATCCAGCATTGGCAAGACAGATTCCATGTGTCGAGTGGGAGTATTGGAGGTGATACCCAAAAGAAATCCGTCCGGTTCCAACGCATCAATCATGATTTGGGCATCCTCCAAAACGCGATATCCAGCGGGTGATCCAAATTGTTGATAGACACGACGAAAGTATCGATCATATTCTTCTTGAGAATACTCTCTGCCTGTCTTGTACAATACTCGTCGAACCATATCATACCACCATTCACGGCCTGAGGTCCCCTCGACCTTTCCAAAGCAAGGAGACTCAATACATTTTTCCTTGTAGGCAGCTTTGAACGCAGTCTTGAGTTCTTCTGGAGAAGGCGGATGGGGAAGTTGTGCCCAGAGTGCAGCCTTGTGATAGGTTTGAACCACAGGCTCTCTGCCAGCGAGTAAAGTCCCCGTGACATCCAAGGACAAGACTCGAATTTTCTTGCAGTCGGCAACAGACAGGGCGCCGACAGTCGCAGCCAGTGATGCCAGGAAGACAATAGCTCCGGCACTCAATGTGATTATCATAATTATAGGTCTGGGGCAGAGATTGTATTGTAGATGTTGGGCTTTAGTTCATTACAGTTCGAATTGCAACCCCAGAAGTCAGTTGTCAAACTACAGTATTGGTGATGGTTGTTTGGTTTTGATGCGTGTGCGTTATGTAGCGATTGGAGATGGATGACGTCACTGAATTTGTCGCAAGTCTGACGATGACCAATTCGACTTCCCGGAACGAAAAATCGAAGACAGCGTGCAATCTGCGAAGTTTACATTCATATCGACAAGACCAAGTGCTGGATGAGACGAGGCTGGAGTTCTCTACTGGTCGTAGCATATAGGCTTACCTCTCCAGTAGCAGCACTATCGTCCACATCCAATTCTCTCGGCCGAATCTCATACCAGGCACCACAAATTCTCAAAAGAAGATTTATTGACACCAATTCTGAGAGGAAAATTCATTGGACCACAATTTCGGTCATGCCTCGATCGCCACTACCTGCATTAGTGCCAAGACTGGTTGTCCGTCGAAGTACGCGGCTGTTTTCATCCAGTGGGTCCGAAGATGTTGACGCCAGGCAATCTGCTACAGCAAAGGCCACCAAAACCAAACCTAAAACAAGCAAAGCCTCCACAATAAATAAGAAACGGAAAGCACCATCGAGTGAACCTACCCGTGCAATCCATGGCAGTCGCCGTCGAGGATACAGTACGACAAATGAAATGCCGGAAATAGCATCTCCTTTGGAAGAAACGGTTTCCAATGATGCCCCTTTGCTGAGTCTAGATATTGAAAATGCCGACCGAAAGATGTTACAAACATTGGCCAAGCAGCATGGAATGAAAGCCAATCAAAAGAGCGATATCCTTCGTGCTGATCTTTTGGCTATCTTATCTGGAAAGCAACCACAAGGAGGGTCACAGTCTGTCACGTTGCCAACCCCTTCTGTCAAGACAACGGCCAGTAGTACGTCAGCAAACGAGACATCTCCCAAGTCAAAGCGGAGTCCTGCTAAGAAGAAAAGTCCAAAGAAAACGTCTGCTGCTACGATTGAAAACACAGCTCCGCCAGATGGTTGGTTTGAGATATACCAGCTGGTGGAAGAGTTACGAGCTGATCGTTCAGCACCTGTGGATACTGATGGAAGTGAAGCCTTACCACAACGACAGCATGGTCTCAAAACCTATCGCTTTCAAGTGCTAGTCGCCCTCATGTTGAGTAGTCAAACGAAAGATGCAGTTGTCGGAGAAACTATGCGTCGACTGCAACAGCATGGACTGACAGTGGAAAACATTCATCACCATACAACTCATGAACAATTGAACGAACTCATTCGAAAAGCAGGTTTTCACAACAACAAGACCAAATTCATCAAGAGTGTAGTGGAAATTCTGTTGGATAAGTACGATGGAGACATTCCACCAACAGCGGAAGAAATGATTGAGTTGCCAGGTGTTGGTCCTAAAATGGCATACATTGTAGAGAACGTAGCTTGGAACAAAACAACTGGTATTGGAATAGATACGCACATGCATCGGATGTTCAACCAACTGAAATGGGTCAAGAGCAAGAACCCAGAGCAGACGCGCAAGCAACTGGAAGCATGGCTACCCAATGAATACTGGAGTAGCGTCAATCTACTTTGGGTTGGTTTCGGACAGGAGGTACAACAGCAAAAAGCCAAAATGCTAAGAAAAGCGTTGGACTCAAGTAGACCAAAGGATGCATTGAAACTGATCAATCGATTAGGACTTGATTATCGAAAAGAAGGGGAGAAACTTGGTCTCAAAGAAGAGGTTACAGCTGCTTTGCAGAAATAACAAGAGTTCATCGGGGACGAAACAAACTTCACCAAACAGTCTGTGTATCAGATTTATACTTCAGGCTTTGTATTAGGTTTCGCTACAGAGCTCTTTGATACTTACTTTACTGTAGTATTATGATTGCTTCTAGATCTCGTTGTTCCATTTGTGCTATTCATTAGTACTCAATCAATCGAAGACATTCTGTTTGCTGTTTGCAAGTGTGCCATGTCGCATTGTGGCGTCCAACAGTGCAACGCCATATGAGAAATGTTACAGTACTCGTAGCTTTCTCCTGCCGTAACTATATGTATGATCAGGTCAAAAGCCTTCGATCGAACGTCCAAAGCCTTTGGGTACATCGTCAGGGCTTCCTACAGTTTACCTTGCTTTTGCTGCAATTTTTTCATTTTCCTGTAGGTATCTGCCGTTTTTGCATGGCCAGGTCCCAGTACCTTCAATCGAACGTCCAGCGCCTTTTGGTACATCGTCAGGGCTTCCTCCAGCTTCCCTTGTGCTTTTAAGACAACTGCAATGTTGTCGTAGCTTGTTGCCGTCAGTTTATGGTCAGGTCCAAGTGCCTTCAATCGAATGTTCAGCGCCTCTTGATGCATTGTCAGAGCTTCCTCGAGCTTGACTTGCTTTTTAAGGACAACTGCTATGTTGTTATAGCTTGCTGCCGTATCTGCATGGTCACTTCCAAGTGCTTTCAATCGAACGCCCAGCGCTTTTTGGTACATTGTAAGAGCTTCCTCCAGCTTTCCTTGTGTTTTAAAGACAACTGCCATATTGTTGTAGCTTGTTGCCTTAGATGCATGGTCAGGTCCAAGTGTCTTCAATCGAACGTCCAGCGCCTTTTGGTGCATCGTCAGCGCTTCTTCCAGCTTCCCTTTCTTTTTAAGGATAATTGCTATATTGTTGTAGCTTGCTGCCGTATCAACATGGTCAGGTCCAAGTGCCTTCAATCGAATGTCTAGCGCCTTTCGATGCATCGTCAGGGCTTCTTCGAGTTTATCGCCCTGATCCTGTAGGACATTTGCCATGTTGTTGTAGCTTGTTGCTGTAGATGCATGGTCAGGTCCAAGTGTCTTCAATCGAATGTCTAGCGCCTTTTGGTGCAGAGCCAGAGCTTTCTCCAGTTTGCCTTGCGTTTTTAGGACACTTGCAATGCTGCTGTAGCTCGATGCTGTATCTGTATGGTCGGGTCCAAGTGCCTTCAATCGAATGCCTAGCACCATCTGGTGCATCGTCAGAGCTTCCTCCAGTTTGCCTTGCGTGTTTAGGACACTTGCAATGTGCATATAGCTTGATGCCGTATGAAGATGGTCAGGTCCAAGCGTCTTTAACTGGATACTTAGCCCCCTTCGGTGCATCGTCAGAGCTTCATCCAGCTTGCCTTGCTTTTTAAGGACACTTGCCATGTCGTCGTAACTCGTTGCTGTATCTGAATGGTCAGGTCCAAGTGTCTTCACCCGAGTGTCCAGCGCTTTTCGATGCATCGTCAGAGCTTCCTCAAGCTTGCCTTGTCTTCGAAGAACAATTGCCATGTTGTGGTAGCTTGATGCCGTATCCCAAACTATGTGTTGCTCCAGCGTAGTATTTTCGGAAGAATTCATAGTACCTGTGTGATCCAAGCCCTGAGTCGGTCAGCTTGATTGATTTAAGGTGGAGCTGGAGCTCGCAGATGCGTTTGATAGTACAATCATCTGTCGAGATTTGAAGCTGCAAATTCCAGTCTCGATACCCGGAAAGCGTCGGATTCCGAAAACGATTCTTGGATTTTATAATTTCAATGGATCCGTCGGCGCGAATAAGCTCCAAGAAACTTAGTATGTGGTCCGCATTGTCGAATAACACGCTTCCGCGGACAATGTCATAGAGCCACGACTCCGGTGGACCAGGCTCCTTCTCATAGTAGTCGTCTTTTGCTTTTTCTAATGCACGTTGTTTCTCTTTGAGTTTGTTCTCTCCTGGAGGAAGCTTGAACAGAGCGTCACTGCAATCAGAATCAGAATAGGGATGGCTTGTAGCGATTCTTCCCAACAGATCTTCAATCTTGGCAGTGAAAACCGGAAGCATGACTTGTGCAACTTCATACAATTCGACAACATTCTTGACAGGTTTGCCACTGATAGAAAGCTGCTGAATTGGACGCTTGATGTCGGGCAAGCCAGAATTGGCAAGCTTGTGACTTGGATCTACTTCATTGTACAACGATTGAAGGTCGTCAAAATATTTTAGATAGGCTTCAATGGTTTCAAAATACTTGAGAGTTTCGGGATCCAACTCAATCTCGTCAATGTCAATCTTATCAATCTCTGCAAAGATATCGTCGACAGTCTTCTTGCTTTCGGCGTCTGATGGAGAGAAGAATTGAGGGAAAAATGGAGTACAGTATGAAGCAAAAGTTCCATGTCTCCCATTCCTTCGGATCTTTCTTACCTGCCGGATCGGCCATACTTTCTCTTGAAACCTAAAAGTATCGTTGACGGTTGAAGTTTCAACAAACATCAACAGTCATCATATTGGCTGTCATGTAATGATGATGGAGTTCGTGTTTTTGGGAGTTCGTTATTAAGGACTAATTAAGCTCCATCAACCGTCTGTGTTATTTTAAGTTGAAAGCAAATTGTTGATTGCAGCATTCTTTATTTGTAACGCTGTCAGGCTTTGTTAAAACGCTATGGATGTTTCGACCTAGATCTCTTTGTCCTATCCTATTCCTGCATTTAAAGTCACTTTTAGGAAGTCGATCTCCGTCACGTTCTTCAGCTCTAATGCAGTACCTGATAAACGTCTACCCGCCGTTCCGAGTATCATAGGGAGATTTGGTTCGGTGACATTTTACCGGTATGTTGAATGTATGTTCCAGAGTCCGCGACGAACTTGCGACATTTTTGACCGAGGTACAATAGTACGTTCTTTCCCCCTTTGTCCGAAAGCTCTGGATCAAGGAAAGTGCGAAACACCAATAAAACTGTATACAGAGCGTGTAAATACCTGTATTTTTTTTAATGCATCGCATTCATCAAGCTCATCGCGCAGAAGCCAAAATTTCCCACAACAAGGGATCATAATCCCTGTTGGAGAGCAAAGGAAACACTTCTGAGCCCGACAAGACACTAGAATGGACGACGGCATCAGTCAGCTTGAGGTGCAAGTTGCTCACGTTGAAAATGAGCGCAACTGTCATGCCACAAAGGCGACGGACGAATTATTGTTGGTGGGCAATAGCCAAGGAAAAGAAGAGACGGTTGATAAGAGTCTTCAAATTGCAGAGCTGTCCATGGAAATCAATAAACTGAAGGAACAGCTCAATTCTTCTATAGCAGCAAACGAAAAATTGCTTCGAGAAAAGGAAATTGAAAACCAAGAGCTTAAGAGCAAGTGCAAAAATCAAGAGAGACGGATGGTGGTTCTCGAGAGAAGGAATAAAGAACTACAAAGCACAATCAAGAGGCTTGAAGGACCGGACGAAGGACCAAAAGAGAAATCAAGGCTCAGTTCCCTGCCTTCACCACCCATCACCGAAGGCAACTCATCTGAAGACAATTCGATTATCACATCTGAGGATGAGGAATTTGAAGATGAGGACTATGGAAGCGCGTATTACGCTCAGCACGAAGAGTATGAAGAAGAAAATTTAGCATCTTCTCCTGGGACTTCTCAAAGGAAAGAAAGATCTGGATCCATGCCTTTAGGAGGAGGAGGAAGTCCCAAAAGTCCATCGCGTTTGTTAACAGGAAAGGAAGCAAGACGAAGAGCAAGTGACACTGCATTGAAAGCGAGTATAGGGAGGATGACCCAGAAGCAAGAAGACGAAGACAGATCAATATCATCTCTAGGGTATGACGAGGGCAGTATTGCAACCCAGAAAGCGAATGCAAACTTGTCTCGGAGCGATTCAAACTTAGGACGAAGTACCGGCAGGCGAGGAAGCGATGCAAGTCAAAGCCAAGGCCGTGTACCGCGAAGCAATAGACGATTAAGCGATGCAAGCCAAAACCATTCACCAATAGCGATCAGTAAGAGGAGAATCACTGCTTCTCTTCTACGAGAATATGATTCACCAGGAACAAACAAAACACGGGCTGCGGGTTCTATGGCCAGTCCCTTTCGATCTCCGCGATTTCTAAGAAAAGGAACCCGAAGTAACACGAAGAAAGGTTCTCAGACACCATCGCAAGCTGTGAAGAAAAAGCCAGAATATGACAAGTCCTTATCAACACCAGATTTGATGAGTACTCCCAGAAGAGAAGCGGCAAAGGTGAGGTTACAAGAGCGAAGAGATGCTGCAGCAATGGAGCCTCAGGGCAGCTCTAAAACGTCTAGCAGTCCAAGAAAGCAAAAGGAAAACAGTCGAGAGATTAAAGTGAAAGGCAAGAAAGGCACTTACACTGGCCAATTGCGAAATGATATGCCCCATGGAGTTGGAACCATTGTATTTGCAAATGGCGATACATACATTGGCAACGTCGTCAATGGAAAATTGCATGGCAGCGGTACACTATATTATGTCAACAAGAAGCATGGAATTGATCGTGGAATATGGCGAAACAATGATCGAATATGGCAATAGATAATAGGAATTATATTTTGAAGCGCGAATGCATAGTAACGATAATAATGATAAGCCTTTCATAATACTGTAATAAATGTGATTTGTGCGGGTAAGTGATGGAGTATTCCGTGAGTTCACCTCAGCATAAATCTTCTTCCGTAATCGGTGGCTTATTTTGAATTGCAGGTCAGCTGCAGTAGGTCGAAGGTGTCACTGTCGATGATAAAACAATTTCAACAAAATGATGACAGCTGGTGATCTAGCTCAAAAAGCAACGTCACCCAGTCCCTGTTACAGAATTGACTTCGACCATCAGCTTTAACATATACAGAAGCCACTTGTTTGAATCCTTCACTTTTTGGGCACTTCATTTATATTGGTAACATTGTCCATTGGCTGGCTCTCATAGTATATAAGGCTCATTCATTCATTCTTTTTCAGCTGAAGCTTCGAGTTCCTCTGGCAACTCTTTCTTGATCACTTGGTCAATGTCAGCTGGAGCAAAGATTTCTCGGTCGTCGTCCAGTCGAATTTTGTAAGGAGCATAGGAACCCTCCGGCCAACTTGCATTATGATACCACTGAAGAATGATGGTTCCTGGAGACCAATCTTTCTCCGCATCTGGACCAGTGCGGCAGAGTACTTTTTGTCCAATATCAAATCGCAATGCTGGCATGTCTTGTGGCAGCATTGGCGCGAACAAATCATCGTCGTAGTCGTCACGGCGTGGGGATGCCCAATCCACATCTTCCCCAAGCTTCCACTTGTGCAATACCTCTGCAGGGGGGAAACCGAATGCTAGATCTTCTTTTGTGATGTCTTTTGCCATCATGGGGACCCCAAATATTCCGTCGATTCCACTGTTTTTGAAAGAAAGAGAAAAAATGTGAGGAATCAAGAATGATCGAAAGTGAGATGGAGAAAGCTTCAATTGAGCAAAAAACAGTGCAGATCAACAGAATCAATGGCAACAGTTGTGTTTCACACCTTTCAAACAAGATAGTCACTGCCGTGTCCACAGGAGAACAGTTGGGATCACCACAAGCCATCTCTCGGACTGCGACAAAGGCATCTTTTCGAATTTCCTCCGGTATCATCTCCAAACTCCATGCTTCAATCTTTTCAAACGCAGCCTTTCGTTCTTTTTCTTCCTTTTCCCACTGATCAAGATTCTCGGGAAGAAACATACTAATAGTCTCGTGCTGCAGTTTTGTATATTGTACTATTGCATTGATGCCGAATGCGACCGGTGCTTATATTCGTCGCCTTCGATTTTCGTGGAGAGGTCTGACGTATGACCACTTCGACCACTAGTAGATTCCACGGGTAGAAACTAAAAGAACTCGGCACCGTTACGAATACAGGTACACATCATTGGTCCGTTCTCAGATTGTTAGAAGGAGGTGAATTTTAAAAGTCTATCTACACACTCCGGGTAATAGCAGATATATATGCAGGTGGTTGAAGCCCAAATGTATCCAGCCAGACGATGAGGAGCTCCTGCTACTTCCTCCTGAGGATACCCGAGTTCCAAGAATGAAATAGACAGTTGCTGTCTTTTTCCATACTTTGGACCATCGAACGACATTTTGCGATAATCAGTGGTGCAGGCACTTGAATAATGCTGCTCAGTAAAGTGGACTTATTTTTTTGTAATCCTCTTGGCATGCAGTTTTGGGGAGTCACAGATATTGCACGCGTAGAACCTGGTACTCAAATCACCTATCAGTGACTAAACCAAATCAAATCCATCTCCTCTTCCAAGATCTCATAATATCCAAAAAGGATCCGAAAGAAAACATACTGTACAACCACACAAGCTAAAACAAATCCAAGACAGAAAAGATGATCAGTGATATCACCAAGATTCTTCAAGAAGCACCAGCTCCCGAGCTAATCACTTCCGACACCAGCAGCAGTACTAGAGTGGCCACTAAGAATAGTAGTAGTACAAGTACCCTCCTCAGCTCTACTAGCAGTGCAGCCGCCACCATCAGCACCACCAAACACCCACAAGAAGAGTTCACGCTGAGAGAGAAACTAGGCCCTATTTTCAGTTTATTGACCTTCGATCCCAAGAAGGTGACCAACTGGGCTCATGTGTTGCACTAGCTACAATGATCCTCCTGCTTTGACGACTGGTAGCTAGTACTTATCGGCAAGAGAGAAGACAGCTCAGTCGTCGTGGAGCTATAGAAACAAAGCAAAAATACACACCAGCAGCTCGTTCTTTGAAAACGTTCTTCTTTCAATAGAAATTAAAAGTGTAGATACAACCACACATCATGGGTACGCAGCCAGCTAGTAGTACTATGTAAGACAGTGCCGTCATCCACAATTAGATCAACTCTCTTTGGGGAATGACAACTACCGGTACTTGAATCCTTTGCTCAATTTGAGTGGCATTCCTGAGCAGAAGAGCCTCTCTCGGACGATCTTTGCCCACCGGCGGAAGCAAGGCACCACATTTATTTTTTGACATATTGTCACATTCATCTGATCGACGCGCGCCAGTCCGGTAGAACAAGCTGTTGTTTCAAGCACCGCGATTTCGAATAACGCTACTTTGAAAAATCTCATCCATCACTTGGCTCAGAATCCTGCCGAACGCCGTATTTATGCGCTTCCACGACTCATGAAAACCAGAACCCGAACCCAATTGCGAACGAAGTCGAAACCTTTCTCCAATCAAGAACGATATATCCCGCTCTTCATCAGAAGCACTGATAAGAATTGTTGAAAGAAAACTATCTGGTTTGAGAAAGCCATCCAAGAAGACATAATAAAACGACAACACAGCCTTTGCAGTAATACGACACAAAACCAATGGGAACCTGCTCGAGTAAATCATCGGCGGTGGCTTTCACCAAGCCGCACGAAGGTGTATTGGAAATCGAATATTCACAACCGTTGAAGGGATCTCACGGTTCGGATGGAAGTGGAGACAACAAGACGGCTGCCACACAACCGAGTACTCCAGTAGGGAGGAGTCCGAAGAAAGACAAGGTGTCCATGCGGGGATATTCATCAGGGGGATCATCTGAATGTTCGGACGGCGATATCAACGTTTCGTGTCATGGGCACCTAATGGATTGGAAACAAGAGCTCCAATCGAATTCAGGACCAGGCCGTGCTCGTATTGAGGTAAGCGTTTTGTCTTTGTTTCAGTGTGTTGTAAGACACCACAATTGCGTAGAAGAAACCTCACCATTTGTGATCACTAATTAATCTTACTTCAGACGGATTATGGAAGACCCATTGAAGAAGTCTATGGTGGAGTCCACAATGGAGAGGTTCTCGGGACTGGGATCTCTGGTGTGGTACGAAAGGTCAAACATAGAACGACTGGAGTCGAATATGCTGTGAAGTGCCTAGACTTGGGTCTCATTCGAGAGGAGCGAGCCCTCAAGGCTCTCAAGGATGAAATTTTCATCATGTGTCAGCTGGATCACCCCAGTATTGTGCGGTTGGAAGAAGTTTATGAAAGTGACACGGAAATGTATTTGATTCAAGAGCTATGCACGGGCGGTGACATGTTTGACAGATTGGATGCACAAGAAGATTATCACTATACAGAAGCCGAGTGTGCTCGTCTCGTCAAACAGATGCTCTCGAGTGTGCGATACTTGCATTCCAAGAAGATTATTCATCGTGATTTGAAGCTTGAGAATTTCTTGTTCTCGTCTCCAGAAGCTAATTCGCCGTTGAAAATGATTGATTTTGGATTGAGTAAACATTTTACTCATCTCGGAGAACTTCAACATGAATGCGTCGGCACACCATACACGGTCGCTCCAGAAGTGATCCGGGCGGAGTATGATGAAAAGATTGATTGTTGGGCTTTGGGAGTTATTGTCTACCTGCTTTTGAGTGGAGAGACACCATTTGGCGGTGTCGACGGCGAAGACTTGCAGACCGTAAGGACGAACATCTTGAGTGGACATGTTGTTTTCGAGCCGGCAGAAATTTGGGACCATGTGAGCAACGAGGGCAAGGCATTCGTGAAGAGGCTTTTGAACCCCAATTCAAAGGTTCGCCCAACTGCAAAGGAAGCCCAATTAGATCCATGGCTACAAAAGTTTGGAAAGAAAGGAAGTGGCGAGGGATCGAAACTCAGTCCCAAGGTCATCTCGGCGCTTGTGGAATTCCGAGAATATTCTGCCATTCGAAAAGCACTTTGTGAAGTTCTTAGTTTCACTCTGCTTCCAGAACAAATTTCTGAAATGCGAGAAGAATTTGAGAAGATTGACGATGACGGCGATGGGGAAATTTCGCTGCTCGAATTCAAGCAAGTTTTAACCAAGAAAGCAGGTAGTACCGCTTTGGGACCACTGACCGAAGACCAGCTCGATGATCTTTTCAACGAATTGAGGTCGAAGAAGTCTGACGAATCCATTCGCTTTCATGAGTTTATTGCTGCAAGTTTGTCGCAGTGCAATTTTGATGAACGCAACGTCAAACTTGCGTTTGATCGTTTGGATTATGACCGTACTGGGTAAGTTGTTGAAGTTGGATCAACTGGTTGCTCTTTATTGGTTTGGAAAAAACGACACCAGACATTGCTAACGTATACCTTGATTCTTTTCTTTTAGCTTTATTACTTTCCAGGACGTGAAGGACCTTTTTGGAAGTGGAAATGAGAGTGATGACATGTTTCAGATGTGGCAAGAGGGTATGACCGAATATGCTTGCCCTCTCGGTCGAATTACTTATGATGACTTTCGTATGATTTTGAAAGGTCGCGGCAGAGAATTGGAGCAACCAACTTTGATCAAGAGGACGCCGTTGCCGAAAGTCAGTGAGGGATCTCCTCTTCCAGCTGTACCTGAGGGTTCAATGAGTCCGCAGGTCAAGCATGCAGTTTTTGCCAAGTTTGAGAAGAGCCCACCAAGTCTCAAGATGCCCTCGCTTGACGGTCTTCCCGAAGCTGAGAACGACCCCCTGAAGCCAAGTGTTGACACCAAATTTCCTCTTGATATATTGCCGCCCTCTCCGACTCACAGACGAATCAGATCGGGGTCCTTGGGAAGTCAGCCACTGTCACTGCGGAGTTCACTAAACGAAGCAGATCTATCAGGCATAGACCATTTAGCAGAACTCACTGAAGATGAAGAAGATGACGAAGATGGCGCAAGTGGTGAGATGTCACTTGGGCCAATTGAGCTACATTCATGTAGATCCTTGGAAGACCACGTGTCCCCAATGACGCGCTCTTGGAGTGATTTCCCGAGCGAACGCACAAATGGCGGCGAGACCTTCAAACAACACAACGACTTCAGAAGGTCAATCCTCAAGGCATCGAGAACATTCGAAGCTAAGGTACTTGCCAGAAAACTGCAGATGGCTGCTGCTGCTTCCAATGCAGCCAGTCAGCCGTTGGTCGACAGTCGCGCAAGTCTTATCATGCGTCGTGGGACACAGGCTCAACGCCCAGAGGTAGTGCAGATAGACAGCAGTAATAGACAACGAAGCGATTCTCCTGCCAGCAGCGTTGGTACATCTGACAAACAAGCTACTGCCACTGAAGTTGCTGCTGCCTGCAAAAGGGGAGGAAGGCCGCGTCGGGAACGTCGCAAACGAACGACATCGGATATTTCCGGCATGCTGAAATAATAAAAACGATGTGATACATACTGAATAATAATACGCTTCATGTTATTGAAATGAAAATGATACTTGCTTTATATTTCTTATTTGAATTCCGCTACAGCAGTCAAGAGTTTCTCCACCAGTTCATCAACCTTGATCTCACCTTCGACCTCGTTGTCACGATTACGAACGTTCACACTTTGGTTGGTCTCTTCAGTTTCTCCCACAACAAGTTGGTAGTTGTATTGCGCTAGTTGGGCTGAACGAACCTTCTTTTGGAATGTGTTCTTGGAGGTATCGACATCCACGTAAAAGCCAGCCTTGTGGAACTTGGCTCGTACAGTCTCGCAATAGTCGTTGAATCGCGCATGGACAGGGACAATCATGAGCTGTCTTGGACTGCACCACAAAGGCCACTTGCCTCCCCAGTGTTCACACAAAACTGCGAACATACGTTCCACACTTCCCAGCATGGCTCTGTGAACCATGACTGGTCTCGCAAATTGCTTTCCTTCTTCCTTGCTATCTGTGGTATATTTCAAATCAAACCGGATTGGGAGTTGGAAATCCAATTGGATGGTAGCACATTGGTGAATACGCTCCATGGCATCCATGACCTTGATATCAATCTTGGGACCATAAAAGGCTCCATCGCCAGGGTTGACTCTCCAGTTTCCTTTTCCAGCAAATTCATCCATGGCAAGTGCCAGGGACGCTTCTGCCTTGTCCCAGAGTTCCTTTTCACCCAGAGCCTTCTTCGGCCGAGTGGAAAGTTCCAACTTGTAAGTCATGCCAAAGATATCATACACAAACTTCATGAATTCCAAAGCCGCCTTGACCTCGTCTGTGATTTGATCCTCCCGACAGAACAAATGGGCATCGTCTTGGGCAAACCGCCGGACCCGGGTGAGTCCAGTCAAGGCCCCCGAAAGCTCGTTGCGGTGCAGGACGCCAAAATCGGCCAATCGGAGTGGCAAATCACGGTAGGATCGAATCCGGCTGTCAAACATGAGACAGTGACCGGGACAATTCATGGGTTTCATGGCAAATTCTTGTCCTTCGACGTCAAAGCAGAACATATTGTCCTTGTAATGCATGGCGTGACCAGATTTGTGCCACAGGTCGAGGTTGAACATGTTTGGTGTGGTGACTTCATCGTATCCACGGTCCCAGTATTGTTTTCGGATGAATTCAATGAGCTTTTGGTAGATACGATTTCCGTGTGGAAGCCAAAAGGCGCTTCCGGGAGATAGTTCGTGGAAAAAGACCAGCTCTTGCTTGGCCATGATGCGTCTGTGATCACGTTCTTTGGCCTGAGATTGGAAGACAGAAATAGTGTTAGAAACAATCACTTGGATCGAGCAATGGTGATTTCACAATAAAAGGTATTAAGGGGGCTCAGTAGAATCAGCGAGATGGATTTGTTTCAGTCATGAGTTTCCGAGAATGAGATTCGTATGTTTTCGTCCTTGCCCCCCTTGTCAATGTTTTGCAATCAACTGGAGCACAAATGATAATAACTTGCCTTTTCCATATTCTCCTTCCAAACCTTTAGTTGTTTCTTGTCCGGGAAGGAAATACCGTAAATTCGTTGAAGCGAATCATTGTCGGTATCCCCCAACCAGTTGGTAGCCGAGATTTGAGTGGCCGCAAAGGCCTTGACCTTTCCAGTGTGGGCAATGTGAGGACCCCGACACAAATCAATCAAGTCTCCGCATCTGTAAATGGTGGTGCGACTCCCATCCGGAACCTTGTTGGTCAAAATTTGCACCTTGAAGGGATTGTCGGCAAAGAGTTCCAATGCCTCGTCCTTGGTAATGACCACACGTTCGAATTTTTGCTTCTGTTTGGCGATCTTGCCAACTTCTTGTTCCACTGACTTGTCTGTTGTAATGGGGGGGAAATAAGTAGGGCATGTGTTGTTGTTAGAAGACAGAAATGGAATCATTCAAAGTGATATCAATGTTCCCACTTACAATCATCTTCTCGAAGATTATCCTTGCCCATGTAAGAATCGTAAAAGAAGCCATTGGCCAGAGGAGGTCCAACTGTGAGCTTGTTACCAAAGAGACGTTCCAAGGCTTCTCCCATGATATGGGAAGACGAATGCCAAAAGACATTTTTGGCATCACGATCGTCAAACTTGAGGAATTCCAATTTGGAAACAGGTCCCACCAACGGTCGAGTCATGTCCCACAGCATGGATTTGTCTTCCGAGCTGGTGTCCTCTTCTTCATGTCCTTCTTCCAATTCCATGATATCCGCTCCGGCACTCCCGTCTTGGACGGCATCGTAATCGTCCACATATTTTTCGTAGGTGACTCTCGCGACGATGGAAGCATCCGCCAATCCTTGACTAATGGCGACTGCCACATCGTAAGGCGAAGTCTTCCAGGCTTGAAAGGGGGTTCCATCCTTTTGCTTGTCCAATACATTTCCGTCCGGCATGGTGACGGTGATGTCCACTGGTTTCTTGGAGGAAAATTCCTCGGCACGGCGGGCCTTGATCTTTTCAATAATGTCATTGCGAGTCTTCAACCATTCGGGATTCTTGGTACGTTGGACAAAGGAATCTCCGCCAATTTGTTTCTTATTCATGTCCATGGACGGACCTTGAGCCTCTGTGGCACGACGGCCTTGGGTGACTTGTTCTTCTGACATTTTGTTGAAACTCTCTTTGTTGTTGTTACTGTTGCTGCTTGGTTTTTTGGTGTCGCTTACGGATCGTTCTGCTGCTTTGGATGATGATGATGATGATGATTCTCCTTCACTAACAGAATTCGATTTCTCTTTGACGACAGTCTTCTTTGGCACTTCACGAGAAGAATAGGCAATATACGCTGGCAATATGAGACAAACCGCTACACTCAAGATCCCGGTCAGGAAGGCTCTGAAGGAATCGTCGTCCATACTCTGTACGAACGATCTTGCGCAATCGATGGATGTGATGGAATTTTTGTTTCTCGTCCACACGTTGGGTTGACCTACCTTGAATATCGGTACGGGTTTTTACGTTCGATTTTATGACTGATGTCTGGCACTGCCTGTTTTGATTGGCAATTTTGGGTCTGGGTTTCGCGCGAAACATGTGACATACACACACATGAGCCTCATGTCTCATGTTTCAATCAATGAATGGTCATTTTGGCAACGCGAGAGGAAATTCCAGATTCCTACATTACTACAACGTTTTGATCTTGCAGTTGTGGTGCGTTTTGACATTTGTTCTCATGTCACATTTCTGTCCCATCAATAGACCAAAAGAATTCGCACTTCCTCCGATGACGTTTTGGTGGCCACCTACCACATTTTTCGCCACCGATGGTTTGAAAATCTTTCTTTTTGGTGCATCTGCTGGATTCTTCATCACACATTCCGATATTATATCTGTCAGAATTTCATTCAGATTGCTTCAGTAACCATGAGAATAGCCTTCAGATCCATTCTTGTGCTGAATGTCATTGCATCCGCTGCGGCCTTTTCGTCTTCCAGCAACAATGCTCCTAGAATTCACGTGACGAGGAGTGTGGCTTCTCCTCGTCGTCGTGTTTCGACCAACAGTATGGCATTGGGCAGCACCGTTCTGCAACCACCCGGAACAGTACAAGGTGACATTGACCAACAAGACAGTACTACTACAACTACTGCAGATGATATCGAATCAACAGTCATTACTACTACTACTACTACTCAAGATCCACCAAGGCTTGGAGAGGTGGTCAAGATGCTTCCCAAGAATACCTTTGAAATTGACACGGCCACGTCTCTCTTCTACTTTGCCGTCGATTTTGTTGCCGTCGCAGCCACCATGGGATGTTTGAGCACGGTGGTCCATTCCGAACTTTACCATTCGGCACCTATCCTACTACAGGGAATGATGGTGGCACCCCTGCAGGTTCTCACAGGCTTTGCCATGTGGTGCATGTGGTGCATTGGACATGACGCGGGACATTCGGTCGTCTCCAAGAACAAAAAGATCAATCGATTCGTCGGAGAAATGGCACATTCCATGATTTGTTTGACGCCCTTCTTACCATGGGCCAAATCGCACAAGAAACATCATTTGGGACACAATCACTTGACCAAGGATTACTCCCATCAATGGTTCATTCGGGAAGAAAGCGACGATTTGCATCCGCTCATCAAGTTGAGTTACAAGACACGAAACCTTCAATTGCCAATTCTGTACCTCGTCTACCTCCTGGCGGGAGTACCAGATGGTGGCCATGTGTTTTTCTACGGTCGAATGTGGGAAGGAGCCTCCAAAGACGAAAAGAAGGATGGTTTGATTTCCGTGGCAGTCTCTCTTGCCACCGCGGCGACGCTTTGGTTGAATTTGGGATTGGCCGATTTCACCGTGGTGTGCATGATCCCATGGTGCGTCATGTCCTTTTGGTTGTTCATGGTCACCTACCTGCAACATCATAGCGACGATGGAAAATTGTACACGGACGATACCTTTACCTTTGAACGTGGGGCCTTTGAAACGGTGGACCGAAATTACGGAACCTGGATCAACCGTCTGTCGCATCACATGATGGATGGGCATGTCATTCATCACTTATTTTTTGAAAAAGTACCACATTATCGATTGGAAGATGCCACCACGGCGCTCCGAAAGGGACTTGACGAAAGTGGACAAAGCAAGTTTTACAAGTTCATTGAGACGCCTAATTTCACACAGGAAATTGTCAAGCAATTCAATGATAACTGGTTCTTTGTGAACGAGAAGCAAGTTGTAAGAAAATAGATCACAATTATTCATTTTTTATTATTTCCTACTAGGTCCTATACAGCATTGTACTGTGTAAATATTTGATGGGCCCCTGTTTGCCATTTAATATTATTGATTTTGCAAGACTGCACCATATTATCAACTTTTAGTAGTATGAGCAGTAATGTTGTGTGATACTTCCAAGGGGCTAGTGAAAAATGCCGTGCCTGCCGTTGAAAGCATCACAAGGACTGTAGGATTTCTTGAATGAATCATTGTGACCCATTTTCCGTCCAAGCAAATGATGGATCAGTGACTACCAGTAGCATAGCGGCGAACTGATATAAGGTTCGAAGATGCATCAATGAACTCACTTCGGCAAAGAATAATCAATCAATCTTGTTTGGCCGAGAGGAGGAAAGTGCTTGGTCCAACGACACCATACGAACGCTACTATTCTCATCATGCAATCTTGGAAAAATCTTCGTACGGGACCCTCTTGACAATTTTGCCATTCGGTAATTCCAATACTCCCACATAGTCCTGCTTGTTCAAGTCTACTACGATAGCCTTTTCGCCTCGATACCGACCATTAAGAATCCGGACCTTTTTGCCAGTTTGCTTTGGAATTACAGTCTCCAAGTCATCTTGATCCAATTGCAATACAGCTCCACCATCCTTGGCATCCTTGCTGGAGTCTAATATTTCTATTTGTGCCGCATACTTCTCAATGACTTGGTCCACCACTGCCTTTCGTTTGAAATACTTTCCATCAAAGTTTTTGGTAATGACCCGGACCAGTATATCTCGATGCAGCCAATAGTCCTTTCGGTCCGAAGAAGAGGATGTCGATTTCGTTTTGGCTTTTTTCAATGACTTTTCGTCCTTCTCTTTGAGGCTAGAGGATTGCCTCTTGTTGTTGTTCTTCTTGTTGTTGTTGTTCTTGTTGTTGTTGTTTGACACGGCGGGAGCTACTGGCATGTTGAATACAGGTGGTGCTAGTTTTGGTGGCCCCTCTTCTTCTTCGTCCTCTTCGTCGTCTTCATCTTCACCAAATACGGAAGCTTTCTTGACTTTAGATTTGATTCCTCCTGAAGTATTAGCGGACGTCAAGGCCACTTTGATTTGCTTGCTGTCACCGTTCCGTTCCAACGAAGTCGCTTCCATGTGCACGGTTCCTCCCGCGCGATCCAACGCCTTGGCCGCTTCGATTCGTTGGAGTGCCATTCGTTGCGCTTCTGCCGCTTCGGCTGCCTTTTCAGCCTCTTCTCTACGCTGCAAGGTTTCGCGTCGTGCCAAAATGCCCACATCGCGTTCAATGTACGATATATCCCATCCACGTTCCGTCTCTTCCACCACACACTTTCCGCACTTTCCTAAATACTGCACAAATTCACTTAATGTGGTCCAGTGGGTAGCATTCATGTGGATGTGTCCCTTGTCGGAAATGACTTCTTGATAGACGTTGTTGGCATTGACCTTCTTGGTGCCGTGTCGGGTGCGAAGGGTTTGCATGTACGAGCGTTCAAATTCTTTGGAGAACTTGTCCATGATCCCTCCCGCATTGTCACTAAAGATCTTCATTTGACGAAGATGAGCATCGGAAGTCAAATGACATTTGAAACCGTTGGCATCGCGACATTGCTTTTCGCACATTTGGCAATAAAACTTGAGTTTTTGAAGGCCTCTGGATTTCATCCGATTGGCAATGTCCTTCACGCTGCCCTTTTCCGCTTTTGGCATGATGAAGGATGGGGTCTTATATATTGTGTGTAAAAAAGGAGAACGAGGGAGGTGGCTATCTACTATATGCCACTAGATGATGATGGAACCACAAGATTATTGATTATGATGGAAAAGGATGTGTTTGAAATCCGTCTGAAAAGTCGAATGAGTCAATCGATTTCCTAATTTTCGATCGATCGATCGATGGCGATAGACATTCAACATGACAACACTGCATGAAAATAGCAACACACTTAAAAAAACTAGATTATGGAAAGATAGATGTTTCAAAATTGATTTCTATTTGTTGATGCTATTGGAAGTGCTTGCCTTCTTCTAGTCGGCTTTGGCGGGGGTAGGATTTGAGGATCGTTCCTTCTTGGAATGATTGATCAATTTGATTGACCAGAATTCATCTATTCTGTTTTGGCCGCTTCCTTTGGTGGTCTCGAAGAGTAGGCAATGTACATTGGCATGGCGAGAACAGCAGCAATAATCACGAAGGAAGCCAGTACGGCTTTAATGGAATCGTCCATGGTGCTTTCGATGATGTTATGGAATGGTTGCTTTCTTGTCCGCATATACTACGTGAATTGCCTACGGGCTTTTACGTTGAATTTTTGAAATGAAAAAAAAATGACAGGCCGGCTAACAAGTCGAACGAGTCAGAAACTGGATTAGTCGAAGAAGTCATTCAATCGACTGAAAACTTTGTCATGTCATTTGATTGATTCATTGATTCACAATAAATTGCACATTCATTGTGACTACGTGTAGCAAATCATTCCCATGCTCCCTGAGGGCATGAAACGATTCAAGTTCATTGGGACTGTAGTAATGGCTGGAATAGGTTGTTTTCAATTCTTGACGAGCAGTGAAGCAAGCGCCAAAGGACCTATCGAAAGCATCCCAAAGGCAACTACCTACCACGCACCACCTCCGGGAGTGGACTATTCCACCAATCCTTCGGTATTTGGACAAATATTGAGCGGCAAATTACCGGCTCGTACTTTAACAGAGACCACCAATCTCTTGGCGTTTGAAGATCGATCTCCAGCTGCGGAATTGCACGGATTGGTCATTCCCAAACGATACATTGAATCCGTCTTTTCCTTGGATTCACAATCGCGAACAGATATCGAGTTGGTACAAGAAATGCATCAAATGGGACTGTCGTTGATTGAAGAATACCATCCCGAGGCACTGGCTAGTGGCGATTACACTCTCTGCTTTCACATTCCACCCTTTACATCCGTTGATCATTTGCATCTGCATGTCTTGGCACCTGCCTCGTCCATGTCGTGGTGGTATGGGTCGGTCAAGTACAAATGTCCCAAGCGGTGGTGTGTCAGTGACATGACCGTATTGGAACGATTGCAAGAAGGCAAACCAGCTGTGCCCTACAATAAACCATTCAAGATCTTTCCCACTCGGTGAATGGATTGTGTGTTATTTGCCTTGCTGGAAAACTGCCGTTTCAAGTTGCTATCGTGTAAGCTTATGTACATGATTACTCCTTATTATTAGTATTGTACAATTATTAAATTTTGAACCATCAATCCTCTCTAGACAATGTTGGAAACTTGTGCTGGCTCGTGATTTAGTTTCACTGGCGATGCGGGAGGCGTTGTCACTAGCCGTGAATATCGAGTCGTCGCCCCGCCTCTGCTGCTGTTGGATGATGACATTGTGCCAGAGGAACCCAATCGCTCCAGATGGGAGAGTAGCCAACCACCAATTGGGTGACAGGATTCTAGAATCAGCCAGTTGCAAGCATGGAACCAAATGCTTCCAGTAAGCGTTTGGTTGGCAACGTATAGCATGTGACACATTATGCAGAGACTCGAGTACAGCAACACAAACCGAAGGACCATACCACATGCCACCAAGCCAGTGATGCTTTGAGAAAGACAGAACCAACCCATCACCGTCATTGCATCCGTAATGAGTGTAACGGCAACAAAGATAATGTACCCCCGTCCCATCATGGCCCAATCTGTATAGATATTGCTGGTATCGCCATTGTTATTGCTGGTCTTGCGGGCGTTGGCAATACAGGCCAGTATCAAAATCAGCAAGACTTGGCTCATGATGGTACTGTTCCACACACCCTCAACGATCAAAGCCAATATACAGCAGTGTGCAAACAAAGCGTTGCGAATCCATATCAAGGGGGTCACTCCTCTAGCCTCGGAACCAGCAGCACCACCACCCACAGTGTATCCTCCACTGATTCCTCCACCTCTACTAGTAGTAATATTACTACTCGCAACCGGCGTGATGATAACATCCCAAGAGGGAAAGCGAGGGAGCACTAGTTTTCCAATACTCCAAAGAATGGGAAACAAAATGGTTGGTTGCAACCACTCCAACGGTGGCAAGAGAGTCCAATGCCACACAAACCCCACCAGAATCCCCGACAAGTGCCCGACAAACGAGACCCGCGGCAAGACCACTTGCAAAACTACCAACTGGACCAGAGGACCCAAACTGATGGGTACGGCTCCAAACAACTGAAAGGTACTAAAACAAAAGTCTGGCAGGAACATGATCGGACAGGATTGCGAGGAGGAGAGTGTCGCCACCACACTCCAGGCAAAGAGAATTCCCGAGAACCCCACCATTGATTTGGGAGTCGTAAAACGTTGCAAGAGAACCACCACAATGGCCGTCAGTGGCACAAAGGAAACGGTATACATCAAAAAGGGAATGGATCCATATATTTGCTCTTCCAACATTTGTCCCAAACTAAAGAGCGTCATCATGTTGATTCCAACGTGCCAGATTTCAAAGTGACCAAAGGTGGACGTAAAGGCTCTTCCATAATCTTGGAGGATCTCGATATTGTGAACAATCCGACCAGGATCCACTCGATAGTTCCAATAGACCCAATACAGACCAATGTTAATGGCTCCCAACAAGTAGGTGGCAAAGGGTATCAGAGACGTCTTCTGTTGCTGCTGAGATTGTTCTTGCTTGTTCTTGTTCTTGTTGGACCGGAATCCATACTTGTTGATGGTAGTCGACGCTGCTGCATTTGATGGAGAAGTCCCGTCTTCTTGTCGTTGTTGCTGTTTGTTGGGCGCAGAAAACAACCACACTTGTTCCCAATTTGTGGGAATATCATCATACACATAATCATCCGTGTTCATCATACTTTGCGTGAGTCGGACAATGCTGGGATTGCTTTCCGATGGCAATCGTATTCTCCGACTTCGACAGTGAAGAATATCGGAAGAAATTGAAGTTATTGTTGGGTCAATTGTAGTAGTAGTAGTAGCGAGATCCTCCTCCATGCTTTTCATAGTACTTGGGTGTCGGAACAAGGACCAACATTCATTGGCTCGAATCCAGTTGGTCAGCGTCACATAGGTGAAGAGGCCTGGTAGGACAGTAAGAAGCAATATGCAGCGAGCCCATTTGTGTCTCTCTAGCAACACTGTCATTGGTAGCGTCGCTTACTCTGTTGTACTGTATTGGAATACAGTACTTGTGTATGTTGTCAATGGCATTGCAGATATGGAATGCGATATATATCTTCCTTTTTGTCGATGCCCTTCGAGGAATAATCAATGAATGAATCAAAGGAGTCAAAGCAGTTTACAGTCACGAGTGTGCCACCAGTCACAGGACGCATCATCAGAAGCAAATTGGCGAAACAAGGTCCGTGGTGGGAGAACGACGAAAACAATTGTCGGAAGAAAGACAAAACCGCAACATCCAGTATACAGTATACAGTATACATTGTAACACACAAGAGCAAACACACGGCACGCATTTCTTTCTCTTTCGTTTTCCAATGAAAATCCCAATTGCACTACATTCTCACCTTGTGAGACCAAAGGGAATTCAAAATCTTCTTCGTCTCAACAACAGCAACCCATCATCGTTGTTGCAACATCATCCACAACGAGGAATCATCAACAACTGCCGTCATCATCATCATCATCATCATCATCATGTTCGGAGCTTGTCGTCAGTATCCGCCGCCACATCCAAAGAACACACCCTTCCAACATCCGACCAACTACGAATACTCGCTCTACAGTCCTCAATTCCAATGGTTGGTTTCGGTTTCATGGACAACCTGGTTATGATCACTGCCGGTGACTTTATTGATGCTACCTTTGGAGTTGCCTTTGGTCTATCGACCTTGGCCGCCGCTGGTTTTGGCCAATGTTGCAGTGATGTGGTGGGTGTCACGTCGGGGGGGATTGTCGATGCCACGGTTTCCAAATTGGGGTTGCCGACGCATTCCTTAAGTCCCGACCAACTGGATCTGGGCATTTCACGGAGGTGGAGTACCCTGGGGGCCTGTTCCGGTGTCTTGGTGGGATGCCTCCTGGGCATGTCGTGTTTGTTTTTCATGGATACGGATCGGAATGAAAAGGCACGAAAGGCAAAGGAGCTCCAATCGATTTTTGAATCCGTCATGGGCGATGGGGCCAATACGTTCCATGCCGAACGAACGACTTTGTTCATGTTGGACGAGGAAAAGAAGGAACTATGGTCCAAGGTGGCAACTGGAACCGATGGTATTATCCATTGTTCCGCGGATGAGGGCATAGCTGGGGCCTGTGTCAAGAGTGGGAAGGTCATTAATATTCCGGATGTTTACAAGGATGATCGCTTCAACCAAACGGTTGACAAATCGACTGGCTTTGTCACTCGATCGATACTGGCGCATCCAATCAAGGACGCGGAAGGAGAGATTTTGGGGATCATTGAAGTCTGCAACAAGAAAAACGACGACGGGACGCCTGGGCATTTTACTGAATTTGATGAGCGGTTGCTTCGAATGCTTGCGTCGCATGTTGCTTCCTTTATCTCCATTATCAACAATGATGACGACTAATTTGTAACACACTGCATTTCGTTGTGGTCATTGTACATGCTACAGTCGTGAAGGAATCGTTTTTTTTGTCAGTATGAAACTTGATATAATATGTGTACATATGTTCTTTTTTATAAAATACAGTAATATTAATATTATTACCATCATTATGACGATCATCATTGTTCGGACTACTATTATTTTTTTAAAACATCATATCCCATTATCTGTTAAAACCAAGAGCTAGCATTTATACTATGGACTATCGCTTCTTGGTCTTTTGAAAGGAGGAGGAGAATGCTGCTGCCTGCTGCTTTGATTTTTGCATCATCTTGACCCAATAGGCCATGGACAGTGGCGAGATCACAATACCATTGAACAAGGCTGCCGCCAACAAGAATTGCAGTTTGCCATCGGCTGGAAGCTCGGTATTCTCCAGTCGAGCCGCCGTATCGACGCCCAAATAGGTCCAAAGAGCGGAAAAGGTCACTCCATGAAAAAAGGTGGCCACCACAAACATCCACAATTTAATGGGACTCAACAATGCCGAACCATAATTCTTGATGGTTTCTGGGAAGGAACTCATCTTCATCAAGAAGGCTACCTTCAAGGGACTGTCTTCTGTGGAATGGGAGGCATCTTGCAAAAAGGAATTCGACGAGAGTTTGGATTGAATCCAATGGGCCAAGGCTCCATATCGACCCAGTAAAAACGCAACAATGGCTCCCAAGAGTTTGCCGGATCCACTCAAGAGAATACCATTCCATCCAAAGACCATTCCAGCAGCCGTTTCCACCGGAATGGTGGAAAGGCCAAAGAGTTCCCAAAGTGCCATTCCTCCCACGTAACTAGCATATGACTGCAATTTGGGCAGGGAATCTAGTTTGCCCAAGATTTCCAAGGTTTTCGATTGGATCTTGTCCTTGCTAAAGATTGCCCCAAGAGGTTCTCGAAATTTCCAAAGAAGACATGCTACTACAGTTGTAGTGACAAGAACAGTCGTCTTTTTGGGGTTGTTTCGTGCAGGAGCAGGGACATTTTTCTTGACATCTCCTCCTCCTCCTCCTCCACCTCTTGACACCACCTGAAGAGGACTAGTACGAGGACATGGTGCCGCATCCGTTGCTGCTTTTTTTGCCGTCACAAAGGAAGAAGAATCAGAGAAAGATTTCAATGGTATTCTTGTGGAATCCTCCTCATCGCGCCATCCCATTACCGAAGCAGGGAGTTCGCGGGAAGGTCGATGTAATGCGGAGACCGCCGAGGATGTCAAGATTGTCACCACCAGCATGCAGAGCATGGATAGAGTCTGTAATCTTGAAGTCCTCGTTGTTCTCATGTTGATGCTCTTTTTTTCGATGTTTTCAAAGAAATGCTATGGTTGCCTTTTTATTCAGGAGTGGTGTGAACAACAATTCATTCAATATATACACGTGTCGATTTGGTTGTTGGTGGTGATTGTGATGTTCAATTTTTGAATAAAATATCATCGGTTCAAAAACTGACGTTTCTTCTTCTCTAGTAGTCGTGAATGAGTGGATGTAGGACGAGTCCCGAATAAGAAGAGACCCGGAGCAAGAGTATCCAACCGAAACCGTCTGTCGGCCTTGCAAAATCCATGCTAGCTGCGGTTGGTCATCATATATCCATTGACGCGTTCTCCTTTTCATCTTGTTGTTGACTCTTTCAACTATTGTATCCTTCAATCAACGCAGTAGAAATCGACATGTCTACTGAAGATCCTGATCCAAGCGCTGCTACAGAGGAAACTCCAAATGCAGACGAGAACGCTGATGGTTCTGATGACGATGAAGACCTCTTTGGAGAAGGATCCGATGATGAGGAAGCGGCTGAAGAAGCCAATGGAGATGCTAAAGAAGACGCTCAAGAAGAAGCGGCTGAAGAAAGCAAAGAAGGAGCTCCAGCTCCGGCTCCAGAGTCGAATTCTACGTTTATTATCGACAAAGCACCAGCTCCCGTCGAAGCACCCGCGGCTGCTTCACCTGCACCTGCCAATAATCCCAGTCCTGCCAAAAAGATGGATGCTCCCATTCCCCGCACTTCTTCGGCCTCGGGAGGTAACATTACATCTCCCATTCCAAGGTCCACTACCATTCCTAGGAATACCATTCCCAAATCACCACCAAAAGCAGCCTCCCCGAGTCCTGCCAAATCCTCCTCGGGTCCTGAGGCCTACAATCTTCCTTCAGGTGTCAACATGCCCGAGTCTGTCAATAACAAGCTCTTGCAAGGACGTCTTTTGGATACTCTAAGAAGCCTGCCTACAAATCTTATCAACGATGCTCTTACCGAGTACGACGATGCCGTCAAAGTCAAACAAGGTTCCATTCGCAATCATGGAGCCTATCTCTATGGAGTCATTAAGCGCTATGTCAGCGTCCAAGAACGAACTGCGGCAGGACAAGAAGCCGGCATGGGCACTTCCTTGACTCCCGCCGTCAACTTACGGATTGCACAATTGATTCGGGAACAGTTTTGCACGGAGGAAGAAATGGGCAACAAGGTCAAAATGAAGCTTCGTATGCTTACGGAAAAGGATGCCCTCTTGGCGATTGATGAATTGGCCAGTGTCGAACGCCGACAGATTCGAAACTTTGGAAGCTATTTCATGGGAATCTTGAATCGATACATGCGGGGTGAGGCCAATCCTCATGCGAACAAGAACAAACAAGAGAAGAACAAACGTCCTGTATGTCCATCAGATTTGATTTATGTTTGTATATCGCGTTATTCAATGTGATTCTTCTAACGTGTCATCAATTAAATTTTTTTACCTCTTCTTTCAGGACCAAAATAATTATCGTGGTAAAATTCAGGACCATAACGATGGGTATCGAAACCAACGGAACAATTTTGATCAAGCCAGACCTGCGCCAAACATGAGGCCGCCGCAGCAACAGCAGCCGCCCTATATGGGAAATCAGCCCTATGGGCAACAGCAACAATCGTATCAGCAGTCTCCTCCGATGGTTGGAATGGGTGGAGGTCCTCCTCTACCGCCACCTCCGCCGCCTCGTCCTGGAATGAATCCATCGTACCCAGGCCAGCAACCGAACATGGCCTATGGTCAGCAACATCAACAGCGAGGCCCTCCAACCTCACAGTATGGCCCCCAATCAGTCTCTGGACCTGCTTCTTCTTCGTACGGCCCTGCTTCGCAATATGGGAATGTTTCTCTTCAATCTCACATGCCAGGAGGTGCCCCAATGGGTGGTATGGGTGGTCTTCCTCCACCACCCCCTCCTCCTCCAGGTCGAATTCCAAATCAAATGTATGGCAATAACAATCTCGCCCCTCCTATGCAAGCACCTTCAAATCAATCGTACACGAATCCTTCACAACAGCTGCAAAATCAATACTTGCCACCCATGCAGCAAGGAGGAGGGTACATGCAACAACAGGCCCCACCCATGAACAATTACCAGCAGCCACTGAATCAACAGCAACATCAAACTCCAGCTGGGATCATGGATATTCTTGGAATTGCCGATAAAGCGGCGTCGGCAGTGCAGGCACTTCAACAACACGGGGTCCCTCCCCAAATGCATCAGCAACTTCAACAACCACTCAACATGTATTCGTCAGCACCTGGACAGCAGCAACCGTTCAAGCAACCTGGAGGTTTTCAAGCACCCTATGGCGCCCCAGGTATGCAACAATTCCAAAAGCAGAATCCGTATGGGCCACCGCCCAACAAGAAAAGCCGCCGTACCACTGCCACCATGCAAGAACTTCCCATGAATGTCCAATACGTCATCCAGGTACGTCAAATACAATCCTTACATCTTCATTTATTCAGTTCACATGTCGTTTGCCATGGTTTAATTGAGCTTTTCTAACAAACGCCTTTACCTTGTTTCACACTCCAGAATCTCCAAATGACTGGTCAAATTGATGGTCCCCTGGACGAAGGCATCTTAGGTATGGTCAAAGACTTGCCCGAAAGTCTTGCCATGACAGCCTTTCAAAAATTTGGATCGATTGACAAGCAAACCATGCGTAACAAGACTGCATATCTGGCCGGAGTCCTTCGTCGCGAACTCGAGAAAATCAATCGACGGTAGATTTCGTTTCTCCTTCTACTATTGTCGCTGCGTTCCTGCTTCACCCACAAATTCCATTCAATTCTCCTGCTTGTGTGGAATATCAAAGGGAAGGAAAATTCGTGTGCCATCACCAAGAGAACAAAAGTCAAAAGTCATTCATTCCTATTTGTCCCGATCCTTCATTGTGCCGTACACTACTGTCGTTGGAATTCGTTCATCACCTGGTGATCAATAGTCGAATAATCGATACCTTATTTATTAGCATGATGTGTCTTGATTCATTCATTCATTCAATCACTATCCACCAAGAAGAATTTCTTCTTCTCTACCATTTCGACGACGATATCGCTGCCTTTCTTTCAAGCAGCAATGGACATTCGAATATCGTGATGCGTGCGTAATGGCTTGAACGTCTTTGCGAGACATAGTCTACTATAAGAATGATGTTCTCCCATCTGGAAACATGTTCGATTGTGGCCACAACATAAGTCATAAGTATCCAATAGAATCAAGTCACATGGTGTGGACGAACCGCCTTTCAAAAGGAACGATCTGATTGCTCGTTGCTGGAGTTTCCTTTTGGATTTTTACTTCCGGGCCATGGGATTACGTCATCATTGGCTGGGCTCATGAGAGCACTTGGCACTTTTCCCTTTTGTCAATCCCTTGGTTTATTCCTCGTCCTGTTTTCCCTTTGCTTCATTCTCTTTTGGCGCTTGTGCTTGTGCTTGTTGTTGTTGTACAGGTTGTCTCCAAATGCGTTTGCCCACCAACATTGGTTCTGCCACCTCGAACATGATCCTTAGCTGATCTTCGGAATCGTGCCGTCTCCACCAAAGGCTAAACATCTGATGAATATACAAATATTATATATAAAGAGGATGGATGGATGGGTCAGTCACAGTGCTGGAAAAACAATAATTCATCAATATTTCATCATCCAGACCTACATTCTGAAGGTTCCTCCAATTGTAGTTTTTCGGATTCCACAAACCTCCTTGCCATACTACAGCATCACCAAAATCGATAATGTTTATTTTCCCAGTCGCTTGATTAGCAATGAAATTACGGAAATTGAAATCTCGATGAATCATGCTGTGTTTTTGCAAAATGCATTGAATCCGGTGCATTTGGTCCTTATAGTCCCAAGGCACTGGGGAGTTCATGAGTGTGACTTCCCCCATATCTTCTTCCACCATGGTTCCTGTTTCATCATCTGCAAACAAGATTCGTGATGTAATACCAGCGTCCTCCAACATGTGAAGGCATCGCTTGACTTGAAAATACATGGCTTTGGAACGATAGACTTTGACCACACCACGACAAAAGTGAACATTGTGTTGCCGGCAAGTCAAGATTTTATTTCCCGTGGTCCCAAACTCGTTTTGATCCATGTGATTCTGTATTTGGTACTCCATTTCTTCTTTGGTCATTGTCTCCAAGGGAAGCGTCTTTAGATTTTGCAGTCGTTGGGGCAATGGTGGGCAGGATGTGGCATTGGTTTCTTGTTGGGTGGTTCCTCGAAGTTTCCCTTTGGGAGGTAATATGGTCAAGTTTGCCTTGAGCCGCATGGACAGCCCCACCAAAAAGTAGATCAGAAAGACAACCGTCAGGGCGATGACTTTGGGGAGTCGACGGGAGCTTATTGGCAGCTTTCTCGATCGATGAGGTACATCATCTTCTGAATGCTCATTGGGTGGTGGCGAGCCATCTCGGGGGTGACGACGATGACCAGGACGTCGAGACAACACCATTATTGTTACTGCAGCTTGGCTCTTGCTACTACCAACCTCTGCACCATGTTTCAATTTTTTATAGTGTCGTCGTCGTTCCCTTGCAAGTAACAAAATATACGCCGTCATTCAAAAATTAAAATTTTGACGCGTGATTAAACGAATGACCCCAGTCCCGAAACCAAAGAGTTAACACGACAAATAACAATAATAAGGTTGTCATAATATTCGAATATAGTCAATGTCACGATGGATGGTGACAACAACGCTGAATCTCTAAGGACTCCACTTCTAGGAGACGCCCAGGAGAATAATGATGAAGAAGCTGTCGTTGTAGATGAAACAGCAGATCAGGAACAACCAGAGGCTGAAGACGATGACTCGGAAACTGATACTGTTCCCACAAGAAATTCAGAAGCATCATCGTTGTGGTCCCGAATTTTGCACACCAACGTTTTGCCGGATGCGAATCTCTTTTTAGAGGGAGACTATCTACCGGACGCAAGTTACCCGTTGAAACTGATCAAGTTTATTGGATTGACCGTGGGAATGATTGCGCTCATTCACACTTTTGTGCGAACCAATTCTCATTTTTCGTCGGACCGGGATCGGAAATTGCAGCTGTGGCAGATTGCCGTCTTTGAAGGCAATTACATCATATCGGATTCCATCATCTTTTTCATGGTGGGGAGATTATGGAAACAACGTGGAGTAGACCATTTGGCTTGGATATTGGTGGTTCTCCTGTGCAATTCGTATTTTGAATGTCAACATTTTTTCTCATGGCTTCGACACAGTGCCACGCTCTACGAAATGCATTGTATCTGGCCATGGCAACTATGGGCCTTTGCTGGTACGCTTATTCCACTGATTGGAGGCGTTGTATGGCTACACGTTCAAAAAGCTTGGAAAGATGGAATATTTGGAATCAAGATATTGGAAATGTCCCTTATTGCATTCTTCTACCTTGGGCCGACAATAACATCTCCTTACTTCCATTTTCATCATTGGTGAGTTGAAGACAAGAGGACTTTTACTATGAATCCTTTTGTGTTTTAATCTGACACAAGTAACATGTTGACATACAGGTTCGCGGGTTGGATTCTTGGAATGCATTGCAATTTTGACGTTTGGTGGTCTCGTGCCGCCATGGCTTGGTGCTGGGGCATGTACATTAATGGAATCGCTGTCTATGGTCGCGATCCGATTCTGACCTGTGAGTATGCCTACTTTGTTTCCACAGACAACAGGTGCCCTTTTGTGGATCAAGAAACTGCTGCTAGCGCTTTTGACTATTCGTCATCGTTGTTTTTCGGATCATTCAATGATGTGTTGTTGAACAAGATGGATCCACCAGCAGATTGGCGAAATTGCTCAGCACATGGGTATCATCCCTAGTATTGAATTGAAATTAAGCGATTTTGTAGATATATTTCAGTTTGAGAGAGCTCAAGTATAGGAGCTGATAGGGGTGGGGCTAGGTTGATCTGTCATATCTTGCTCTTTGAGGGTTTTAAGCAAATTGGACTAGTTCGACTAAACGAGAATTATGAGAACACGCGATAAGCGCGCGTTAAAATTATTGGAGGAAATATATTTCTACTTTCTTTGACGCTTGCGTTTTGGAGAAATATTTCTATTTTCATCATCATGCGGGTCACCAGCCTGCTCATAAATTATAATTTCATTCTTTAGAAGGAAAGAGAAATAAAAGGAGACGCGCCACATTATAGTTGAACGAAAACAACAAAATGACTGAAACTTTTTTCGAAATCAATCTTCATAATCAAGCTTGTGATGAAACTACAATCACGTTCTCACTTCACGACGAATACTCCGCCCCTCACCGACCTGGCAGCCAAGATCCCTTCGCGAATAGGAGGGGCGGTGCTTCAGGCAAACTCGAGTCAATCGCTGATGCAGTACCAAATGCTATTGGTGGACTTTCAACAAAGGAACAGAATCAGGACGACATCATTTCTGAAGCAAGCCCCGCAGGGCCAGATTATCGACTTGGGCCCTCCCATATCGGAGAACTAGCTTCACGACATCAAGGTGCTACAATTGACGACTTTTCGATTGGAATGGAAGGTGGAATGCGATATTTGCGACCGTCGAAGACAGCAAAAGAGAAATTTGATCAAGAACAAAAACGACTCAACGATGAACTCGATCGACAATTAAGAGAAAAGTGCTCGGAAAACGGTTGGATGGATCCAGAGGTGGCCAAGATTTGTAGCAAGATTGCAAACCAGAAATTTGATAAAAAACAAAGACATCTATGGGAAAAAATCGATCAGCTGTTGCAAGAAAAGGGTTTGATGGACCTGGATGTGGCTCGGAGATACAAGAAGATTGCAAGACATCTGTACAATAAAGGAAGTTTTGAGGAAGCCTTGGAACTTTATGAACAGTCGTCAACAATTGAAAAGAGTGTATTTCAACGTGATGATCATCCAGAAATGGCATCCACATATCACAGCATTGGAAGCGTCTTGCAAAATCAAGGCAAGTACGAGGACGCAATGGAGCAATTCCAAAGGGCGCTTGATATCAAATCGAAGGTACATGGACCGGACCATTCCTCAACTGCATCAACATATGACAGCATTGGAAGCCTCTTAAAGGATCAAGGCAAGTACGAGGAGGCAATGGAGCAACATCAAAGGGCGCTTGAGATCAAATTGAGGGCACTTGGACCGGACCATTTAAAGACTTCACGCACATATCATAGCATTGGAAACATCCTGTTCAATCAAGGCAAGTACGAGGAGGCAATGGAGCAATACGAAAGGACGCTTGAGATCGTATGGAAGGTACATGGACCGGACCATTCCTCAACTGCAACAATATATCACAACATTGGAAACGTCTTACACAAGCAACGCAAGAACGAGGAGGCAATGAAGCAATATCAAAGGGCGCTTGAGATCAATTTGAAGGCTTTTGGACCGAACCATTCCTCAACTGCAAAGACATATCATTGCATTGGACACGTCCTGTACATTCAAGGCAAGTATGGGGAGGCATGGGATACGAAAGTGCGCTTGAGATCACATGGAAGACGCTTGGGTTTTGACATTCCAGAACTGCAATGGGACATCAACACATTGGAAACGTCTTAAGCGATCAAGGCAAGTACGAGGAGGCAATGGAGCAATACCAAAGGGCGCTTGAGATCAAATTAAAGGCACTTGGACCGGACCATTCCTCAACTGCAATAGGATATGACAGCATTGGAAACCTCTTCAGAGATCAAGGCAAGTTCGAGGACGCAATGGAGCAATATCAAAGGGCGCTTGAGATCAGATTGAAGGCACTTGGACCCGACCATTCCTCAATTGCATCGACATGTCACTGTATTGGAAACGTCCTAAGCGATCAAGGCAAGCACGAGGAGGCAATGGAGCAATACCAAAGGGCGCTTGAGATCAAATTGAAGGCACTTGGACCGGACCATTCCTCGACGGCAATAACATATCACAGCATTGGAAACCTCTTACACAAGCAAGGCAAGTACGAGGACGCAATGGAGCAATACCAAATCGCTTGAGATCAAATTGAAGGCATTTGGACCGGACCATTCCTCGACTGCGACAACTCATCACAAGATAGGAAACGTCTTGCGAGATCAAGCGAATCATGACGAAGCAGGGGCTCGATTCCAACAAGCTGTGGCTATGTTGCGCAAAATCTTTGAGAAAATCACCTCAAGTTGCTGTGCTGTACAATTCCATGGTTAAAAGTCAGGCAAAGAGAGATGACCACAAGGACGCAATCGGTTTTTGAAATGATGCTGTCGAGATTCAGTTGAAGAATTCACGATAAGACAATCCAGATCTCCACAGGATCAGCCAGATCTTGCCTTATCTATATCCCCATGGCCGACGTATTGATGACTCAGTTGTCAAAGTTACAGGAAGCAGCATCATTTTAGGACCAGACAGTTGCGATTCAAAGCAAAGTCTTTGGTGAAGGGCTCAAATTTGTAAATGAGGTTTTGCAGAAAAAGAGTAAGCTTACGTTGGAGGATCATGAGAATCTAATTGTATAGAGTAGCATTATTTGTATTGATGTAGACCTAACATTAGATTGTAAATGCTACAGAAATAATCGAAAGACTGTAAACTTGGTCTCATTCTCCTTTGCTATCATGTCGTAACTAAAGGTCGCAAACAAAAGCCCTGAGATGATGGCCAATTCGGAACTGGGATTAAGTCCCAAATTCAAGCAAATCTCCCAAATTCGAACAGTCTCCCATCCCAGCAAGCCAATTTTAGCAAATCTTAATATCGCCGCCATGCAAGTCTAATACTTTCAGCAACTGTAGCTTGGGAATGGACGCTGGTGTTTGGCAAAGAATATTCAAAGTGCTCTAGCATCCAATCGAATCAATCAATCTTTTGTTTCAGGCAACCTCGTGACTAGTTCGACTAAATGAAAACTCGTTCCGACGAAAATCATCTTTGGAATATCGGCAGCAGCGCACACATCACATCACATCACATCACATCATATCATTTCTCATCGCACACTCACTATAGTATACCTGCACATCATGGATAAGGACGACGACGATCAACTGCAAACCTACTCACGAGTCTCTCCATTAGAAATTGACGAAGAAGAAGACGAAGGTATTGTACAATCGGAAAAAGTAGTAGTCCTCCAACGGGAGACTCTTGATGAGTGTGACGACGACAATCCCTTTTTGAAAACCCTATTACCCGACGCGGCCATTAACATTCGCGGTCATTTGCTAATAGATGGCGTCTTTGCAGTCAAACTTTTGAAATTCTTGGGATTGACCTTTGGATTAATTGCCTTGTTTCACGCTATTGTCGCCAATGTTCCATTGCTGAACGATCGAGACCGGAATTTGGAGTTGTGGCACATTTGGCGGTACGAAGGCAATTTGATTGTCTTTGACTCGGTAGTCTTTTTTCTAGTGGGACGGCTGTGGAAACAACGTGGAGTGGATCACTTGGGATGGATCATTCCTTTGCTCGTTGCGAATATTTACTACGAAAGTCAACATTTTATTTCGTGGTTACGACACAGTGTCACTCTGTACGAGATGCACTGCATTTGGCCCTGGGAGCTTTGGATGTTTGTGGTGACACTGGTACCTACCATCGGAGGGGTTGTTTTGGCCCATGTATGGAGGGCCTATCAAAGGCAATTGCTTCTCCTAAAAATTTCGGAATTGTTCCTTTGCGCGCTCTTCTTTTTGGTACCCATGTTGGGATCCAACTATTTTCATCTACATCATTGGTACGTCAGAACTTTTTGAGCTGCTTGCTTTCATTCTACTTCTTGTCTTGTTGCTTATCAATAACAATATTCCATCAATACTATATTTCCTACTACTTTAGGTACGCTGGCTGGTTGATTGGTATGCACTGCAACTTTGACAAGTGGTGGTCCCGTTCGGCCATGGCCTATTGCTGGGGAATGTACATCAACGGAATTGCCGTATATGGCCGAGATCCTGTCTTGACTTGCGAATATTCCTATTGGTTGAGTACGGACAATCGATGTCCCTACATGGCGTGCTATTTGGAGGCCATGGCCCACAAAAATGATACCAACCACACCACCGACGTGGTGGAAATGATTGCAGCGGATTGGAGGAATTGTTCGGCTTCGGGATTTCATCCATAGATTATTAGAGAACAAGCCTTATTGTTCTCTTTGTTGCTATTGTTGTTCTAGTGTATCTAAAACTCCAGGTGCTTCCTTAGACCTTTTATCCAGTCTTCTTACGTAGACTGAACGTAAATTTAGTACTTAGTGTTTCATATATATGGTGTTCCTCTAATTATGTCTCCTTCCGTGTCGTTAAGCTCAACTCCCCGTCTCTGCACGTGAACAGTCGCTATTGGACAAGCCCTTTCGTTGATATTACATTACGACTCTGCTGCACCTATACTACTGGTATTCATCACGGACAACCTCAAATCAAATATTAAAAAAAACCCATACCACACATCCTTGCTCTTCCTTACAACTGTCAATGGCGACGGGGACTGCACGCGTTGATCATTCAGGACAAGTAACAGACGTTGACACTGCAAGAGAAATCCTCAATATGCCCCAGCGTAGACGATCTTCCTTGATTGATCAAATGGCCATGGTGGCCGCCAACCAGCCCTTTATGGAAGACATTAGTGAAGGAAGCAACGATGATGACGACGACGACGATGGAGTGGAAGATGGCGTCATGGCTTCAACCGACAATGATACTGTGGGAGAAACGGAAATGGTCTTTAACACGGAATTGGACGATGGTTCCAATGAATATTCCATTGATTTGGTAGATTCGCAAGGAGAATCTGTGAGTATGATGGACTTTGAAGACAGTGATGATAATGACGACGATGGGGACGACGACGACAATGATGAACGGAACACCCTGGACTATGATACCACCAATACGGCGCTATTAGGTATGGGAGGTATGGGAATGGGAGGAAATGGTACCAGCTTTCGGGCTCGTCCTTCCTTTCGATCCGAGGGTATGAATATGAATTCTCAAGGACCACCAATCGATTATGCCTCCTTAATGTACGGACCTGGGGAAGGAGGCCTCGGAGCACGGTCTTCTTCTGCCGAAGCATCGTTGGGGGGCATGGGGGGTTCTCGAGTGGAACGACGCCGCCCACTTTCCATTTCCGTTCCCAGCTCAGCTGCCAATTCTGATGTTGAAAGTGGCGGTCCACAACAACGACGAACCTCCAATCGCATCATTCATGCGATTGGAGAAGAGGGATCTTCCAAACCAAGCGGAAACTCCATTTTGAGTTTTGCTCGTCGGGCGTCTCGCAAGGCATCTACCACCACTAGCTCCTTGGGAAGTGATAAGTTTGGATCGGCCATTGAAAAGCTCAAAAACAACGATTCCAACAGCGAATGGGAATCCGTGGCGGCCGCGGTGGCGGTCGTCCAAGAGGGAGAACGGAGGGCGACCAATACCAACAAGTCTCGATTGAATCAATTTTCAGCCGGCGATACCGTCTTAGTGTTTTTGACCTTGCTCAATGTGACAAATTCGGAGGATCCCAAGGATACCTTTACCATTGCGGCGGTCAACAAATTTGGATTTCCCGACGGAGAGGGCAAGACAGATGATGAGAAAAGGGGACCTTACAACTTTGTATTGGCGACGGTCAAACAATTGCATTTTGAAGAAGACGATCGGTACTACACCGTTGTACGGGCAGACACTGGAAGTGAACAGCGGGCCGATTCTGGATGGATGGAACCATTAACCGATCCAGCAGGCCAAGAGGCTGCTCGACGAGCTGCCAAGAAGACGATTCGGAGTCAATCGAACGATGATGTTGAATTGGCGGACGATGGTGGATACATTCAAGATGTGGTGACTTGGATTGTGGATGCAATTGTGTATCCGTTCTTTTACTTTACCAATACCATTTTGCCGGGATGGCGCAAATTGCGACTGACGGCCAAGGTCCGAGTCTCTCAATTGCTATACGGAGATTCACCCTTTGCCTGTCGGGTCCGAGTGACGGGTATTAATCTCTTGGTCCTGTGCAGTTTGATCTTTTTGTTCTTGGAAGTGGCCAATCTAGCATTTTTGCCACCCGACTTTGATGCGCAAATTTCATTGGTTGTGATGTAAGCTATGGTATTCAGAGATGGAACTTTTGCTTGTTGATTTTTCATTTATTCTCACCTTCATATCAAAGTGTTGCTTGGGCCTGTCTCGTCATCGAACTGTTGTTGGAGATTTTAATTCGACCACTCGATTACAACGACTTGATGGATTCAGACAAGGCCTTTTCTCCTACGACGGCACGCCACATCTCGTTCTTTCATATTTTCTTCGAAGCGATTGCGTTGGCGACCTTTGTTCCCGAATTATGGTGCACAATTCGCCACGATGAAGTCTGCGACAAGCAAGGTTTGTTTTCGCGGTCCCGCAGTACCATGGATGCGGTTTTGGGACAGTCTCCATCAAAAGTCATGCTGGGACGAACGCTAATGGGGATTACAGCCTTTCGTTTCTTTGGAGTGGTCCGACATTGGAAACAAGCCTTGATCAATGATACCTATCAGTCCGTAAAGTCCTCCAATGGGCTGAAACGATTCACTCGGGCTAGTGCGGGTGACTCGGTTAGCTCCTTTTCTACGTTAATTTCGAAACGAAAGTCCAAGGGATCAAAGAAGAATGACGATGAATTGGATCGAAGCCGTCATGGAGAAAAAGACGATGACACGAAACGATCTTCTACAGAAGATGATGAACGTCTCAAGAATGCTGCTACCATAGGAACCGCATTGATGGTCGTGAATTCGCAACGAGCTTTGGTCTTGTTGACATCCATTGTTCTCATCCTTCCATTGCTGATTTCTCGAGTCAAAACCAACTCCATTTCGACTGACTTGACACGGGTCCTACAGGCAAATAACGTCCAAGCCCTGGATACTGAAGACTGTGATTATTTGAAATCAGCAGTAGACTCTTGGCTTAGCATTGCCATGGTTCCACAACCAGAATCCTTTGTGAAATCGCATGAAGATACCTTTGTACTTTGGGCGCAAGTGCTTCCAGTTCGTTGCGATTGGCAAAGGGAAGATGGGATCATTACTCACTGTGATAACAATACTCTTTTCGAGCAAGGTCATCAGGAAGCTTGTGAGCTTTGGGACGATACATTGCAATGGGGAAGTTTTTCGGATGAACAAATGAAAGGATGGGAACTTGAAGAAAAAGTGGACACTGTCAGATCCAACTTGGCACAAGAAATGAATTTGAGAATGCCAGCTATCCAATGGAAATGCCTCTTTGGATTGGAAAGCGTGCCTTGCAATGTTGGGTCTTCGTCGGAAGCGGAATACAGTGTGACTGTTTACTACAATAACCACCCCACTGTGTCATTGGCGTGAGTTTTTTTTGGTTTTTGTGCATGGGTTTTGATGGCCATCATCTCACCTTTTTTACTTGGCAACAGCAATACAAGTTTGTTCTTTCTTCTCCTTGGGATTCTGATTCTTGGGCTGTACAGTCTTTCAGCGCTTCGCAGTGACGCCATTCGACTTGTTCTTGATCCACTTCAAAGAATGTTGAAAATTGTACTGCAATGTAAGTGTGCTGATTGAAAATCTCTAGCTTTGTCGGATGCGAGCTAACATTCATTTATGTAGATGCCGACAATCCCCTATCACATAACGTAATGAGGTCCGGGTCCAAGACTGACGACGATGACATGACGCAGATCGATGCGAAAGAAATTGGAAACTACGAGACAGAACAGCTGATCAGTGCGATCACAAAGATTGCAGATTTGCTCCGAAAATGCTGGGGAATCGCTGGAGCTGGTATTATCTCTTCAAATCTTGCCAGAACAGTGGATGGGAAAACGGTGGTCTTCAACCCGACCGTCCCTGGAAAACGCGTCTATGCGCTCTTTGGATTTGTGGCTATCAACGGTTTCAGTGACCAGCTTCGGCGATTGGATCGTGACGTCATGATTCTTATCAATGATGTAGCACGGGTGGTTCACGATGAGGTCTATCGATGGGCGCTTGGTGACCACGGCCAGTGTAATAAGAATCTGGGCCCAGCTTTCTTAATGGTCTTCCGTATTGGTGATTTCTCGGAAGTGCACAAGAAGAAGCAAGTTGCCACTGAGAAACTCTTCCGATCGAATAAGGGAAAGAGGACAAGCGGCAAGACAGGCCTTCGTAATAGACGGAGCGGTCGTAGCGCACGAAGCTCCAACAGAGGGGGTGATGCTCAGATCGATCTCGCGTCGCTGCCTGGTATCCAAGGTTTCACGGATCGTGCTTTACTGGGTATGCTGAAATCATTTGCCGGAATCCATCGTGACAAAAACTTGTACGTGTGGCAAAGTGACTTCCGTCTCAGTGACGGAGTTGGAAAGTACTGCGTCGATATTATTTACGGAATGGATGCAGGATGGGCTGTGGAGGGAGCGGTTGGCAGTGAATACAAGATTGATGCGACATACCTGTCACCACATGTCAATATGGCATCGCGTATGATGAGTGCGACAAAGCAGTACGGTGTGACTATCTTGTTGAGTAAGGCCGTGGAGGAACTATTGTCCAAGAACTGTCGCAAGAAACTTCGCCATCTTGACACGGTGTATGTGAAGGGAAGTAATGTCAAACAGCAAATTTTCACTTACGATGCAAGGCACGAAGGGGTTGATTTCTTTTTGATCGAAAGGAGCCCATCGCAAGCCGACATTGATGCCGAGGCGTACACGCCAAATGTCTGGGATCACGATCAAGATGTGAAAGCGATGAGGCAACATATCAGTGAAGACTTTCTGGAAGCTTTCAACATGGGTGTAAAGGAGTACCTGGGGGGAAACTGGACGGAAGCCTACAGCTTGCTAGAAGAGGCCGACAACAAATTGATTGCAAATATCATTGATGAGGGATACCTTGAATTGGATCCAGATGAATTCCCCGGAGACATCTTTGACCGGAACAATAAGAATGAGGAATTGGTCAGGTTAAGGCATGATCTTGGTGATGGAGCTTGCAGGGTGCTCATGTCTTACATGAAAGGAAGAAACCTTACTGCACCTCCAGATTGGGACGGCGTTCGAAAGCTTTCGAGCAAATAAAGAAACAGTTTTGTTTGCCTAAACTGTGTAATTGTAATCAACAGCATATATACAACTCTTTTTTCCCACACCCACTTTCCCTTGCACCATATGCGGTCTGTCCATTGCGCAGGCACGACTGGGGCCAAGAAAAATAATCAGAAATGCAGACACAAACAAAATAATTGAAACATGGGACGTTGTACCATCCAACTTGTCATGGTAAGTAGCACATGCAGTCGCAAAAAAAATACGAATACATCGATGCTTGTGCTGATCTCCAGTCTGTTTGTCCTTTCAGGGCCCTGCGGGTTCAGGAAAGTCCACATATTGCCACGCTATGCAACAACATGCCGAAACTTTGGGAGGTCCTCGGAAACGAACGATTCATGTCGCCAATCTGGATCCAGCAGCGGAGAACTTTGGTTATCAAATGGCTTTCGATATACGCGATCTCATTTCTGTGGAGGAAGTGATGGAAGAACTCAAGCTGGGTCCAAATGGCGGCTTGGTATATTGCATGGAATATCTGCTGAACAACCTGGATTGGCTCCAGGATGCTTTGGACGACTTTGGTGATGACGATTATTTGATTCTTGATTGCCCAGGACAACTAGAGCTATATACCCATATTCCCCTGATGAGAAACGTAATCGATCGAATGCGAATGTGGGGATACGAATCTTCAATGATTGGGGTATTTTGCATAGACACAACCTTTGTCTCGGATACTTCCAAATTTATCTCTGGAAGCCTGCTGAGTTTGTCGGCTATGATTGCTCTAGAACTGCCACATGTCAATGTTTTAACAAAATGCGATTTAATATCCGAAGAGAATGTTGACTTGATTCTGAATCGAGAAAGTGCTTCCGAAATATGGAGTCGAGAACAAGATCGGAGCTCCTTACTTCCAGCAAAATTCGAAGACGGGGACGACGAGAGTCGTCGGTTAGAGCGGCGTCGGAGGAATCGTCAAAGATTAACCGATGGTATCTGCCAACTGTTAGACGACTATACTATGGTCAGCTTCCTGCCTCTTAACATTCGTGATGAGGATAGTATTGATCATGTGCTGGCGTGTGTCGACTCGACGGTGCAATACGGCGAGGACCTGGAGGTTCGAGGGGAAGATATTGATAGAGAGTTTGAAGAATAGGCAAGTTTGTCATTTCAAAATATTTTTAAAGTACAGTTATTACAACAGTTTTCAATAGCGTGGTCATTTGCCAAAAATCGAAGAACACTTGGCCTTAGCAATTCCGATTTGGTGTTCTTGAGCATCAAACAAAATATCGTGTCCGAACATTGCGTTCGCCCCAAGCACAGCACCGTCCTGTTCTTCGACATAAAGTCTATTTGACAGCGATTTGCTCTTTTCCCATCTTTGTGGTTCTCCCGTTAAGTCGTCGATTGGAGTGTTTTCCATGTAATATTGTGACTGCAAAACCAACGTTGCATTGTTGGCAAAGCGAAATGTGATATCGGGGAGCCTAAGAAACTCTTCAAAGGTAAATGTCCGAGTTCTCATGGCACTAGAAAAGTCCATCAACCCACCTGTCACGTTCATGCCAATATGTGCCATATCGTCTGCAAACATGGCGGGCAGGAATGAATCTGTTGTCCCAGAGTCAAAGAGACAGCCATTCTTCCCATTGTTTATCCGTCTTAACAACGATGGCTTGACTTCCTTACTTGTCACGACAACGTCACCAACTTCCAGCGACTCCATTTCAATACTGTACAAACCATGGTCTCTTGTGATTGGAGTCATTCTCATTTTTTCAAGGTGATGCTCCGTGGGATGAGTTCCTCCTAATGATAGTGTCCCTCCTTTCGGGGTTAAGCAAAGACTGAATGCATTGATTGCAATGGCTCCAGCCTTGTGAGTCGCTGAGATGATGGATCTATCATCTAGGGCTAGACCCAAAATTCCATCAGCATATTGTTCTCGGAATAGACCTTCTGATTTGGACTGACAACCGAAAGCGTGAAAGACGGCTAGCTGCATGTCAACTTCCACACTTTCCAACTTATCGGCAGAACCAAACCAGACAACATCCTCCACTTCATCCCCAGACCATTTGCTACCTTCTGTATATCTTTGTTCCATTGCGCATCTATTCCCATACAAAGAACAAGTAGATATCCCGTCCATTAAGCAACTCCCACATTTGGAAAACCGATGTGTTGTGGACTTGGTTACATCAAAGTACGGATTAACATGCTTTCCGCATCCTTTGCAGTTTCCTGCCACCTTAGATTTGCAGGGAAATGCGACAATTCGAGAGCCAGTATCGAGAATAACAGTTTGTCGTTGGGGTGGCGAACCGATGTAAATATCAGCATGATGGGATCCCTTCATGGCGTGGATTGGCACTGTCACATTGGCAGCAGGAGGTGGTTCCAAAATTCTGATTGAATGCTTCTTAGGCAGATGAACTGCTCCTCGGAGACCCAACAGCTCTCTATGATTGTGTGAACTCGACACAGCGTTCGGGGCCAGCAACCATGCTAGGCTGCGAAGAGAGCATTTCCCCATCGCGCGAGCAGCAGGTTTGCAATAGTTTCCAAAAATCATTGTCGGTGTTTTCGTTTTGGGAAAAAGACTTGATGTAGGGGATGGACAGACAGCCGTTTTGGTGCGATAAATTTAGTCGCACCGAGACTGTTTGAATTTTGATCAATCATCATCTCATCATCACCAAGAACCCAACTATTCGTTGACCGGGTTACATACACCATGGCCGAGTCAACCTTTCCAATCCCTTCCTCTCTCCAGGACTTAGAGCGGGAGCCATACAATCTCCTTCCTTATCCGTATAATTTTGACGATGATGACGAGGAAGCAAGAGCTCTATCTTTTTGTCGTCTGGTCAAAACCTTGGAAATGGGAAACCGTCGACTAGCCACGGAAGGAATGTCCTTATTTCAAAGTCAGAACGGCTATCCTGATGAAGAAAAATGGATGTGCGAAGATAGAGTACAAGCTTTGTATACCCTTGTCAGGTAGGAATGAACTACTGTGCCATTGTGATTGGTTTTGTGAACTCTTCTTGTCTCACATCAATTTATTCTTCCGCTTCACAGAAAATCGACTTCTCTCGCCTCTGAAACGAGATGGAGTTTGATCCGAAGTCTATGCCAAGCTGTGAAGGGAATTTCTATTCTTTTAGATGACCATGCGGAAGGAAACCCATCCAATGAAGACATGGAAGTCGAAGGATCACAAACGGAAGCTACACCTTCGTCGACAGTCTCCCAAGAATTCCGCGATGCATTCGCATGTCACATCTACATGTTGTTTTCAATTATGCATGTTATGGAATCTGAGGCAAAGATTGCGTCAACTTTGAAGACTTCAAGCAAGAAGCGTTCCGACAATCAAGAAGCCATCGAAATGGCGGAGATGCGAGCTGCATGTGCTCAAGCAATGCTTATCGCAGCCCAAAAAATGAGTGAAAATCGAAACCGTCTATGGAGAAGAGGGGTCCCTGATGAATCAGTAGTCGTACTCCCATGCAGAATCGCCTATCAAATGCTGGAGAGCGCGACTGGTGTCATTGCCCGAAAAGCTGCGTCTGGAGACGAAGCCATTGCCATGATTGCGGCTACTGTTGATTCTTGTGAATCCCTCTTGGGGACAATTATTGCCGCTCTCATGGATATGATGCACTCCTATGAGCATATGGCTGCTTTATGTTCGGAGCTGTGCACTTCAGTGGCCACGAACAAATTGCCGATTGAACTTATCCGAGAGATGGGACGATTGGATACCCATTCCCAAGATACTGGCAAGGCCAGTGGAATCAAGTTTGTTGCACCCTTCATCAATGAAATGGCCCAAAGTCGACCTCGTCTGGTTCTGGTGAACATTTCACACATTATGCCGCACTTGAACTCTGAGCCATACTACTTGAGGTCTGCCATTGTTGGTGCGATAGGACATATTATCGATCATGTTGGGAAATCGCTGTCTGCGCCGGGGACCACAGAAGACGAAGACAAGGATGGCGCAATGTCACCGACAAATTTGGAGAACTCTCGTGGAACCCTGCTGACGATTCTCCAAGAACGAGCTCATGATGTGAGCTCCTACACCCGCTCAGCAGCTCTCAAGGCTTGGATTCGACTTGTCCAGGAAGGGTCAATCCCCGTGGACAGTTTCATTTCTGTCACAATGATTGCTATGGATAGATTGAAAGACAAAACAGTAATTGTCAGAAAGCAGGCTCTTCAGGTAAATGCCATCTTGCTTTTGTTTTCCTTTTTTTTGAAACGATCTAACATTCCTCTCAGCTATTGACAGTGTTGCTTGAAAACAACCCATTCTTGGGAGAATTGGACCCAGAGCCATATCGCCTAAAATTGAAGGAGATGTATGAATACGTGAAGGCTCACCTTCCTCAGCATTTGAACGAAGCCTACCAGACAAAGTTACAAGACTCTCGTGAAAATGGAGAGACAGAGGAAGATATCCTTGAATTGGAGAGTGCAACCCTCGCTGCTGCAATTGCGGAAGCTGATATCATGGAAGAGGAGACACCGGCAAACACTGAATATAAGGCAAAAATCGAAGCGTTGAAATTTGCCCAATCCGCTCTGGATTTCATTGACCAGTTTGAAAATGCGAGCTCCGCTCTTCATGGTATGCTTCTTTCAGCCAATACTAGCGATGTGATGGAAGCTCTTAGGTTCTTTGTCAAAGCTCGGCATTTTAAACTCCCATGTGCTGTTACTGGGATGAAACAAGCGCTGACGCTGATGTGGTCAACAGAGCAGAATATCAAGGACGAAGTTCTCAAGGCATTCATTGACGTTTTCATTGCAGTTCCAGGCTCTGATGGGAAGCATGTGCTTCCAGCAAACCAAATTGCATACAACTTGATTGTGCTGGTGGAAGTAGCTAATGTCAGTGAACTGGCTTCTATCGAAGAGGCCGTAGGTCATCTTGTAAAGAATGGCAAGATTCCAGCTGATGTGTTCTCAACGCTTTGGGCAGCTGCTGCTAATGGCAAATCTTGTGCATCTGCTATCCAAATCATTGGGATGGCGGCAAACACGGATAGCAGTATAGTGGACAGCAAATCTCGCTTGAAGACGCTTCTCGACGTTGCTCTTGGGGATGAGACAGAGGAGAGACGTGATTTTGGGGTCGTCAGAGCAGCTGCTATTGCACTTCAGCGAATTGAAAGAGCTCAAGTCGATCCTACTTGTGCTAAATATTTGGTTCTAGAGAGAATCATGGAACAATTGTGCGCCGTAGCTCGTGGTGACTGGTGCGTGGACCTAAACGAAAAAGACACCATGGAATGGTTTTCGGCTTCCGAAGAAGCTATCAGCGCTCTTTTCATCATCTCTCCTTCACCAGAGATATGTTGTGCCGATATAATCCGGGGAATGCATGCACAGACTCTGGGATCAGGCTCAGTTGAAAAATGTAATCCTTTGCGCCTTGCCAGGTTCTTCCATGTCCTTGGGCATATTGCTTTGAAGCTCCTAGTCTACACTGAAGCACTTTCTGGCACGGTGCGCCGTGCCAACGCCCAGAAGTCACTCAAGAGACAAGAAGAAATGGACAAGGCAAAACAGATGAAGGGGGCCGCTGAAGATGATGACATCGAAGCTGAGCTAGGAATGGCTGCCGAGCTCGAGGCTGAGAACGAACGAAAAGTTGCCGAGATTGCAGAAAAAGAAATCGTGGGTCGCGGTCTGTTAGGTATCTTTGGTCCAATCTTAGTGCGTGTTGTGGTCAATGAAGGCCAGCGGTTCAACAACGGAGTCCTCTTGCAAGCTGCAACTCTCTCGCTCTGCAAATTCATGTGCGTCTCCAGCTCCTTTTGCGAAAAGCATCTTGCGGTGGTCTTCACTGCACTCGCAAACGCACCACCAGAAGATACAGTGCTGCGAGCAAATACTGTAATTGCACTGGGCGATCTCGCTTTCCGCTTCCCAAATGAGGTAGAACCCTACACTCCAAGACTCTATGCCTGCCTCCGAGACCCTGCAACCAAAGTTCGTCGTCACACTCTGATGGTTTTGACGCATCTCATTCTGAATGATATGGTCAAGGTAAAGGGTCAAGTCTGCGAAATTGCGTTGTGCTTGCGAGATCCCGATTCAAGAATGAGAGATACGGCTCGTCTACTTTTCCATGAATTGAGCAAACGAAGCAACAATCCAGTTTACAACTTGCTACCGGACATTATCAGTCAACTAAGTCAAACGTCAGTTGCCAAGGAAGACTTCCGCAGTATCATGACCTTCCTTTTGGGCTACATTAAAAAGGAGAGACAGAATGAGATGCTAATTGACAAGTTATGCCATCGATTCCCGAAGTGCACTACCATTTCACAGACTGCGGATATCACGTATTGCATGACACAGCTTAAGGTGAACGAGAAGTCAGTGAAGTGCATGATCGATAACTTTAAACTATACAAGGATGCGCTACATGATGAAGAAATTCGCAAACACTTTTCAGCAATCATCACCAAGGCCAAGAAACTTTCAAAACCTGAGCTCAAACAGGGTCTGGAAGAGTGGGAATCGAAGCTTGACGAGCAGGCGCAACTTGGCAAGGAAAATGAGCTTGCAGGCGAGAAGGCCAAACTGGCAAAAACTCGTGCTTCGAAGCGAAAGGTAACCCGAAGAAGGAAACCAGTCATCGAGAGTATTCCTGAATTGAGCGATCACGAAAGCGATGATAACAATGCCGAGGAGGAGAGTGAAACAGAAATGTCGTTTGATGGCAAAGAAAATGCTCCCAAAAATACACAGAGGAGTTCAACTGAGGAACCGTTGAAAACACGCAGAAGCCGAAGAAGGGGGGCCAACACTAGTATTGAATCATCATGATTCGAAGAATGATGTCTACGTCTGTCTGCTTGATGTCTGTTTGAATCAATCGATTTGACGATGAGTTTTGGGGAATCAATAAAATCATCGAAACTCCAAGGTTTTTTGGAGGATGACAGCTGTTCAGCAGGCTCGGAGGGCGCGGGGAGCGTGGCTGACGGTACTTTTACTTATAAAGTGTTGGTGTCGTATATGCATAGAAACTGTATGATTTATCGCATGCCACTTTTTGCCATGCCCATAAATATTCTAGTCTGTTGGATGGAGGAGATATCAAACAGCTCGACCTCATCACAATTCCTTTGGAATCACCGCGCTTCGGATTCAACATATCTGGAGGCTCTAGCTTTGTTCTTTCGACAGCAGGAGGAGGCTATACATTGTGTTACCACCACGAGAAGACTAGAGGAGGTGAGCTTTTGATATCGTTGTCCTTTGTGGGTCCAATGTTTCGCATCTTGTGACCGAGTGGTGTCGGTTGTCGCTGGTACTTTGTCTACATACGCGGACACATTTTGGCAAAGCAAATTGCCGTCTCTTTCGTTCCGCTCAACGTCGCCGTATTCTTGTTATATTGACATCAAAACAACCATTTCCACTCACACAATCCCCATTGCGCCTAACAACACAAACCATTTGTATTCAGCGGATTGAAAACGAAACAGCAAAATTCACCAATTTTTATGAATTCAAGCTCTGGTCGATAACTTCAAAATTGCCAACCCAATCCCAAAACAACGTCTAATCAAACGCGTCTCCAAGCTACCGACTGTTGGTCTCATCACCGACCAATAGAGAGAAATATCCTTACAAACAAACAAACAAACGAAAGAGGGAGAAATAAATCATGTCCGGTTATCCTACAGGACAAAGTGCAGAAGAGGCTTCCGCGTCGGCTGCCAGATTTACACAAGAAGAACTGAAACGACAAGCAGCTGCCTCAAGAGTGAATGGGGCACACGGCAACCCCGCTGCTCATATTGTTGGATCTGGTTTTCCTGCTGGTTCTGCGTATATGAGCAATTTGTTGGCCGATTCCGCCGCTGCCGCTGCAGGGCAAGCTGCATTTTATGGGGCTACCGCCCAATCGCCATTTGGTGGACCCTATTCGGCATTGAGCTCTCAAGCGTCGCCATACGCTGACTCTGTCACTGCTGCATTATATAGACAGCGATATGGATATGGAGCTGCCGCTGGTGTTCCCCCTTATACAGGGCACGAATATTACAACCCTCACTTTGCTCGGTCACCGCAAAATTTGGCATTTTTCGATCGTCTGAACCAACAGCAGCAAGCTGCAGCTGCTGCGGGAAAGACTCCTCCCAAGACTCCTTCGGCAATTGTTCAAAATACTCCTTCTTCAGCAGCGACGACTCCAGCAAAGCCTGGGACACTGACACTCTCACCCAAGCCATCTCCCAAAGGTTCACCGTCTGATCCAAAACCTCGGAAACAGTTGTCTGGGATCCGCGTGCCGGCCCCTTTTGATAAAAAAAAGACCTTGACCAACAAAGATGGCGAGGTATTACCAGAACCAGGAAAGTGGTTCCATGGGTGCGTTCCACTGGGTGTAGAAGACGATAAATATTGGTTGTCCGAATTGCAAGTCTATTTGCGATCGAATTTTGCCGAAGCCTTTGGGGCAACGGAGGACGACATTGCGGCTCCCATGCATGGTCGAAACAAGCCAATTGCATTGGGGCAAGTTGGTATCCGGTGCATGCATTGCAAGAGTAAGTGTCAAAACATCATTTGCATAATATTCAAAATTAATTGCAAAAGAAGAGAATGGAGCTCATCAACTCGATTAATTTGCAATTCCTTTTCGAGCAGGCGAGAATCCAGCGGAACGAGGTCAACAGGCGACAAGTTATCCAAGTCTCATTAGTGGAATCTACAACTCTGTTCAACAAATGTTGCGACTGCACTTGGATTGCTGTCAAGCAATGCCACCCGATGTTCGAGCCAAGATTGAAACGTTAAAATTGTCAAGCTCAAGCCGTGGCGGAAGAAAGCAATACTGGATTGATTCTGCAAAGCGACTTGGATTGACGGATACTACTCAAGGTATTCACTTTGGTAGGGATCCAACCGGTCCCCTTCCACCTTTGGAAGGTCCATCGGTCAATTCCAAGGAGGGTCGCAAAAAGAAGGAGAGCAAGAAGAAGGTGACTGGCGAACTGCTCCCACCAGAAGAAATGATTGTTGGTCCATTTGGCCCTCCAATACCGGTGATCGATGATCGACCCCTCGTATTCGATGAAGACAAGCCCTTGATTTCCGACTATTTGTATCTGACGCTCGAGCAAATGAGTCCTTGTGTCTTGATGGAAGCAGACCGTGTGGGATGCTACAAGACCAGGAAAGTTGGATTCCCTGGTTTGGCTTGTCGACACTGTGTAGGGCAAGCAGGTTGTGGGCGGTACTTTCCAGCGTCCGAGGGGTCCCTTTCTCAGACAACCACTTCTCAGACTATAATGAATCATGTCCGAAACTGCCGAAGATGCCCTGTTGAAATCAGAGAAAGCTTGGAAATCATGAAGCGAGCAAGGATGGGTCCAGATGGGAAACGAGCAGACAAACCGAAACATGGAGGGCGCAAGGTTTTCTTCCATCGCTTGTGGTGCCGAATTCAAGGTCTCCCGATCGAAGATGAGAAGAGCGAGACGAAAGAAAAGAAGAAGCGAGGCAGAAAGAATGCTGCCAAGAGGTCCAAGAAAAAGCAAAGTGGTGGCTCTGACAGTGAAAACGAAAAGGAAGACAAGGCTGAGGGCGTCCCAAAACTGACGGAATCAAGCGAAGAAACTGAAACAGAGCCTGAATCGGATACGGAGGTCATGCACAAACCAGTCGCGAGAAGCAAGACCAAATCTCTGGCTAAGAAACCTACCAACAAGTGGCACGAAGGATGCGTCCGCTTGACAAAGTCCGACGACACACACTGGCTCTCCGACATTCAGAGATTTACCCGAAGTGACTTGATCGAAGTTTTCAGCTGGAAGGCAGAGGACGGTTTGGAAGGTTATGCAGCGAGAAAGGACCCAGCCGAGGGACAAGTAGCCATTCGATGCGTGTTTTGCAAAGCTTTGAAGCCGGAAGATCGGCCTGCCGGTTGCTTGGTGTTCCCAGATAGTCTCTCATCGATACATTCCAAGGTTGGGGATATGATTCGCCTGCACTTTAATTCTTGCCCTGCAATGACCGAGGAGGCAAAGGAAAAGTTCAAGGCATCGCGTGGTATTGGCTCGAAGAAAGTGGATGACTCACTCCAATATTGGATCGACTCTGCCCGAGATCTTGGACTTTCCAACATACCACCAGGCGGTGCAAACAATGGATGGGGAATCACATTCAGGAGAAATCCTCTATCACCAAGCCCAAGTGACGAACTTGACCTTGAAGCAGCGGGAACCTCAACCCCGACCTTTTCCAAGTCAATTCTTATCAGATCAGAGGACAAGGGACTTTGCACCGACCAGGTGAAGCTTCTGATGCGTCAAGTGAAGGCCTGCTCCTTCCAAAAGAGCGACAAACGCGGAGGACCAGGCGCACGGGGAAGGGATCGTGTGATTGGGTTTCCTGGTCTCTCCTGCAGACACTGTTCTTCCAAGTCGAATGTTGGACGTTACTTTCCAGTTTCGGCCAAGAACTTGACTGACAATACCGCAAACTCAATTCTCGCCCACATGTCAGGGTGCAACCGATGCCCTGAATCCGTCAAGGCATCGCTTGTCTTTTTGAGTCATCGGGCTATAATTCAGAAAGCTGAACTCAGCGGATCTTGGAAGAAGGCTTTCTTCAAGAAGATATGGGACAGGTTGCACGTGGAGCGATCTTGGACTGAGGAGGACGACAGCGAGGACATGGATGTCGACGACGAAGCATCCGAGTCAAGTGAAGAAGAATCTGATGATGAATCGGGGAATGCTGAAGGGAATACAATGAGCTCGGATAGTGAGGATGACAATGAGGATGCCACGGGAGACAATATGGATGTCCTCATTAAGGCTGCTGCCATTTGGTTGACTGAGCAAGATCAAGTCAATGATTCTAGCGCTCGCACTGGAAATAATGGAAAAACAAGCCCACTATCTGGATTTAACAAGCGTTCATCACCAAGTTCACGAAAGGACAAAAAGAGGGGTTCAAGTTTGACATCGGGAAAGCGAAGAAGAGTCCATTTCTAGTGCCGCCTAGGTGCATTCTGTATAAAATAAAATGTTGAACAACTTGATTGGTCTATCTTGGTGCATAGATTAGGATTGAATTGGGCTATTGGCGCTTCACCATCTGAGATTCCGTAAAGTCTGTGCAAACATGAGGCGAACTGTGGATCAACCATTAATTTTTTCACTGCATCGTATCGTCTGTCAAGTTCTAGTGGCCGATTGGACATCCCGTGTACCTTCTCGGTAGCAATCATCAGCAGCCCACGCTGCTGCGACTACGCTGCCATACTGCTATCGATTGCTTCGTCCATGATGTGGGAATTCTGACCCAAAAGGGCTCAGTTACTGCTTTCTGAAAACAAAGTACAAAATGATGATGAGGCTACTGTTAGGAATGGTATCATATATTCAACACAAACTCGACACATCGGAAACAAGTAGATATTCTCTTCATAGTTAACTCAGAGAATGTAGATAATTTGTTCAATCCTCATTTGAATTTGGACGACTGTGGAACTCTTTCTGATTTCTTAGACATTTTTTTTGTACACTTTACGTCGAATCAACATTATTGTTCTGTCCGCCCGACGGTACTATCATCATTGAAAAAGAGTTCAGGCCCGTTCTGCGATCGAATAAGAAACGAAATTACCCACCTTTAGATTTCATCTTGGAGTCATACCTCACGCTTGCTGGAAGAATGAGAGCATTGTTTGTCAATAATGCAAATTGGAGGTTTGAGCTTGAGTTTTTCATCATTTCCGTGGTTCGCGGCCCAATCAGCGTCTGTCCTGTGTCTTCATTGGCAGGCAATCCACATTTCACGCCGGCCTTTCCGTTGCACCATGGATTCAAATCTTGTCTGCGACTAAATAAATAAATCGCAATCCGGGTTAGTTTCCCAAACTTCCCAGTTTCTCAATTTTGCGTCGAATTTTGCTCTCCTCGAAGAAAGCAATATAACTTGTGCACCCCATTTCACACACCGGTACCAGGTACTCCTTTGCCAATCAACAATCTTGCAAATCATGTCAAAACCAAACAGTGATTCATCCTACGGCTTTAATTTGGAGACCTTAGGATGCGGAGGAAAGATCAATAAACTGATTTCAGCATTTGATTTCGGTTCCCGTCCGCCGCCTATGGACAAGGACACAGATGATACGTATGCTGCCCAATGGGCTGCCAACGAGGAGAGAAAGAAAAGCTTCAGCATAACTGACGCATTTCAATGTGATCCAAGAACATGTATCCGCTCCAACGTTCGGGTAGCGACGAAGGGAGCTGAACCATGTGATCCAGAAGTTTGCCGACAAGTCTACTATTGCGAGATTTGTGCCAGGTGTCCTCGCCATTGCGATTGCACCGTAGAAAACGATCCAAGTATTTGTGATAGTGCAGAAGCGAAGTCACAGGCTGATTCCTTTAAAATGCCAAAAGACAGTAGGTGATTGATTCCCTATTGGTTCATTCGAACAAACTACCTACATGCTAATAATATCTACATATGTATATGATAAAGGTATGTCTCAAGTTGCGGTGCGTCAATAGGGTGACTCAATCCGCAAGGGCAATTGCATATCTATCTCCGAAGGAAGTGCGATGATCGACATCGACATTGACTCTTGGTATTATCTCTGCGCCAAGGGAGAATCATAGATGATTACAATACGAATCTTCAAAAAAATATTGTAGTTTTTCATTCCAAAGCTCATCCTTTATTGTTGCTAGTCGCTATCCTATGTGTCCGAATGAATGATTATGCATCAAACAATTGCAATTGTCATGCAGGAAAAGCATGCCAGAGTCCTTCATTGACAGTATGACCTACCCTTGTAGGCCCTCAATCAATCGTATTGATCGACTCCCTTACACTCGTCTCTAAAAAACCCGGGGTTTCATCCAAATCCCATTCACCCTCACAGTGTCGTCTAATCTGATATTGTTTCAGTCACAGCAGATAGATTAAAGTGATGCGATGCATCCATACACATCGGCACGAACAGTTCGACTCCCTACTCCTCTCGAAAACCCGCGGGATTTCATCCAAATCCCATTCACTCTCACAGTGCCGTCCAATCGATCTAATACTGTTTCAATCACAGATATGAATTCCCACAAAAGGTTGACACTTATACGATGCCTCCATACACATCAGTACATTCACGGATATCCCACGAGTTATCAAACCACGACCAACCAAAAAGGCATGAAAAAATCTCATTCATTTTTCCTCTCACAATTTCTACTTTGAAATCATTATTACATCTCAGATTTTTCATCACTAATCCTCATCAGTATCATGAAGCTATCTATCACCTCCTCGGTCCTCGTTGCCCTCGCTGGCATGGGGTCTCTTATCCCTGCTGTCGCCGCTATCGACTTCACCGCCGATGTTACCTTCAAGAGTGAAAATGAGATCGTGGACACCCCCGAGTCTCTTGCCATCTTGCAGGACGCCCTCATCATGGCTTCTGATGCCTCTCACGATCCAGATGTCTTCCATCTGGAAAGTGACGAGATCGTTTCTTCCTCCCACACTCTCGTGAAGGAGGGCGGAAGAAAGCTCATCTTCGACGACGATTTCGACAGCGGAAACTTTTGGTTCTACGCCAACTTTTACCGAAGCTTCACCAGCGCTAGATGCAATGGTTGCCGTCGCCGTCTTGGCGCCGGTCCTGCTACCTTTGAGGATGATGCCGTGTCTCATGCGAAATGGGAGGCTTCTCTCTGCGAGATTCTGGCCAAGACTGATGCTTACGCCGGTGTCTCCGATTGCGTCATCTCCTTTGCCGCTCCTGCTGTTGCTGCCGTCGCCAAGGAGGCAAAAGACACCGCAGAATTCCTCATCGATATCAGCTTCAACAGCAATGGGCAAGTCTATGACAGTAAAGCATCTCTCAAAGCGATTGAGAAAGCCCTGCTCAAGGCTGCTGGTGCTTCTCACGATCCCGATACCTTCCATTTGGAAAGTGACGAGATCGTCTCTTCCTCCCACACTCTTATCGAGAAGGAGGGCGGAAGAAAGCTCCTCTTCGACGACGATTTCGACAGCGGCAACTTCTGGTTCTACGCCAACTTTTACCGAAGCTTCACCAGCGCTAGATGCAATGGTTGCCGTCGCCGTCTTGGGGCCGGCCCTGCTACCATCGAGGATGATGCCGAGTCTCATGCCAAATGGGAAGCTGCCTTTTGTGAGCTTCTTAATGGCATCAAGGGATACGAGGGCGCAACTGACTGCGTCATTACACTCGTCGAAGATGAATCCGCCTAAGACGCTATGTTCTCCCTATTTTCACAGTTGATCCACATTCGAGAGTTTGACTTGCATCAGTGATTACCTAACACCAATCTTAATATTGAAGTTTTCAATTCCAAAGCTTATCTTCTACGATAGTATGTTCTGCCTGGTAACCCAAATGATTAACCTCGCTAATAACATATTGGAAAAAAATTGTTTGTTGTTGTGACAATTTGAAATTGAAAAAGTCGTTATATGTCCATCGTTTTTAAAAAACTGTTCCGGGCACCCAACGAAAAGGGGCTCCCTCCCCGCTATTTTCACAATGAACACGTACCGGTAGACCCTTCATGCGGGCAGATACCCGGAATGGTAGCATGTATTGGAATCACCAATCGCTCTTGGGCAGATTTTCGGTATGCTACAGTAAAGTGTACCGGTACGGTGAAAAAGTTGTGGTGGACTACTACTTCTTGTTGTTGCCCCTGGTGGCTGCTGTTGGCACTCCTGTGACATCAGGTTGATTCGAGAATGGAATTACCTTGAATCTAAACGACTGCTGACTGAATGAAGCACTTTATCGTACACCGAATATTGTAATTTAGAACGTCTAACATAGGTTCGAAAAAAGAATAACAAAGGCTCGTGGTTGTGAAAAATGATAGTCGAAGCAGTCGACAGCAAGAGTTGTGTAATGCCGGCCGCACTGCGAAGCGCATTACGGCTGCATAATAGCAAACTCACAGTTTCCTTTCCAACAACTAAGGGACATTCAGATATGCTACAGTACAGACTTTGACAGCCGTCCAAGCTCGATGGGAAGTTTGAGACCCTCTAGCACCTTATTTCGGCCTAGAAATATTGAAAAGCTGCGTTAGTCTTGACTCCTCCTATTTTCAAAGGTTCCACGTCAGCACCAACCAGGAGCATTATGAAATGTTGGCTTGTCATGAAGCCCTTTTTCAATTTCTTCACTATTGCTTGTCGCGATTTCGGGGCGTCGATAATATCGTACTATCACACTATCTGCCTGAGTGATTGGTTTTTCCTTTTTAAAAAAAAAGAGTCGTATTGATCGACTGCATACTCCCCTTCTAAAAAATCCCGCGGGGTTTCATCCAAATCCTAATCCCACTCACACTCGCAGTGTTGTCCAGTCCGAGATTGTTTCAATCACAGGTACAAGATCACACCCAGGGTTTTAAACTGAATCGATGCCTCCGTACACTGCAGTACGACGTGTACGGTGCGACTCCCTACCCGCGGGATTTCATCCAAATCCCATTCACTCTCACAGTGCCGTCCAATCGATCTAATATTGTTTCAATCACAGATATGAATTCCCACAAAAGGTTGACACTTATACGATGCCTCCATACACATCAGTACATTCACGGATATCCCACGAGTTATCAAACCACGACCAACCAAAAAGGCATGGTTAAAATCTCATTCATTTTTCCTCTCACAATTTCCAACTTGAAATCATTTTTACGTCTCAGATTTTTCATCACTAATCCTCATCAATATCATGAAGCTGTCTATCACCTCCTCGGTCCTCGTTGCCCTCGCTGCCATGGGGTCTCTTGTTCCTGCTGTCGCCGCTATCGACTTGGCTGCCGATGTTACCTTCAAGAGTGAAAATGAGATCGTGGACACCCCCGAGTCTCTTGCCATCTTGCAGGACGCCCTCATCATGGCTTCTGATGCCTCTTACGATCCAGACATCTTCCATCTGGAAAGTGACGAGATCGTTTCTTCCTCCCACACTCTCGTGAAGGAGGGCGGAAGAAAGCTCATCTTCGACGACGATTTCGACAGCGGAAACTTTTGGTTCTACGCCAACTTTTACCGAAGCTTCACCAGCGCTAGATGCAATGGTTGCCGTCGCCGTCTTGGCGCCGGTCCTGCTACCTTTGAGGATGATGCCGAGTCTCATGCGAAATGGGAGGCTTCTCTCTGCGAGATTCTGGCCAAGACTGATGCTTACGCCGGTGTCTCCGATTGCGTCATCTCCTTTGTGGATCCTACTCTTCCTGCTGCCGCCAAGGAGGCAAAAGACACCGCAGAATTCCTCATCGATATCAGCTTCAACAGCAATGGGCAAGTCTATGACAGTAAAGCATCTCTCAAAGCGATTGAGAAAGCCCTGCTCAAGGCTGCTGGTGCTTCTCACGATCCCGATACCTTCCATTTGGACAGTGACAAAATCGTGTCTGCCTCCCACACTCTTATCGAGAAGGAGGGCGGAAGAAAGCTCCTCTTCGACGACGATTTCGACAGCGGCAACTTCTGGTTCTACGCCAACTTTTACCGAAGCTTCACCAGCGCTAGATGCAATGGTTGCCGTCGCCGTCTTGGGGCCGGCCCTGCTACCATCGAGGATGATGCCGAGTCTCATGCCAAATGGGAAGCTGCCTTTTGTGAGCTTCTTAATGGCATCAAGGGATACGAGGGCGCAACTGACTGCGTCATTACACTCGTCGAAGATGAATCCGCCTAAGTTGAATCCGCCTAAATCGACTCGGTCCGTCTGAATGTTTTGTCCTATCGTCTTCGTGGAACCCGTCTTTTACGGTTGAGCCATATTCGATAGTTTGACTGGTATCTATGGCGTTCTATTCCGATAATTAGGTAATCTTGTTTACTAGCACATGTCTTCTTGTGCCAATCGGATTTTCGCTATTCCTTGAATCAATGCTCTTGTCATTTCATCGAATGGTAATGATTCAATAGTTTGAAGTTCATAATTTCATCTTGAATAGCAGCCCATGGTGACTCGGTATTCAAATTGTTGAGAAGTACTCAAACTGCACAGTGCTAGGTGCCGGTATTCATCCTTCATTACATATTCGTCGGTTTTATTATGAATCGAATTTTAGGATCACCATATGTTGCGGTGTATTATTGTGCGGTTGGACTATCCGAATGACACGTCAGCGCCTATGACGACGATAATACCGGTACCTGACTGCGAAATCTGAACTCAGAAGCAAAACTCGCGATGACGATATAGTACTGTAGGACTCTGAAGTCTTTCAACCACGGCTCATAGTTTCGGAGAAATGAAGAATTATATGCAGTTATCGTTGTCTTATTTCGCGGTTGCAACTGCCACATCGGCTGCCTTTCAATTGGGTCTCGACAGTCGTTCTGCTGGCATCACCCCGTTCCATCAAAGATCTCAGTTCCAACTCTCATTGCAGAAACCATCAGGAAATGACGAACAAGAGGATAATATGCTCAACAATCCCATAGAACGTCGACAAGCGCTCAGGACTGCATTATTGTCAGCATCGATCTTGACTCCTACAGTAGCGCGGGCATTCGATCGATCATTCCCTGACGAATTAACAGAGTCCGATAAGAGTGTCAGTGTCGTATCGATTGGAGGCCGCTCTAATGCACAGCAAAGAGCAACTGCTGCGAAAGAAAAGGAAAAGGCAATGAAAAAAAACCTTATCAATCCGTTTTCTGTCGATGATTTATTACCATCTTTGGTGTGGAGCGGTGCCTTGTGGTTTCTATCAGGCAGCCGTTCCAATCCATTGACGACTCCTTTAGGCAATTTGCTTTACAACGAAGAAGAAGCTCAGTGGTTGAAGGATAGAAATGCTGGGCTATTTGCTGCACCACCATTCGAGTTCTTGGTTCTTTTGGGTCTTGTTTTTGTTGTCCTTGGTTTTGCAACTCAGTTTGCCTTGTTGCAATTGGCAGAAGGAGATAGTGTCGTATGCTTTCAACTTGCCGGAGTTGCTCTCATCTGGGGTGGATTCTTTGAGATTGGTCGATTAGCTAGTGGTGAGAAGCGAGCTACTCGTGAAGAGTTTGATCGCAGACTAGAGTTGAAGGATGAGTTTGACGAGTTTGCGAAAGCTAGGATTTTGACAAGTGGAAACTGTCACCGTTCCGATGTTATTGCCGCGTTTCGTCGTTACAATGCCAAATATAGAGATCCAGAAAGCACCGAGTACCCCCTGACAGACTTGGAGATCAACAAACTCCTACGAATGTGGAACGAACTTGAGAATTCTGGCAAGGCGGAAATGACGTCCTCTGGCTTTTGGTACGGTATCGAAATCAACAAAGATGCTGATATTATTGCCTCGCGACTGTAATATTGAAACGGCGAGAGAGAGAGAGAGAGAGAGAGAGTCCAATCGAATCAGCGGATCCCAGTACAAGTGCTATCGACTATTTCTTTACGAATGCTGCAAAGGATTCAAACCGAACATGAAATCCAAGAGTTAATGCATTTCGTCTTCTATCCAAAAGATTGGATATCTATTTGTATCCACGAGGCTTGGTACACAATATGAAACGGAATGAAAATACTCTGTCTTGAGCACATGCGGTAGAGGAAAACAATATTCTGTGTATACATTTAGTGTTTTCGGTTATACTCCAAAAGATACAATTCACAACAGGAATGAACAGCACAGAAGAAACAAACTTATAAGCCCATAACAATGACTATCGAATTTCTAATGTGTGCCAGCTGATGTGTACTTTCTGATGCGTGCTATCAACGAGGGACCATTTGTCGTGTTCTCACTTATTCAGAGAGGATTCAACACCATTCCTTGTCACCTCCTATTCAGCACTTCATCGTCGTCGCTTGCCTTCACGCTCAGGGCAGTGTATGGCGAATAGTTTTTCTTAATTCTTGAAGACTGACGCTATTGTCTCTGTGTCAAAAAATACCATAGCTAGCTCGAGTCCACTAGAGACTATCCAAGTAACTCCCATGTCCTTGAGCCTTGGGAGTTGAAGTTTCAGATCGCCAAGAATTTGCTGCTGGGGCGACCGAGCCGCCAACCCTTGTTGGTTCAATCTTCTTCAAGTATGCACCATATTTTTCATGTTTGGAGCCAGGCCAGTTGTTGGCCATTGGGTTGGTAAACCCGTAATATTCTTCAGGAACAATGTCCTCAGGTCGAGAATAAGCTGGATCAGGCTCGTCTACCCTGGACTCCTTGGAAAGAGTTTCAAGATAGTTTGATAACGATTCAGTGTACTTACAACCGACAATAAATACCAATAGGTATAGTGTGAACTTCATGTTGGAGGCTCGATTGCTTTGTGGTGTTCTCATACTCGACAGATGATGAATGAGTGACGATACGATCACATTCAGAGGAAAAACTAAGAAAGTCCAAAACATTCCTGACCTGAAACCTATGGTAAAGCTTTTACTTCTACTGAAATCTCGTTGGTGATTCGCTGCAGAGCTCGATTCTTGCTCATTTCTGGAATCACGATGGAGGTAACCAGCTTCTTGCGGTTAAAATCCAAGACATTTGACGCATTCGAGAGCCACCAACAAAGACTATTGGAGGCTGCTGCTCCGTTCTCCGAGCTTGTGCTCGTGACGTTTCCCAAGAGCATATCCACCAGAACACGAAGCATAGATTCGTATCCACACATAGCCAGCGTCCTAGCATACATAGATAACCAATGCTTGAATTCGGCTGCAGACCCCAATGCCAATGCACACGCCATACGATCCTCGCAATGGGATCGTGTCGCGATATCATTTCCCGATTCGTCACGAGTTTGGTTGTAGTTGGAATCAGCATGTCCATGTGAACGTCCTCTGCGACCAGCTTTTAGAGTGCTCGAATTGGCTCCCATTCGAACAGCGTCCTCCAACTTTGAAAGCTCGCCGCTGGCACTCTTTGCTCGTTTTGATAGGGGCAAGGTGCTGTAGAAATCAGACAACACAAAACGACCATCCGCAACTCGCATCCATAACTCGGCCGCTTCGCTATATACAAACGCCTGAAGGGATCCTCCTACACCGACTGATGGTAGATGTTTGTTGCCATTTGAATTGTCCTGTGCCAATGATCCTCCTTGATTTGATTGCAATGAAAGCAAAAGCAGCAGACGGTCTGTGTCTGTCAACTGCAGACGAGCCAAACGAGGGAGATGGATCTCGGTGGACATGTTGGAAGCCAGTAGCATGTGCGTCATTGGTGGCATGATGGTTCCCTTGAATCGAAGCCTCAGCTCTGGTATTACACTGTACACTCCGAATGACCCATCTGCTGTAACCACAAGGATATCCGTTCGTTCCGTAGCATTGGTATCCGAAGCTTCTTTCTTATGAATCTGCACTGTCACAATGGGGCGACCAAGAATGAATGGTGGATGTGATCGAAAGGCTGTACAACTTGACCAACCCATAGACGGTGATGTCCCGTACAAATGCACAGAGCCGTCAGCCGTCCCCACGACTAAGAGCCGTTCGGATGCTGCAATACTCGAGCATGATGTTCCAGGAAGTTGATCAAACCACCTTTTCTTTCCATTACTGCTGATCGAGAGCATCGTGCACGGCAATGGGTTGCTAGTGGATCCATTTGGAACTTGTGTGGAGTTGGTGCAGTCGGCAACAAAGCTATCTTCAGATTCCGAACAGGGAAGGTCCGTCGAATGTACCCTGTTAGTGCTGTATGGGATCTGTGGTGAAGAAGCAGCAGCAGCAGCTGCAATTCCTTGAATCAAGTGGGTGTGATTGTGCTGACTGACATTGGAATGCGCCGTATGTTGGTTGTGGTGGTGACCGCTCTGCGATCCTTCCCCAGAAATTTCTCTTTGAACCCGGTTTGCAGGAACTGGCTGCGTGGTGGTTGCGGCTTCTGCACCCGACGCGGCCTTTTCTGCCAACTCCATTGCATCTTTTAGCGTGTCTGTCTTTTTCTTGCCATTGCTGGAGGAGGAATTACCACCGTTTGCAAGCTTTTGCTTCTTTACGCCCGAAGAACCTGAGTTTGCAGTAGTCGTCATCAATAGTGGCTGCACTCGCTTCTTTCCATTCTTCGATCGGGCCACGATTTGCGTCGCTCTTATTTGGTCGGCAGAAGGATTCTCGTTGCCAGCCTGCTGCTCTCCTCCCATGGCACTATCTTCGCTCATATTGTCGTTGTTGTTGTCGTCGTCATCATTATTATTGTCGTCACCACCTCCATTTCCTTCGTCGTCGTCATCATCCTCCAGATCCAGCTGCAAGGCATTCTCGATGAACTTTGGACCCGAATTCTCACCCACAAACAACCGGCGTTCGCCCATATCCCCCATTTCGTGAATGTCAATCCCATACCGCATTTGAAAGACCTTAGCCTGTTCTTTTGGCTTTAGCACTCTTCCCAGCTCTTGGGGCAAACTAAATCGCAGTGCCACCACTTGACCATCCAACAATGACACAATGAGCATTAAATCGCTCTGTATTTTCCCCCATGCCATATCCGTAACGGTGCATCTCGTTTCCGAACATTGTATCTTGAAGACCGGCCTGGATTTTCGCGTACTCCAGACTGTTACAAATCCCCGTTTGTCCCCCAATGCCAGTAGATTTCCATATTCTGGATCTTCATCATCATCCTCTTCGTTGCTGCTATCCTTATTATTACTTTTTCCATTGAGCAAGAGTGGACAATGCCGACACACCACCACTGGTTGTTTGTGTCCTACCAGATTGGCCGCCCCCGACGCGCTACTCGATTTGGAATTGCTCACGGCCCAACCCTCTCGTGATATTGTGGATGCCACATGCTTGTTTTTGACTACCGCATTGGTGCTGCAAATGTAGGATCCATCCGTCGACCACGAGAGACGTCGAAACATGCTCTGACTGGACAACGATTGGGAATCATTTTCCTTCCATCGCCGAAAGATCCCATCGTTGGCATCAATCCTCTTTTCCAACCCCCAATCATCGTGAGCCCGCCAAATACAGACACTGGGATCATCTCCACTGCTTGCCAAATAGGTTCCGGCAGGATCAAAGGTCACACCCTTGACGGTCGATGTGTGCAGTCCCTTGCCCAAAATTTTATAAGGATTCTGCAAGACATTGGAATGCGTCGTTACGCCTACAGTAGCCAAATCGGTCAATTTCCACACAATAATGGGGGCATTGCTGTCCAAAGAACAGCTGACCAAATGGGAATCATCCGGTGCCCAGGCCAATCCCACGGCATCCAAGGCATGTCCCCGACACAATTTGATGCGATTCCATTGTTCCACGGACGAATCCAAGTTGCCAGAAGCGTTGGAAGATTTGGCGTAAATGCAAACGGCCGCATCGTCTCCCGCACTGGCAAGATATTGACCGCTGGTGGAAAATCGCACCGCCAACACCGAGGATCCCGTGTGTGCCGAAAGAGTACAAAGCAGTCGATGCTGATGATGATGATGATGATGACTTTTGCGATGTGATGAAGAAGTTAGTGGATTTTTGGTAGTAGTAGCTGTTGCAGCAGCTGCTGCTGCTAATGATGATGATTGATTCGATGTCTTTTCTTGTTGTGGAAGTGTCGTCTTTTGGGAAGATGCTGCCGCCGACGACGATCCGTTCTTTTTCTTTCGAACCATACTGGACAAGTCATGAACTAGACCTGCTTGACCATCCAAAGAGGAGCTACTGGAATTATTACCGTCTTTGCTCTGTATATCATTTCCAGCAGCACCATTATTATCATTATCTTCAAAGGATGATTCGCCGCTGCTTTCGTAATTCCCCCCTTTGGAGTATTTGGATTTGGCAGGAGCAAACAAGGCACTAGAATTCCACAGACGGACCTTGCCGTCACCTCCTCCAGTAGCAAACTTGGTCCCATCGGGATGAATGTCCACACTGTAAATGGAAGCCTTGGAAGCACCACCCAGACCTTCCAATAAAGCTAATGAATCCTTGGCTCTTTGTTGATGATGATGGTCGCTGCCGCTGTGGTTGGCGGATGCGCTGTTCGGTCCATCATTGCTCGGTTTCTTGGACTTTTCGTAGGCAGAAGCATTGTTCGAATGAACCACCCAGAGAGGAACTTCTGCGACAACCATTGTTTGTTGTTTCAGTACAATGTATTGATGTTTGATGGGAATGTTTGTAAAATAACGATGTTGATGAGTGTGATTGTATTGCAGTAGTATAGCGCTATTGGATGATTCCTCTTGTTTCTTCTTGTTAACGTATGCACTAGAGTCTGATTTTAGTAGTAACAAGAGACGAGTCAATTGGAAGGATAGTAATAGCAACGCAACAATTGGTGGATGGCAATCCTTTTCAATCTACTGATGCGATGCTGTGAGATATCAAAAAGCAATGCCCCACCTGATTTTTTCCGCGCTTCAATACGTGCGATTGTTCAACGGAAAGGATTGACGACGGAAGGACTGTCACTCACTCGCCAATTCAGTACATAATGCACGGATCTGCGATAGTCCTAAAATAAGAATCCTGGAAGGAACATGACGATCAATAAACGAGTAGTAATAATAATATTCAACCGGTGGATACCTCCGCAAGCTACAGCAGACCCGCCGCTAATAAGAATACTCTCGTCTGCTCCTGCAACAATAATAGATCCTTGCATTATTTGTTGCGAGATATAGTGTGTAGACTAAAACTACGCAACAATACCAGCCAAAAAAAACAAGGCAAAACAGCACACGATTACCAACTAAAATTTGGAATGAACCGACTGGCCCGGAGATTCCGTCGTTACGCCATGGAACGGGACAACAACAGTAATCACAATAATAATGACAACAACAACAACAACCATGACCTTCCAGTGGCGGTACTGGCCGAAGTGGTCCATCAAGTCAATGGTGATGATCCACAACGACAACAACAACAACAACAACAGCAACAACAGCAACAGCATGCAAACCATCAGGAACACACTCCAAACGAACACCCACAAATACTCGAGCCAATGGAAGGAGAATTGGTAGCCGGAAATATTGCAGTAGCAGAAACCGTAGTGGGTGGTGAAGCAGCATCAGCAGAAGCAGCCAATATCAATAATAACGGAGACAATGAGGATGGTGCCATTTTGGATCTTCGTGCCGATGATGGAGGAGTTGAGGATGATACCGATGACGATGATGATGATCATCATCCTCATGGTGGCCGCATTCCTCATCTCGAGTTTGCTCAACTGGGTGGAAGAACGATTGCCTCTCTTTCGTCCTATCTTTACGACATGATTCGAGAAGACTACATGTGCCGATCCATACTGACTGCCCGCCAAAAGTCTTGCGATCGCGTGGTGGAACATTGTGCCTACAATACTACCGAAGCCTTTTACACAGGTCATCAAGGACGAATACCTCTCCATGAAGCGTGTCTCCGGGGATCTTGTATGCACATTGTGGAAGCCTTGCTGGTGGCAAATACCGCGGGCGCCTTATCGGTGGACCATCGAGGCAATACGCCGCTCCATTTACTCTTCATTGATTTTTCCACCCGGAGTGCCGCCAATCCCCATGAGATTGATCTTTTGGTCCAAAAATTATTACAGATTGCCCCGCAACATTTGGCCATTTGCGGAAACGACGAAGGTTCCAATCCATTGCACATTGCCTGCATGACACCGGAAACCATGGTGGATCCAAACAGTCTGAAACAATTGATTCAAGCAAATCCACTCTGCGCGGCCCAACTCAACAGCAGGAATCAATCGGCGCTTCGATTGCACTGCCAACGATCGAATGCCTCTGTCAAAGTGGCACAAATTCTATATCAAGCCAGTCCAAATGCCTTGACTATTCTAGACGGAGAAGATGGTTGGGCACCCATTCATTATGCGGCTGCCAATGCCAATTTTCCATTGATGCAATATTTAGTGGAGCAAAAGGATCATCCCATGAATAGTGCCAGTTTGCGGACGACCAATGGCCTAACCGCCTTGCACATTTTGTGTCGGCAAAATCCTACCATTGACCAATTGCCGGCAATTGATTTGTTGTTGGAAGCGGACCCCAGTTCCATTGTCCAAAAGGACTATTCGCATCAATGTACTCCCTTGCATTTGGTCTGTCAAGGATCAAGAATTGCATTGCCAGTGGTACGGCGATTGCTCAAGGCCAATCATACAGTCGCTAGCATACCAGATGCGGAACATTATTTGCCCTTGCATCACGCCAGTGCGATTGGGTGCGAGCCAGAGATTATTGCGCTACTATTGGACGATTATCCACAAGCGGCCAGTGTCTTTACTCGCAAACAAGATTCCGCTTTGTCCTTGGCCTGTACCTGCAATCGATCCGTCGAAACGGTACGATTGTTGATTCGGGCCAATCCAGAGGCCATGGTCAAAAAGAATGATTATGGGTTTGCCCCGCTCCATTGCGTTTGTCGGTCGTATCAACCTCGGATGGCCATTGTGGAAGAACTGCTCGAGGCCTGCCCTTCTTCCATTGCACTCAAGACACATGCGGGAGAGACACCCGTCCATTTGGCCTGTAGTAATTCGGGAGCCTTTGTGGGAGTCATTCAATTGTTGACCTTGGCGCAAAATCGAGAGACGGGATCGTCAGAAGACTTGACGAATGCGAGTGCGGATTCTCTGGGGCAGTCCAAGTCGACAGTCAACAAGATTGGAAATACACCATGTGAGTGTTCTTGTGTGATATTTGTGGTCTCATGAAAGATTGAATGAATAATTAATCCATGGTACACTCTAACACTTCCTTGCTCTTTTATATTTCCACTCTACTTTTTAGTACACGACGCTTGCTTTCGAGGTTCTTCGTTTGAACATATTGAAACACTTGCCATGGCGAATCCGGAATGGCTTAATGTTTGTAACAATGGAGGCTTTACTCCGCTACAAATACTGTGCAAGAATGCACGGATTGATGAACGGATCATTACGACCTTTTCTCGAATGGGTGGTCCGGAAACCTTTTCCGTGGCCGACTCCTCGGGGAATACACCGCTGCATTCCGCCATGCGCAAGGATATCGACTTGGGGACCGTCAAGAGTTTGATTCGGGCCTTTCCGGATGCACTGTATGCCAAGACAATATACGGGGACACACCATTGCACTTGGCGTGCTTTCGACATGCCGACCCGGAAGTCGTTCAGGAAGTGGCTCTGGCGGGGAGCAGTGGTACTACCTCACCTAGTTTGAGCCGGAATACAGCCAGTCAAACTCCTATCGGTATTGCGATGCAAGAATTTCGATCCCTTTGCCGGAGCAATAGCACTTTTTGCTGCGTCAATGCTCAATATCAACCAGAACAGAAGCGAAGCTTCAAAGTCTTGGAGGCACTTGTCAAGATTGTATACTATGGATCTGGCCATAACGATTACAAGAGTTTGAGTCTACTGCATGCTTGTGTCGCGCTCCATCGAAAGAATGTCCGCTTGGATCCCACCTTTATTCGACGTGCCATTCGCCTGTACCCCGAAGAAACTCGACGGGTGGACAGCGAAGGAAATACTCCGTTGCATTATGAAGCGGCCATTCCAATTGAAAAGATGGCCTTGTTAGATTCTTCTGCTCGGTGTTGCAACGGGCAATGCCACAAACGTTTCAGTATTCTAAGAGTACTGTTGGAAATGCATCCCGAAGCGACGCAATTGCAAAACAAGGCTGGCTACTTTCCATTGTCCCTCATGATTCAAAACGGTCGGTCCTGGGAGAACGATGTGGCTCTGGCAGTACGCGCCTTTCCGCCAGCTCTTCATTGGAAAGGACTCAACGACTGCATTTTGCCGAGGGTGTTGGCAAGGGTAGGCAATGAATGTGGCCCAAGCACATTGTATTGGCTCTTGACGAGCCGACCAGATATGCTCGATTTTTTATGATGGGAGGAACAAACCATATGTAGGATACCAGTCGAAACATTATTACAAAGCAACCAGAAGCTTACCCCCAACCTTTTCTTATGTACCAATATAAATAATAGACAGTTTTCCTATATAGATACATTTACTGTTGTCGTTACTTCTTTGGCTTCCCCTGTTTGTGTTGAAATCAGATGATATTTCGATACAAAACCATATCTACTATCAAAGTCCACTGGACAATGTGTTTCGACAAGATGGAGAGGCAAAAGTCACAAACGCCAGGTTTATCTGATCAAGTGGAATAGCTTGATAGAGTACTGTAGCACATGCTTCACGTCCGACATTAGACAACATTTCCACTAAACAGCCACTATATTTCCATCCATTCCAATGGCATCATCCCCCGCCATTATCATATCCTCCGAATTTTCATTTCCAGTCGTCTCATCCATGTCACCACCACTATTTCCGCTTGCCTCGCTGCCCTCCTGTTGCTGCTGGTTCTTTTCCCGTTCGATTTGCAAGAGTTCTTCAAAATCGAGTCCATTCTTGAGAGTACCATCGTTATTGACGAGTCCCTTTAGTTTGAGTTTTCGCCGTAGTACACTTCGCTCTTCTCTTTGATTGTAGGCTTCATCAAATGCTGCTGGTCGCTTGGGAAACTGAGCCGTGGGGTACTGACTAATTTCCTTCTCCAATCCATTTTGAAAATGCTTGCGAATCCAAATGTTGGTTCCCTCGAGCCTGGAAAACGAATGACTGGGCCGAAAACTGCCCGTGGCCCTATACTCCACCACTTGCTTATCGAACTCATTCCTGGCTTCGGTTGCAAATTGATTGTAATACGCCCTTTCTTCTTCACTCATGCTGACTCTCCAAATTTTGGCAATTTCCGAAACCACTGATATATACAATTGTTATGTTGAATAGAAGAACAAAATGTTAGACCGATCAATAACATCTAATAAAGAAAGAACGGAAGAAATCCAATCGTGCTTCGTGTTTTTTCCTTACCTCTTGATTGGTCATGCGGTTGATCGGGCCGATCATGCCGCATCTTGACTGTCATTTGTCCCACAAAGACCACAAACCCCGTGTGAGGTGGTTCTGGAGGTGCCTCTGGACGGTCTCGTTCCCTGAAAATCCTACGGCGTCGTTCTCCTGGAATTCGAGGCTTATCCCATCGATCTTCTCCTCGATGTTCGGGTTGCATGGCCCTGGCTCTTCGGAGCAACGCACGCTTGAGTTCGGCAATCCGATCTTGGCGTTCGTTGCCGGTTCGAATGACCATGTGATCCGTATTGGAATGTCCTCCAGTCGTCTCGGGGCCTTCTACGACCACAATTGGACTATCCACACTCAGTCCAGCGCGGTCACAAATGTCCCGGGCCGTGGCCAAATGTTTTTGGGCGTTTTGAACCTTCAATTCGCTTTCCATCAACAAAAAGTTGGCCTCTTTGCGGGTCATGAATTTGATCTTTTTGGTGCTGGCACTTGCTGCTGTTGCTGCTGCTGGAGCTTTCTTCTTTTTCCCTCCAGGGGCTTTTGCTTTTGGCATGGTTGTTGGAGTGATGACGAGTTGGATGGAGCAATAAGTTGAGATTGATTGGGCGAATTTTGCGTTGCATATTTCGTTGATGGAGTTTTATAAATTGACTCACTGGACTTGCGGCTGACAAAGTCGACTAAGTGGACTAAACGTAAGCAGCCAATAAATATCCAACAAAAACACACAAACGTCCAACATCACACAGTGGTTGACAACGTGACACAGTATTCATTCTTCCATTCTCTTGACTGTCGAACCAGACATTATGGCTGAACCAGCGCCTACCATCTACGAGGAAGTTACCCACAAGAAGGTAGCAGGCCGATTGCTAGTCTCGGAAACAGGCCTGGCATTCCATCCCACCACCGCTGCCACTGGACCACCCACCAACAGCATTCCTTGGAACATGTTGACCAAACATCAAGTCAGCCCTGTCAATTATCCACGATCTCTATTGAAAATGGTGCTTGCAGATGGGAAATCCACTACATTTCAGTTATCTTCTAGACAAGAACTGGAACAGATCCGCAAAGAAGTCACTACCCGACTCCAAACTTTTCGTACCCAACAACAACAGGAGCAACAGGAGCAACAACAACAACAACGACCAGCGGTGGCTGCTCTCTCCAAGAAGAGATCCCATTCGGAAATGAATACCCCTGTTGGCAAGACGACTTCGACTTCCTTTGGAGTATTGGATCCGACCGCATTGGCAGTGACTCGATCGTCCCTGTTGGCGGCCAATCCTGGACTGCGGACCCAACATCAATATTTGGTACAAGAGACTCAGACAATGGCGGAGGATGACTTTTGGGCGACTCATCAAGACTTACTCGAAGAAGAATATGCTCGCATTTCGGGCATGACACGGGCCGGAACTTCCTCACTTCTTCAGAGTCATCTCAAACTCTTGACGGGGCGGGTCACTTTGGGAGTCGAAGAAATGCGGCAAATTTTCATCTTGTATCCTGCCGTTCACAAAGCATACGAAGAAAAGGTACCTTTGGAACTGAGCGATGAACAATTTTGGCGGAAATATCTGGAATCGGAATACTTTCATCGGGATCGAGGACGAATCGGTGCCGCCAGTCGGAACAGTTCGAGTTCGAACAAGAAAAAGAGCAAGGGACCTACACTGGAAGAACAAGAAGCACGGGCCGCAGCAGTGGGAACGGATGATATCTTTAGTCGTTATGATCAGGTAGGTATGGTGAAGTCGCACTTTGGGAATTGATGCTTGCTTGTTCTTGTCACACTCAAAACATCTCACACACATCCTTTTTTTGCAACCACCAGAAAATAAAAGAGGCCAAAAACAGCGAAGAAGGATCCCGCAAATGGGGTACGAATCTAGCGATAGGCCAATTCGATCTTGCTTCCACTTTTGCCACGGAACGAGGCAATCTTCTTGAAGGTCCCAAGGACAATCATCCTCAATCTTCCAGTGATAGCAAAGGAGCCAAGGTCATTCAGAAATACAATCGTCACTGGGCCATGGTCATGCACCCCGAAGATGCAGTGGCCGGAAGTGATCTCATGCAAGTGGCACGACAAAGTGTCAAGGATGTCTTGCCAGGCGATCAAGATGCTCAAGCAGGTGGTGGCATGGACGATGAAATGCAACGATTGGTGGGCTTTGCCATGGCATCTTCCCAAGAAGCCAATCATGCGCTAGGAATTGGATTGCAAGATTCGGACGAGCAGTACGAACCACTCACCTTGAAGAATATCGAAGTGTATTATTCGCTACACCGATCAGTGGCGGAGCAAGCCAATAATCGACCCTCTGACAAACTGGACGAGAGCGAGAAACGCAAGCGCAACATGGTCCTGGCGGAAACCATTGTGGGCAAAATGAAGGCTCTGGAAGCCTTGACAGTCAAGGCACATACGGAACGGGGAGAACATCGGATTGAAGAAGCCTTTCCGCCAACCAAACTTGGGACTAGCCTGTTGCAGGCTCTGACCAAGAAGATGGCGTCCGACTCGAAAACGGATGCGGATACTCTGGAAGTGGTTAATGCCTTGCCAGACGACTTTAAGAAAAGGATTCATTCTTACTTTCGACGAACTTCGGAATTGCTCCGCCACTTTTTTGGCCTGCGCAAACTGGCAGAAGCCCAAGGCAACAATGCTTACCAACAAAAACTCAAAAGAATTGTCACAGGCATGGAGACAGTCTACCGAGACATTGAAGGCATGCGTAAAGAGTTTGAAGCCACGGGCGATTTGGGAGAAACCATGCGAAAAATGTGTCTCCAGATTATGGATCAAGTGGAACGAGCTTTCAAGTTGCATAGAGAAGGAACTGGAGGCAGTGGCGGAGGCGGTTTTGTGACCATTGAGGAGTTTTAAAGTTATGGAAATATTTATAAATTGGTCAGGCAGCACGCCGTTACTTATTCCTTTCATACTCAGACGGGACGTTCCGAAACTGCAACAGCCTATTACTGCATTTGGAAGCTCTAGAAGCAAGTGCCCTTTCTGTTTCTGACATGTCGTATATTTTAACACTTTTTAGACGAGTAGAACGGGAGCTCCTTGAAGCTTTGGAACTTTCCAATGTCATCGAAGAGTTTGGACTCTTCCAATACCCTCATGTCAGGCGGAGAGGCAGACATGCGAAAAAAAAGTTTGTCCTGAATCTGGACGATGTGGAAGAACGGGGCAAAGCTTTTCAGCATGCCGGACCAATCCCAAGTGTATCCGACAACTTTGCCAATGAGCCTTCGTGCACCATGCTTCCCATAGTTGTTCAAAAAGATGGTGTTGAACAGCATTTCCACGTGGGCAGCATTCATGGGTGCCGGAGCACCCGTGCCATCAGGAGGTAAAGCAATATTGGATGCTCGTTTCTTCCTGTCCATTGCTTCTTCCAAAGTCGGGGAGATTGACAAAGCAACAGCAGGAGAATAGTTGACCGTGACAGCATAGAACGGGATGTTTAGGATTTGTTTGGCTTCATCAATTCGTTTCATGATGGTTTTGAAGGACACGTCCACCGATGTGTAGCGCCTGCTCGGACGCTCCGAAAAAGTATCTTCAAATTCATGCATAAAAGGTGATCGGGTCCAAACACCCGGCTCACCTGAGGTCTTGGCCATCAACTTGCCCTGTTCGACGCGACCCAATTGATTCTGAAAGTTCTCGAATTGGTTGGCGGGAAGTGGGGGGTTCGAGGCTGTGAAAGGATACGGAGAGATTTTTCCGGACTCCATATACTCGAGAAGATTCAGTCCGGCATGCAAGGCGGTAACCCCGTCCATAGAGTTCAAGTCACACTTGATTCGAACAAAGCACCTGTCTGATCCCTCCTGGTACACCATGTCCAAGACAACCGGCCACAACTCGACGAGGGACGGAAGGGGGAGGTGATGTACCGAATCAAAGTCAAAGGACTCGTCTTTCGAGACATTCGTCACGTGTACTCCCACAGAGTCTCTGTCCTGTATGTTGTTTCCTTGATCAGCGATAATCAACTCGATTGCTTTCCTGTGGTCTTCCAAACTTGGTACCACGTATGGTTTCGTACCCTGATATTCAATGCAGTGCTACAGAGAAGGAAACGAAACGTAACCAGAGTTTAGCCACAAATTCCGAAGACTGTTGGAACAAAAGAAAGAGGCAATGATGATGCTGCTGCAGCACTTACATGGAGCCACTGGGAAGTGTTCTTCATTGTACCACAGTCGTCCAGTTCTTCAGTATCGCTATCAGTGAGAGACGACAGGCTTCGAAGATCGGGTGGTGCTTGACTACTGGCAAGATTTTCAGTTGCCATGTTGTCTCGTTCAAAGGGAGATGATGATAAATTGTGGAAAGTTTTTTTTCCTTTCCTTTTCGGTTCATACCCGTGACGTCAGTAGTCATTTGGGTTTTTTTCAATTCTATCAAGTGTTTTTAATAAAATACTTGTCTGGGATGGTGATGTGGCAGGAAGTTGCGTGCAGCACAAGTATTTTTAACAGATGCTGATTAATTTTTTATTAAAAGGATTTCGCCGAATGACCGAAACATATATGTTCATGATACATTCTCTTCAATCCGCGGTCATGGAGGAGGACTACAGAAGGCTTTTCGAACTTTGTGGGGGTTTCTCGGAAGATTTAAAAGCGAATGGATGTCAGAGCGTCTGCACGTGGTTCCTCGACATGGGTCTTCGCTTTTATCATACCAAGATTATATACCCTACAGTATATGTTGGGAACCCACAACGGAAGAGAAGAGAGCATTGACGACGGGGTTACACTATCAAGACCTGTTGCAAGATGTGACGTTGAGGATCTTCAAGGGGTAAATCTGAGCCAGTGGATGTCACCGAAGCATCGCCAGCAGCCTTTTGAACTCTCATCTTGAGTGACCCAAAACTATTCCCGAATGATGGGCAACTTGTGGAGGATTCACAGATATAATACGCCATATACGGCATCGCGCCTACATCAATTGCATTGCATTGCATTGCATTGCATTGCATTGCATTGCATTGCATTGCATTGCATTGCATTGCATTGCATTGCATTGCATTGCATTGCATTGCATTGCATTGCATTGCATTGCATTGCATTGCATTGCATTGCATTGCATTGCATTGAATTATCACAACTTCAATGAAAATAGCCCAACACCATATCCACCATGTTCATCAATAACGACTTGAGAAGGATTCGCAAAATCCTTGACGATGAACTCTGTACTGCTGAGATTGACGCTGCAGAGACAAACACAGACACGGACGGAGAAGAAATAGCCAAGCGAGATCCGTTCCTACTTTCGATGAGCTTCGGAATTGTTACGCGATTTTTGGCTTGCGCAAATTGGCAGAGGCCCAAGGCGGCAACAATGCTTACCGACAAAAGCTCAAGAAAATTGTCACGGGCATGGAGACGGGCTACCGAGGCATTGAAGGCGTGGGGAAAGAGTTTGAGTCCACGGACGATTTGGGAGAAACCATGCGGACCATATGTCTCTAGATTGCGATCAAATGAAACAAGCTTTAAGAATGGCATCGAGAAGGAACTGGAGGTAGTGGTGGAGGTGGTTTTGGTACAATAATGAAGGAGTTTTAAATGGAGAATTATGAAGACACAAATTGGTCAGTCAAGACGCTAGGACTTCCGCTGCTGGATTCATTCTCTTGCGTGACAAGATACTTCAATTGCAGCGAGAACCTATACTGGGAGTGGTCTGCAGGCCAAAGTTGTTCCAGAGGCCAAGGTTTTTCGCCCTGAAGCTTTTCATTTCGAGCTGGCGTTCTTGACGTCCACCTTACTTGTAATGTCCGCCTCGCTTATAGTGGCCATCGTCTTGATTACCTCCCAGTTCTTGAAACGTCCTTGTGTGATGCTCCCGTTCATTGCTGTATGCACACCTAGTCCTTCGAACCTACCCTCGACAAAGTCGCCGTTGAATATGCCCATTTGAATGTCATTGTAAAGCCCTTTCCCATGCCGGGTATTCTTTTCGTAATCACCAATGTACCTGGAGAACTTTGTGATGTAAGCTACACAGCCATCCGCCTTGCCCTTCGAAAAGGACCCAAAACAAGTATCCCCATTCTCATAGATCGCACATCCTTGGCCTTGGAAGACTCCATTTGCCCTGTGAAAAGAGACGAATCGTAGGTGAGTATTGGCAGCCTGATACCTGAAGGCAGTAAATGATCATCGATACACACCAATTTCCGATGAGAACCCGGCCGTGATCGTAGATCATGGAACCCATGCCATGAGGCTTATCGTCCATCATTGAACCACTGTATACTCTGTCTTTCTTGCTTCCCATTCTTAGTTTCTCCACAATTTGTATGTTTTGCATGTCGTGTTCGATCTGGAAGGAAATAACTGAATGACCATCGTAAGTGGATTTCGTTTTGTTGTCCTTGATTCCACTAGGTTTTGCCACTTTGACTGTCGCTGGAGCACTGTGTCTTGGAGATTTCAAAGGTCTCTCCTGCTGTTGCAACAGGGACTTTTTTGCCGCCTTGAGAGTCTCCTGGGCTTCATCGTCCAATTCCGACGAGCTCACAATGGATAGAAGAGTTCGCGCGACTTGCTCGCCTCCCTTGTTGGATAATAGTTTCAACAGCATACCTTTTGCTGAACGGTCGTCTTTGTCGCGAAGCACTTTGTTATCGGCCACTACTGTGTCCTCATCGTCAAACATGTCCAAAGAAATCGAAGCCAGAAAGCGACGATGGCTATCCAATGATGTTACTTCCATGTCAAAAGAAAACTCATCCAGGTCTTCCATCAACTTCCGTACACCAATCGCTTGCTCACCTGAACCATCGTTTCCAGTTGGTGCTTCTGCTTCGTGTGATGGTACAGCAGCAGCTTGCGGGGTGCTGGGTTCTTGGTCGGTTTCTTGTTTGGTATCTTTTTGAGTCTGCTTTTGTGACTTGTATTTCAAATTGTGAAATTGCTTTCTTACAATTGTCACCGCGTCCTCGTTGGTCAGTACAAAGTACCGTCGATGTTCCTTGTCCCAACACAAGAATCTGCCTTGCACGCCCAATACGATTTCGTCAACAATTTCTTTCTTTTTCTGTAAGCTAGACGCGTAAAACTCAGGAGACCTTCCTGCAATGGTTTCCCGAAGGATGCGATTTCCATGATGTCTCCCTTTTCCTTTTTGGGATAGTACATCATTTGGATTGATCAACTTTCTGTCAACGATTTCTTCGTTGTCATTCATGACATCGCTCATGTTCTTTGATGTTGTCTCCACGATGAATTATGAGAAATTTCGTTTTGTGAGAGTATCTCACCCGCGCATCATTTTTTCTGCACAAGAAATATATTTCTACAGTATTTTTCACTTCCGCACAGTATCAGCGTATGTGTAGAGGCTACCACACAAAATGACCGAAATCAGAAAGTCATATTACAAAAAAGATTTTATAATATGTATCATAGTGCACGTGCGCAGTATGTGTTGAGAGCCGGTTTGTGAGAGAGAAATCTTCAAACGGCGGGTTTCTCCACCGCCAACATGCTGCACACGCGTTTGGAGGAAATATATTTCTATTTTGTGTGTCGTACACGTGTACAAGTGTCCAACAGTATTTGTACCATAGACGGTGGAAATATATTTTCAGTTTCCGTGTGTCTATCGTACAGTATGAGGCGGGACCAGTACCACCAGGTAACCATTACTTGTTCACAAACTACAACGACTTCATTCTTTCAAAGGGAAGTAAAATGAAAGAGACGCGCTAACTGAACGAAAAGAAAACAATGATGAATAAAGCTCCTTTCGAACTGAATCGCCATATTTAGAATGACGACCTATGCTACAAAAGGATCCAGATCCATTGCCCAATCGCAAACCAAGAACACTCCCATTGAACTTGTTTAAGCATCGCCGTATTGGTATGCTATAATCATAATTTCCATTGTTGCTTCAAGAACCCAAAGCACTTGATTGATCGCTGGTCTTGCGACGCCAAGCTATCGCTTTGCGCTTCGTCCAGACACTTAGCTGTGACCCCGCCCATCATTAGTCGTCCAACTTCGATTCAAATGATCTGACAATCATGGTTGTTCGAAGGCTACTACTCTGCTGCGGTAACTGTGAATCAGAGGATCTGAAAAAAAAATGATGGGAGGTAACTACTCCTTGGATAACGCAACTTTGATTCAGTGATTCCGAGCAACTTTGATTCAGTGGATCCGAGCAAAAATGTTGGAAGGCCGATACTCTCCTGAGCAACTTCCTTCACAACAAGACGAACAAAAAGAACGAGAAGGACGCAGAAAGCCAATAACGAGCTCCCTTTGACCAGATCGGGACGACGAGGAAAGGATTCCAAATATGACATGCGTTCCATTTGAACTTGGAGCTGAGCTGCTTTCTCCGCTTCCTGTCCTTTGAGAGTTTCAAAATATTCTGTTTCCATTGTATTGAAAAGTGTAATATGTTTAGCTGCCCCAAATGCCTGGATGATAATGCAACATGCCGCAATGGCAACCAAAAAACAGTTTGCACGCTCTCTCCACGAGAAAATGAAAGAAGCGGACAGGATCATTGGAAAGTTTTCTCGATTGATACAACCAAGAGATGCTCGTTTTCCACGACAACGGGAGTCCACAGCAAGACTGATTCCATGTCCAAACATGGCTATTGCCCAAGTCACTCCAGACTCATAATGATAAAATGGACTTGTCGGTGGAATGACAAACCATACTGCAAGGAGCCAAATCCATTGCCCAATTGCAAACCAAGGACGTTGCCATTGAATTGGTTGTTGTGCCTATTTTCGGATATTCGAATCCTTAATACCATTGTTGACCTGCACCAAAATCTTGTAGACGGCACCACAGAGTTCCCAGAGTAGAAATACTACCGCAGTGATTGCTAGAGACTTGTCAGCCATATCTTTGTCATCGAAACAGAACACACGAAGCCAAGAGAGTATTGCTGGAAGCGTTTCTTGATTCACTTGGGCTAGGCGTGATGCCGCGAGTCCCGGGAATTTCAATAGTATCATAGCAATAGTATCAGCTGCTAGAGTCGAGCAGTATTCATGCCTTCATTCACCTTGCTTCCAAATGGCTTGTTGTCGACACCAGATAGGGCTGCCGTCTTCACACTGACATCACTTTGTTCATGGTTCCAATCTTGAAGTATTCGAGACACCAATAATCGCGGTGCGATGAGCCTCCGAGTTTTGATTTAATCTGTGATATGGAGGGATGTAAGATATTGTTATTGGCTTAGAGGTGCTTGGACATCATTTCAATACTGCTGTAGGCGGTTCAGACGCATCGATTATCACATCAAACATTCATGGATTGTTACCTCGTTCTAAATCTGTCTAAATCCTGGCTAACGCCAGGATCATAGCGTATGCCATCTTGCGACCCACGTGTGAAACCAGCACTGTGTTGTATAGCCCCTTCATTGCAATCCTATTGCTTTCTCCTCTTTTCTTCTCTCTTCGTTTTTTCCTTCGTCCTTTCTTACAGTATCTTCCTTTCTTCTTCCTTTCTCCCCTTCTTTTCTCCCCGGGGATCTAGTATAAACTGCTCCACCAGCATAAAATAAAAACCTTTTTTTATGTGCGAGTCACGGAAATGTTCGCGCCAATTTTCCTCGCGTTGTACGTCCGTCGTCAAATTCACATCAATCGCATTGCAAAATTCTCCCAGTATATTTGAACAATAATACTTGGATATAAAACAACAACAAAGCAATAACCTCGATCTTCCACCACCATGTTCATCAAGAAAGACTTGAGAAAGATTCCCAAAATCCTGGACGATGCAGTCGTTTGTACTGCCGAAATGGACACTGACACAGACAAGGAGGACGGAGAAGAAAGGGCCAAACGAATCAAGTTACAGAAACCACTCCAAGAATTGAAACTTCATCGGCGCAAACAAGAATTCAAGGGCACTTTGAACATTCTTTGTCAACCAGCGTACCTTCCCAAGCTACAACAGCTGAAATCATTAAATTTGTATGGTTGCGACATTAAGGATTGTGCCAAAATTGGTATGCTGGAAGCCTGTCCCAATTTGGAAATTTTGAATTTGGGACGCAATCCCATTTCCGAACTGCCGGCGGAGCTCTCACAAGTTAAATCGCTGAAGGAAATATGGCTGGACGATTGTCAATTGGCAGGAGATTTTCCAGAACCTTTGTATGATTTGCCGAATTTGCAAGTGTTGAAACTCCCCAACAACCAAATTTCCAGAGTGGATGGTAGTCGGATGACTCGGCTCACCGAGTTGAGAGTCTTGTGTTTGGATCGCAACCTATTGCAAGAGTTGCCCTTGGAAATACAATATTTATCGAATCTGAAGGAATTGTTTGTTCGACACAATCTTTTGAAAGGAACCTTGTCACCCCTCGCGCCCTCCCTCGAGGTGCTGCACATTTCGTCCAACGAGCTTTCGGATTTGGGAACCTTGGACGTGGATTGTCCCGATCTAAAGACTCTGTACGCCAATGGCAATCAACTTGTCAGTTTGCCCATGGATCTATTTGCCAATTGTCAATCTTTGAAAAAGATGGGGGTGAGTCACAATCAGCTAGCGTCCGTTCCGGATTCTTTTTGGACTATCAGTTCATGCGAGATTGTTTGGAAGCCCAACACACAGTTGACACCACCACCATCCGAGGATGTGGAAATGGAACCAGCGACCGAATAATTGTCATCCAAAAAGTTCAAAGGATGGTAATATCTTTTTGTATAGTATCATAGCAATTTCTAGTAGAATATGCAAACATAATATAAAATTACAATCATCGAGCTCCCTTCATTTGCACTCATCAAATCTTCTCACCACATCCATCCATTAAAACTCTGTTTTACAGAGTGGGCAAGAGGGAGCTTCCGCCTTGCGTTCAAAGGTATATGCCCATTGATCCAAACATTCCAAATGGAATTCGTGGCCGCACCTTGGTAATATTCGAAGAAACGTTACAATGTGCTCGTGCTGCTTTTGTTCCTCATCATTCGTAGGATGACAGTGATAATCTTCGTAACAAATACAGCACGAGTCATCGAACTTGCGTTGTTTCATCAAACAAGAGACTATTTCATTTCGTTCCAGGTACGAAGCCGTGTCGCCTCTATTTTGTAGCATTCCTTTCAATTGAGAAATCTTCAACTTGGAATACGCCTCTTCATCATTGGGGACAAACTCTTCAATGGGCAATTCACGAATCTTGGCCACAATCTTGGCCAGTTTGGCAGGATTTTGCTGTGGTGGTTGCTGGTGGCCTTGATGATGACGAGCATCGGCAAAGGACCGTGTCATCATCCACACAAAACCAGCAAATTGGAGCATGCTTCCCAAAAACAAAGCAATGTCGGAAAGGCTCTGAGAAAGAGCCGAGTCTTTTACATCATTAAAAAACATGCCCCATACAAAGATACCACAAACTAGACCAGATGCCAGACCCATTGACAACCAGTACCGAGAAGATTGTTCGTACGCATCTCGTAGTGGTTGCTGTTGATTTGGTGGTTGTTGTTGATTCTGTTGATTTGGTTGTGGCTGTTGTTGTGGTTCTTGCATCTCCCGTGCCTGTCTCTCTTCTATATTCTGTGCAATATTCTCATACCGACTCCGCAACCAAACTCGATATTGATTGAGGCTCACGGCCAATAGGGAAAATATGACAATGAAAAAGACCAAAAATGTCAAGGCAAGTGTCTTCCATGGCAAATCATCTGTGGTTACGGTGTAGCTCGCAGAATAGCGATGGGCGGCGGTCCTTGTGTTGCGATTGATGATGTTGTTATTACTAGTTTGCTGGGGCGGCGCACTGGTAACAGGTCGACTACTACTAGTAGTAGTACTATGCTCAAAGTTCGTTTCATTGTTCAGAAGAAACGGCAAGAGTTGTACCAGAAACAAAATCAGCATGACGGCATGCTGCATTGGGCCACCGTTTGAACTCCAAATGAAAATCATGATAATGCCTCTTGTTTCATCATATGTTGTTTAAACGCAAGGTAAGAACGAAAAGAAAAAGGATTATACAATGTCAAGGCGTTGCAATGCGAATTCAAGAGTTGGGATGATGAGTTTTGTTGCGCTGACGATCTATCTTACTCTTGTTCCGATGTACGACTAGCACGAGTCAGTCATTCTCGCAATTCTTGGAAATTCCCGACTAAACTACATATGATATACAGTACGTTTACAGGACGTCGACAGGGGTTTCAAAAACTACTTTCTTCGCAATGACGAAAAAAAGTACCGGTACATCGATGCCATGCTGTTGATTTGTTGCGGGCTGTGTAAAGATATTCATAGTTGTTTCTTATCTTGTGAACTGAGATTAATTTAGTCGAAGCAGTCGTATTATGGACTACTAAGACTAACCAAAATTCATGATGCAAAAAAGATCGCAGATCATGAAGATCCAACGATCAATCGTACCAGGTACGTAATGGATTGATCATGCAGTTTTCTCTTTGGCATGCTTCGTTGTCCGCCCTTGCTCTAAGTCGATCTTCCTTTCTACAACAATCTTCGTCAGCGTTGCTTTCGTTGGCGTCACCGCCACCGTTGCACATTCTTGAACCACCACCACCACCACCAACAACAACAACACCAACAACAACAACAACAGCAACAGCAACAGCAGCACCCAGAACCGGACGTGTTATTATTGCACGAGCAACCAGCAACGATGGTGACAGTCAGATTGCCTCTGTTGCCAAAGCCTTTCGCAATGATATTCAAACAATTGTGAAGAATGATCCATCACTTGCGGGCCCCTTGATTCGTCTAGCCTTTCACGATGCCGCTACTTGGGAGTCGTCTAGAGGTAGTACTAGCAGTAGTAGTAGCAATCCTTATTTTTGGTTGCGACAGCAGCCATCTGGTGGGCCCAATGGTTCCATTCAATACGAATTGGGTCGATCCGAGAATCGGGGTCTTTCCAAACCACTACAGTTCGTTCAAAATATCACTCATGGTTATGCTGCGTCATTAAGTTTGGCAGATGCAATTGCCCTGGCAGGAGCCTCTGCTGTCGAGGCGATTGGTGGACCAACGATTGCCATTCGCATGGGACGAATCGATGCCACCCAAGCCGATCCCGAATTTCTACGAACACCTTTGAAAGCATCCACAAGACGTTCCATTGTCACCAAGACATTACCAGAAGCTGGTTTGGATTCGGATGGACTCCGATTGTATTTTGGTCAACTGGGATTCTCCGAAAAAGAATTTGTGGCACTCTGTGGATGTCATGGTTTGGGTCGCCATGTATCGCTTTTGGGCATGCCCAAAGACTGCCTTCGCAACTTGACTCGGACCTGCTTGGAAGAAGCCCCGGTACTCTTACCATTTGTGACCAAGTCTGTGGATACCTTTGACAATTCGTACTTTCAATTCTTGCTCAAATGGAACAGTAATGACATCAAGCTGGGTGATGTGGCATTCATTCCTACCGATGTGGATCTAGTGGTCGATACAGGATTAAAACGATGGGTGGATTACTTTGCACAAGACCAAAATGCCTATTTCAATGCGTATGGTCAAGCCTACCAAAAGCTTGTGGACCGAACGGCTACGACACAGGAGCGCTATTGAAGTTTTTCTTGTCAAAGCCATTCTTTGCATTCTATCATTGAAAAACCTGAAACAAGTGTATGGGCCAATAAAAGAGGACCAATGCAATCAAGCTTTGGCTTCTAATAAAATGTCGAAATTGCCTATCAATGGAGGTGTCTCTTGGACTGCAACTTTTGATATACCACCACCACAGGCCAAACGACAGCCAAACTGTGCAAGGAGACTCGATAGTAGTGTGTGTACGCTATTCAATTCTGCCATTTTGGAAGCATTTGTCGTTATCTCAGGAAGGTTCTGGTGGCGACTACGATACCAATGGCTGTGGCTGGTCGTTGTTTCCGCTAGTCAAGAACTAAATTTTCAATATTCGAACCATCATTCATTCACTGTTGACAGCTTATTATTATTATTTATATATATTTTGGCAATATAGTTTAAAGTTTGGTTATGAATACAAGACCATGACTATGTAGCTATTATGACCTTGCTATCAGCGCCGATCAGGATGATATTATGAAAACAAGTCGACCACATGGATTGCAATTACACACGACCCCAAACATCACGAACGAACGAACGAACGTCAGTCGAAAAAGTGCCGCCCACAAGGCTTCTCATTCCGGGGCCGTGTTGGCAGAAGCTAAAAAGGGTGTCAAGCGCAATTCTTTTGGGAAACTACAGTACAGGTACACTCGGGAAACGGAAGCTCACATTGATTACATGATGCTTTCCAATTCGAGATACGTCATAGAAACAGAGCATACTAGAGACACTTACCATACCTAAAAAGCCAATCTCAGCAGCGTAACCAGTTCCAACATGATATTGTAATGGCACCGCTACTAGAAGTTGAGAGTGGTACTAGTAGCTAGTACTAGCAGTAGCACTAGCAACAGCAGTGCTTTGAAAATATCATACAATAAGCGTAGCACCTCAGCTTTCAGCGAACGATGGATTTTTATTGCGAATCCTCACATGAACGAAGAGAGTGCACTTTGGTCAATAGCAACATAATGAATCCAAGGCCTTCGGGGTACGAGTACCAGGATCCCGGCACCAGAGCAGGGGATTGTTTCGTTGGTCGCTAAGCTGATTTGGTGGCCGGTCGCACCTGTTTTAGGTTGGTTCCGAGCCACTCAATAGTTGACACCAAGTTGCCAGCTGCCGAAACATCTGGCAATGGCTTCAAGGTTCAAGGTTTCCATTCGGGAGGGGTCACGTCAAATAATAAGTGGAAAAACTAAATGTCAACGAGAGTTGCAGTTTGCGATTTTTTTGTCTTCGCTCGTTGTATCCACTGGTAAAATTCTGGAAACTTGTGGCCCGGAATTGTTCGGCACTTCTATCCGATCAGGATATTGACCAAAAAACGAACAAATCAAAAGACACAAAAATCCAAGGGCCACAAAGACACAAAACCATCTGTTCGGACATTGTTCGAAACGATCGAGCGAAAGCCTCATTGTGCCCCACTGTAGGCCATAGAATCTTGTAGCTCCCAGGTTCAATCAATCCTGGGCACTGTCTAACTGCAGTAATCACCCACCCGCTAGCTATCATTACCGCTATAGTATCGCTATTACAATAAGTTGAATGCGGACACGTGTGCAAGGGAAACCACCTGCTTATTCTGCTATGGGGTCCAAGACCTCCAAAACCGAAAGGATCACATCATCCTGCTCTAGGACAAGATTCTCTCAAGATGATCTGCAATCGAGAGCTACGGAACAAACAGACGATTCCAGTCTGTCACCCATGCCAACGAAGGTCTCGCACTCATTGAAGAGTCTCAAGATTTCAAAACACCTGTCGGAGAATCTAAACGAGGCGAAAGAATGGCCATCCATGCTTCCTGCTAATGAAGAAGCATTGGACGACCCAACACGGCGGCGTTGGTTGCCAAAAAAAGAAGATTATTCGCACCAATCGTCTCCCGCTACGGATGGCGGCTCCAAGACCATTCCGGTCAAGTTGCCTGCTGCTTCCACAAACAACTATGAAGAGTTCGCTCTTGAAGAAGAGTCGAACGAAGCTCGCTACCTTGCGAAAATGTACGATTCCAGAACCTGGGAAATGTACCGCCGGATAACCGAGGCTCGCAAAAATTCTCCTTACCAAAGTACTACTACTTCTACATCTTGCATGATCCCCAAGGGTAGTGAAAGTACTTCGGAATGGGAAAACTTGCAACAAGAGGTGGATGTCTCTCCGAGTGGACACGAAATGATTTTTCTCTTTGACTTTGACTAAAGAATAAAATGGCCACGATGCGCCATTCGGTTACACTTATGGCACACATCACCACCACATTTCACTCACTCACTCACCACCACTTTTGAACAAAAGAATCCTCCCATTTTACCATGGCTTCAAGACTTGCTTTTTTTCTGCTATAATCAATTCAAGCACTACCAAAGCGGGCTACAACGCTATATCTATCACACACACAAACTAACACAAAACAAAAACGCTAATATAATAGACCATTAGGACTATCATAACAACAAAAAGAATCACAATACTACTCTAGCAATTAGAATAGAACGATATTACAATCGCTAGATGACTAGTAAGTATACTGAATTCACAATTCTATTCTAGTTTTACAATACATGGTATTTACAGTACAGTACACGCCAGAATGATGGCGAATGCGAATGCGAAGGGCTCCCATTTTATGGGACCAACCTCGCGGGGGTCATTGCACTTGAAATGATTCGCATTGCTTTTATCCGATGATGAAAACACAAGTAAGTCTACCTCTCTAAATGGCAGTTTGAGGATTCGATTTGCCTCGATTGTTGGACAAGATCAAAATCTCCGCCAGAACATCCGAAGGAAGTTTTTGTAGGGCTGATGTGAGGGCAGTTTGATTGGGATACTTAAGTCGGAAGGAATCCCAATTCTGAACAATGCTCTTGACGCAACGTTTTTGGAATTTGGAGTACACCTTGTTGTCGTCAGCGGCTAGTAGTTCCACATCCAAAATCAATAGGGCTAGGGCCACTGTGGGGTCAATGACGGGAATGGCAGTCTCACTCGTCAAATCACAAAAAATCTTGTGTGTGACTACCTTTTTGTTCTTGCTGACGCAAAAGTAAATGGCCTTGGACCATTTGCAAGAGGCGTTTTGGAAGGCCTGTGGCTGGACTTCCTTGTTCTTGGCCTTGTTAATCAATTCTTTGCGGTTCGCTTCCAGGACCGAGACTAGGAACTGGGGGGCGAGGCGCCAGGCTTGATTGGGTTGTTGGGTGACCAATCGTCCAATCTTGCTCTTGGAAGCAACCACCAATGGGCCCGCTTTCATTTGAACAGCCGAGGCTATAAAGCGACCAAAGTTCTTCAGCGAAATGTTCTTGTTGTAAAACTCGACAATGGTGGTCTTCAAAGCTGGTATGCCAAGAAATTCGGCCCACTTGTACATGGCACAAGAGCGATTGGCAGTCAATTTGAGAGTTTTTTCACGGTTGTGGTACAAAAAGTCCAAGACCATTGGGAAGATGTTGGCCCAGGCTTGAGGTAGGTCAAGTTGAGTCACTTTGGGAGACTTGGTCTCATAGTAGCCGTTCACCACACGATCCTCTTGGAACTGAGCGGCAAAATATTCGCTTTTCCGAACGCCATATCCCAGAACGTTTCGATGCAAATGATACACATCGACTTTGCCAGTTTCCTTGTGCTTTATTTCAACTTTCCAATCACTGAAGCTATCTTCCGGATTGGATCGCCAACTTATGTTCTTCATGCAATTAGGCTTGGTTCTACCAACAAGTTTCTTCTTTGGTGCTGATGCTGGTACTCTAGAAACTTGGTTCTTCTCCTTTCGAAGTCGTGCAGATTTGCGGCTGGATCGGGACTGAGATGTATGGTGACTCTTTTGGTAAGACGCTTGCTGCGATCGGAGTTCAAAACCCCCAGCCGACACCGATGAGCCTTCGCTAGGAGCACCCATGGTGTAGTCAGCGTCTTCCCCCGTAGATGGTTCCAGATCGAGATCAAACGCCGAAGGGCGCCCCATGTGAGAATCCTGTTCTGGCTTGTTTTTGGCGTCACTGGAAACTTGCCGCAAAATCTGGTTCACAGCTTCATCCTTTGACATTTTCATGACGTCGCGACGAATGGCTTCAATGTCCTCCGACATCTCGTTGTCAATATCATCGGCTTCCAGGTTGCTAGCCCGTGCTTTTCGTTGAGCCTCTTCAATGGCTCGTTTCATATCCGAGTCTGCATTCGATTCTACTTCAGAATCCCTGGAAAGTGCTTCAATTTCATTATACCAGTCTTCTGGTGACATGTTGGATTCTTCGTGTTGGACGTCATCTTGGCCATGCTCAGTAGTATGACTCATGGCGACCTTTTCCATTTTGGAGTACCAATCTTCATGAGTGATTTCATCACTATCTACCCTCTTCGTGCCATCAGACGGACCCTTAGTGACAGCACGATCGACAAAGATTTTACTTCGAAGCGCGTCTCCAGAAGGATCTCTTTGAACTGGCCCATAGGCACCGGACATCATCTTTCCAACGGCTTGTGTGCCTGGAGGATCGTTCGACGATTGAACAGGTGGATCGTCATGATCATTTTGCACAGATGGCTCCAAATATTCAAATGAATATTTTGGAGCTGGCTTTGCATTGCTCGCCTCGTCACTCTTCTTTGGCGCTGGTGCCTCTTCGCGAGCTCGTTTTGCCTGGAGCAATTCTTTCGCGCGTTTGGCAGCTTGCAGTGCTTCATCTCCATTAGATAGCATGGTGTATGATTTCATTCCTTGCATTGCTCTTTCATAGGTCATTTGCTTCCTTGCCTCCATGGCTTCTCTAGTCTTTCTCTTGCGTTCTTCCACAGCTATTCGAATTCGTTCCCGATGCTCCTTTTCTAGTGTTTCTGCTTCAGTTCTTGCTTCAGCTTGTTCGGCTTCACGCTGCCTGCGCTCTGCCACCACCCTCATAGCTCGTTCTCGACGTTCTTGCGCTCTCTTTTCTGGGTCAATTTCGACAGGATGGGCCTTGTCAGCAAGGGATTCCTCCGTGGCAGGTTGAGTATTCAGAATACTTGACATTTCAGAAGTGCCTCCTTTGCCAACTGAACAAGGGTCGGCAGCCAAATCAGCAGCTTCTATCGTTCCATCTCGTTCCAATAGCATGATGGTGGCCTTCTCAGCTTCCATTGCAAAACGCTTGGCATTGTCTTCGGCAGCAGCTCGTTTCAACTTTTCTTTGGTGGCCCGTGTTTTCGCTTCCAGAGCTTCCTTTCTAGCTTCGTCGAGCTGCTCCAATAGCTTTGCGTTTGCTTCCATCGCTACCATGAAAGGTTTTAGAAGCTCTGGGCTCATTTCTTTTGGTTGACTTGAAGGAAGCTCCCGTTTCTGAGCAGTTGTCGCCAGGACTCCTCTCGCAAAAACTACATCCGTTTCAGCCTTTTTGGCGCTTTCCTCAGCAATTGCTCGCCGTACTCCCTCTTCGTTGGCTTGTTGAGTTGCCTCAAGCGCTGCCCGTCTTGCATCATTGAGCTGCTCTAGCAGCTTCGTATTGAATGCCATAACAGAAAGATACGACTCGGGAACATCAGATGCTTTCTCCTTAGAACCAATCGCGTGTATGTTCCTGTTCCTCTGGTAGCTTGGCTCGGCATAGCTAAGTCGCTGTTGTTCAGCTGTAGCCAATGCTGCCTTTGCTCTCATCGCTTCAGATTCAGCGTATTTTGCATTATCCTCTGCAGCTGCTCTTTTTGCAACCTCTTGCCCGGCTCTTTCTCTTGCCTCATGTGTTTCCAGTCTCGCGGCATCAAGCTCTTTTAGGAGATTGGCGTTTGCTTCCATGGCCGCCATGATTGGCTCAGGTATCGCAGATCCTTTCTCCTTCCCAACACCCCGTGGCGGATGACCGTCAAGCGCGCTTGGACCTTCGTCTGTCTCTTGATACATGTACTCGTGCATCACTTCGATCACTGACGAGGGGAAAGTACTTCTCTCGTCGACCGAATGGAGCTCCATTTGCGAGCTCTCTTCAGTAGCTGGAGCTGTTGGGGTCGTCACACTTCCAGCATGATCTCTTGTCGTAGGCTTATCATCAGTGTCTTCGTCGATATTTTTCAGTGCACCAAAGTCTGTTGGTGTGGTTTGTGGGGTGACATCCGACTCTGGTACAGTATTCAAAGCGGTAAAGTCTCTTGAGGTGATTTGCGGGGTGCTGTCAGACTCGGACAGCGTTTCTGGTGCATTCTCAATGGGCCTGTCGCTTGATTCCTTTTCATGAATGTTTTCGGTCTCGTCGTCGCTTCTATTTGAAGCTGCCTTTTCCGAGGCATCTTCTGGCAGTTCCAAGGGTGCATCGCCATCCTCTCTGTCATTTGTCGCGGGAATTGGATTCGACCACGGGTCTGGCACTGATTTATTTGAATCTTCGTCGGCTTCAGACACTTGCTCAAGTGGGTCTAGTACTGGGTGATTTGAATCTTCGTCGGCTTCAGACAAGTGCTCTGGTGCAGGAGCAGCCATAATTTCATTACTATCAACTTCAGAGCCGCTCGTGCTTGGCTCCTCTTTCCTTTTGGGGGCGATTTCCGGTTCCTTCTCGAAAGATATTGCTTCGTCGTCTTCAAAACGCTGCAATTCAACCACTTCGTCATACGATAAGTGCTCACCAAGAAGTCTGCGCGCATAGAGCTGAAGAAAATAGATCCTATCCTCGTCAACCTCATTTCCTTGGTCGCCTTTTGCAAGAAGGTCTTCAAACTCTCTTTTGTAGTATCGATCTTTACGACGCTGGTAACGGATACTCGCAAGATCATTTCTTTGAGTTGTATCTAAGCCATCGCCATTGTTCCATTTCATCAAGAGTTGTAGAGCATGCAGTCGCTTTTCGTCAAATTCCTCGTGGCTCCCCTGGCGTCCGAGAAGCTCCTCAAATTCCTCAAATTCTCCAGTGGATGGCAGGGAATCGTCGTCGTCAATTACAACACAATAAAGTTCTGAATCACTCTCCACAACTTCTTTCATTGCTGACGGAGGCGGCAATTCCCCTTCTGCATCTGTCAGACCTTCCTTCTCTTCCAATTCATTTAGGAGTACCACCTCATCCTCCGTCAGCTTTTCGCCGACTTGCTTCCGAGCAAATAATTCCAATAGATATATTCTGTCCTCGTCCACCTCTTCCCCATTCTCGCCGCGTTCCAAAAGAGTCGCAAACTCTCTATGCAATGCTCTAGATTTTCGGCGTTTCCTCCTGAAATCATCCAGCTTAAATTCTTGTTCGACACTCATTGACTCCCCAAATTGCCACATATTGATGAGCCGAAGCAACTGAAGGCGGTCTCCGTCCACGTCAAGGCCCTTGTCTTTGTCCTCTATGAGTCGAAAATACTCATTTAGCTCGTCAGGGGAGAGATATGAGCTGTCGTCATTCTCGTCTTTCCCATTGTCACTCAAATGACGTTCCTTTTCATCTTTTTGCTCAGTTTTTGGTGCATATGATTCGTCCCCATGCGACAATTGGTCATCATTTGCCACATCACCAGCGAAAGCATCGGCCCAAGAATCGTCATTCTCGTCTTTCCCATTGTCACTCAAAGGATGTTCCTCTTCATCCTTTTGCACAGTTTTTGGTACATCTGACTCGCCCCCACCCAGCAATTGGTCGTCATTTGTCGCATCAGCAGCAGAAGCATCGGATTGACTCCAATCCCTAGAATCGTCATTCTCGCCTTTCCCATTGTCATTCAGAGAACGTTCCTCTTCATTATTTTGCTCATTTTCCGATGCTGTTGATTCGCCCCCATCCAACGACTGGTCATGATTTGTCTCATCACCAGCAGAAGCATCGGATTGACTCCAATCCCTAGAATCGTCGTCCTCCCCCTCGTCCTCCTCATCACCAATGTCAGGGAGGTCTGGTTTCGAGCTCTGACTATACTTTGTTTTCGCCTTGGCTTCCTGGTCCATGACATGACTTCTTCTTGAAACATGATCAAAAATGCTTGGACCGTTGTCGATGACCATCCTTTCGTCCTCGTTGCTATCGTTGGACTCCCGAGAACTGGCACTTCTTTCATCGTCGTCCGACTTCTCGGGTGTTTCCTCTTTTGCGGGCGATGGATTCTTTGCTTTACGTTGTTCCCGGCGTTCCTCTTCTCGCCTTTCTTCCTCTTCTTCGAATGCTATTAAATCAGTCGTCTCCTCGTCGTTCAATGGTTGCCCAACCTGTCGACGAGCAAATAGCTGGAGAAGATAAACTGAGACAAAGGGGACAAATATTGTGAGTCGAATGATCAAATGAAAGTTGTTCACAGTTGGCAGAAACACGTACATCGTTCTTCATCAAATGCTTGCCCCGTCGCTTGCATTTGAACCATATCGGCAAACTCATTTCGATAGCTTCGTTCGACTTTCCGTTTTCTTCGATAAATATTCAAGTGTTCCATTTCCTTTGTATCTAATGTCCCTCCATTCTTCCATTTATCAAATAGGAAAAGATCCATATACCGATTCATGTCGATTTGCTCCCCCGACTCTTTGTATTCGGTCAGGTCTTGCAGTTCGTCCTTTTCATAGTACGATAGACTGGAATCGTCGCCCTCGCTGTCATCATTCGATTGGCTGCTTTGACTGCTGTTACTGCTACGGGTACTGTCGCTGTCTGAACTTTCAATAGCATCGGGAACGTCGCTCGTTGATTTTGTCTGTATGCTCGGAACACTTCTCGCGTCTGCTGCCGAGTTTTGACTCGATGCCCCCGAATCTTGACTCGCGTTCTCTTCCTCTTGACTTCGATCGTCGCCATCCCGTTCATCTTCATCATCATCCATTTCGTCGTCTTCATCATCCTCATCTGTGCCAAACGAAGTTTTGAAATCATCTGGGTTGAGTCCATCATTCAAGTATTCTTGTGTCTCAAATTGAATCATGGCCGATTCTTCGGCCATGGTCAAGTCTTGCGATAATCCCCGTTTCTTGACCACGTATTCTAATTGATATGCCCGGTGTTCGTCAATTTCTTCCCCATTGTTCAATCGACTCATGACATCTTCGTATTCTTCAATGAACTTGTCGGTTCGTATCCTTCGTTTTGCGTAAATTTCCAAATCCCGCTGTTCCGCCTTGCTTAAATAGGCATCACGTCGGGCTCGATCAAAGAGTTCCAATTCGTACAGTCGCTCTTCGTCAATCTTTTCCCCAGCATCTTGTCGATCGTACAGTTCGGTCATTTGCCGCAAATCCTCTTGTTCCATTTCTTCGTCCGTGGCCTGTTGATTCCATTCCTCGCCAGCCATTACCGAGGCACGCTTGGATATTTTTGTATACGCCTTGCCAAAGGTTTTGCTGTACAACACATCTGGATCAATTGCCTCCACCTTGTTATCCTGTTTTTCTGGCTTTGGTTGAAAGAGATTCTTTTCCAAAATGGCCTTGGCGGCTTGTATATTGGCATGTTTATTGGCCTTGAGGCGGTCGGCCTCTTCCTTGTTTCGCCGTTCTTCTTCCACCAGTATCGAAGCTTCTACTTGCTTGCGTAGTTTCAACAATTTTTCATCCACTTTGGTTTCATCTTCTTCTTTGTCGTACTCATCATCATCTTCTTCCTCCCCTTCAGTGATTCCACCCAATGTGGGCGTCATTTTTTGGGCCGCCGATTCGTCTTCCTTCTTGCCAGCAAAGGACCGTTGGGATTTGATTCGTTGCAGTTGTTCTTTTTGCAAGGATTTGTAAAAATTGGTTTGAAAAGGACTGGCGTTCTTACAGTGCGGACATTGACACCGAAAGGTAACCTTGAGTTCGTTTTTTTCGTTTTGAATCCGATGGTTCCGATCGTGCGATTGTTGGGCCGCCAATTTGGCGACATCTTCTCGCATCCGCAGTGGAATATTGGTCTTGACGTGTGGTTTGTGAATAGCCTTTGGACTGAGAAATTTAACTTGTTCCAATGCCTCTCGTTGCCGTTCCGCTCGTTCCAAGGGAGATTCCGAGTGTTTCCGCAATCGTTCGTCTTCTAGATACTTGGCAATCCGCGTCCCATCATCCTTGAACTGTGATAATGTGGTAAGATTAAAATCTGGTTCTTTTTCTCGTTCTCTAAAATTCTCAATCACTACAGGTTTCAGTCTCCGCAGTTTGCCTCGTTCTGCAGCCTCTTGAACGGCCATTTGAAAGGTATTGGTGGTATAAATGGAATCTTGGGGTGGTTTGTGGCTTTTTTCGACAATGTCATCGACTTCGGTCGGTCCTGCTACTGCTTCCACGACATGCTCATTCAATCGAGTAAGCCTTCCAAATTCGGCTGCTTCGGAAAGGATACCAACCCGCTGTGCTTTGGGCAAAATTACAACTTTGGAATTTGCGGGCAAAGGCTTTTGGTGGTTTGATTTCGAAGATGATTCTGGCGACGAGGACGACGAGGAGGATGATTCCTGTGCCTCCATTTTTGGGCAATGGAAGGAGCTCGAATTGTGATTGTTGCGTTTGTTTGTTCGCTTCTCCTTTATTTGCTGCTGTTCTAATAATTCTATTGCAAGGGTGGTGGTAACTTCCCATTTGAGGTGTGACTTCCAGTGTTTTTTAATTGATTTGATTCGGAGCCTGGTCGAACGAATCCCGCCTGACTTCAGTACATGTTCTACGAAAGCCCACTGGTAATCCAATCGGCTTGACCAAATTTGGCAATCACCGTCTGTTCTTTGTTCAATGTACACGTACATCCATCGTCCGTCATTCCAGCGAGTTCCGAATGGCAGACCTCGCGGTTAAATGATAGTTTGCAATGCCGTGTAGAAATGGTACCAGTCGTACAGAGGCTGCACTGGCGTGGTAGCTACTTAATTAGAAACTGGTCCTAGAGGTCGAACGGGTGGTAGGTAGTATTGTATGCATACCGTATGAATATGGAAAATATGAAAATAGTGCCGTTCCAGTCCACACGCACATCCATCCATACACGTAACATTCAAAAACTTGGAACACGAAAGGAACGCGACACACCACACACCCGAATTGAATGAACTAGAGAGGCAATTGAAGACAATTAAAAGCCAATAACATTAGGGAATTGTGTACAAGGTTCTGGGCGATTGCGATTGAATTGGGGATTATTCAACGACTCTTTTTGCCAGACTAAAAACACACTTTCCAGCAGTTGAGAAAAAGCCAAAACGAGAAGGGGTCGTATTTGCTTTCGTTCTTTGCAAACGCAGACTCAATTGACACACAAGTTTGCACACACAAAGACTGAGACTCGCATACATACATCATAATATCTGAGCCACTATGAGTTCCTTACGATTGGCCCTGAAACAATCCTTGCAAGAAACGGGACATTTGTTGCCCAAGGAAAAAAAGAAGCGCGGTGCGAAAACCCGCAACAAAGACAAGTTGTCGTCGTCATCGTCAAAAGATCATTCTTCGCAACCTCGCAAACGTGGAAGGCCACCCAAGCGACCCTCGCGAACAGAAGGCGACGCTGATAAGGCGGAAAAGGGACCTCACGATGAAGAAGGGGAAGAAAACGAAGCGGGCTTTAGCAGTGAAAACGAGTTCTCGTACGATTCTGAAGAGGAATCAGGTTCCGAGGAGAATGACTCGGAAGAAGAGGAGGAGGAAGATGAGGACGATCACGAAGACGAAGAAGATGATATAACAGCAGCAGTAGTAGCAGAAAGTCAAGACAAGCAATTGGATAATGACCCAAGGGGCAATAATAATAATAATAATAATAATGGGGAACCCACGATGTCGGAACGAGACACGAATGATCACTTGACGACTACCAAACACAACTCGTCGTCAACAAAGGAAGATGAAGAAATGGACAGTGAGGAAGAACGAAGACGGAGGCAACGGAAACTACTAAAGAAGAAAATCAAGAACTCGGCTGCCAACAAGATTCAAAGTCAATGGAAGAAGCGACAAGGTCGTCCGTCCTCCGCTTTGTCAGAAACAGAGGAAGAAGAAAGGAAGTCATCCAAGACGATAGAAGAGGAAACAGAAACTGCTCCTTCCAAGAGTGCTGCTGCTGAGGACACCACCGCCACTGCCAACAGCAGCAGCAACAGCAACAGCAATAGTAATTCGAAGGAATCAGAGGAAAGTGAAATTAAGGGAAACAAGCAATCATCTGCCGATACAAATGAGACTGCTGCACCAACAGTAGAAAAGAAGAAACGCAATTCAGGTACTGTCCCACCACCCACTCATGATGTTCGCGAGTGGTCCCAACGATTGACGGAAAAGAAGAGCCGAAAGAACATTTGCAAGGGAATGCGAGTCAAGGTTCGGTTTGCGACCAAGGTCAGACGGGAAGGCAAGATTGTCAAGAAACGAAAATGGTATGGAGGTCGGGTCTCCAATGTCACTCCAGATGGTTCCAAGATCAAAATCAAGTACGATGATGGAACCTCCGAAATATCCCAATTTCCAGATGACGATGTGGTGGTGGACGATACGGACAATGGACAGCATTCCCAAGCGGCGAGTGCATCGGTTCATCGATTCTTGCCACGACAAGCCCGTTCTCCTACTCCAACACCGACTCCAACCCCTACACCCGCAGTGGTGGAAGAGAAGGAGGAAGAGAAAAAGGAGGTAGAAGAGAAGGTAGAGGAGAAGGAGGAAGAAAAGCCCAAAGAAGAAGTAGTCAAGGAGGACATGCCAACGGAAGATTCTCCCAAGGATGACGCTCCTGAAGAAGAAGTTCCCAAGGAAGAAGAAGCTGCCAAGCCCACGGAATCAAGCACTGCAAAAGAGAAGGAAGACGACAAGGTGGCGGAACAAATACCAGTGGAGAAACCACAGGAAGAGAAGGAAGCTCAAGAAGGTGAAGAAAAGGAAGAAGAGGAAACGCCCAAGGAAGTTGAAAAGGACGATACCAAGATGGAAGAAGCACCAGAAGCACCTGAAATCAAGGCCCCAACTCCCATCCCAGAAGAGTCGAAACCTGTGCCGGAAACGACAAAACCCGAGGCTGACGAAGAAAAGCCTCGGTCATCTCCCGCTACCACTGTAGATGCCGCCGCCGCCAAGCCTGAAAAGGAGACAATTGATCCTGCAAAACCAGTGGACCATGCAGAAGCAATGGACACGGACGAACCTACTCCAAAGGAAGCCAAGCCTGAAGCTCCAAAAGAGGAAGTCGCCGAAATGAAACAACAAGAAGAAAAGCCTTCCAGGTCAAACAGCCAAAAAGAAGAAGAAAAACTTGAAGCAAAGCCATCCAAACCTACACTGACAATTCGCATCTCCAAGGCCAAAGTTCTAGAGAATGAAAAGCTTGAAAAGCATCAAGGAACACCAATGCAGCATAAAGCAAATGGAAGCCAGAGTTCGGATGAAGAATTGGATTTGGATACACCTGTGACGGCGCGAAAGGTCAAGTCTCTCAAGGTCAAGCGGAAACGACTTTCGGATGAAACCTCGCCAGGAGGATCACGTCACAAGAAACGAAAAGCCGAAGTGGAAGAACCGACACCGCCACAAGACAAGTCGACCGAGAAAACATCTGGTGCAGCAACCGCAACGGAAATGTCCAACGAGAAACCACCAAAATCACCCAAAAAGTCCTCCATGGTCATTACAATTCCTCTCAAGCAAGCACAGGCTGGTGACGAGATACCACAAGTCCCATCTTTGACTAAACCTAGAAAGCGCAAGGATAGTCCAGCTGCCCGTGGTTCTGGTCGCAAGTCGCCATCGCCAAAAAGCGACTCGCCGCAACCAATGTCCCAAGATCTTGGAAAAAATGGCGATGAGACTACTATGGTAAGGCCTGTTTCTCAAAAGGCAGTCAAGGCGGATGGAGTGGAAAGTGCCGATTTGGAAATGTCGACTGCAGAGCAAACAACAAAGGCAGAGTTGGGATCCAAAGGAAGTGCATTTGGAAAGAAAGCAAAGGCCAATGCTGATGCAACAACCAAAGAAAGTCTTCCACAAACTAAAGATACTGAAAAGGCGCCTAAAGCTGGTCGCAAAGCAGCCCAAGAAGCCAAGGAGAAGATGGGTCCAAAGCAGCAGGACAAGGAGTTGGCGGCTAAGAAGAAGAAAAAGAGGCGCCGTAAGAATGGCAGTGACGAGGAAGAATCGGACGACGATGAACGACAATGGGTGCAATGCGATAAATGCCAAAAGTGGCGCATTCTACCAAGTCGTGTAGAAGCTTCGTCCCTTCCCGAAGTCTGGCAGTGCAGTATGAACGATTGGGATCCCAAACATTCTGATTGCTCGGTAGCTGAACAGACTTTCAAGCAAATTCAGAAGGAACGACGACGTGCCAAGAAACGAGCCAAGCAGCAACGATTGGAGCAAGCGGCACTAGAGGCCAACCCAGCGGACTCAAATCACGACCCCAAGGTACGGGGTGGAAAATCTTCCCAAAACAGCCCAAAACCCACCAGACATGTTTTGAAAACTGGAAAAAATTCGGATTCGGAATCTAAACGAGCCAGTCCTATACCTTCGGCGGGGAATACGTCTGTTGAAAGCGGTCTGGACTCGAAGGCTGAAAAGAGAGGACGCAAGGGCAAGAAAGACAAGGACAAGGATGAATCAAAGCAAGTAGAAGTGCAAAGAGCAGTCGCGGCTGAGGAAGTCACTCCAAAAAAGCCGGGTAGAAAGAGGGGTCGACCAGCTCGCAATGTTTCCGTAGAGACTCCACGCAGTAATGCAACAAAGGATGACGAGAATGTTGAATGGGTTCAGTGCGAAAAGTGCGAGAAATGGAGGAAACTTCCACCGTATATGGCTGCTGATGAACTTCCAGATAAGTGGTATTGTTCTTTGAACACATGGAATGAAGCCTCCGCAAGCTGTGAAGCTGCGGAGGATAAAGCAGATGCCCATCATCAGGAAGTTGGTGTCTTTGGCAATGTGCCTCAAGGTCATGTTGGCAAGTATTCGTACCGAAGTATGATCTATGGAAGCGGCCGCAAGTACAATCGACCAATGTCGGAGAAGGCACGGGCAGCTGAATCGCTGTACCAACGTCCTCAAGTTGAAGATGGTATTCCTCAAACATCTGTGATGTATGCTAAGTCAAGCATGTTCGTTCCAAGGATGTCGAACTTCCAAAAGACTCAAGTTGTTGAAAAGAAGACTACAAGCATCTTAGATGTTCTGGCCGAATCTGATTTGTGGGCCGAGTTGCAGGGAGTTGGCCATGCAATGCAACTTTTATCGAACAACTTTTCGGGGGACCCTTATCCAGCGTTTGTGACCTACGAGTCTCTACCCGAGAGTATCAAGGAACAAATGCGCAAAGTCGTGCTACAAGTGCTAGGGGTTTATGTACTTTCTGGCGACGAGCTTGTCGAAGAGGCGCTCCGTTTCCCTTGGGAAAGCCTGTCCGGGAGTCTTTCTCAAATCCGGGCTTTCATCAATGCTGACATTGTCATTAATACTCTTCTTTCTCTGGTTAGGGATGGTGAAGTTGAAATGACTTGTTTTAAGGACATGTCTGTGCCCATGACTGAGTGGGTTCCTCGATACCGAAGAGTTGTTCGCTCAAGCCCGAAGAATTTGGAAAACCACGGATCACTGAAGACCTCCAAATGCATGAAGATTTCGAAGCCGTGGAAGCAAATGGACGATTCGGAAGGCTGGATCACTGGGGGCCAATAAATTCAGTCGATGGTTCTTTTCGTGGCTATGAATTTTGGTACACAGCCGCAGCCCTAATTCTGTTGGTCAAGATCGAAATGGCTGACTTCATATCTATTATAAAATAAGAATTCCATGCTAATATACTTATGACACAGTTGTAATTGCGTAGCTAGGGTAGATTCCAAGGTCGAACAACCCTTCGATACTAATTAACATTCTCAGCACCGAAGAAGCTTACGATTTCTCTTCCTTCGCTTCGCCTGACAGTTATATCGATCCATATCATAAACCATGTCAGTCATGCCACTTGCCATCGGAAGGCTATTGGCATTATTCTATGACGACGATGAGCTCCATCTCGGATGATAATGACTGAGGGTACACTCACCTTGTTCGATTCGATCCAAGATATGAAATTTGTCGTTGACAATGTGATTATGTATTTCATTATATTTAGAGATGGATTGATTGACGATCGATAATCCCTGATATACTTCACAATGATTCACCACTTTTTTCATCAATTGACTTCTTTTCCTCTTGAGCATAGGCCAAGAGTGCGTCGAGCCGCTTGATGACTTGCTGAATATCAGGTCGCTTGTCCATATAACGATTCCAACAATCTGAAATCAGCAACCGCAATTCCTCTGGCCTCCTTTTGTCCAGCGGTGGTCGATCACCACGTTGTACTACAAACTTGAAGAAGTCTTCTCTAGTACGCAACCCACCGAATGGTCTTTTCCCAGCGTTCATTTCCCACAAGATGATCCCAAATGAATACACATCTACCTTGTGGTTATATGGGTGTCCTTCCGCAACTTCTGGCGCCATATATCGTAGGGACCCTGTTTCCCCACTCAATTCATATGCCTCGTCGGATTTCGAATTGGCATTTTGAACTATCCGCACAAGTCCAAAATCCAATAACTTGACTGTTCCATCCAGTGCGAAACAGATGTTTTCTGGCTTCAAGTCGCGATGAAGCAGCACACAATTGGGCATTGCTTTTTCGTGCATGTATTGGAGGGCGACTGCCAAGGACCGTGCACACTTCAATGTATCAAAGGGTGGCATATGCTTGTTCTTCTTCCAGAATTGCCCCACCCTTCTGTTACGCAATCGTAGCATATCTGATAAGGTACCCCCTGTTAGTCTCTCCAAGACCAAAAATCGGTTTTCTTGGCACGTCCGACCGGAACCAACAAATTTTACAATGTTGTTGTGATTTAGTATCGAATGGATTGCTATTTATATCAGAGAGCGAAGACTATAAGTTTTCCAATCATACAACATCCTCATTTGTATATAAAAATTTCGCATTTCCCACTTACCAACTTCAGCTTCAATGTCGATCACAGCATGTGGATCTTCTCGACATTTTGGATTCAATGTTTTGACAACCACGGGTTTTCCATTATATACTGCCGAGTAGACCCAGCTGCTTCCACCATGGGTGAGATACTTCATATCACTGAGCTCATTCCATTGCAGATCCAATCTTTTCCTAGAAAAGGAGAGCTGCTGATGTTTGTGACTCGAGTTTGAAGGTGCGGACGAGTTGAAGCGATCAATACTAGTAGACACACACTTTTCAGACACATTGTTCACTTCATTAATGGGAGCAGTGTTCGCAAACACATTTGTAGGCTCCATCGTTATTCTGCTATGCATTATGCTGAAAAATGAGGCGATGAGGATTTGTGAGACGATGAGAAACGTGCAATGTACCGTACTATTGAAAATTCGGAAAAGCGAAACTAGTCGCGGATATATATTTACCATGCATTCCACCGGTTACCATGCATGCAGGAAACGTTAATCACGGAGTCGTCTTTTATGACGCGTGTGCATATTGAGTGATTTTTTACAGCGACACATGAGAAAAATGTGTCCAATCAGCATGCAGGATTGGCAAGACGACTTCAGAGAGTGATCAATGAGCCCCGAAGAATTTTTTCTTTTTGATGCGGTACTCTCTTTCGGTCTGAAAGAATGGGAGAGGCGGTTCGTTAGAAGGCAAGTGGCAACATCGGCTTCTCTTTCAGATCACGGGGAAAGTACTCCTCTATCTTGATCAAGTTAGGCGGAGCTAACACAACCTCGACCAAGGCTTCTCATTTCGTCCACTGGTGGTGAGCTAAAGTCAAAAATACAACTTCAACTGAGAGCACTGCCTATATCCTGTTATATATATTCGTAGCCAACGTCGTCCTCTAGTTTACAGTATAATTTGTCTATACTTCTACTCTAGAACCAGGTCGAGTGACGATCAATCATTCCTGAAATTCGTCGAAGTGGTCCTTTGCTCTTGCCACCAGACTTGCCCTTGCCCTTTTCGTTGGACAACAACGCGTCAAGCCTTTCACCGACTTCTGAAAAGTGTGGTCTTTTATCCAAATCCGTATCCCAGCAATCCGCTATCAGTGAACACAAGGCTTGTGGCCACTTTTTGTTCAAAGGTGGTCTATCACCACCGTGAATGACAACTTCATAGAATTGTTCGCGATTCAAACCATGATATGGTTTCTTTCCAGCATTCATCTCCCATAGAATAATTCCAAACGAGTAGACATCTGCCTTTTGGTTGTAGGGAAGGCCTTCAGCAACCTCGGGAGCCATGTAGCGCAGTGAACCAGTCTCCCCACTCATGCTGTATACTTCATTTGACTTTGGGTCAGCATTCTCCAAGATTCGGGCCAGTCCAAAATCCAGCAACTTGACCGTTCCATCCAGTGTGAAACCAATGTTATCAGGCTTCAAATCACGATGTAGCAGTATACTGTTTGGGATTGCCTTGTCGTGAATATACTCCATGGCGACTGCCAAGGCTCGTGCACAGGTTAGTACGTCAAAGTATGGCATTTGCTTTTTCTTCCAGAATCGTCTCCGTCTATCCCGAATCCGAGTATCGTATCCCAGCATTTGTGAAAGTGTTCCACCGTCCAGTCGTTCCAAGACAACAAATCGGACTCCCTTGCTGGTGAGTCCAGCACCAAGTAGATTGCAAATGTTGTTGTGATTCAGTCTCGAATGGATTGCTACAAAAGGTTAGAGATGGATCGATGGATTGAAAGAAAGAAGAAACAAAATAGTTGTCAGCCTTCCAAACATCTAACAGCAACCAAGATCCACACACATTCCTACTTCTGCAGTACTTACATAGTTCACCCTCAATTTCGTTAATCGCCAGAGCCACGTCTTGACATTCCGGTTTGAGTGTCTTGACGACGACAGGTGTTTCATCGTAGACAGCTGTATGAATCCAAGAGTTACCACCATCCGTCAAATATTCCACATTGGTCAATTCTCTCCAACTCAAATCGAGTCGAGCACCCGTAATGGAAGTATGAGAGACTCGTTGATGTGGAATATTCTTGCGCACCGGCGCCGAGTGTTCAGACCGTGATGACGATATGGGTTTGGCGTTTTTGCTCTCCAGACTCCGATCCACTACTAGACAATCCTCTGCCAAGGAATTGACCGAGGCTACAGCAGCCGATAACGACATATGTACCAAGAATTCAACAGCTGCTGGTTTCATGATAATTCTAAGAATTGCAAAAGACAAACAAGAAAGAGAGAGAGAGAGGAGAGAGAGAACAAGTTTAGACACATTTGTCATTCGTTGTCGTCTTTCATTCATTCCAACACAAACCCAAACACTGCTCAACTCACCTTCGAATGGAAAAGTAAATAATAGTAATATTGGAATTGGAAGCCTCATGACAGACAGGAATCGCCACGGCCGTTCGAACATTACTAATACTGCACCTGAGTGCTTCCGCCCCATGCGGTGTGTGCGCCGTCACCCAGACCACATCGTTGGCATCTTTGGCACGTTTGCACAAGGCTGGTGACAATCGATGGGTTCGTTCACTACTCTTTTCTCCGTAATAGACATCGACCAAATCATTTCTCACGCTGTCTTCCAAGGCCGTAGGCCTCAAGTGCGAATTGGTCAATTGATGCGTCTTGGGGCCCGTCCGTAACCACATTTCCGCAATGTCAAACCCCATGACGTCGCAACTGGCCGCCAAGACGGCTTCGGTTGCCGACGAGGCTTGATGAAATAGCTTGTCATGAAACAAGGATTTGCCCGATTGGACTTGCCCGAGGGCTGCCATGTTGCGGGTGGCTTGACCATCGACCGGTGCTCCAGCTTGTGGTGTGGAGCTACCATTCCAATTGAATTGTTGCTGCTGTTGCATGAGTGTCACCATGGCAAAGGAACCATCCGTACTACCAACAGTCCAAGGAAGAGCCGCAGGTGGTGTGGCAGGAGGCATCTGTTGTTGAAGGTATTCGGGAGGAGCACCATGAATGGCTTCCGGAGGTGGATTTCCAGACATTTGTGGCGGAATAGCTTGAGGTGGAAGCGCTTGTGGTGGGAGTGATTGTGGTGGAGTGCTTCCCATTTGGTGCATCGGCGGTCCATGACTTGGTGGACTTGTCCCATAATGTGGTGATCCTCTATGGTGCTGCTGAGGTGCTGACATCATGCCGTTCATTTTGGGGTCAATGAACGTATGCAAGATAGGTCAATGGATTAGTTGATGGAATCTCCTGCTGAGATCGTTCCCTACAGTAATATTCCACTTTTCGAATGTTGTGTGAATCTTCAACAACACTCCGACACTCTTTCCACCTGGAATTTGATTATTTTCAACTGAAATGCCAACAGATGGTCAAGCCTTTTCTATATGAAACTGCAATGGAAACGAATGCTTCTCTTGGGAGTGATTGTTGTATTGACCTCAGTGACTCTATATTAGAAAGGGTGAAAGAGTTCCACTTGATTGACACCTTTTGGCGTTTTCGGGAATCGGTGGTGTCCGCCTTCTTGCTGACATCAACCGCGATCGATCGAACAACCGTGTCCAAAAATCTCAACGGTTGAAACTACGACCAGACCATGTCTGTCCTTCGTCAGAGATTTGTTGGAGTAATCTTGGAACAATATGTTTCCAGTAAGTCTGTCCTTCGTTTTGGCATTGTGTCACAAGCGACACCAGACGGTTCCGATTGATTCGCCATCACCAAAACCATTCATCAGAATATAAGAGAAGAGAAACAGTAGAACATCCCATTGACACAATAAGTTTGCGCCTTAAAAGCCAGTCCATCCTTGGTTACTGACTCGTATCGTATTTATTCTATTCAACTGTCTTCTAGTCAATCTGACTATCAACTTAAACCACTACGCACAACAAAGATTCATTCATTCATCATGACACGCTGTGCTTTCCAGATTCCGTGGATCTCGTGGATCTTCCTGCTGACCAAGATGAGTCAAGCATTTATTATTGCCCCACATCCATCACGATTGTTTGCCCAATATTCACGATATGTACCACTACCACAACAAGCAACTCTGCAACAGCAACAGCAACAACAACAACCACAGAACAATCGAATAAGATCCACCATACGACGACAAGTGCTCAATGATGATTTTTTTGACGATATTGCATTGTCCAGAAAAGAAATTGAATCCTTGACCATACCCGGCTTGAAACAACAGCTGAGGCTAAGAGGACTCAAAGTATCGGGAAAGAAACAAGATTTGGTGGATCGACTGCTCAAATGTACCGGAGTTGTTCGTGAAGGAGTGGGACTCAAAGCAGAACCTTCCGTGCCACAAGCAGAAGATGGCGATGAGGAGGAGCTGATTACGCCAGATGTCATGCCATCTGATGCCAAGGCGACTCAAAAGACAAAGGCGCAAAAATTTGCAGAAGAAACAGGAAAGGAATTCATTGATGTGACGGCCTATCTAGATGACGATGAGATGGGACAAAACGTAAAGTCCTCCATTCCCCTCCAAAAAGAAGAAGAGCCCGAAGGCAATCCCGAATCGTCCAATCCAGAAGTCTGGGGTACCGACGCTAAGATTGTCGAAGATTTTGAAGGTAGCAGTCCAATAGTGGACGCTCTGTCTCGTACCATTATCGAATACAGAGGATCCAACCAAACCTTTGTCCAAGCTTACGTGGTGGCCAGTCGGGACGCACTCAAACCATTCTTGGCCGGTGCCAATCGGACTACCAACCCGGAAGAAGCTCTCAAAGAAATTCAAATGAGAAGGGAACAGGCCAGTAGACGACCCATCAAAGTTGACGACCAAGAGGGCTTGGATGAGGGAGATGAATTTGGAATCTTTGACAATATTCTGCATCGAGACTTTTCCGATTGGGGCGAATACACCCTCACGGGGGCCCAACTGTCGGCGCAAGAAGTCCAAGGAGTCTTGTTGCTCAGCGATGTCTATGGAGCTTACACCGACGATACCAAAATGTTGGCGGAAAAGATTGCCTTTGAATGTCAACCAGTAGTTGTTTTAGTTCCTGATTTGTTTCGAGGCAAGCCATGGAAGGAAGATCCAAACACTCCTGGCTTTAATGAAAAGGGTCAAGATTACGAAGAATGGCGAGCCCAACATTCGGACATTCGTGTCAATGTTGATATTCGGGCGGCTGCAGCAGTCCTTCGCGAACAATATGGGGTCAGCTCGGTCGCCGTTTGGGGTACTTGTTATGGTGGTGGACGTGCCTTGGAGGCGGCTGCGGGATATCTGCCCGATGGACAAATCCATGATGTGAATGGTGCGATTGGGCCCGTTCTGGTCAAACCCGATGTGGTCGTTTCCTGGTATCCCACACGGTACAATGCCAAGGCACTCTTTGGACCAGATCGTGCAAACCTGGGAGAAGTTCCCACCGACGACGACAAAGCACAACGGAAAATGGCCGTCATGGGAGTCTTTGCTGGCAATGACGAGCTATCGGGGGCTACTGCAGAGGACGCAGCAGAGTTGAAGTCTCTCTTGGAAAGTGATGAGCGAGTGAAGGATCTCATGGTCAAGGTATTCCCGAACCAAGACCATGGATTCGCACACATTGGATTGAGCGAATCATCGTCGGACGAATCATCGGAGTTTGAACGATTCGTCGACAATGAATTTGGGGGATCCGGCCGAGTTGGGATGGATGATGGAGATGCCGAAGTAGCATGCCTGTTGTCGACAGCCTTTATGGAGACGTACAGCCGCGTTTTCCTTCCTACTACTGGACCTCCAATCAGCAGTGATGATTTGGCTTCTGGTTGGAGTGCTGATTTGGATATACCCGAGTTTCAGTCGAGAGATATACGGCAAGAGATTGAAGATTCACTCGATAACTTTGTCGAAGAGCCGCTCGGTGGAAAGAGATTTGATCCCAACAATGACGATCAACGAGATGAATTGGCAGACATGCTGCGGAACATGGAAGATCCAAATGTGCCGGTCGAATACAAGATTGAAGATGGCGATACGATTGAAATCATGTATGCCAAGCTAAAGGCATATGATTCAAAGTTCCAGATATTTTAGAAAACTAAGAAAATAGACAGTTTACCCCAAGTATTCACCATACATTACATTCTTACATCCTATGATTGAAATACGGTCTTGTCGCCGATATTGATACCAAGAGCAAATGAAAGTTGCGTGATCACTGCTGGATGCAACACCTTCGGATCGAAGCTTTTCATTCGCTTTCTTTCACGGTCGTCTTGGAAGACACTCTGAAACCACAATCGAGACTTGTCTTCGGTCGATCCAGTTGCTACTGGGCTAGACATTAGACACTGTAGAATTGACGTCACCGTGAGTGTTGGAACCAAGCGTACCAGGAACAGAAGCCGTTCAAAGGTACGATCGTCAAGAAGCCACGATTCGGCTTCTTCCAGTCCCCATGCAGCGTCGAGCTTACAGATGGATTGACCAATCGAGGCCGCGAGAGTGTTTGGAGATACCAATGTGAATGAAGTCGCTGTGGTGAGACCCTCCCCTTGATGTAGCACAGCACTTTGAATAGTTGAGATTCGGTCAATAGTGGCATCATCTTGGTCAATGTCAGCACAAAGGAAAATGCTGAGATGTCTGAACCTTGTGGAAGAGATCAGACCAATAATCCGCATAATCAGGCTTTCGAATCCATCATCATTGAACCAACTTGACAATGCCGAGACAACAATGCCTCCGCGATCTGGGAGCTCAATATCCACACCGCAAGTGTCCACAAGTTTGGTGTCCACGAAGCAGAATCGTCTTCCAGAACTGGTCCCATTGGTTCGGCGAGACGAAACTTGATGTTGCCAATCGCCAGATACTAGCCTCGCTGCATAGTCTCCCCATTTTTCCAGAAAGTCCTCCGAACAAAGCAATACTAGTGGAGGTCGCACAGTTTGTGGGGGGAGTGAGGTGAGAGCACTGTCTTCCGTATCATCAATCACGATTGGTTGGTCTGGGGAGCCAATTTCCATGCCGAATTGAGCAGTGGCCGTCACTTGATGAGTTGTTGTTGGGCCGTTCTCCTTCACGCAAGGCCGCACTTCCTCAGTCGCATCTTCTTCGAGAGATTGTAGCACGCTCTCTGGCAATGACTGTTCGAACAGGTCTCCATGAGATTGTTTCTTCTTCTTTCGCTTCCCCGACTTTCGTTTAGATTCCTTTTTCTTCTTCTTCTTGGCCGCCTTTCGGGCTCGTTTCCTCTGTTTCTTGTCGGAGACCACTCTACTCGTTGTCTGGTGTTGGGAGATTTGGTGGGCAGTGTTCTGTATCAAGCCCTCGCTTGGGCTTCCGACGGAACTTGGCAAGTTTGATTCTGGATCAAATGCATTCGGTGCGGTGACAAGTTGAATGTCAGAATCGTTGTCATTGTTGAAACTCCAAACACTTCCACCGTCCAGGTCAAAGTTCTTGGGCTGCCAATTTCTGTAGTGCTCGCTTCTGTCATCAAGCTTTCGACAGCTTGCGACTTTTGACATGGGCTGACAAGAGGGTGGCTGGTGGCCCTGGGGACTAAGTACAGAAAACTGCTTCGGCGAATTGATTTGCTTGTCGTTTTGTTCTGGCAAGATGACATCATTGACATTTGTCGCCTTCCTAGTCTCATGCAGAGACACTGGATCATCACATTGCATTGAGGATGGTGCTATTTCCAGATGAGAAGATTCGGATATGTCCTGCTGCCTGGCTTGCCTTTTTCCTCTCTTCGACTGAGGAACTTCTTCCGGTGAGATGATAGGCGGCGGTGGCCGCTTCTTCCTTCCTTTGGTGGGATTCGATCCATTTCCTGTTGGCTCTGTACTTGGTGCCAACCCAAAACGTTCCAAGAGCGAGAGTTCTGTCTGCCGGGCTTGGCCGATTTCCTTTTGGCGTTGCCCTTTTGCAGACTGCTTCTTGGTACTGTCAGGAGGGCTTGATCCTTCTGCCGTCTCGTGAAGCCTGAGATCATTACTGTGATGGCTGGTCGAATCAGCCAATTCAGTTTTACTTCGAGCAAGTAGTTTGCTCATGGTCCATTTGTTCGGTGGAAGAAGCCCAGTCTCATCAAGCGCCTTCCGTTTCTCGGGCAAAACGGGCTGGTTTTCAGTGCTACACTGTCCTTCAACTGTGTCTTGTTCCTCGTGCCTTTCTTCTTTTTGTCTATTTGCCAGGTTCCAAGCAAAAAGGATTGCAAACTGTAGCCTCTGTTGCACTTCCAGGCTGGGGTTCTGGGGTTTACTATTGTACAGGACTATCGCCTTGAGTTCTCGCTTTAGCGTCTCTCGTCTCTTGCTGGAAGGCCCAAGGGAAACATTCCAAAAGGTTCCAGCATTTCCCTGAAGAATATCCAAGAGGCAGTATCGATATGGCAATTTGGATAAGTCCTTCTTTGCTTTTGCATTTTTCGGTATTGCCCGCAGCTTGATAGAAATTGGTCGTTGTCCCTGACGTCGATCCGACAAGTGTCGCAAGGTGAACACGGAAACGACATGGTCCAATTGCGTCATGGCCACATTCGAGATGGTTCGAGAGAACTGCCGAAAGAAGGCAATTTCCGCTCGACGTCGCCACCAAAAGGAAATGAGACATTGGAGATATGGAAGTGCCATTGGCTGCCTCCAAAAAGAAGCCCTGGTTTCGATTTCTTCAATCATGACTGACTGGGATGCCTGAGAGGAGTCGAGCCACCATGCATAGTTGGCAATCCTCTTGCGATTAGCACTTCTTCGAATGTTCGTCCAAATCGACACCAACAAGGGAGAATCGTAAATGGAAAACAACTTTGGTGGTAGTACGATGATTCCCTTGGAACCAAGCGTGGAACCGCAGATAGCATTGACAAGTCGTCTCTGTCGCCGCCGTACTCTGTCGACACCTGGAGAACTACAATAAGCATCCGAATGTTCGACAATCATATCCTGTGGTCCGGTTTCGTCATGTGAAATGTCGCTGGAAGGCTGCATCTCGTAATCCTCTTCTCTTTGGATAGTCTTGACTAGATCCATTTGTAGCGAACTATTGCATTCCATCATTTCTTGCGGACACTGCTGTGGTTCGAATCTTATTGGCGGCACTAGAGTCGTCCTACTTTCCCCCATTTGCGATGCATCAAGATCGCAGTCCATTGCTTCATGCTCGACGCATGGTTGCGATGGACGCTCCGTGCTTATTTCCTCCGTTGCTTCTAGACTTGATGGTTCCGATTGTGAAGCAGCTGTGGGTAGTTTTCGTCGCAGCCATCGCCGCTGTCCGTTTCGTGGATCGCCTTGCAATGGATTCTCCTCTACTGTGGGCCGCAGACCCGGTTCTTCACAGGATGGCATGTTCGTTGCTGGAACTTCAGTGTGGTCCTTGGATCGCAAGCTTGCCTCGGATATTTTCTTTTCTGACGTTGGCTGCAAATATGGTAAGAAATAAATGCAGTTCACAATGGAAAATGGTGCAACAAGACGAGCGTGAGTCCATATTAGGATTTCTTACCGAAAGGCTTTTCTGTGAATCCCGTCGACGCTTTCGTCGTCGGTGGCGCGAAGGAGTACTGCTATTGGCCTCTGCTTTCGACAAATTAGATTTTGACACTTTCTTTTTAGCATTGGAAGCTCTTGCGTTGGATGGGCTTCCGTTTGCTTGGCTTTTGAAAGAATCCATCAACGGGTTTGAAATGGGAGGTTCTTGTTCTCTCTCATTCGATGCCTCATCAACCTCCTTCTCATAGACTTCGTTTGACACTTCGTTTTCCTCTTGCTCTAGAAGCTTAGTATGAATCCTCAAGGGCTCTGTCTCCTTGTTTGGGTATCGTTCCAACCACAAGCTGGTGGCCTCGGAATGATAGTCTTGACACTGCGGTTTGAATTTCATGGTAAAAGTGAGGTAATTATTTTTCCCGTCTCTTTCATCAACAATTCTACTCTATCGTCTTGTGGACTAATTTCCCTCCTTTCCCATTCAAAGCAGCAAGAACCCCGATAGCATCTCGCACCAATGCTCTTGATGGTTGTTCTTTTGGATGGCTTTGTTTTTTAAAGATCCATCCGTGGTGATGGGCTTCAAACTGTACCAGGATTTTGTGTATGTAGAAACCAAAGTTGGCCTCAGTACATTATTGTTGGGGGACATTGGGGGACATCACATTCGAGGGAATGCCAGAATGTCAAAGTCAATTTTAATCATACGAGTCGATCGACTGACGAAGATTCTCCTATCCTATCCAACTGCGCAACTTTCACTATCCGTCACAACGAACTCCATTGTCACTCTTCTGAGGAAGACACTTCAAAATGATCCACCGATCCTACATATCAATCGCCCAAGTGGCTTCATTTCTTAGCACAACCCTTGCATTTTTGTTACCGTGCATTTCCTATGCTCTGTCAAGTCGACAACATACCATTCGAAATTTTCAGGTAGCAGCTTCAAACAGAATACCTTTTTCTCGACGTCAACAATGCCCCATTACGAGCAGACCACCTCAAAGAATTGCAAGTAAGAGATCAAGATTATTAGCAGCAGATAGTGACGAACCTGTCACTGCCAACTCGTACGAATCATCGTCCAATGCCATTCCAATTGACGGATCCATGTGGCCCGACCGGTTTCCAGCTCAAGATCATTGTTCCAGATGCGGCTTGTGCGAGACTTCCTTTGTTTCCAAAGTTACGGATGCATGTGCTTTTTTGGGAGAGGGAATGGCACGAATGGATTCCATGGAACCAAAAGTACATGGACGATCTCGCGTGTTGGATGATTTGGCTTGGTCCTCGTCAGCAGACTACTCCTCGTCAATCAAGGACGAGGGGCGCTTTGGAGTCTTGCAGGAACCCATTCAATTAGCCAAGGGAACCGAGACACAAGCGCAATGGACGGGGTGTGTGACAGGAATTGCACTCGCAATGCTGGAATCCAACATGGTGGATGCGGTGGTATGCATTGCCAGTCAAAACGACGACTCCTCTGCTAGTAGTTGGGCCGTGCCCGAACCGATTCTTGCTCGGACATCTGAAGAAGTATTGCGAGGAAGAGGCGTCAAGGTAAGATACATCAAAGTACTCATTGGCGCTGGGTGCCCACAGCTAGTCGCTCACCCATCCTCGATCGAATAGCCGGCGCTAGCACCAAGCCTCAAGGTGTTGGACCAAATCAAGAATGATAGCACGATACAGAAGCTGTTATTTTGTGGTGTCGGGTGTGCAGTGCAAGGTATGTCGGGGGTGAACTGGGCCCCGAAGAAGTCATTTATCTGAACATTGCTAACTGAAACTTTCTGTATCGCAGCCTTTCGAGCTATTCAAGACGATTTGAAACTCAAAGAAGTCTATGTATTAGGGACCAACTGTGCTGATAACAGTCCAACTCCCGAGGCAGCAAATAATTTCATCGAACAAGGCCTCAGCGTAAAAAGTGAGAGTGTATTGGGGTATGAATTCATGCAGGATTTCAAAGTACACGTCAAGACTACTGATTCCTACGTTACCAAGCCATACTTTTCTCTTCCAGGAACCATTGCGGAACCTTCCATTGCCAAATCCTGCTTGGCCTGTTTTGATTACACCAATGGCCTGGCCGATGTCGTTGTGGGTTACATGGGAGCACCACTGGATAGTAATTCAAGGATGGACGAGTCCTTCCAAACGATTGCTATACGAAACGAACGAGGTGTCCAAATGGTACAAACGGCAGTCAAGGCATCTAGATTAAAACTGCACGGCACGGCTCCCGGAAAGGGAGGCCACGAATCTCTATCCTCGGCTACTGTAGCAGCCGACAGTATTGTCCTGTCCATGGTTGGAGAGAAAGATCCTCCAGAGCAAGGAATGCCAGCCTTGATGGGTGAAATCATGGCATTTGCCATGCGAAATTTGGGACCCAAAGGCATCAATTTTGCTCGGTATTCCGTCGACTATCATCTTTTGCGAAACTATCTCCACATTCTAAATGAATGGGGCGAAGCAAGAACCACCATGGCACTTCCGGCGTCTGCAAAAGAAATAGTCGAGCACTATCTACAAACGGATTCTTCATTTCAGGAGATAGTCACAAAGATTCGTGCCAAGGCAAAACGATGATAGAATTATTCCCCAATCTATGCTAGCATTACTTCTAATCTGATTCCGAGCCGTAGTCACCCAAAAGCCCTGCAAGCCCACCGCTGGAAGGTGCTGCTGCTGGAGGTTTCCTTTTGACAACAAGTTCTGCTTTTGCCTTTTTGGAAGGCGCTGCTACTTCTACCTTCTTTTTCCGTTTTACTTTGATCTTCGGAATCGCTGTCTTTTGAGTAACAGGTTTCATTGGATTCCTTTTCATTAGCGCTACTTCTCGCTGCCGGCGTTTCTCTTCGAGCATCTCGTCTTCTTCATTCAATCGCTTCACAGCCGAAGCTGCTTGTCCAAACTTGATCTTTTTTATCAAACTCTCTTCTTCTTCTGTTATCCCATGTTCATTGAGCTCTATGTCCTCAACTAACTTGTCTCTTACTTCTCGGGCCTTCATGACAGCCTTGGCATCAGCATCGAATCCTTCACCAGAGTTTGACAAGAGTTTTGCATGCCTCCTGTTCATGGCTCGGATTTCTTCCAGGTTATCAAGGTCCGCCATTTCCCTCTGACTATCAAGCACCCTATTCTCTAGTGCTTTCATGGGATCAATTTTTTCTTCTTCTTCTTTCTCTATCACTGCTTCTCCTTCCGTTTTCTCTTTGTCCTTATAAACTTCATAATTCCTCGTCCCTCCGCTTTCCATTTCGTAATCTGCATTCTTCGGATCCGTCAGAAAGGATACCGTTCTAGAACAGTGCGTACACTTGATATAAAATCGCCACCGCTGAATACCTAGGTATCTACCATCTGGACCACCCATGGGCTCCTTTTTCGAATTGAATTTTCTTCCTCGGTACAAAAATGTGTTGCAAGCAGAACATTGAACCGAAAATGGAAGCATCATACGCACTGGGACAGTTCCATCCTTCTTGCTCAATTTCTTTCCTCTCGGAATTAGAGTAGGGTCAAAATCTGCCGGGATGTATTTGTTGAGTACTTTACGTTCACCCATGGTTTACAAGTCTACTGGTACCAGTACACAGCAAAAATAAGGTTGTGATATGTATTAAAACGAAAACATGCTGAAAATTTTATTGAGAGAACTGAAGACGGCTGGCAGACAGACATCAATTTGAAACGTGGATGATGGAAGGTGTAATTCTGAAATCTGAAGTTACAAAAGTAAGTCTAAATTCCTTGTTTTGCCTTCTTGGCCAACAGTCGTTGTGCCTGCTTGGCCTTGCGATTCTCCGGATTGCTGTCTTCACCCAGGGCAATGTTTGTTCCTCAACGACTTGTCGTTCAGGTTCTAGTGGGAGGGTATTGTAAGAGAGATTAATGAATCATCACTGAATCTCTTTTTCTTGCAAACCGAGGACACTGTTTGAAGCCCTGCCTTCGTGAACTCAACTTATCGTCGGTAGCTAAAATCAAATGTGTTTCAGGAGTCTGTACCAAGGTTGAATTTTCCTCAAATCCAAAGGAAGCTTTGTCGTCATGGTAACAGCTGTGTCAATAACTTTGCTTTCCACATGATCAATTGGACATTGCTCTAGCACTTTGGCTGTAGCGAAGTGTTCGGAACAAGTGTGATGTCTTTGCCCTCGCTTTGTTGTCGTCTACTTCAATCCATCCTTCGCTATCTTCCTTCAAAAATCGACCAGTTGACTCCTTCACGATCTTGATGATCATAAAGGCGATTGCAGTCTTGTCGAAATTCGATGATCTATCGTACCTGTCCTTGTACTTTTCCACCAAGCTCCGGTAACGTACACTGCCAATATGATTCTGGCAAAGCTTTCCTCGGCCAACTAGAACATCGTTAGGACCGGGGAAGGCAATGAATTTTGCCCCTCTAGTAGTTCTCCTCTCATGCTGTCTACGCTTTTCCCAATATATTTTGTGGTCTTCGTTGCTGGCTTTACCATCTTCGTCGAATGGGAGCGCATAGGTGGGAATACCATACGTCATCAACCCGTCCACACAATCTTGAAAGGGACCAAAATTTGTTCTCATCCGAAGCCTGGTCAAAGTACCGACAGCGAATCGTGCAAGTGCTACAATAGGCGACAATAGAACGTTATCATAACATATATGCACTGCACATTCTCTCATCGGCATTATAGACATCAAACGTGGTTCGGCCCAGGCGGCTTGCCGGTCGATCTGCGAGCCTACGAGGTAAACTATTGACACAACACCTTTCTTTTGGATCTCCTCATCCTCTAGATGCACCATCATTGAATAAAACAAAGAACGTAACTGAAAGCATCAAGATCAGAATATACATCCACGGTTAGAAGCGAGAAAAAAACAGAAGCGTACCTTATGTTTGATGTCCAAATCAGTTTTGAGGTACGGAAGAAAGAGAAACACTCCTCTCCCAGCTCGGTCCCTAACTGGAAGAACTTGCTGATACCCGCACAACAAACATTCCAGATCTTTCTTGTCAAGATCATCTTGGGAGATGTCACGTGCGACTTTATCTTTCCCAAATAGCTCGGTCTTTAATGCAAAGTGATTCACAATTTTATTTGCTGCAGCCTTGGCATCGAATGATGTTGCTTTTAAGAATCGTAATCGAAATTCGGGTTTCCTCATGTATTGGGGGTCAATAGCGTATGCATAGTCGTATTCACTCTTACTACGAATCTGCTTGATTTCACCTTCTAATTTCTCTAGGCTCGATGCAATCAATTCAGGAGTCTCCGTTACCTCAGCTCGTATGCCATGGATGTCTTCCAGTACCTGATCACGTTCTATCAGAGAAAGCTCGTAAAGCTCTGTACTCAGAAGGGCATCAACAGAATCAGGAGAAGGATCTATTGTCGGGATTCCATCTGAAGGGGAGATGTCTGTTGCTGTCATCGGGTCCTCCATGTGTTGCAATGATCTCACTAGCACAACTCTGACTGTAGCCAAGGTTGATATTTTAGATTTCTGTGCGGTATCACTAAACAACCCTTCGTTCTTTGATTTCTTGCGATAAGTCTTTATGGTGGTCGGACAGACGTATTGTTCGATCGGTGTATTTGAAATTTGGTCGCATAGGATCCCTCTGTGTGAGAACGAACAAATAATATAACTTCTGTCATAGCTCGGTACTTGTACCTTGTACAGCACCACGATTAGGTTCCTCGTGGCTCTTTAGTACCAACAATTAAGGTACCCGCGGAACAGAGTGATGGAGCACAAATGAGGGTCGGGGAGATCAGTGAAGAGGAATTTTACTGTACAATGTTCTGTTATTAGCGCGTACAAAGGGAATACATCGTCGGCGACATTGGATGGCATCAAGGTTTTGAAGCAGCATTATTGGTATATCGCAGAGTCCGAAACGAGTGGGATACCTTGTCTCTTGCCCTCTTGTCATCTACTTCCACCCAACCATTACCGTTGTCCTTTAAGAAACGGCCTGATGAATCCTTCACCATATTTACAATCATAAAAGATATCGCGGTCTTGTCCACTGTCGATGAATTATCGTATTGCTGCTTGTGCTTCACAACCATTTGCCGGTAGCGGACATTCCCGACGTGCTCTTGACAGAGCCTTCCCCTTCCCAGCAATACATCAAAGGGTCCAGGCGAGAGGACCTTTCCCAAACCAGAACAACTTCTCTCCAATTGTCGTCTCTTCCCCCAAAAAGCCTTGTGGTTTTCTGTGCTCACATTCCCATTCTCATCAAAGGGTAGAGCATAAATAGGAATCCCGAACGTTTTTAATTCATGAACGCATTCAGAATAGGAACCTAGATTTGACAAGGTTGGAGATGTTAGCCAAATGGGCATTTGTTTTAGACATATCTGAAGCCAGATTTACATACCATAATGTGATCTCATTCGAACTCTGGTAAATGCATCAGCGGCATAACTACCTAGGGTAATGAGCGCCTTCAGAAGTACGCTATCGTAGCAAATATGAACAGCATTCAGTCTAATTGGTAGACATGACAGCATTTTTACTGTTGCCCATACTGCACTTCGATTCTTGTTGGAACCTTGTGGCATGTCAACAGCCCAGACAATGATCACCTGACCCTTCTTCTGAATTTCTTCATCCATTGATATAACCATTTGTGCGTAGAACATGCGTCGCAACTGAGAATGACGTATGTGAGAGAGAAGTGAATCGTTACGTAGAAACAATGAAAACCACACTTACCCTGTGTTTCGTTTCAGTGACAGGGTCTAGCCCTAGCTTTGGCTTCAAGCCTGTCAACCAAAGATCTACACCACGGCCCGCCCGATCTCGGACTCCGATGTTCTGATAGTACCCAGCGTATAACATAGTTAAGTCCTCGGGATCTAAATCATCTTGGGTAATATCCTGAGACAATTTCTCTTTACCAAAGAGCTCCATCTTGATTTCAAAGTGTTGAACAATTCGAGAAGCTGCAGAATGCGCATCAAACATTGTTGCTCGAAGGAACCGCAATAAAAATACCCGGTTCTTGACATACTTTGGGTCCAAAGCATATGCAAAATCGTAGGCATATTTGTCGTTGATTAGCTTCAACTCTTCATCTACTCGCTGTAGGCCCTCAGATACCAATTCCGGAGTTTCTTCAATAACGTCGGACACCCCATGGATATCATCAAAGACTTGTCCCCGCTCGTTAAGCGACAGACTGCAAAGTTCAGTATTCAGAAGGTTATCAATATCGTCAGGCGAAGGATTGCTGTCGGGGATGTCCTCCACGAAGGAGCTCGGAGGCTCCTGAAAGCTCATCATCGATACTTGCAGTTCTACCGGTAATCGTAATCCTTTGAGATTTCGCTTTGCGCTGCAGCCAAGTGAGATAGAGGAACTGCTGAGCGGCTACGTCGGACTTCTCCGCTCTGTGGCCAGCGTCTGCAAGTTCAAGTTGCGGCGACTAAATTATTAGCCGGCATGCGTCTGTTCGTATTGGTGGCTGCAGAGTGGCTACTATCTGTAGATTTTCTAAAAACATTACCTGAGAGTAATGCAACGCAACGCAACGCAACATGTCATCTGTCTACCAACTGGGACAGGACCGAGTAGGGAACTTAGCAGTGGCCTTATGGAAAGGTTGAGTCAAATGGAACAGCAATACGCCGTATCAAGTGTTGCCTATAACAGCCGGAACTTGGCATTTAGCGGTAGATGGTCACTGGGATTTTGTTCATCAGGAATCAATGCAGGCGGAGTAACACACTTTGACAATTCCAAAGTTTCTAGTTGAACACCATCGTGAAATATGTAGTCAATCCATTCGATCCGGTTGGCATTGCGAGATGTGCAGTGCGTTTCTGCTCCAACACCGTCCCCCCACTGATGAGTTTCTGCAAATGCATCTTGAAGCACATGAGGGCCCCATCTGAATGTTTTTGATTTGACATCGAAGCCAGTTTGAAATTCGCATCCTTCTTCAGAATCTGATGACTTGAATTTTCCAGCAAAGACGCCAAGCGCTTCTTTGGCGTCGGTGTTGAAGTCGCCTGCTAGAACTACAATTTCATCGTCTTGTGTTGTCGATTCGACAAGTCGTTTCAGAGCAGCCAACTCACATGCTCTAACTTCGCCGGGAAATTTGTTGGTCTTCAACCCATCTCTTGATTTTGTCATTAGATGGGCAGTGCACAGGGCAACCTTTCGTCCACTTCGCTTGTGCCGTAAGCGGCAAAGAGCACCATTGCGTCGGTCTGCGGCTTTCATCATTACAAAATCTGAGTTGTCCGGCTTTATTGGGTGCCAATGTTCTTCTAGGTCGATATTTGACACTGAATCATCAAAGGCAAATTCGCCACAATCAAGGCTCTCTATACCTGTTTTGCCTGCTAAAGTCTCAAATTCACTATCCATCCAAAATACTCCCAAACCCGAAGGTGGACCTCTACCCAAAAGAGGATCCTTCAGGAAGACTCCGCTGTATCCTACTGCGGACATTGCCTCTGAAAAAGACTCGACACAGCCTGGTTTGCGGTATTCGGCTTGGACATCATGGCAATCGTACTCTTGGATAGCAATGATACCAGGAGGCTCGCTTAGAAGTAACGTTTGAAATATTCGTGGCCCACGAGTGTCCCAGGAATATACTCCTTCTTCCTTCGATATAACTTCGTTGAAAAAGCTATCAAATAAATCATTCGGAAGGGCCTTTCTGCATGTCCCTCTCATTGTCGTTGCAATGTGTTGTGTTTCCTTTGAATTCTCACTTTTCGTGTAAGATACTCGATCCTCGTCAATCCACTTGAGTCCCTTCAATTCCTTCGGTATATCGTTCGCTGATTGACAATTTGGTACCCCCCAGAACTTTCTCATGGCTGCATAATTTCCAGAAGCAAAGTTCTTGTGAAAGTGTTGCAGGTATTCGGGCATCAACACATTGTCCACCCACTTGGAGAATGTATCGTACGAGGACGCTTGTTCGATCCGGCGTTGAATGGAAGGCGAAACATCCATGACCCAGGGAATGGTGTTTGTGCCCAAACTTCGGGCTAGCATGTTGTATGTGGTGACAGTGAAATCATGGTGCTTCATTGCTGCTTGAGTGATCAGGTCGTTTAGTTTGTTGCCATATTCGTCCTTTTGGTTTTGCTTTCATAATATGCTTCGACTAGATCGAATGATTCGATTTTATCAAAAGAATATGTAGGTGTCTGGTAATGCAGTCGTTCTTGAGTAAGAAGCTATTATCGTGCTGATGCCTATGTTAGCTTGTTCCAATGTAACTCCAATCTCTAGCATTGTACTGTTATTCACATTGCAGTGCTCTTGCTATTCGTCGTCGGAGTCTGAATCGTCCAACCCTAGATCTGTTAATGATTGCTTTGCAGGAGCGCTTCCCTTGTTTGACTGCGCAGCCGGCTTCGATTGCAATCCAGATGCCTCAGGAATTTCATCATCTTCAGACTCTTCGTCATATTGCTGCTGTGGCTGTTCTTCACTCCCGTTGGTCCTCCCAGTTGCTGCAGCTTCGCAATCATCCAACCACTCACTGAATACATCAATCGCCTCGTGTAAGTGATGAATTGGCATTTGGTAGGAAGCTCCACATATTCGGCAATTTAAACTCCCGAGACCAGCTTTGAAGTCCATTTTGCATTCTACACTTTCTTCATTGGCACAGAAAGGACACTTGAATCGCTTGGCCAAAGTTGCTCTCTTTTTGGTTTGGACCTGTGACATACATGAACAAATGAGAAAGGTTCGTAAATCATTTCCGAAATGAAATCTTAGAGCATCCCCATACGACAACATACCGGCGCTTTCTTTGCTCGACGCCCCATTATTGATGTGGACTGGATATAACACTTAGCTCAACTGATTGATTCAAGATAGATGATGAAGGTTTTGATTCCGATAACGTAGCACTCGATATGAGAAAAAATAAGACAAACAGTGCTCGTCAAGATCTAAAGTATGGGCTTTCCTTGGGTTGAAAAAGAAGAAAAGAAATTGCTCTAGACAGACTCTTCTTGTGGATCAGTAATCGGCACACCAATTATTGCTGTTGAGTGCTTTGACATCCGCCCCTCAAAATTTAGAGATGGCGCTTGCGAACTTCTTGTTTTGCCAAATGAAGCGACGTACAGACATACGGTTATTTTCTGGCGTGCTGTCTCGTGCGATTCAAAAAATTTCAAACTTCAGTAGGAGACAAATTGCGTACAATTCAACGTACTTTTCAGATCCCACATTTGCCATCAGATCGAAAAATATTGACCACAATTCGATATCTTGACATCGTTTGGCTCTCTGTTGTAGATTCATTATCCACTGTTTGGTCCACCAACAAGTCAACATGCAATCTCAAAACCAACCGCCCACGCCACAACGTCGCCAACAGCGTCCGCAGCCGCTGCAACAGCCGGAGAATGTTGGCAGAACAAAACTACCTGCAGGTATTATGATGCTCTCTCCAAAGGATGCTGTCAGCCCCCGTCCTGTTCTCGGGCAACTAAGTAACGCCAACAACACTGCTCCTCCAAATAATTCTAGTGACGATGATTCTAATACGAACTCCCAATTCTCTGGCACGGCAAAGTCAAAGCATTCCTACGGAGTTCCAGAAGCATCTCCTTCTCCTGACAAAATATGGAAAACTCCTTCTGCTGCATCCTCTCAGCACGACTCGCCTGACCTTAGTCGATATCGCTCACAGATGCAAAGCTCTCCTTCTGGTTATCCAAGTCCTACAGACACAGACATGTACATGGATGAGGAGCAGAGCACAGCAAGTACAGCAACACCAATGGAGGCACCCACTGACATGTATACCTTCGCCACCGCTGCAGCTAGCATTATGCAACAGGCAAGAGAAGAGGAAGACGCGCAGAGCGTTTCTGATGCATCCTCTGCTGCGTCTGCAGATGCCACTCCATTGAAGAATTATCGGTCTTCTGCCCCTGTACCAAACCGGAACGAGACATCAGTTATGGATAGCTATCGCAATACTATGCTTGGCACTCCGCCAGCTCCATCAATGATGGCGCAAACAGATAAATATGGCAATGATCTCAATCCTTTGTCGCCATTCCGGACTGACTACACGTACTCGGAGGATGAGGATGAAAGTTTCTTGGATATTTCTTCGGACTCATCCACGCATCATGGTGGATTGTATGGCTCAATGTACACCCCCAGACCCACGACTACACCAAAGCCGAACTTTCCAGGCGATCGAGATGACACGCCAGTCAAAACAAATATTTCCCCCAAACTCTCGGTGGTATCGCCCTATCGACCAGGTGCTCGAGAGACTCCTCCAGATGAATCTGCGATTGATTGGCAGAACTACCATGACAGCAGTCCTCCTAGGGGTTTGCCCAGCATGTTAGGGGATTCAGGTTCATGCGATTACAGTGGCGCAGAGTTAGAGTCGCCAGCTCGGTTCCTCAAATCAACTAGAGAAGAGGAAACCCCTGTAGTGGAGGAGCCAACTAAGATACTACAAGAGGAAACATCAGCAATGGATAAAACTCCTGAAGCTAAGGAAGCGTCGAATCAGAATGCTCCTGACTTGGATCAATTTTATTCGAAACCTGGTCTTGAGTCCCCTGGCGAAAGATCAATCGTCTTCGCCTTGGATGACTGCAAAACTTTGGCAAAAATTCCCGAGACCCCGGGCGCCAAGTCGATTGAATTCTCTCTTGATTTGTGTCAAGCGGATCCTGAACTCGCAATGAAGCCGTTCCTCAAGCTGTCAAACTCCAAAGACAGCACCGCTCCCGAAGACGATATTCTCGAAGATGGCATGTTTAAGCCAGTCGTATCAAAGAAAAGTCGATCAGCGTCCAATGGTGCAACTGCGCTTTTTGCTTCCAAAAAAAAGAAAGGCAGAGGTGACAAGGAAGCATCTTCTTCTCCGTCTACTGGGGCAAACGTACAAGTTGGTAGCGATGATGACAAACCAAAAACATGCTGTTTCAACTTCTCATTACGCTGCAAGTTGTTTGGAATCCTATTCCTTGCGCTATTGGTCGCTGTGCCCATGCTCATTGGATTGTATAGAGACAAAACGACGGGTGACGGTGACTTTTTGTCTGAGGAAGCGAATAATTTCCAAGCAACCGACTTTCCTTCGATCTCACCTCCTAATGTTGGTACAGAAACGACGGGAGCACCAACTATTGAAAGATCTACATCGAAGAGACCTACAAACAAGAGGACTCTTGAACCAACTCTTCCAACCGTCGAAACCAAAGCACCGACATTAACACCAATTGCTGATCCAACTTTGGCTCCAGTTGCCGCCCAAACACAAACACCAACGCAAGCGCCTACAAAGGTCCAAACAGGCCTGCCTACAACCGCCCCAGTCGCTTCTCCAACTCAGGACCCAACAAAGCGCCCAACAAGTGTACCGACGCTCACTACATCAGGTGTTCCAACAGCTGTTCCAACACAAATGCCTACCAAGCGCCCAACCAGTGTACCAACGCTCATAGCATCAGGTGTTCCAACAGGTACTCCAACAGAAATGCCTACCAAGCGCCCAACCAGTGTACCAACGCTCATAGCATCAGGTGTTCCAACAGGTACTCCAACAGAAATGCCTACCAAGCGCCCAACCAGTGCTCCGACGCTGGCAGCATCAGGAGTTCCAACACAAACGCCTACCAAACGCCCAACCAATGTACCCTCTCTCAATCCATCGATCACAGCAACAGCGATGCCTACAATTCGTGAAACTGATCAAGCGACCCCCACACCCTCGTTATCCCAAACTCGTCGACCAACTACCGGCGCTGCTCCAATTGGACGCCCTAGTCGACCACTTTCCGATGGCAATGCCCCAATTGGGCGTCCAAGTTTGGGGTCCACAACTACTGTCGGTATGGAACCAGAACCAACCCTTTCCCCAATCTGGTCTGCCTTACTAGTCGACGATGCTGTGGATGACACCAATTTAGGCGAGACTCATTGGCCTCAATTCGAAAGCAAAGATGGGTTGCGATTGGAAATTCTAAGCACGCTTGACGACCAATGGAAGCCAGCACTTGATACAACTGTCAGTGATTGGAATGCATTTGGGTCGGTAGAGCTGACTGTCGCCGTATCTCCACCTGATGAAGAATGTGAACCAGTTTGGGGCAAAATCAAGATTTGTAATGATGACTTTGGAGAAACGAACTGGAGATCATCCATTGAAGTATACTTCCGAAGTGATAATATTTTTTCCGTCTCGATTCGAGTGAACGACTTTTACAAAATTGATCAAGGATGGGCACAGTACACACTTTGCCATCAATTGGGACATGCCTTTGGACTTGGAAATGCTTTGGAGCTGAATTGTATGAGACCTGTCAGTCTATTCAGCGACGCAGTGTCTATTCAGCTCCAGGCACCAGACCAAAGCATTGGCGAGCTTCTGGACGATGCTTACGGATCTATCAGCGGTGGTCAGAGAAGTTTGCAACGAAAAATGAAGCCGGTTGGCCATTTTGACAGAGTGGCGAGGTACCACGTCTAGGAAGCGAAGACAGCAGAAGATAAGGACAAGACTCTCATACGATTGCGGTGTTTCCACATTAGATGCCAACAGTATTTTAATAATACAGTTCTATTTATTATGTTTCATCTTTATCATAGTTTTACAAAGCTTGGCAAGGACCACTTTCCTAGCTCACCATCACGGAATTCCCCTGGCATGTGTGATGTGGAGCTGTACGATCTCAAAGTCCACTTGGTTTCTCCCGGAAGTCGAGAGAAGTGGGTGATGCCGCCCAGAGACCATGGCCCAAGAGCACTTTCGCTTGGAGATTGGGACCCTTCCAACGCAAGTGCTAGATACTGAAGGCATGGAGCATGGCTCACGATTGCAACGGAATCGTTGCCAATCACCTCCAAGATCTTTTCGATAGATGTCTTGCATCTTTCGCTGAGTTGATCCTCAGTTTCAGGGAAACGAGGGCAGCCCGGAGCTGCCTCTTCATCAGATTCCCGTTCTGGACCTTGTGGGTTCACAGATTCATAGGTGTCATCCAAGCTGTCAAAGATGTCAACCAATTCATTGAGTCCTCTTGGACTGGTTCGCTTTCCTTCAGGGTCAACCAACAAGGATGGAACTTGCCATTCTGTCAGACCTTGTTCAACCTTGACCTTCATTCCCTTGTCAGTCAATCTGTTGAAGTGTGACACCATGGTGTCAGCTGTGTGTGTGCATCGCATAAAGGGATCGGCAATAACGTGATCAGGCACATTTCCACTTGCAGCAATGTGTTGAGCAATGGCCTCGGCATGTTCCACACCATCCATGTGAAGATCAGAATCGTAGTTGCCTACGTTCTCGATCAAGCCTGGTGCTGTTTTTCCATATCGAACCAAATAAAAGTGTTGCTCCTTGTGCTCGTTGATGGTGGTTTGCGATTCCTCTTCAGCCACTTGAAAGTTTGTGAAATCGATTTCGCTAGTGCTCGGAGTGATTCCAGCGTAGATTTGCTGTTCTCCGTACTGTGGAAGAAGCATGATAGTGTTTTTGTGGTGTCAAGTTTGGTTGATCGATTGATTGATCGATTGATTGATTTGTGAGTGTGTTTTTCGTTTTTCTCACTCGAAGATGGACGCAATTTTTGCATTTGCGTTGATTTTTCCGAAAGTACAGTACGCGAGTACCTGGTATTTCGTACCATCAGTACCGGTAGTTTTAGTCCGATCGGACGAAAACTTTTGACGACAAACCGACAAAGGAACACGAAAGAATCGGAGTATCACGCCAAAAACACTAAGTCTGTCCAGTTGACACCTTTCTATCACATCAAGTGCTGACGTTGGTAGGAGGGTGTCATGACTGTAAACATGCTGTTGTAGCCATGCCCAAGTGATCATTCAATCAGTTTGTTGCTGTGTTGGAAAAATGTAATGAAGAGAAGCTGTGAAATCATGAGATAAGAGAGACCTTGCCTCATACCTCCATAAAGGTAGGTTCGTCACCCCTCTTATTGGCGACGTGTCACGACGAACCCTTAGACCGCGTTTGAAACTGTCACTGTACCTCACCAGTTTATGTTAGACCTCTTGTACCTCTATCCCACTATGTAATGAGATGCCAATGGACATGATGTTCACAAAATAAAATATTCTATCTGATCTTCTAATAATAATTTACAATGCTACGGTCCCAAGCTTGTTAGTTCTTGACAAAACTGGGTAAGGACCACTTTCCCAGCTCACCATCACAGAATTCCCCTGGCATGTGTGATGTGGAGCTGTACGATCTCAAAGTCCACTTGGTTTCTCCCGGAATTCTGGAAAAATGGGTGACGCCACCCAACGACCATGGTCCAAGAGCACTTTCGCTTGGAAATTGGGACCCTTCCAATGCAAGAGCTAGATACTGAAGGCATGGAGCATGGCTCACGATTGCAACGGAATCGTTGCCAATCACCTCCAAAATCTTTTCGATAGATGTCTTGCATCTCTCGCTGAGTTGTTCTTCAGTCTCGGGGAAGCGAGGGCAGCCGGGATCTACTTCTTCAGAAGATTCTCGGTCAGGACCTTGTGGGTTTGTTGATTCATACGATTCGTCCAGGTTGTCAAAGATGTCAACCAATTCATGGAGTGGTCTTGGATCAGTGCGTATTCCTTCAGGGTCAACCAACAAGGATGGAACTTGCCATTCTGTCAGACCTTGTTCAACCTTGACCCTCATTCCCTTATCTGTGAGTCGGTTAAACTGTGACACGATCGTGTCAGCTGTGTGGGTGCATCTTAGAAAGGGATCAGCGAAGACGTGATCCGGCACGTTTCCACTTGCAGCGATGTGTTGAGCAATGGCCTCAGCATGTTCGATCCCATCCATGTGAAGATCAGAGTCGTAGTTGCCTACGTTCTCGATCAGACCTGGTGCTGTCTTTCCGTATCGAACCAACCACACGTGTTGCTCTTTCTCGTTGTTATTGTTGTCCATTTTTGCTGTAGACAATTCGGCGATTGCGCTGTTTGTGAGATCAAAGTATACTTGCTGCTCTTCTTGTTTGGGTAAAATCATGTTGTTTGTTGTGAGAGTGTTTCTTTGTAGAGTTGTTATAGTTGAAATGAATCTTGTAAGACTGCCGTGTCTGTGAATCTCTCGAATCTACGGTTGGAAAATCTGATTGATTCGATGCGAAGAGATGGGGAACACGTGTGTCAATGGGAGGAAAGACGCGCGAATGAATCGCAACGAATCTCGAGATTCTTGTCGAAACGGAGCGTCACACCAGCACTAATAAAGTACTATGGTGGACGGGTATGGTCCGATGAGTCAGTCGCCACTAATAAAGTACCATACCATGACGGTAGATGGCAAGACGATATTTTCATTGGTCTTTCCGTCGTACGGAGTTCTGCTCTCGCTCAGCGGAGAAAAAGACTTGCAGGAAATTCGGCCTGCCGAAAAGATCGTCGGAAGCTGCATCTGCATTTCGACTCTATTACATTGGTGTGTTGAACTGCTCTACACTCTAATTACACTGCTGCTATCATGTTGTCCTCTCGTTTTCTAAGACCCGCTGCGGCCCGTGTCAGTGCTACACGCTTCATGTCAAGTCATACTTTCGACATTTCTGGTTGTTTCGAAGTAAGTTCTGGAAGAATCAAAAGATCGGCAGTTGGATGTCTTGGACCAAAACCCACAACATGCAGTGCAATATGTCTCACTTTCACCCCATCGCTCCATTCTATTAGACCCACAACTTTGAAACTGCTCCTGCCGAGTCTGTCGAGGCCACCAAGGATGAACTTGTCAGTATGTTCGAATTGATGTACACCATGCGTCGTATGGAGATTACCTGCGATAACGAATACAAGGCCAGAACCATTCGTGGATTCTGCCACTTGTACGATGGCCAAGAAGCCGTCGCAACCGGAATTGAAAATGCCTTGACCCATGATGACTCATGGATCACCAGTTACCGTTGCCATTGTGTCGCTCTGTGCCGTGGTGGAAGCGTTTCCAAGGTAGTTGGTGAACTCTTTGGAGTTGCCGATGGATATTCGGGGGCCAAGGGAGGATCCATGCATATGTACAATAAGGAACATAACTTTTACGGTGGCGCTGGTATTGTTGGAGCCCAAGTTCCAGTTGGTTCTGGATTGGCATTTGCCAACAAGTACAACCAAAAGCCTGGCGAACCCATGAACGTTGCCATTGCCTGTTATGGTGATGGTGCTGCCAACCAAGGCCAGATCTGGGAGGCCGCCAACATGTCCGCCTTGTGGAAGCTTCCAATGATCTTCTGCATTGAAAACAACCACTATGGTATGGGAACTTCCATGGAACGTCACTCCTCTATCAACGATTACTACAAGATGGGAAATGCCATTCCTGGATTGAGAATCGATGGTATGAACGTCTTGGCCGTCAAGGAAGGTATGCGATTCGCCAAGGAGTACTGTGGAGCCGGAAACGGTCCCATGTACATTGAAATGATGACATACCGTTACCACGGACACTCCATGAGTGACCCCGGAACTACGTACCGTAACCGTGAGGAGATTGATTTCACGCGATCTACCAGAGATCCTTTGGAATTTATCAAGAAGTGCTTGATGGATGCTGAATTCATGACCAAGGAAGAAATCACTGCCACTGAAAAGAGAATCCGAAAGGAAGTCCAAGCGGAGGTCTTGGAGGCAAAGAAATCGTCCCCACCTGGCTTGGATCAACTCACCACCGACATATACGCAAAAGACTTGACTCCTGGAAACCAAGCATACCCCGACTTTATTCGAATGCCCGACTTTGCTAACTCCAAGACTTTCAACAACTAAAGCAGTTTAGGATTTAAAGCAATTTAGGATTCAATTTTTCAACTTTTGGAAGACAACTTAGGATACCGTACCAAAGCTTTCAATTGAAGAATGGCAGCGACGGTAGAGTGTTTTTGAAACACAAAGAAGACTCAGATACTTCTACATTTATTTTATTAAACTGAATAGAGACACTATAAATTTAATCAAAAATATTGTCATGACACGATCTCCCGCAGACCTGGATCACTGTTCCCTATCGTTGACATCGACTCATCGCGAAAGGACCCCTGCCCTCGGTCAGATCCCATATTGGGACCGTTCGGAGTGCCGGAAAGTTGCGCCAACATTTCCCCTATTGAAATTCCCCCAGCGGAATTTGATCCGTTGCCACATCTGTAGCCCCTTCGGAGGTTGCATCCGATTTTTCTTGTTCCGAGGACTCGGAGAGTCCCGATACTTGCCTTGAAAGAATTGCTCCTTTCCCGAATACCCCAACAGGCAGTTTTTCAATTATTGGCAACTCCACAGGGAGAGATACATTTTGATGATTCGCCCGTACTCGGTGTTTTGCCAAATTCTCATTGCGACCATCTGGATTTTGTTGCTGCTCCCCATGCAGCCCAGTGTCATTTGCTGTGGCATCTTTCAGCTCATGGATTTCATCTGATGTGCTTGACTCTGAGCCTCCCGCCAATGTCTCATCTTTTTGTTGCACGATTGGAGATCCAATGGACATAATGGTTTGCAAAGGCTTATTCAGCATTGATTCCACGAACTCGTCCTGCTCTTCGTTTTTAATGTTTTCCGTTGTCTTGAAGGCGACAGAGCGTCTATTGGGACCAGCATTCGTCATACTTGTCACCTTTGATTTTGGTGGCATCGATGAATGTAGAGGTCGATTCTTCCCTGGCTCATTTCCAGGGCGATGTCGTTGAAGACGAGAAGGTAGCGAAGTGTGTGACTGTGACAATGACTGCGGCGTCTGCACAGAACCTGTATCCTCATCGTCCCACGCAAACACAACTTCGTTCTCAAAGACTTCTCCAAGTGTCACACAACCTACCCTAAGCTCTTCCCAGTCATCTCTGCCTAACGACACACCAGTCAAAAGCGACGTGTTTACATTTGCTAACATGCGTTGGACGTCAATCATACGAAGCAGCAAACGACGTCCAGGAGCCTCCGCCTCGCTGATCCGAATCTTGTCCTGGGATAACCTTGGATTCGTATCTATGGATTCGACAATAACAGCAGCTGGCATGGAAGCATTGCCAAAAACACTAAATCGGTTCTTGTTGCCATCGTCAGCTTGGGCCGGAATTGTAGAGGACGCTAGCCCACCTCGTCCCACAAGTCTTCGGCGGACGACCATAGAACCCCGAGAGACAGTAGAGCCTCTGATAGCTATGGAACCTCGAGGACCCACAGAGTTTGTTCGCGAAGCGTTGCTGCCACGTTTGTCGCGCCTTTCGCGTCGGAAAAGCGTAAATGAAGACAGTGGAGAGAAATGGTTTTTCCTTCGATGTGTACCTGCCCTTGACGGCGCATCCCCTGTAGGTATCGAAGCATCTGAGCTTCCTGGTGCTACACCTTCATTTTCGTTCTCTTCGCTTTCCTCGAGGTCAAGAAGGGTCTCTTGACTTTCTGCAAGAAAAACACTGCTATCCGTCGATCTATCGTCTGACGCGACATTCTCTGTTTGATCATCGTTCTTGAAGATGTCAATCGATGGTTCTTGTTCCACATCTGCTGTATTGTAATACTCGTGTGTTTCTGTCTTCACTGCTGGTGTTTGATCTGTCTTCACCGCTGGTGTTTGATATCCAGAAAACTTGTTTCCGCAATTCGCGTCGTGGGAGAAGTATTTTGTACTCCCCATCCCCATAGCCTCATTTTTGCCTCTGTTAAAATTGTGATCTGCAATCAGTTTTGTAACTAGGATTTTCTTCCCCCGCCAAGCTACCCTGAGCTTGCTCCAAGTGATAACCCAACATGTCTGGCACATGTTCAACCCGAGAACAAATGCCGGAACAAGGACACGGACTTGCGCCGTATTGTAGTGATCAATAGTCGCTGCAATGAGCAGGGTCCCACACAGAACAAAAATAAAAGTGGCACGCAGAATCTGCCAAACCTTCTTCGTCTCATTGAAGAGAGATGGGAGCTCTCTTGAACTCCACATTAGAAGTGCCAACAAAAAGAACTCAAGGCCAATCAAAGAAACTGCAATAATGTGAAGCGTCGAATAGAACGCGCCGTATTCGCAGATGTAGACACCATCAATAAGACCATCCCGTTCAACATCCAGCAAGATGCTCTTGTTGCCGTAGTACACAATCAAAATAAGAAGTTGGACGAGTAGCTGTGGTAGAATCAAGAGCATAATGACACGAGCTAACTGGTAGTCCGTGATCTGCATCCTTATCTTTTTCTGTTGCCTTCCTTGCCAACAGGCGCATGCGGTGAGGCGACTGATCAAATCGACAATCGTTGTTGTAAAATCGTCCTTTCGTTCCAAAGTCAACAGGAGCAAGGGCGAAATCACTGCTCTTATACGCCACATCCTCCCCAGCAGAATGGCATAAACCATATGCGTTGATAAGTATATCAGAGGTGACAACTGACAGAAGGGATCCTTTGGTGTGAAAAAAATCAGACTGCTTGTTGCTACCAATGCACAGATTTGCATTGCCATGATGAACTTCCCCTGCGTCAGCTCGAATACTTGGGCATTTCGATAGGCGAATGTCTGGAAGAACAGGAAAAGTATCACAGTACTTGCGACACTACTCATGACAATAATAGCCGTGTAAGATTCCGACGAAAGCTCCATGGGGTCGTTATGAACGACATTCAGGTATTTGATATTGGAGATCATTGTCACTCCTGAAACGCTTGAAGCATTGGATAACACTAAACTGGTCAGTATGCGATATGTTCCCGGAACGGTAACTTCCGCAAAGTTTAGTTCCTCTTCGACAGTATCACTAGCCACCGAACCCAGATCGACAAATCGGGTGACGCTGGGAGTTTGGGTCGTCCGCAGATTCTGAATCTCGTCAATTGCGGTAATGTCCTCGTCAAAAAATGTGGTTGGCGCGAGCACTGGCTGGCAAAGCATGATATTGTCAATGTTGCAAAGCTGAACTTCGAATGCTAGTCGTGAGAATTGGGATGAGTCAATCCAATCCACGCTTGCTTTGACCATAATCTTGAATTCGTCGCGGTCATGAATTAACCACCCATTTGGGTTTCCACTCCAGTCATAGATTTTGTTAGTGCTGCCTTTACTGATTTCGAAGGTCATATCTGGTGAAATGCAGCTCGCTTCCGTCATATTTGACGCTTCCTTGGGAGCACTTCCTTCTATAACATCAGCTTTCCAGCATTGTATGCAGCTGTTGCTGTTGGGATCGCACTTGTTGAATTGACGAGACAGTGACTGGCCAAAGGATTCAACAAGCAGAAGAAGGCAGATCAGACAGAAGAATATCCCATGGGAGAACGCTCGATTGAGCTTCTCGACTGGCATTGTAAGGTGTTCTTAGGTGCTGCTTTCAATCCATACCATGAGTTCCAGAAAGTCTTCGTTGATGTGCTGAAGTGCAAAAGAATTATTTTACGTTTTTATCGGGACTACGCCTACCCTACCGGTACCTACGGTGATTGGCGGATAACCTGCATGCGATCCTTCGGGGCATATGTATCGAGTTCTGCCGGCCGTACAGGAATTGGTGGTACCTGATATTAATAGCGCTCAAGCATGCATTTTCGCATGAAGCTTAGGGCATACGGTACTGTAGATACATGGAAGTGTGAAAAGAAGAACAATAGACACTTGAGTTTTTTAGTGTAGCTTCTTAGTAGAACTTATAATAGCGTTTTATGTTATAAAATGTAATTACAAGTGATCATGTGATCATAACAGCAACAGTCCTCCTCCCCACGGGGAATGATGTGGTGTCACCATGTAGTGCCTGAAGGTTCCTCAACTTTTAAGCGGTTGTGGGCTTCAAGGTCAGATACAGATAGACAAAGGGTGCGAGGATCAACTGACAATCAAGACGATCGACAAAACCACCATGACCTGGAAATAGCGAGCCAAAGTCCTTCTGTTCGTAGGATCGCTTGATGACAGAAGCCAAGAAACCTCCGAAGGGCGCAATGAGTGAAACAAATGTCGAGATAGCGATGGCATCTTGCTTATCAGGCAACCAGAAATAGGCTAGGAGCACAGTCGAAGCACCTGCACCGATGAAACCTTCCCAAGTCTTCTTGGGTGAAATAACTGGAAGAAGTGGGTGCTTTCCCATCGTGATACCGAAAAAGTAAGCCATGGTATCATTGAAAATCATCAGCGCTGCGGAATAAATGACCCAAATCATGCCAAAGTTATTCAATGTTGATAGCAGAAAAGAAGAAGGAAGTAGAGTAAATAGCTAAAATGATGAAATGAAACGATATCTGATGAGCGTGACACAACATCTGAGACGAGCGGTTATACGACAACCGATCAGACTTACAACAGAAAGAGCCGAAACAGCTGTTTGTCGCAAAAACTCGCGGAATCCTGCAGCATCTTGGCCTGTCATTTGCAGGCTAACAACCTTCTGAACAAGGCCAAATGTAAACATGGCATATGATGCTGCACCAATCATTTTCGACTCGTGAGGGAATAGGCGAGGTCCATTCACGCCAACGGCTGAGGAAAGGAACCACCACCACTTCATAAACGATTGCAACTTTCCACCCATCACAGTTGTCATTTCATGGTACATTCCAATTTGGAGTAACAAGGTCAAAATAACCAAGCCTTGCTCCTCGAAATAGAAGGTTAGTCCTCCAACAACTCCAAGCATCAGAATGGCCGGCAAAGTTCTCTCCTTCAAGTTCGATAGCTTTTTGCTCACTGCAGAAGGCTCTTTAATTGCCTCGATTGCTGCCTCAATATCGTCTGCCAAAGCTGCTTCCTCGGTGCCGACATCTTGTCCTCCTCTGAACTGATAGAAACGATCTTGTTGAAATGCTGAAACAGAGGGCTTCTTCAACAACTCAGCTTGGCGAGAACCGGTAGGAACGCTGTTTATTGCGGTTCCAATGGCCGCAATCCATGATAATGTGAGGAAGATAAGAAAGGTTCTCATCGTAGGTATCGTTGATAGCTTTGATGAAGCCAAAAGATGATGTCAATCAATACGTGTCATTTTGATTGAGATGGCAGGATCGGCATGCCTGTCGACGGTCGTACGACTTTTTTTCAACAATTTCGAAATTTTACGTGATGTGAAAATCAAATGAAATGCCAATGAAAAAAGAATCTATTGTACGGTGATTAATGTAATGTAATGTTCAAGAGTTGCGGGGTTGCAGTCAATAGTCAAATGGCCATTTCATGTGTTTAGATGTTTTCTCTCAAGACCTTGACGACAGACTTGAAGGCGAACCATTCAGGAATATCCTCTCCTCCTCGAAGCATCTTACGAAACTTGGTTCCAGACAACTTTTGAATGCTCAATCCCTTCTCCTTGGCCTCGTCGGCGGTGGTGTAACCTTCCTCTTCAGTAAAGACAAGGTTCAAAGATGGGACAGGGGTGACACCAAGCTTTTCGGCGTTGGCCTTGGCGATGTCTTGGGCGTCGTAGGCTCCATAGTAATCCTCTCCGGTGATGGAAGACTTGGATCCAGCCATGTCACGTCCAATGATGAAATGAGTGCAGCCGAAGTTCTTACGAATGATCATGTGTTGGATGGCTTCGCGTGGTCCGGCCATGTGCATGGAGTATGGAAGGTATTCCCAGACGACACGTGGGTTGGCGGTTTCTTCCTTGAGGACCTCGTAGGTCTTGTAACGGGTGGTTCCTGGGATATCGTCGGCTTGGGTAGGTCCGCAAGTAGGGTGGACAAGAACAATACCGCCTTCACCGATCAGAGGATCGTCAAGAGCACGTGTGAAAAGTTCGTAGTGGGCACGGTGGACAGGGTTACGGCATTGGAAGGCAACGACGTCCTTGTCATCAGGAAGCTCTTCGCGGACCTCGGCAGGGGTCTTGCAGGGGAAGTCACGGACAGGTGTGTTTAATCCGGTAACCTTTCCTCCCATGTAGTATTTTCCACGTTCGGTGGCAACCATCAGAGTTCCTGGGTGCTCCAATTCAGAGGTTCCGTAGCACTGTTTGCACTCAAGAACCTTGTTGGGGACGTACTTGTCGGTAAGCTCAACAGTGGCAATTGGAAGATCTCCTTGCTTGAGAAGGATGGTGGTTCCTGGCTGAAGAGATTCGTCATCAGTGTCGTAAACGACGGGAAGACCGAAAATGGTACCGTCTTCAAGAGCCATGTTCTCGACAACGCTGTTGTAGGCGGCTTCGTCCATGAATCCAGTCAAAGGGGAGAATCCTCCATTCATGATAAGTTCGACATCGCACAACTGACGTTCAGAAGCTTGAATTTCAACAGTGGCCTTGGCGATGGCGGCGTCCTTATCATCGGTCATTTGGTTGACAAGAACTCCTCCATGGGGGACTTGCTTGGCAGCCATCAAAGCACTACGTAAATCATCGAAAAGAAAATAATATATGGTGAGACATTGTCGTCATTCTTGGCACACCTCGTGCAATCTTTCACTTGATATCGTTTGGCGAATGAGCCAACGACGACTGACTCTTGAAATGAAAATCCGACTTACGATTGCTGGGAGAATTGAGAGAATGCCATGGCATTGCTGCTAGCGACCTTGTTGGGGGTCATGGTGGTGAAGGCCGACACAGAGGCGGTGAGGAAGGCAACGGCGGTGAAGAACTTCATGGTTGACTTTTGTAGGTTGGCAATGGATGAGATTGTGAACTGATGCAGATGGTGTCCAGAGAAAAATCCAATGCGTGGCAGCAAGTCCTACGATGTCTGACGTTTCGTGGCTTTCAGTACGAGGAAACACTAATCATTGGGCAGCAGGAAAGATACGCCCGACCTCTCGGTTTGATACGTCCGTCGAACACCATACAAAAAAGTGATGAGGTCTAAGTTTCTCGTGAGTTAAAGTACCCAAGACTCACACGTACGTCACACACACTCACACTCATACCGGTACACTGACTGACTGCTCTCTAGACGGCGGATATATCTTCGGGGTGCATGACAGACCCAAAGCACATTCGCCACAAATTCAATGATCAATGATGTTTCTGACTTCTGATGCTTGACAATAACATCGAGCTGTCTTTGCTCAAATATTTCGATGAGTATCGTGTAAAAATACAATGTCTAAAGTTATAAAGTTACAAGCTCTCTTCTTGGAGGCTCTCTACTAAGTGTTCATATCATACAATCAAATCGTGCGTCTCAACAACAGCGGTGCGCTGTTCATTGTTACAGCCAGCACCAGCCACCCTCAATGATTGGTACTTTGAAGTACAGTTTCATCTTCTTGAATTAGATCCTCGTAGGAAAGTAGTAGATCACTAAAGTATCTCAGACGATTCCAAGATTCTGGCTGCAACATTTCGCCCGGACTGACATGATTGCACACAGACCATGCACCTCGTTGCAACTCGCTCGCCAGCTGACCACCGCGCCATCGGCAGTACCCCGAAAATACAAGGAATTCACCGTCGGGGCGAGTTTGATCATCATGTAGTGCTTTGGATTGTACTTCATCTTCCTCTGGAGACTGGGGCAATCCTTCCAGCAGTGCACTCATGACATCTCCCAGCTCGCGTGCTCGAAAGGAAGCTGGACACTCCATGTCTCTCGGATCATACACAAACTGCAGCTTATGCGTAGGATGGGATGAATCCTCTGATCGAAGATCAGAAATCACGTTGTGAGAAATGAGCTGTTGTTCCTCGTACTCGGCTCCCAAAGACGCATTGTTGTAGGTATGAGCAATGAGATACCTCGTAACGCCAAGCCTTCCACCACACACTGGTCCACCCTTTCTCCAGGAAATATCATGCCGAGCAAGTTGTTCATTACTGTCTTCTCTTTCTTGTTCTTCTTCTTCAATATCCTCAGGTGGAGCTGTTGGACTGTTGACAATCAACCCAGTCGTGCCGTGAATAGAATGGTCCAAGATTAACACTAGACTCTTTTGAAAGCTACTGCTTGGCCGTGATGATTCTTCTTCGTCGTCCATGTACACCAACAAAGCTCCAGGCTGTATCGCAGCATCATTCATGGGTAGTGGTGGCAACAGATAAGCACATCGACACACGGAACAGATCTTGGACGCAGATTTTGTAGAATTGGAGCTGGCAGCTTGGCATTGCCAACGGCGAAAGCATCTCAAATGTACCCATTCCGATCCTCCGGAACAATTGCAGGGTGATACAAATGGATTCACTGTGCTAGTATTCTTTGGTAGACTTTCTTCTTGATCTTCATCACCAGGTTGTCCCAAACAAAACCGGCACACCACATTCTGTGAAATTGCTTCGTTCTGTTTCAATATCTGAAGACCACCATTCGGTGGTTGTATGTTTGCGTGATCGTGATCTGCATTGTCTGATTCTGATGAATGTTGCATTCGATGAAATAAAAGTCCATAAATTACCCTCATGCGTTGGTCTCGATCCAAATGTCGAAACGATCGAAGGGGTTCGGGATTCAAAGCAGATTCTTCATCGTTTTCGCCAAGACTGTCTGCTTCACTATTCGATATCGGCGGTGAGAGAGAGTCGTTGCTACTCTCACCAACATCATTATCTTCGATACCATGGTCGGTTGTTTCCGTTGGACTCATGGTATCTTCGCCTGCGCTATAATGTTCGTAACAGTAGAAGCAACGAATTTTGATGATTTCGAACGAAAGATTTTGGGTGATGACATTCTCACTTTAGTCAAACCAGTCGAATCTTGACAAAGGTTTTGGTTTAGTTTGCGTGTCATTCCTGTTGTTGACACATCAATATCAACAACTCCTTCCTTTTGCGGCTTATCACCATCATGCCAGCCCTCTACTTATTTGGAAAGAGGACGCTCTTGGCCGGTGACGACCTGCAGCTTCCAGCCGCATTGACCATAGGTGCACGCATCGTCCAAGTCGTGTGTCTGGCACTCCCGATTTCCATTTGGCTCATCAACGATGCTGGCAAGAGTGGGGAAAGCTTGTTCTTTTTTCTAATAACGGATCCATCCCACGATGCATCTTGTACGCATTCACACTATTATCCATTGTTCAATAGCTTGCATCTTTTGGGAACCCTATTATTTGGAATTGTGAGTGTTTTCCTGGAGCTACAAATATGGCATTGGACCTCTCAAGGGACGCCAACTATTCGGGAACCCCGGTCGAGTAAAGTTCAGTTGCTTCTGGAACGGAAGTTTTCCTACTTGACAATGTCCTTGATTGGAGTGGTCTTTCTCTACATAACGGGAATTGGTTTTGCCCAAACCTACTTGGTGTGTCACGAAGAAGAAGACGATGCGAACACTCTGTGGATTGGCACCCATTCTTGGTGGATCCTCAGTGCCGTGCTGATATTTTCACAAGTGGCGGAACTCTTGTTGATTTCCCTCTTTTTGGCCCGACTCATCTTGCAACACGATGGCAATGGAGATGGCGTGTGGAACAATACAAATGCTCATCATTATCATCGCAATTTATCTCAAGAGCTTTGGACGGATCGATGTCACTGGATGTGCAAATGCTTATCCATCTCCACTTGTTGTCTATTCGGTGGACAAGATTTGATAGAAAATCACAACCCTGCCGTGTCTACGAACAATATTTATCAGCAAGTTGCTATTGCGCTGGCAGAATATCTGGAAACAAGAGGAACATTGGATGTTGTTCCATCGGATCTAATCACTGGACTCTTGATGCTACAAAAGATACAAGAACAACGGAAGTTGAAGGCGCAAATTCAAGTAAGGCGATCTAGTCATCATCAGCAGCAACAACAACAACGACATACATCGATAGTCGTGGACGAGTCTCCTGGTATCCAAATGGAGCCTCAAAATACTAGCAAAAAGTCACTGACGCGGCGGATCCGAACAGGCAATACTCCGGAACCGAAGTCACGGAGTTCGTCATTTTCCCAAAGGGCGGCTAGCAGTGGCTCCCTTTCCGCATCGGGATCCTCTTCTTCCTCCTTGACAGGCCTGGTGGAAACCAGTCACTTGGTACCACCGACATTGCCCGAAGATCCTCGGGTTTTGGGCAGGACTGACGTGCTCTATGCTCCTCGAAATGGTCAAGTGCTGGATCCCAACAATCCTACGGACCAAGACTTTTTGCAAGAAGGAGCTCAGATGGCCAAGTACGCTCTGGCGATCTACACTTGGATGCTCTATGTCTTTGTGAATCCCATTTCTGGATTTCCCAATATTCTTTGTAGGTCTTGCAAATTGTGTTGTTGCACTTCCAAACAGTCTTATCGGAATCGGGGATCTCGAAATAGTAATGGCCCTTCGTTGTTGGGCAATGACGAAGAATTCCCCACAACAATTGGTGATAATCTGTGCCAATGGCACAAGAGTGCCCTGCTTCTAGTCGCACAACTGGATCACACCGACTTGGTGTACGCCCAATTGGAAAATCGCTTGTCCCTAATGCCGTATTGCATTTTGCTGGATCACGAGACGAAATGCATCGTCATTTCTATTCGAGGTAGTTTGAGTTTGGAAGACTTGGTGACGGATGCCTTGATTGATCCAGAATCTTGCGAAGGCCTAGGAGAAGAGTTTGGATTTGATGCTCACGGGCAATACTGCCATGCGGGCGTGGTGGCGTGTGTCAACAATATCTACCAAGACTTGCAACGGCATCGACTACTGGATTCACTCGCAGAAGACTTTCCAGATTATGGCTTGAGACTTGTGGGACACAGTTTGGGAGCTGCTAGCGCCACTTTGCTCGGGTACATGTTAAAGAGCCGGTACAATGACTTGAAAGTGTACAATTTTTCACCTCCATCCACCATGACGTGGGACATGGCAACCCAGTGCAGCGAATGGACCACAAGTTTTGTCCTAGATGCGGATATTGTTCCAAGGCTTTCCGTCCTGTCGATGGAAGACCTTCGCGATGAAGTCTTGCAACTGATTGGAAATTTGAAGGTACCGAAGCATCAAGTCTTTGAAAGCATATTTGCGAACTGTACGACCGGACAATGTTTTGGTGGACCAGATTCCGAACCCGAAGAGATGGATCTAGAACAGAACCTAATCGACATGAATCGGAAAATCAGTGAGATGCTCATTGATGACGAGCCAATAGACACTGTGTATCATCGCCAACTGCAGGAATTTTTACGAATCCAAGCAGAATTGAAACGATCTCGAGGCGATAGTCGGACTCAATTTTTGTATCCTCCTGGAAGGATGATCCATCTACTCAAGACTGGAGAAGATTCGGGATGTTCTCATGCGATGAAAAAGTGTATGACTTGTTGCATGTCCAACTCCGGCTTCCGCTATACTCCGATCTACATTTCGAATGACGATCTAAATAGAATCGTCGTCGGTCCAACAATGGGAACCGACCACTTTGTCGATCGAATGTATTTTGAATTGAGTAATGTAGCTTCCCAGTTTGAACGGAGGTACCAAGATGAGAGCAGTGGTAGATGATATTCACAAAATATGATTCTGTGAGGGTGTGCTACAAGAAGTGGATCAAGAAAACCCTGGTTCAAAGGTTGAGGGTGTTCTTTCTGGAGGTCTTGAACCTCAGATCCTTGTCGATATCATTGGTAAGCCGTCATCGATGAGAGTGAATCCTCCTTCCTTCAATCTTGTTTCGAACTTACCTAGTGCTTTTGTACCATTTCTTCTAGGCCTTGCGGAAGCTGGAGTCGGTTTCTTCATAGGCTTTGATCTCGAAGAGGTCTTCAACACGGACCCAATGGAGCCTGTCGTGTCTGAGTCTGGATTTCCCTTCATCTATAACTTTGAAGAATACCACCTGGCCAAATTGAAGCTTGAAGCGACTGTGAACAATGCTTTCTTTAGGTGGAAGCTTCTCGGAAAAGAAGAAGAAAGCTGCGACAACAGGGAGGTTCGCATTCTCGATGCCCTTTCCAATGAAGGCAGCTGTTGCAATGCAGAAGCAGTTGGAGCACAATGCTGCCGCGACGAGGATTGTGGCAATGGAGCCACGCACTATTGCGATGGTGATCAACAGTACGTAATCCGCAATTGCGACGCCGCCAACGTCGCCATCGAATGCTGTGCCAGCAGCGACTACAACACAGGAACTCAGCATTGTGTTTCCAATATTTGCATCGAACAGGGGAATCCAGGCGCCCTGAGCTGGTGTGGAAGCGATGATATCGATCTCCATGTCATCACATCGGCTGGCTTCAGGATTGATTATCAAAATACAATCGATCAATTGACCGAAGGGAACCTAGACACGGATGACATTCCACAAGAGGAAGGATGCTATGTTGAAAACATTCTATCCCCCCTTCGGCCTTCTTTGTGGACAGCTTCAAGCAAATTCTGGGAGCCGACAATTGGACTGTCCATGCCTATCTTGGAGACGAGGAACAAGCTATCCAATCAGGAACAGAAGACAGTGAGCGATTTGTCTATACCTTGGCGTAACCGAGATGCAGATTGGCGAACTGTTTTGCTATCTATACATCTATACATCTGCTGCGTGGTTAAGATGTATCTTGATCTTCAATATCAAGGGAACTTGAACCAAACTGTGATACGCATTACTTTCTAAATAGGAATTCGATTAGGGATTAACAATGCACCTTCAAAACTGCGAAGTACTTGTCTAGGGACAAATTCTGCAAACCCATCGTCTCGTAGAGTATCGACATCCTGCCAATCACCAATTTTTCATATGGCTATCGCCGTCAGTAGGCAGCGTTGTCAATAGCGATTTCCTTCTAGACTTATTCATGTGCTATTTGGCTTGTGATTGCAAATCTGGATTAATTTTCGCTATCAATACCCTCCGTTCTTTTTGAATGCGCTTTTGGGACTTTCAGGTCGATTCAGCAGCAGTGCATCAATCAACATTACCATATACTACTCTCCATCACAATCGATGTCTCCATTTCCAGAGTAAACACTGTCGCCATCTTGCTCGACGCAATATACCGGTAGCTCAATAGTTGTCGTTCTAAAATTGAATCGCATGGGTCGAAAACTGTGGTATGGGCACAACGCAACAACAATGTATCATTGTTGATGTCAGATTCATCGTTGACCATTAACCTTCGTCCTCCAACCTTTCACCATGATCACATTAAAATTACCATTCAACAGCATCGAAGGCACAGGTATCCCTATCCGACAATGAGGTAGCTACGTATACCCGATGACGACGCAGCTTTCTTCAGTCGCAATAGCGCTTGATCTCGTGGTCTCTCGTACCGCCGATTCCTTGTTGCCGGCACCACCCATCGCACTCCTCCTGACACCAGCGAAACCTTAAGCAGCTGAAATGCAATGGTTCGATTGGTTCCTCTAATAGGGGAGAGAAAAGTTAGTAACGCCGGTCCTGGTTCTAAAAACGAAGCCATGGGGTCACACGCGAATGGATCGACTGCCTTCAAGTTCACGTTACAAAAAGCCGCTCAGAGAACACCGCGCGAATGGGTCTACTGCACATCCTTGTGCAATCCTTGGCACTCTGTGTAGATGCTATGTAGCATCGGAGTAGATTGCTACCACGTGAGCAGGATTGGCATTGAGATAAGCTTCGCATCTACGCTCCGAAGTTTTGCCTTTCCCAGACCTTGTCTTCCAATTCTCACTTTTTCAGTTTGAAGCAAAACAAATCCGAAAAAAAGGTCCAACATGAAGCTCTCTATCGCTCTATCTCTCCTTGGTTGCTCCTACTTCTTCAATGAAGTAGAAGCTGCGGTAAGCACCTGGTACTTTGCTTCCAGAATGTATGCTACGAAAGACCGAAACTAACAGCCTTTTTCGCAAATCGAACTTTCCACCCGCAGCGTCCGCAAAATCCTGGCAACCAAGGTAATGGCAATGGCAACCAAGTTACTGACAACCAAGGCAACACCGCTTGTGGCAACAACAAGAGCTACCTCTGTCACCATGATGAGGGGGGAAACGCCTACAAGACCCTGTGCATTTCAGATAATGCGATCAACGCTCAACTTAGGAGTGACGAACGAAACTACCTAGGGCAATGCATCGGCGATTTGTTCTTGGAACGAGCCGTTTTCATGGACTTGGAGCCGATGGAGGGAGTAGAAGAGATTGATGGCGACGATGGTGTATCCTATCAAGTCACTTACAATGTCACCATGCTCGAGGAAGGCATCGTTTCGCTCGGCGCGGCTGCGGACTTGATCACTAGCGTGACATGCTTCAACGATACAATTAACGTTGAATTCAAGCAGATCCCGTCCCCTGACCAGATCGAGTTCATGTTTCCTGATTTCGCCTTGGTTGTGTTTGATGGTAACACTTTCCCAGACATGGAGTGCAAGCTCCCAAACCAAGACGAAGACCCTGATTTGAATAGCTCTTTCTTCCTTATTGCAGGAGTCGAAGCCGCCGAAGACAAGACCGTCACTATCAGGGGATTGCCAGCCAACTTTCACCACATGTTCGAGGAACAAGAGCTTCTATTTACACCAGTCGAAGCGCGTAGGAACCTTCGCAACCTCCGCTTGGGCGAATTTGATATTGACAAGAGCTTCGATGGCTCGTTCCAGGTTCCAGAAGGGGAAGATGAGAAAATTCAATTGAGTGCATATGCAAAGGCCAGCATCGAGGCTAGCTCTGGCGGTTTGCATTTCAAAACCGGACTAAAAAAGCAGAAGTGTGAAAGAAGAGGATGGTTGCGCCGCTTGCTATGCCTCGTCGACTACAAACTGGAGGTGGATAGCAGCTATAACCTTGCATTTGATCTCAGTGCATATTTGAAAGCAAGCTTCGTTGCTAAGGAGGACAGCTTGGAACCACTCAATGGTGACATGAGGTCCCCCTTCTTATCGTTCTTGATTTTTGGTTTCAAAGTCCCTGCAACGCTTCAAAGCACAATCCAGAAGATCATCCCTGGATTGAAACGGGGATACCTTGGGATTAGAGCAGATATCCCCGCACTCCTCAAGTATGATTTGAGCGTCACAGGTGACGTGGAATTCAACGCCGAGGCGAGCATTGCGACTGGAAAGAAAGAACTCGATTGGAAGCTGAGTGGCCCAATCTTTGGGGACTTGGAATCTACTTTCAATGTGAACGAGGTCGAACCATCAAAGTCTTCAGGCATAAAGTTCGCAAGAAACATTGATAGTGACGTTGGTGTCAAGATGGAGGGTTTTCTTTTTGGAGGTGTTGAACTTCAGATCCTTGTCGATATCATTGGTAAGTCAGCATTATATCGGGAATACACCTTCATTTTCGTTCGAACTCATCACATGACGCTTTTGTACCATTTTCCTAGGCCTGTGGACAGCTGGAGTCGGTATGGTTACAGGCTTTGACGTCGAGGCGGACTTCAGCACTGACCCGATGCAACCCATCATCTCTGAGTCTGGGCCTTCCCCGATCTTCGAATCGGACTGTAGACTATGCCACTACGGCAAAATGACCGTTGAAGCGGCTGCAAAACAAGCCTTCTTTAGATGGAAGCTTCTCGGAAGAGAAGAAGAAACCAAACTTCTGTTCGGCGATTGGAATGTCAACCAATTGGTTGCCCAGCTATGTTTGTTGAGTGCAAAGGAAAATACTTGCGGTGACATCTGCTGTAACGAGAATGAAGTTTGCATCCTCGACCCCGTTACCAAAGAAGGGATGTGCTCCTGTAATACTGAAGCAGTTGGAGCACAGTGCTGCCGCGATGAAGATTGCGACGATTCAGCCACACAATTTTGCGACGGTGATCAGCAATGCGTCCTACGTGATTGTAATACCGAAGCAGCCGAGACAGAGTGCTGCCGCGATCTGGACTGTGACGATTCCGGCACACACATTTGCGAGGATCAACAGTGCGTCTTACGCGCTTGCGACCTCGCCAACTCCAACACCGAATGTTGTACCAACAGTGACTGCGAGTCAGGAACGGAGCTGTGTGTGTCCAACTTTTGCATCAAACAAGGAAACCCAGGGTTTTCTTTGAGCTGGTGTGAGCGAGACGACCTGGATCTCATTGTCATCACTCCGGATGGTTTCAAAATCAATTATCAACATCCAAAGGATCCATCGACTGGAGGGACCCTTGACAAGGATGACATTCCAGATGTAAACGAGGAAGGACGATGCTATGTCGAGAACATAGTATTCCCCGCCGGAGCCCCAAAGGGTGACTATGTCTTTTCTGTTGACAGCTATTATGAACATCTCGGACCAGACACTTGGACTGTCAGAGTCTATCTTGGAGACGAGGAACAAGTGGTCAAATCAGGAACAGGAGACAGCGAAGAATTTGTTTACACATTGGTGTAATCAATCGTGAGACAGACTACCAGTTGCGAACTGGTTTCTGTTATATTTGTTGTGGCGTACTGGCAAGATGTACCTGATCTCCAAGGGAACTTGAACCAAACCGTTATACGCGAACTTTTAAATTTCTAAAGTAGAAATTAGATTGGAGATTAACAATGCACATACAAAACTGAATAGTATTTGTCTGCAATCCCCATGGACAGTTCCTGTCAATCATCACTTTTCCATCTAGATAAAACGTGTCATGCCATTCATTGTTGACAGCATCAGCAGCAAGTGCATTCATCAGCAGAGGTAGACGATGCGTCGGCCTGTCGGAATCATTTTGTGATTCTTGTTGGATGGATGTGAGGATGAGGGACTACCTAGTCTCCGTCGTCACTGGCAAGATGGGAGCCGATCCGAGGTTGCAGTATTATTGATCATCAGCTTGAAATCATGAACCATCTTCGTCAAAAGCTGAGAACCGCGACGCTCCTAGTCATTCAGTTGAAAAAAAGATTTGAAACACAGAGACAGGAGAATCTTCCCACCTCCTTGGATGTTGGTTTGACCTCTCCAACTTTTGACAACGATCAGATCAGACACATTGAAGATTCGGTATCCAACGACTTATCACTCATTTTGAATCCTACAGTACCCACCGGTACCGTCCAGCATTTTGTAGCACGGGTTGAAGTTGGGAGGAAGTTGGTCTTTACGCGAGGTCCCAATGGAGGAGAGGACCACGTCATCCGCCAATTTTTACAATGGAAACAAAACCGAATTTTAGTCGCACAAAGGCCCTATCTTCCGATCGGAACTTGGAACAAACGCGTTCGAAGCTCGCATGCGAATTCTTCGACCTCTTCCGACCATTCTGGCGATGAATGCAACCATCCAATTTTGGTTCTTGGATGTGATGTGTGTGTATGTCTGAATGACCATAATATTGTAATCTTCCGAAGCAAGTTCAACACCAACACCTCCAAAACCAACAACAACAACCATGAGTGGGACCTTGTTACCCAAAGCCTTGATGAAGGCCCTTGTCAATCCCAACAAGGTTGCCAAGAATTTGAACAGTGGAGCCGGATCGGTCCTCAGTTTGAACATTCATCGCGAGAAAATTTGTATCTCGGTTGGTTCGTATGACAGCGTTGAAAAACTTCCGGCCATTTCCTTGCACCCTGACAATGCTAGTAAGGAAACTCAGTTGCTGCACAAAATAGTCAAGGACCACAACGTTTGTGGCTTTGTCGTGGCTTGGCCAGTCCAGAGTGATACTGGCAAATGGGGTGCGCCGTGTGGTCGAGTGCTGTTCGCCTTGGATAAGATTATTGACAACAATGCCAAAATCTTTACCCAAGATCGGCCCTTGTGTTTTTGGGATAGCTTTCGAACCAACAACAATCGAAAGCCAGTGGATGATATGGGACGATGCGAATCCTTTGGGGAAGCTTCCTCTAAATCCTTTCATTCTGCTTCGGAAGAACAGTACCGAAACGATGAAGAAGTGACCTCCGATGAAATTTGGAGTGACTTTTGCAAGGTGCACCTACCCCAGGTCTCCAAACGGACCGCTCGGGCGATGGAGCGTAAAGGGCAAAGTAGTGGTAGTAGGGGTGGTCACAACCTCGTGTCGGATTGGGGTGATCGCAGATCTGCAGCTTCCGATGCCAAAGCGGCATACGCGTGAAATAAGGTTTCAACGAAACACCCCGCACACCCAATTTTGATTTAAGAAGGCTCTGCCTAGTTTTGATACACAATAAGAGAGATCTTTATATCCAGGACTACTATTACATTTGGACTACAGCATTAGAGAATTGATTGTTCTTCTATGAGAGGTTGTTTCTATAGTTTAGCGTTTGGAAAAGAATAACTGTCCAAGAAGCATTCTTCCGACCCGTTCTTTGTTTTTGAGACGGTCGTAGACAATCTCAAAGGCATTTGCCAGCTCGAACGCAGTGGGTCTCTTTTGTGGATCGGGGTGAAAACAAGACACCGTGGCAGCATACAAGGTGATAATCTCCACTTTGGAGGTGTTCTTGTACTTTTCCGGTATCGTTGGCCATCGTCCAATCCTCTTTCGGTCTGCCACATCTTCCTCACTCAATTTCCCGACTGGCTCATGGTGTGTCCACGGTTGATGCCTGGTCATGACTTGATACAAGACATTCCCAAAACCGTAAATGTCTGCTTGTTCCACTTCGACATAACTAAGATTCTTGACTTCTTCCGGAGATCGCCACAAGTCACCCTTGTACCAAACTGGTGATCCACAAGCTTGTGCCATATTATTCTTTTCGTTCCGCAGAAAGATTCCAATGTTGAAATCATTCCACTTGACCATTCCATTGACATATATCGTGTTTGCAATGTTGATATCGTTGTGAGCAAACAGAGCTGTCCTGTTGGTGGTATGGTAAGAGTGCAAGTGGTGAAATGCTTGCAAATCAGCGAGTCCACGAGCCAGATCTCTGGCCATCTTTAGCCTGGCTCTATTCTTCACATCGTAGGACTTGACGTGATCGCGTCCCGACATGGATGCCCATTCCGTCAGGACAGACTGCCCACAGAATCCATATTCGTTGACAGTATACGGGCTGGAAGTAAGCTGATCCATGACCATTGCATCCACGGCATGTGCATACACCGATTTCTCATCAAAGGACCGAGCATAATTCAGCATCTTCATGGCAACCTCGTCTCCTTCTATTCTCCAGGTTGTCCTCCATGATCCAGCTGTAGATATCAGGGTAGCATCAGATTCAACATGTTTCTCATGTAGAGCATTGCATGTGGGATGTATCCTTGGATAAACAAGCTGTTCACACTCTTCGAAAAAGGGACGTTCAAAGTCTAAAAGTGGAGCCTCCCCTGGAGAGTTCGGTATTATGGAAGATAATGTCATATTCAACGATCGTTTCCTAGACATGATCACCACTTGGCTCAGTTTCTTGACGGTGCCCTTGTCACCCAGAGCAACTACTCGGGGATGAGTTTGGTAGAATTTTCGTTCCACGGGATGGATGCCGTGTAAGAATGCATCAGTCTCATGAAGACTTTCCGAGCGCAAGATTCTCCTTGGTACCATTCCGATTCGATGAGATACTAAATCAACGTTCAGGCGTGTCTTATTCAGGGGCGTTGTTGACGAGGAGTCAGATTCACTTTCATCCGCAGTGTCATGGATTGTCAGCATGTATCGATATTCAAATCCAAAGACAAAGAGGATTGCAATTCCCATTCCTATATTGATCGCCGTTCGAGGATATTTGAACCGTCGACGCTCTCCTTTTCGTTGATGATTTTTCTTCTTTCCTCCCTTATGCCTGATCATGATCTGCTAAAGTCACGATACATGCATGTAGGGAATCAGAATGCAATTAAAGAGTTATGATTTCGAACTTGTTATTCTTCTGTTGCCATTCCCTGGAAGATAGCTCAACAATCTTCAGCTTTACATGTGAGTGTCTTGCCTATTTGATTTTGACATAACGGACAAATAATTTGAATTTTTTCGATCCAATCCTGGTGGTCGTCCCGCGTCGATTCCTTCGACCGACTGAATTGATTCACTAACAGTATCTCAGATCTTGTTTCTTCGAAAAATGCTCATACCTACAGTACAGTATGCCAGGCACCTTCGCACAAACAACTATTAAATACTGTCAACATGCTGCCACCGCCAAAGCAATCCTGGTCTCACTCGACATGTACCATCGATACACTAAAAAATGCTTTGAGTGACGACAGTATTACAGCAATCGAATCCGATATCTTGATGGGCACTGTTGTAGAGTCTTCCGATCCGTCATCACAATCATCCACGTCTCAACCCATCATGGCACATCCACCAGATACCACCAGTGACTTGTCATTTGAGAAATTTATAAAGCTCTCCTTGGATGAAGGAGGCCAACTGAAGAAGCATTTGAAACTGGATATTAAGGAAGCAGAATGCATTGGTCCAATATTGACTGCCCTAAAGAAACGTCCAATTGCCAAGGACAGTCCACGAATCATTTATTTCAATGCCGACATTCTACCGGGACCCGCTGTTCGAAGTTCAAAATGCATTGAAGCCAACATGTTTATTGAAAAGTGCTTGAAATTCATTCAACAAGATGGCAATCCTCAAAACTATGCCTTTTCGTTAGGTTGGAAGACGGATTGTCGGTCCTTCTTTGGGTACACACCGACGGATGTTGCGGCCATGCAAGAATTGATGGAACAGCACCAGCTCTCGGAAAAGTCGCTAGGAGTCGTTTTGGCAGTCAATGCGCGGGTTTTGGCCAAACGGGTTGGTTGTTTTGACGAGCTACTGAAGTCATTTCCTTCTTGTCAACTATTGATTTGGACCGGGACAGGAGAACCAGCGATATCATCGTTTCTCCTCCAATATCTCAAGGGTCATTACGAGTCGATTGGCTATAGTGGTCGTGTTGGTTTTGACTGTCAGGTGAGTTACATCGTCCTTTTGTAGTTTTGTCTGCAAACTGTGACTTCTAACGGCTAACAACTCATTTGTTGTCATCTTATTGTACAAATCAGGTCGAATCGAATCCGCTAAAAGGGATCTTCGTAGATGTTGCTGTCAAAGCAGTGAGTGTTTGGTGGAATACAAAGAAAACCTTTCAATTCACACTTGAAGCACTTTATGGGGCTTCATCAACAACTCCTAGAATAAAGAAAAATGACTGATTGAATACACTACTGTAGCTTTGATCTTTAGTCATTTTTGTGTTATTGTACAGTACAGTAGAGTTACATCGACCGATAAAACTTCCTAGATTTGCAATAATGAGCTTGGCACTTCATCAGTTTGAAATCTGTATCAGAGAAACCAGAAACGAGGACTCTGCAGTGCTATGTCACCTCATGACTAGCTCTGGGTGCTCTGAGAGGAAAAAGAAAAGCATATCGCACTCAAGCTGTTGGAATATCAATGTCCATAGACTATGTGGTACCGCATCCTTCTGTCCTAGCAAATATCTTCCTGCTCTGTTGCTTTGTACAATGTGTGTCAACAGCGGGACGCTTTCTTTGAGATCTGGATTCTTGTCTATTTGCAAGGTTGTTAAAGACATATTGGTTCTCAGTGATGAGAACATCGCATTTGCAGTCCGCTTTCCCAGTTGATTCGACCTCATTCCCAGGAACTTGAGTGTCGTGTTGTCTTTCATGGCCAATGCAATCGCTTCTCCGCCAACATCACCGATTCTATTTGAATTCAGTTGGAGCACAGTCAGTTTAGTGTTGTGTTTCAGGACGTTGGCAAGCGACATCGCAGTGTCGCAATTCAATCTGTTGTAATCAAGGTACAACTCGCGTAGCTGTGTATCATTGGACCTCAGTGGTTTCTCAATGGCATGCACATGTCGCAATCGATTGTACGAGAGATGGATGGCTCTAAGGGAAGGATGTTTTCTCAACACTTTCATCAAAGGGACAAGACCTCGCTCTTGATCTTGAAAAAGGGCCGACGTAAGGTTGATCGTTTCGATGTCGTTGTTCTTCATCAATGCGTCGCAAAGTGCATGGATCATATCTACGTTCAATCGACGAATATTCAAGTTGAGATTTTGGATCTGTGATTCTTCATCTTGCAGCCTATCGCAGTGATCGGATAGCCACTTGGGGATTCCAGGCCTTGCTACAACTGCAGCCATTCCTCAATTGCAGCTAGCTCTAACACAGAACACACACAAACCTCGTTGTCGAATTCAGAATGTCAACAGAACAAAAAAAAGATCGAATTTCGTGGTTGTGCATGACTTTTTGCATACGGAGAATACCTTTGACGTCATATCAGTTTTTACATTTAGGGTCGACATTTTTGTTGTTGAAACCAGAAGAGAGTGCTGGTCATTGGTCAACTTTGCCTCGAGATCTCTTTCTCTCGTTGTGCAAGCGCTTTCACTAGCTTTCTCATCTTTTTCCTTTCTACATCGACGGCTTCTGCTGATTTCATCCTTTCATTTGCTAGTGCTTCTTCATTTGCTTTCAGCAAGTCTTCTTCAATCTCCTTGATTTTGGCAGCAAACTCTTCCTCGGCCTTCGACGTGGCCTCTTGCATTGCTTCGGCAATTCTAGCTTCAAAAGTTTTGTCGTGCTCCGAAGTTATTTTCTTTACTTCTTTGCGAACACTGGCCTTGAGTTTTTGTATTTTCTTTTCCATATCCTCAACCGTTTCATCGTATTTCTTGAGTTCCGAAGCCAAAGTTGAGTCCAAAGCAGCTACCTGCTCTTTTGATGACTGCAATGCACTCAATAGTTCAGATTTTTCCTTTTCTAATTCCATCAATCGTTCTTGAAGATCCTTGTTTTCCTGTTCTAGCTTGAGAGCCTTTTCTTTTGATTCATCGTCCTCTCGCATGACAACCACACTAGTTCTGCGTTTCCGACTCTCTCGCAGAATTTCCACTTCATCACGTGCCTTGCGAAGCTGTCGCCCCAATAAATGTACTTCTTGTTCCAGGGTTTTGCGGTATTCTTCCGAACCTTGCTTTCCTAACCATCCACCGCGGGGAAGAGAACACGCAGTCGTTGCAATCTTAAGTACATCATTGTTGACCATGTTGGCTTCCGTAAAACCGCACAACTGAAGCAAGAGTAATACAGTAGAGTATTTCATTTTTGTGTACATGGAGGTATCGCTACTAAGTGACTTTGGGAATTCCTGAGTGTACAAAAGGCTGGGAGTGATGCAAATGGAACGGATGCTTTGACGTTGTTTTGATTTTCGAATTTCTTTTGGCGACGACAGACGGACGCCACGTGGCACTTTGATAGGCCCAAAATAGGTATCATGAGTGAGTCAGTCAGTCGTGAGTATTGGAAGAATAAGTTTGGGTCGGCTCACAGCATTGTCTCATTGTTGCACTGGTGATATCATGTGCTCCACAAGATGAAACCAAGGCAAAACAATGCAGCACTGATTCTATTCTTATTCCTATCAGTATCTCTGACGCACGTAGATTCGGTAGAACAACGGAATGATGATACGGAGGAGAGGTCTGAGGCAATCGTCTCGATTCCAAAAAAGAAGTTTGACTATGCCATTGGTTGTTCACCGAAGAAGCGAACGCAATTCGTCTCACTTTATGACAAGGCTCTACAAGTAACCGGTGATAGTACCTTTTCGCGAATGTTGGAGCATGAACAAGTGCTCCAGGAAGAGCAAAGTCAAAAATTAGCATTGCAACAACAAGGCAATGGGGAGATGTCGTCGTTTGCCTTCCCTTATTCTAGTTTGTTCGTTCCGGTACTGCTTGCCTTCGCGACGCACAATGGATTTAGTATCTCATTCGAAGATACCTTCAAGAAGCTGAGGAATTTGATCCTTGTTGCATGGTTACCAGTGTTGCTATTCAATGCATCCTGGATTGAAATTTCCTCCTTTGCTCTTCTTCTCTTCCGACCAACCGTATGGAGCTTCCTGGTTGACGAGTTTTTCACGGATACGTGGACAATCTCGAAGAAGCTTCTCTTGAGTGAACTTTGGCGTCACTTCTGGAAGCACACAACACACATCTTCCCCATCCCAAACCTCTCGCCATCCGACGAGTACCTGGAGTTGACCCCAGACTGGTTCCAAATGGGCTTTGCACGTGTAACGAAACTTGTTGACAAGTTTGCACAAGGGCTTGTTCGCAAATCTATCGAACGATGCTTTCAGGAATCCCTTGGCATCACAGTCGGTGCACTATCTGAGTACTTTTTGAAAAATGGTCATGATGATTCACTGGGTCGTTTGAACAAACTTGACGCAGCATCTGCTGCTTGTGAACAGTCCCCCGGCGAAAGCGAAGTGGAGGCGATGGTTGTTGAAAGAGCCATTGAAAGGGCCGTTGAATCGGACGCTCCATAACCAATTTACAAAACTTACAAAGAAAACAAATGGTATAGCAAAGAATCTATTTTCTATATTCTATAGGTATCTATCATCTGTTGACAGTTTTCACGATTTGTACAAAGTAGGAGGAGTACACGTCTGTGCTCTACATCAGGTTGGCACGTCTCTTGCTTCGGTGCGATTCCTGGTGATCTGTGTGCGTACTACTAGTACTCTCTGATGAGTAGATGTGTTGGTTCTGCTGAATTGTGTCGTGCAGTTGTGGCCAATGTGTTTGGAAGAAGTCCTTCATTACTTCAGATGCAGCATTCCCTTGCGAAGGAACATGATATTGCTCCATGGATGCCAAATGAAGTGTGTTATTCGATGTGCGATCATAGTCGGGGCATCTTCCCCAAGCGTCAATAGAAGGCAGTTTGGCGTGGGCTCCATCCCACAAGCACACTGGGCTCTTGCTAGTCATGATTGGGCTGTCACTGGTTTGTTCAAGGATTTGTTCCAAGGTGTTCAGCACCAGGCCACAAGAGTAGCCAAGCTTTCCTGTATCTTGCTGAATAGGCCAAGAGACTACAAACCCACAGACGTTTTCCTGTTTCACAATTTCTTCGAGCTTTTGTGGGACTGTTTCGGCCAAGGCTCGTTTGGAAAGTGGAATAGGCTCCAATACATGAACAGATTCGTGAAAAGAGGGATGGGATGCTAAAGCAAGCCCAATTTTACCCTTTTGAATTTCGAGACTCAGTACTTTGGCGCTTGCCTTTTTCCAATTGAATATTGATGCAAATTTGGCAGGTGTGGTCAAGATTTTAGTTATGCTGTTCGGTGTTGTCATGGTGAATGTGATTATTGACTTCTTGACTGAAGGTAGTGTGATTGATGATTTTTAATCTGGCGTTGGTTTTTATTATTGTTTGATTTGTGAGATCTTTCTTGTTGGACATGTTTGCAATTTGAAATTGCGTCAACATTGTATTCGTGATGTTGTGCATTGATTGATTTCTTCGCTCCTCTGACACAATTATCTGGATGACACGATTGATTCAAGATCAATAAAGAACCTTTGTGTCATTTTTCCACCGAAAATGTCGGACCCAAAAACCACCGAAGTGAAAAAAAATGGCCTGACGGGACTGATCGATGATTTTAAAACGAGCGTTTGATTAAAGCGAGCAATTGTCAGTCGTGGATCAAACACCATGGATCTAGCTACTACTCTACCGGTACTCGTACGGTAGTCTGTTTCTCAACAACCTTTCTCTTGCAAGATTAAGCTACTCGCTAGAAGTAAATACACGCTCCTAGTCTTCTTCGAGTTGGGTCATCAATGGCATCGGATTCGTCTTGGATGGTCCTCTCCCCCCATCTTCGTCCATCAGTTGAAGAGAACTTTCTTCATCCATTTGGTCCACCAGAATACCAAATTCTTCTGATCGCCCATTTTCGTCAATGCCATCCGCCCCTGCACTTTCATTGACATCTTCCATGGCTGCATCCCCCATTGCAGTCTCACGGTGAGAATAATTTCTTCCTTCAAGTGGTGATATCGCCTTATCAAAAAGACTTGCTGATGATGCGGTGTAATCATTCTCGTCTTCCGATTCATCCCCCTGTTGAGTCATCAATGGCATCTGTTCTCCAAAGGATCCGCCATGCTCCATACCGTTGGAAGCACTGTCGCGCGATTGTGTCATGAGCTGCTCGAAGCCACAGTCTTGTTGCATAGACGCGTAAGGGTTACAAGGGTCACTTTCACTATATGGTTGCATCGTTTCGGCTCTCTCTGTGTTGGTCTTGCGACTCACGGGAACTGTACTTCTTGACAGGAGTTCATTAGAGTCGTGATTCCTGCTTGACTGATCAATAAAGCCTGTGTTGGAGGCCTCGGCCTCTTCAATCTCAAGAACCTTGTCGCCATCGTTGCTGCTGTGTTGTGAAGACTTCTTGATTTCCTCGGATCCATTGACCATTTCTTCTTCGTCCTCGTCCATTTCTTCCTGGTCCTCTTCCAACGCCTCCAAGGCCTCTTTGCAATTGGTGTCTTCGTCGAAAAATTGCAAAGGTATCTGCGATTCTGCGGCCCAAATACGCAAGAGGTAATCGTCCTCTTCGGCCAAGGTCTTCTTCTCACGACTTCGCCTAGACTCGACGTCTTGACAAATCAGCATAAGATCTTCTCGTTGCGATCGAATGAGGTTAATGATTTGGTTCAAATCAAAATCTTCCTCAGAGTGTTGGTGCTCAAAGCAGCCGTTGCCCTTTCGTTTGAAACCAATCTTTTCCAATATGGCAACGATCTTATCGCTATCATCCATACTGTTCAAGGCTTTTGCAATGTTTTCGCCGCATTTCAGGGACACAAATTGGAATTTCAAATGACGGTGGAGCTCTTGGAGTTCCACCTTGGACAAGGGATCCCTCAAAAAGTCCAATTCCAATACCGACTTCTTCAGAATGTATTCCACGAGATCGTTTTGATTGGAGAATTTCTCACTGGATCTTGGAAGCGCATAGCCTGACGACCAACTACAACCAAGGCGTTGCAACAGTTGCCAGCCACGTTGACTGCTAATTTGCGAAGCACGAAGATTGGCGACTGCAGCTTCGATGCTAGTAGTATCGTCGCCAGACTTTGCTAGCTGAGACAGAGGTCTCGTTGCAGCCTTCTTCGTTACTGGTTTGCTCCTGATTGCTTTCTTGGCTGGAACACTGGACGGTTTCTTGGTTTTCGATTGTGTAGGAGCAACGTTGTCTTGTTCGGATGACTCCGACGCAACCTTCTTCGATACTTGTTGTTTGCTCTTGCTGGCTTTCTTGGCTGGAAGACTGGATGATGTCTTGTATTTCGATACCATGTCAGCAACGGTCTCTTCTTCGGATGACGACTCTGACGATGGTTCTGTAGATGACAGCTCCGATGATAATTCTTCTGATGCCTCATTATCACCGAGACCTTCCACTGATGCCTCATCGCCACTGAGACCTTCCGCAATCCTCAATCGAAGGGCCAGCATTTGGTCTCTCCTCAGGACATTGTCCATTGGTCCACGGCGACCTCGTTTGGCTTTCGGGATCAGTGTGTCAGATCGACGCAACGCAAGAAGGAGTTCGTCAAAAGACGCAAACCGCTCCTGGCCCAAAATTTTCACCATGTCTTCTGTAACTTTCCATGATGATCCATCCGCTAATGCTCTATATCCTAACAAGTTCAAGAAAGCAATCGTCTCCTTGGTAGTAATGGCTCGAACGTTACGCCAAGTGCTTTGCTTTTCGGGAACGTTGACATATGCCATTAATCGTTCCATCGGAGCCCGAGCCTCTGGAGTGCAAGCGCTGAAATCGACGTTGCCTTTCACACAATACTGAATGACTTCGTGGGTCGAAGTAAACCTTTTGGTAAAACTCTTGGTCGACTCCCCGGGAAGGTAGTAGCCGCTGGAACTGGTCCAGGTGAATCCCACATCCATCAAGACAGTGTGGACGTGGGAAGAAAGCGGATTGAGAACCCACGGAGCTGCATTGAAGTTTCCATAGAATCGAACGTCGATATCTTCCGTCTTGCGTTTCTTTCGCATGGAAGAGGATTTCGAGTCTTTGGTTCGCTTGTTGGTAATTTTCTTGGCGGCATTCTTTTTTGCTGCTCGTGGAGGAGCATGGGATGGGTCTTTACTGACCTCGGCCTGCTTTTCGGTCGGCAGTTTCAATTTTGGTACTTGAACCGATGGTGCTGCAGCCTTGGAGATCTTCTTGTTCTTTGGTGCAGTGGCTGCCTTCTTTGGCTTTTGCTGCGAGTTCTTCTTGTGTGGAGCTGATTTCTTGAAAGCCGCTGGCTTGCGAACGTTGGGCTTGGCACTTCGTTTGGGTCGACTTTTGGTGGAGAAAGTGTCCATGGCGGCCATAATCTTCTGGTTGTATTCTTCTTCGGACAGTCCCACACCTTCCTTCATTTTGACATAATCCACCATTTCTTCATCTTTCACAAAGTAATCAATGCCTCGGACCCAAGTCTTCCAGGCATGCTTATCCTCCTTGTCGGCGTGTAGACTTGAGGGCGGAACGTACCAAGAGGAATCGCAAGGATTCTTGGCACTGATCCATTTCCAGCCGTCTTCGTCTCGCAACTTGGGCCAAAGAAAAGAAAAGTCGTATCTATCGTCTTCACTCTCGGATTCGGTGGCACTTCCTGCAGATGGCAAGTCTGGTTTGGCAGGATCTTGAGGCTTGGTTCCTTGATCTCGTGGCGTGAGACATTCGATCGTTCGATCATCGTCGGTATCTGGAGGCAACTTGGTACTCTCGTCATCGTCCGTCTCCAAGCCTCTTCGTGCTTGATTTCTTGGGTCCGGCGAGACTTCACTTTCGGAACCACTGGACGATTGGTACTCGCCACTGTTGTCACAATAGTCCACCACGGCATCCGTCGAGATAAAATAATCTTCTCCTTCGACACCATCGACAACCGATCGATTGGGTCGGACGTAATACCACTCAATGGGTTGTTTCCCTTTAATCATCTGCCAACCCTCATCTTTCAAAAACTGTTTCCAATAGACGCCAAAGGTCTTTGTTTTTTGTGGCGAGTCTCCAGAAGAACTAGAGCCACGAGTAGGCCGACGTTCTCCCAACCAACCATAATGCTTCTTGACGTACTCTTTGACTTCTTCCTCGGTAAATTCTTGGGTCAAATTGGCGTGAGTGTAAATCTTCCCGTGCTTGGTCGACCGGACATTCCAATCCGAGAAGGCCATCTTGGACCAGACGTCGGACCATGGAGCGTGCACATTGCGAATGGGAGTGGTCTCGAGGGCGGGCGTGTCATTGGCAGCAGGAGTAGTAGGGTGGTGGCGCACCGGAGTTTCCGTCCAACTTGGCTGCTGCTGCTGATGATGTGTGCTGGTAGAGGCACTTCCAGTATTGGCGGATACCATGGATTCGTCTGCCAAGGAGACGGCTGCGACACTGTTTGTGTTTGGTGAATGTGGTACTAGTGGTTGTCTCTGCAGCTGGTTTTGTTGTTGCGGGTGTTGCTGTGGTTGTGGTTGTGGTACTGCAAGAGGAGCAGGATTGGTCCAATCGAACTCTTCCCAGACCTTTTGAGCCTGCTCTTCCCATGGCACTTCATCGGAATCAGCATTCGACGAGGCACCAGCAGCTTTCCCAAAAATGACCATGCTTTCATCAATTCCGCGATGAAAGTCCATGTACAGTTGGTAGTTGTCTTGACCAAATTGATCCGGCCGAGTAGTCATGTTCACCAGGTAATGCGGCAGGAAATGTAAGAAGCTCTCGTATTCTCCTTCTTTTACTTGCTGATAATCAAAGATGGGCCTTCCTAGGTATCTAACAATGCCACGTCTGAAGGAAGAGCCTCCCTTTTTCTCCATCAATGCTTGTTTCATCAAATGATAACCCAATTTCGCTTTGGTGGTTTTGTCTCCTTTTCGGTCCAATTCTTCGAGCATTTCTTGGTTGAACTGTTGCAAACCGTGGTAAAACATCCCAGGCCACATAATTCCTTGAAAACGATGCCATACGAGGCGCTCGGGAGTATCATAATCCCTGGATTGAGGCGGTGGTGGCAGAGTGCTGTGGTTGTCTTGGCATTGAGCACTGCTGTTGCTGTTGCTGTTGCTGTTGCTGTTGCTGTTGCTGTTGCTGTTGCTGTTGGATTTTGCAACAGTCGCCATTACTTATTGTTGCTAGCTGTTGCTGTTGCTGTTGCTGTTGCTGTTGGCTGATACTGACACGGCTGTTGTTGAGTTGTTGTGTAAGTGCTTGCTAGCGGACGATGTATGCAGAATGGAGGTGCCTATTCTATCATCCACAGTGGTATTTTTTTTTTCATTTTCAAACCACGATAAATCAGCGTTCCCGCTTCGATTTGCGCCTGCCACCACAACCTCGTAGCGTTGTTACACAATGCTACGAGTTCAAAGTTTGGGCGCAAAGTGATGGAATCGAATAAGTCCCGAATAATGCTCCGTTTCTCTGCTCCGCCAATGAAAACTAAAGGTTATGAGCCGACACATGTCTGTCTGTGCCCTTCAAATCACTCACAATGAAAAAGCATAAAAACATATCGTTGCATCATGAGAACAGTCAGTACAAGTAATGATTGATTCACATCCTGCATGATCCAAACATGATAAATGCATAGCATCCTTGACTTCAACAGAATGATTGATACAAGTGAGTTCTAATCCGCTGCAAAAAATGTAAAGGAAATGACGAGGATGAATATATATAACGCATAGTTCAACCGAAGTCCAAGGTCACCCCTTGCTTGAGGATTCAACATACCATCAGAATCGCTACTCCGATCCTTTGCCATCATCGCCATGAATTGTCATTTCCCCTGAACTTTCAATCGAACCAAACTTGTTCTAACACACGTTTCTCTCAGAACTGCGTGTATTACATTGGAACGCCCGCCTTTGACGTCCTCAGCAAGGCATGAGCGATTGGAGAAGCGCCGCTTTCCAAGATATTCGATATCAGTAAAATGTACGTGGAAATCAAATCTTTTGGATGCAACACCTTGAGCGAGTTTAGTGTGCGTGAGACGCCAAACGTGAATGACGAGCATTTCAATCCTGAGGGTCTGATTGCAGCTTTGGCTGCATTTGATGCGATAATTGAAACCGAGCTTTTTAACCCTGACACAATACATTTTGGCTCACACACACACAAACACACACACAAGGCAGCATATGCTATGCATATTCTCCTGATTCTTAAGCTTGTACTCACAACATGTTTCGTTCTTACTTGTTCTATACAGTACTTTACAGGCTTTCCAGCGTGCTGCGAATATTGAAAAATCTCGTTACCAAGTCACTCCATGCCATGGACTGCGCCATGCATCACTCTCCTAGTTCTAGTAAGTGATCTCGTATCGAATCGAATCCAGACTGGTGGGAAGGAAATGACGACAACAATGCATAGTTCATCTGAAGTCCGAGGTCACCCCTCGCTTGAAGCCAACCTTTTTATAGATTTCTGTTCTCCGATCCTTTCCTTTATTTGTGTACTTCCATGCTGTCATGTTTTATACGTACCAGTATAACATGCAAAAAGGAACAGGATCATTCAAGTTTCTAACCGCTGATTTTTGTTCAGGTTTGGATAGTATTGCTGCAGCCATGCTCATCCTCAAAGCAAGGTCCAAACATCTTCGGCTGTCGGACTATTGTGTAGTGCAATCAGCAGACATCAGTTCAAGTACGCGTACCTGATACTTATAAAATCAATGCTCAAATGATATTAATAAGAATAAAAAGATATGTCCATCGCCACCCTTTATTCGACAATTGCACGTCATAGACCAATATACAACATCTTAAAGAAGAAGATCGGCTACAACAATATCCAAAACTATAGTTCTGGATACAGAATAGACCAAGTATCCTATTTGGCTTGAACTTGGTATTAAAGTAGTCAATTCAAACTAATCTTTTAGGAGCCTACGAGTAGGAAATGAAAATATAGTAGCATTGAAGTGTGTCTATAAATCCAAGTAACAACTTCTACGGTATGATGAAATCAACTAATGAACCAACTAATAATAGTTTACTCGTCGTCTTCATCGTCGTCATCATCATCATCGTCGTCGTCATCATCGTCGTCATCATCATCATCACCTGGGTTAATAGCCCGATCGGTGAAATATTCCCATCGCTCTTCTTTTGTCAAGGTAGCAGGGTCAACCTTCTTCTTCTTTGGCTTCTCTTCCTCTTCCTCCTCCTCTTCTTCTTCTTCCTCGGCCTCAGGCTCTGGTGCGGGCTCTTCTTCTTCTTCCTCCTCTTCCTCGGCACCGCCAGATTGCTCAATGGCAGCATTCACAGCCTCTTCGATATCTTCAGCGGTTACTCCTTCGTCTTCCTCCTCTTCTTCTTCCTCTTCCGCGGCAGGATTCTTTGCTGCCTTAAGAGCTTCCTTGGCTGCCAATCGCTTTTCTCGCTCGGCTTCTACTCTTTTGACTTCGGTATCGGGATCCCAGTAAAGTCCAACGGACTGTTTGATATCATCGTTGAGGGCTCCCCAGATGATCCAGGTAAACACGACAGCTCCTGGAATTCCCCAGACGCCATGTGGAGGGACTTTACGCCCAGAGATTGCGGCCGATGCAAATCTCTTTGAAGTGTTTGCAAAGATTCGACTGTAGATACTCATCTTGATAAGTCTTAGTGAGAGCGATGACTACAGTACTTTCGGCCATTGCCGGTCTGCTGTTTCTCCTCCACCATCGGCGTTTTCGGTTACTACGTAAGCTTGCAGTAAGAGTTCACACTACGACGTTCGAAGTACGTACACCCACGCGCATGCTGTGCAGATCAAAGATTTTCGAACTCGGCTGATCGTGGGGAGATCTATTCTTCTATAATAACGAGGGGAACGTTCGCAAGGCATTCCCCCATTCATCGGAGGCACAAAAACAAAAATCATCAACGACCAAAGCAACAAGAAATATCATGCTGATGGTGACAAACATGTAATTGTTGAAAATGACGAAGGGAAAGGAAACTAGAACTCGACGGTGTTTACTAATAGTTTTAGTGGTGTTGGTGTTCGGCCTTGCTGGGCCGTTACGAGCAAGCTTGGCTACCACCAATACCACAATATCTATATGGATTGACGAGACTTCATTGCTACCAACCATTTCAGCGGAGTCCAATTCAACTACAAATGAGGAGAGACAAATGGGCAATGTGATTACTGATAGCCAGTCCGTTGGGACAAATGTGACCGCACCAATCACTACCGTTGCATATTTAGTGTCTGTCACTGGATGCACTAAGAGTTTTGCCACCAAGATTTACGATTTTGGAGCCGTCTTGAAGAAGTCTATCGATTTGAACTCCTTCCCACTCCATCCCAGATCTCGATATGGAAGTAAAACCTTTGTCCTTGTGACTCCCGAGACGAAGACAACCAAGTGTGTCAAGCATCTGAAACGGGCTGGTTTCCAACCATATTCCGTCAAATTCCCAGTCAAGTTCAGTGAAATTCAACAGGTGGAGGGTGCCAAGATCTTTCGAAAAAACATTCGTAGCGATGGATGTTGTGGAGAGAAGGAGTTGATCAAGTTGCATGCCTATAGCATGACGGACTTTCCCGTAGCAATTCATCTTGATTTGGATACTCTTGTAGTAAATCCATTGGACCCGGTGATTGATGCCATGGTGTTGCCACCGGACAATCCAACTGGGCGAGACGCTCGAGAACTTCTCTTTGCTCCCGAGTTACCGGAATCCAACACCAGCTTTCGCTATCCTAGAATGGCGACACCCACCTACAAGGCATCGGTTCCTCTCGACAAGCTGGACGTTCAGGCGTACTACACCAGGGATTACAACATGCTGAAACGAGGCAAAGGACTAAAGGTTGGCCTTCAGGGTGGATTTATTATGGTGAAACCGAATCTTACTACCCTCGAGACACTTGTGAATATGGTGAGGTCGGGAAAGTATTACAATGCCAAAGGGGGGAGGCAAGGAGGGTGGTTTAGGTAAGAACCAACATGTCACAGCTTCCATTACCGCTGAAAAATCGACTCACCTTGTATCTATTAAAAAATACATAGAAGTGGATATTTTTCGCACATATGGGGATCCATGACCATTCAAGGACTGCTGGCTTACTACTACAGCGATGTCGCACATGATACGAGCATTGAACTGAACCGATGTCGATTCAATCAGATTGCCGAAAACCCTCGGCGGTCATCCTTCGACAAACGAGGAAAGTATCCAAGGGGCACACCAATTTCTGTTGATGCTGATTATAAGGATATGGATTGTCGTGATCGACCAGGTTCCGACTGCGATGATGTACAGTGCCAAAAATGGCCGTTGGAAGAAACTTTCATTTTCCATTTCACATACGTAAGTTTGGTGTTGGAGCAAGAGCAACTACATTCAGCATTTGGCATTTCTCACCCTAATCCGTTTGCATTCTTTCGGACAGTGTAAGACTCCTACGAAATGTGGGGATATATCCTATAATGAAACATACAAAGACCATCAGTGCAATTTGATGTACCGAAAGTGGTTTGATGTGCGAAAATTAGTATCTGGTGATAAACATGATAGAATCGCTACCGGAACATATTATCCTGATCATTATCGAGGGTATTGCCGTGAAAAAGGAAAGTACATATCTATTCCATCGCTGGACAAGGCAAGCAATGGTGGCAGACAGTAGATGGCAATGAGGTTACAAGACAGCTACCAGCTTATTCTGGTATCTACATGCTTGCCCCGAATCCTCGCTTTGCACTGGATGCAAATTGTATCGGGCTAGCTCTCTTTGTGCCCGCTGTTTGGCTTCCAAAGACTGGCACTGAACCGTCAGATTCGGATCCTGAAACAGGAGGACTTCCAGCCGCTAGTCGATTGTGAGACTCTTTCCTCCGATTTTGTATCCTTCTTTGACTACGAAAAGCATGGGCGACTTTTTTTCTGGCCACAATATCAGATACCTCGATGAAATCAGCGTAATAAATCTCGAGAAAGTGCCCACCATTCGCTTGAACTTCTTTTACCACTTTCTCGGCAATTGCTGTCTTTTCGTGCTTACTAGCTTGCTCGTAGTCATTTTGATAGGACAGAACAAGGTGACGATATCGGAGGTTTCCTACGTGATCTTGACATCGCTTTTGCCTTCCCAACAACACATCAAACCGCCCCGGAATAATGACGACGAGTTCCTTTGGGGTCGGTTGCTGCTCTTGCTCTAGTCGCTTTGTAAAACCTTCTTCTGCAAGTGGGAGGATCGTCCCATCATCTGTAATTGGTAGCGCCTCTCGCGGGATTCCGAATGTCAACAGAGAGTAAATGCACTCTTTTGCAGATCCTGAATTGACAGCGACAACAGTCGTTAGCAACAACAAGCAACTAGTTCAAATATCGATTGAGGGTAGGACCACTTACCATAATGGGATCGACACCTGACTGTCAAAAAAGTTCCAACTGCAGAAAGGATCAATCGAAGGATTGGGCGCACTCGCGGGTTGTCATAGCAAATATGGAAGCTGACAAAGCAGTTAGGAAGGCTCTTCTTCATGTCATTCAGAGCAACCCATAACTTTGGGTCTGGCATGATATTGGAACCGACGTTATAGAAAATTAGCACCATGCCATTTTTCCGTGACTCTTCGTCTCTCAACATTGTAAAAATGGACCAAAACAACAAGCGAAACCTGCTTTCGTAGGTCTGCTCCTCCTCGTGGGGTGTCCAGAAAAGAACAATTCTTCCTGATCGGTCCCTGTGTTGCAACCATCTAGTTTGACAAAACTTCCACTCTTCTTGCTTAAGATCATGCAGCATGATATCTCTTCCAAGCTTTTCTTCGCCAAACAGCTTCTTTTTAACTTCAAAATGGGAAACGAAGGTTGCTGCAGCCTTCTTTGCGTTCAACTTCTTATCAGAGCGAAGAAACAACAATCGAAGATCCTTGTTCAGAGCTGTTGGTTACAGATAAGATAGAATGCAACTGTAAGATAATTGTTATGAAGAATTTCTTCGTTCTATCGTGTCTGCCGAAACTTACCAAAATCTGGAGAAATTTCCTTTGCTTGTAGATAGGCCTCCTTTTTCTTAATCTTGCATATTTCGTTTTCCATTTGCGATAGCTTTTCCTCCATGATTATCGGATCTTCTTGAATTTCTGAGACACCGTGTATGTCATGGATTGCTGACTGCTGCTCATCAAAGGTTATCGACTTAAGAGCACGGGCAAGCAAGTCTTCATGAGCTTCGTCAATAGGTCCCGTTTCAAGAGATTCAAATGAGTCTAGTCCACATTCCTCTGTTTCGGAGGTTTCATCTTCGCTGCTCCAGCTCATTATATCCATTTCGTTATCGTCCATTATCAAATATTTCTCTCCTTCAAGTGTGTGCTCTCGTTCTATGTTTGTATAGTATCCTACAGGGGTTCTGAAGTGGTGTAATTGTGTCAGTGTTTGCCATCTTCCATTCTTTCTCACTTTTATTTGGAACTATGACAGACGGCTCTTGCTCAATAAAATCAAACCTTAAATGGAGACGACCAATGACTCTTGCACGATAAATGTTAATGCAACATGAAAATTTCATCCAATTAACGACCACATGTTACCCCAATCGAAGAGTCGAGTCAGTCAGACTATTGTCGATTTTGCGTTCGTTCTCGCATCTCATCTCCGCAGGTTGGTTGTATGTAACATCATTGCAATTCATGTGAACTTTGCGATAACGTTAGCGAGCCTTCGTCGGTCTGCATCGATTTCGATGGCAAAGAAATATTAAGAAAAGGAAACCTCATTGATGCAACAAGCTGCTGGTGGCTAGCTAGTACTATAGTAACTACTGCGGCTCCTAGTAGGACTACTAGTAGCCGCTACTAGCTACTAGTGCTACCCACTACTAGCTTGTTTGTCTTCTTCTAGACGAGTCTCCAGAATCTGTACTTGACTAGATCTAGCTCTCTACGTAGGCTATGAAAAGCAAATCCCTTGGATGTTTGAGATTTTACTACGGTAGACTTGGTTGCCCTGCTTCCATTTGGATGGCAATATTACCATCGTCGTGTTCAATCAACAGTTGCCTACCGGTACTTTTGTGGGCAGATTTAGTCGCAAAAGTTTAAAATTAAATCGGTTTAGTCAGTCTTTGGCCAGATCAAAGAAACGAAAAACGAGCGAACGGCACCATCAACTTTGCTTCGGAGGCGACAACAGCGGTACTATAATATAACCACAAGATGGAGGATGACGATAATCCATCAGTGATTGATGAATTGGCAGAAGACCTTGGATTTGGTGATTATTTGGGAGAGGATATCGATGACTATAACGAATCCTCCGAAGAGTATGATCACGATCAACTTCCTGATGTGGAATCGTATAGGGCGCAAATGGGTCATGACGGAAAGCCAGCTTCGTTAAAGAAAAGCATATGTATTGCAGTATGCAGTTTTGTGATTCTTACCACAATTATCGCGGTAGTCGTCTCTGTACTAATGAATAATGAAGAACCAGAAGTTGTTCGTTTTGAAGATGATATGAACAATGAGGGCAATACCGACAATTGGAACAAGGGCGAGACGCAGCGCTTTTTGCAAATTCGGGAATATGTGACAACGATTCGGGGAATTTCCACCTTTGATTCCGTCCAAGCGCAGAATGGAGTACAAAGTCCCCAATACTTGGCGGCTCAATGGATGGCACATGGAGACGGAATGAACATGCCAGTTCCGGTCGACGAACCAAATTTACAATTTGATGAACGATACGCTATGACAGTATTTTACTTTGCCACTGGAGGTCCTACTTGGACCGCCCAGTTGAATTTTTTGTCAAGTGGACACATTTGTTCTTGGAATGAAATAGTTGAAGCATTTGATGGATTTGCTGAGCTACGGTACGGTCTTTCGGAATGTCCAGAAGCTTCTGATATGTTCCCTCGAGCATTGATCATCTGTAAGTTGCATCTTTTTATGCTTTATCGGTTGTATTGTCGACGCCCGGAACGATTCATTAACCTTTTTCTTTCTCCACTCCCAAAGCTGAAAGTAACAACATGACAGGAACACTACCGGACGAAATTCGCGGCTTAGAACGGTTGGAGATCTTGCATTTGGCGAATAATCCATCGATTACTGGGACCATCCCTGATGGATTCCGTAGAATGTCTGCGTTGCAGCAGTTCACCGTTACCTTTTGCTCACTGACAGGTAGCATACCACCATTCATTTCTGAATTGAGCACGGCGATGGAAGCCCTTGCATTGAGTGGTAACAAAATGGACGGTCAACTTCCAGCAAGTCTTTCTGACATGACCAACTTGAAGGTGTTGGCTTTGGATCGAAACGAGTTCGAAGGCTCCATTGACCTTGTGGCTCCTCTCACAAAAATCCAAAAGCTGTTTTTGGATAGGAATCAAATAACAGGAACCCTTTCTGATTCATGGATGGGGAACTTTGTCGACTTGGTGTCACTGGATTTGTCAGAAAATCTTCTGGATGGTTCTCTGCCTCCCAACTTTTTCAACCAACCGAATAGTGCCAGTCTCAATGCCATTGATTTGCATGCCAACTCTTTCACTGGCAGCTTTCCATCTTCTCTGGATCAATCGGATACCAATACCGCCTTGAAATTCCTATCGCTGCATGAAAATCGCTTGACTGGAACCCTACCAAAATCCATCTTTACAAAGCTCCAAGCACTCGAACTGTTGGACGTGTCAAACAATCTGTTGGACGGCAGATTGGATGATGTTGCCGATTTCACGACCGGGACTACGGTTTCTCCTCTGCAGTTCTTGTACGCAGGAGGAAATGGATACTCACCGTCGCCCATCCCCAGCTGGATATCAGGATTCTCAAGCCTCAAAGAGCTAGTCCTACCGGAAGCATCTTTGACCGGACAGCTTCCCGATTGGCTTTTTACGGACATGCCAAAATTACAGCATTTGGATTTACGTAAGTGACAAACGAATGACTGAATGAATGAATCCTTCACATCGCAATGACGATTCGATCCTGCATGATACTAACATTCCCTTCATCTTGACTAAAAACTACTACTAGAGGGAAATTCATTTTCAGGAGACCTTCCAAGCAGCATTGGACAAGCCAAGGAGTTGGTTGATATTTATCTAAAGGGCAATTCACTTTCAGGAGAACTTCCAGAGGAGATTAACCAATTGACACGATTGCAACTGGTATTGTTGGAACAGAATGGCTTTACAGGAGACATGGCTGGGAAATTTTGCAACCCCAATAACCCCAGCAAGATGCTCAATGTCGTCAAGATTTCCAACGGTGAAGAAAATGGGATCATCAAGACTCTGGTCATGGATTGTTCGGAAGAAAATCTAACTTGCGAATGTTGTACTAAATGCTGTGCTTCCGGAAATGATATTTGCAATACCGAAGTGGATTGGACAAACTTTCGACTCTATTGGAAACCACATTGGAATCATGGCTATTACGATAGCAACTTGAATTTCTAGGCTACTGGATGGGTACATGATGATATTGAGGATCCCAGATAACTCGATGATGTCCTTCTGTGAAAAAGGACTTTTGGTGTCACTACTATACTATTAGGATATATATAATACACGATGAGCATAATATTGTTTTCTTTTATTGTGCATGCTGAGAGTGTGAGTGTACAGTAGGGGGGTCCATCATGTAGGGTCAAAGGAGCATTATGTACATGTGCAAGGGACGATTGATTCTCAATCAGTTGTCAAATCTACTGTGAGAACAAAATCAAAATTCGCAGCGAACATTCTGAGTTTCGGCTCTTATTAGCATCGTTCATTACGTTCTTCTCAAGTGTCAATTGTCCTACACACGTGGTACTAATGGAACTAGACTAGCGAAACTAATGGAAACTGGAAACAAACATCAGAAGAATCATTTCTTCATGGTGAGTTGTATGTTAGTATGTAAAGAGAAAGGTGTCAAGGGGTCAGCTGCGCTTCATTCTTGTTCGTACCTGTAGGTTCGCAATTTGCCATCTTGATTCTTCGTTCTGTGATGTACTTCACTATTTGACGAGCAGCTGGCAACCAAATCGCACCCATCGCACGTACGAAGGCAATCGAACCATGTGCCTGACGCGCACGGCCCGCGTTTGCTACGCATTTCTCCGTAGGAGAAGGGGAATAAACATTCGCCTTCTCCCAAAACGCGTGACATTGACAGATTGACAATTGCGCTGTTCGAAAAGTCCATCTGACAATTTGTTCGATCACATCATCTTCCAGAGAGCATTGGGAACATTGCATGCACTCATAAACTGTTCTGAATGACCATACCGGTAGCAAACGCCACAGCCATGGAATCGATAATCCCAACAGCAGAAGACCTCTTTCTGATCGTCAAGGAAGCCAACAAGTCTTTTGAGAAAAAGGTTGTCTTTGACACCCATGTTATCAAATACGGTTCGGAATCCGAATTCGAACCGAATGAAGTCAGCACCCTCTGGTACACCAAGCCCGAAATCACCGCCCTGCAAACACAAGTTCATCAAGCTCGTTCTGCCATTATTCGAGGCGAAATGACAGCACAAGACATTGAAAAAGAGGGTGATCTCCGAGGGCTGGAAGCCTATGTCAGTGTTTCACGTTTGACTCACAAACGCAAGGTCATTGCTCACGTGCTCGAGGCGCAAAAGACTATCAAGGGAAACAAGCTTGCCAAAATCTCTCATGACAGCACTACTTGGCATAAGAAGATTGCCCTCATTCATGCTCTCCAAGATTACTGTGATGTTCACGATCCATCACTGTCGCAAGGAATTCCGGAAATGCCGGGTTCCCCACCTCCCATGGCCAAGCTGCCTACTCTCAAGAGAAGACCTTCATCCTCTTCATTGTCTTCTTTGCACTCCAAGCGAGTCCGAAGACGTAGACTTTCTGCCGAGTGACCGCAGGAGCTGAATGATATGAAAACGAGTGCCTAAAGACGCACCTGATAGGACTCACTCACTCTCTGGATACCATCATTCTGCGCAACCAACGAAATACTACTACCCCTCCAGAATGAAATGGATCATCCAAATATGTAGGACCAAGAGCAAGGTTCGAGACACTGTACAAACGAAACTATCTACGTATATTTGTTCCAATGATGGAACAAGAGTGTCCTCGAACCACAAGGTCCTACAACCAACTGTACAAAGAAACATATAAAAAGGGAAGGCCCCCATCAGTAGGATTGGCCACCCGTTATCTATCCTGAAACCGAAACAATTTGATCAAGACCAATACTGCAACAGTGCACCGATACAATAATATAAAAGTTAATAGAACAAGATAAACCATTACTGCTACCGGTACTGTAGCTTACTACAAAGTTTGGGTGCGTTTATTCCATGGTCCCGAGTTTGTCCGGAAGAGGCTACTTGAAACATTGACGAGCCATTTTTGCCGCGCCGACCGGTCCAGTCCAAATACGCACTTCAAGACAAGATATGAAATAAAAAATAAAATGGATGGCACAAACATCAGACCAAACTTAACGTGCTAACGTTGTGCTCCTGGCTCTCCTCGTAGAGAGAGCGTACTAGTGCGTTGATGTAGCTACTGTTGGACATGATAGACGGTGATTGATATTGCTATTGGGGTGTATTTACGGGGGTCTGAAGCAGCTGTGAGTAGATGATGAATGATTGATCTTGGGCTGAATATTCGGCGATGACCGTTGGCCTTCGATCGCTCTAATACATCTGCTCGGGACTCGGCAGTCCAGTCAGTCACGTTACGTCCCCTCTTCTTCTATTTAGGCGACTCTGTTGTAACGTCTCATCTTGGTCTGTTTTCACCTCCCTCTTCTTGATGAATGGCTGCTGGCACCGAACAAGGTAGCCGAAGAAAAATCGCCATCTAACCCTCAATTGCAAATCGGGCTGCAGGATCCTCTCCAACGTCCAGGTTGCTGGCTAGCTGCTTCAAGCGTCTGACAGTTGCGTCCAGGTCCAATGTTTGACTAGGTGCTTCGCGGTACGACGGTCAGAACGGGAGGATCAGTCCTCATCTTAGTCGTTGTACACACGTATTTTGGGGGGGTATGGGGGTTGCTATATCGGGTCCTTCGTCTTTGGGGCTTCCTGTTCCTGCTACTCTGCCAGTCATGACTTGTACTGCATGCTGCGACATGGAGTAGTTTGTCGATGGCGGCTTTTTGTTGGGTCAACTGGTACTATGGTCTGCTGCGACAGATCGTCGTAACTTATTGGGTCTGGGGCTTGGGTCCACCTGGTTGGGGCTATCTGGGGGCTATCGTGGGTCATCTTTGGGTCAACGTTGGGGCTTTCGAGGTGTATACTGTCTGTAGGTTTGGTTTGTTTTGGGTCTATTCTTTTGTTCTTTTTAGCTGTGTTTATCGTTTGTGTCGCGCTCGTTTGTGTGCTCTACCTGGTGGTGTTGACTTGGGTGTGATGTTGGCCACTTTTAGTTTCATCTGTGTTGCCGCCTCTCTCACTTTTTCCCACACCACGTCCGGTATTTTGTAGTCTCGTTCAAAATCGAAAGGTCCGTACACGCCGTCTTCGATGATGTTGACCTCTTTCTGGTACCAGGCGTATTTGTGTGGGCTCTTGTTTAGCACCTGGTCTACTTTGCTGGGTCTGATGGGTACTGTTGGGCCGTATGTTGTCTCGTCGGTAAATTCTTTGATTAGGGGCCAAAAGGGGCTGGTCATTGGGGGGCCTTGCTTTGTAGCGGTGGGTTTTGGTATGTACCACTTGCAGTGATACTGTCCTTTTGTTCTTGCTAGTTTCTCGTTGGTCTCCTCCATGTCGATTTGTATCACGTACCAGTTGTTCCACCCTGATGTGTCGTCTTGATGGGCTATGACGTATAATTTGTCCTTGGATTGTGTGGTTCGTTCGTATACGCTCTGTAGATTGAGTTCTTCTGTGATGGTTTCTGTGGTATGGACTTGTCTGGTTTGGTTGGCTCCTTCTGTATCTGTTGGTGGTACGTCTCTGTTAATCGGTCGAGGCTGCGTGCGTTGGATAGCGTCTAGTATGGATGGTGTAGGGGTGTCGTCTTCCTCTTCGTCTGATGAATCTTCCGTTGGCTCAACTTCTTCGTCCCAAAGGTCTTTGATTGGCTCGAATGCGTTTTCTGTGTCTGTCGGTGTTGTCGCGTATTTACCAAAGTCAACCAGTCCTAGATTCATTTCCAGGGGGCTGTGTGCTAGCGGGCTCCTCATGTTTGCTAGTCTTGTATCTGGTGTGTCCACTCGTTTGTGAAGTATTATTGTTGATGGGATCTTGTGCATTCTGAATGCTGATTCTTTGATTGGGGTCGATCCTC